GGTGGGGGGCAATCAAAAGTGCCTCATGCCATTACTGGGAGTATGCACTACATACGGCCCTGACGCTTCTATTTATAAATAAGCTAACTATACACAGCACTTGAAATGGCCTTGAAGATTAAGTTTTCTTGTGATTTAACAAATATTTAAAGATATTTGTATTAAATATCCTGTGAAGTGATCCATTAAACTAATAGTAGGTCGATCTTGAATTAAAAAACTAGAGGGAGGAAGGCACAGTGTTTCCCAATTACATCAACTACATGTAGTGTCCTAGGTCCTTTCGTCACCGGTAGGCGACTATGGCCCCTAAGAGCATTAAGCGCACATACTGCCGGGGCTCTGTTGAAACCAATCACCCTCCCGCATACGTATACGGGTTCCGGTCTCAAACTCGCAGCCTGCCTCGACGCCTCCTACGAATTTTAGGCAAACACGCGATCAGCCAAGGCTGTCTGGCGCGGGACGTTGCGACTAAGTATGCATAACTTATGCCAAGACCTGCCGTCACGCGCTCGACTTACACGAGATTTTGAAGGTCGTTCAGCAGGCTCCAGGTATAACCGCGATGTCTCGGCGGCACTCTGGAGCATTCCATGCCTACTGCATATCATCAGAGACACTTGATCGCACAGTCTCCAGTGTCAAATTTGACGTGTGCATTATTCGTCGAGATCAGACGACGACATGCCTAACGGTGGCAAGTGGTGATAGTTCTCGCATCGGAACTAGGTACGAATGAGTAAGGGCGATGCCCTTGGGCTAATTTCGTATCCTGAAGACCGAAATTGAGTCTATAGACGTCACTGGAATCCCAGTTCCTCTCGTACTGCACACTTGCAAGCTCGGTTTCTTGGTTCAGTCAAACCCAGCTCGCCACTGCCACTGCGCCTCACAGCCCGGTATCACTAGGTATTTTCCTTGCTTGCAGAGACATGAAAAGCAGACTTCCCCTCACTTTCCTTAAACCCGCTGCGTGTAAGTGGCCCCTGCAGGTCTATAGTTCCGCTTTGAGATTTGTTCCAACGCTGGCACAGTTTTCTGTTTTTGGGTTTTTTTTCAAACGAGATATTTGAAGGTTCTGAGAGGGACCATCGAATAGAGTAAAGACGAGAATGATATCTAGCACAAAATCGCCTTGGTAATCTTACTCCCGTGTCGTCGTCTACCACTAGATCCTAGCACCCGCTGAACTCCATGCCAAGAAGGTCAAGGAGTCATCCGTTCCTTCGTGTGATTACATCCATCATTCATTCCTTTCAATAAGACAAGATAGAAAATAGGATGAGTAGTGTAAAAGGAAAAGGAAACGAAGGTGGAAAAAGAGGTGAAAATTTAGCGTCCAACCCATGGACGAATCAAGAATATCCTACGCGCCCACCCCTTTTGTATGCTAAATCAACCCAGCCCGGCCCAAACGCCCGTGTCTACGTGTCTCGACTGCCCGTGGATTTCGACTAGCGTCTGAAATTGTCATGAGCGAGAATGAAGCTGCCCGAGGAGTGTGAACGCCCCTTACCGTTTGCGATGCCCCTGATTCGCGTCCCCGCCCTGGTCATAATCCAGGTAATACGGCGAGTCACCACCATAGTAGTAGTCCTCACCACCGCTGCTCCCGTAGCTCGCAGGCGGCTGAAACGCTTCCGTGTAGCTGTTGCCGTAGTTGGTTGTGTAGTACGGGTCTTCCCTAACATAATCATCACGGCCGCTGCCCCGACGGCTCTCGTGCTCGTGGCCCCGAGTGATGACGTGGTTCATGTTGATGCTGCCCCAGGGAAGCCCGGATTCCGCTCCCTCCGCACTCGGATCGGAGCTTGACGCGACTTCGTACGTGTTTTGGGCGTTGGCCTCGTTGTCCGCGTCGCGATCGGCCTTCTCCTTGCTATCTTGGTTCTTCTTCCCTGGTGTGTGTATTAGTGTGCTGGTCGTGTTGTTTTCCGAGACCCGTGTTTGCAAGAATCAGGGTTCGGGGAATGAGGACGTACTGAATTTTCGTTGGGCCAGCCGATTTTGGATGCGCCGGCGTTCCTCTGGGTCGGTGATTTCTGCCCAGTCGTCGCCCTTTGACTTTGATTTTGACTTTGAGGAGTGCTGCTTCTTGGAGCTCGGTTCTGATGACTTTGAGGCCTTGGATGACATTTTGTGTTTGTTTGAGGGGATTGCGCAATGTGGTGTTGCTCTGTGATTATGCAGACGGTCTCTCGAGAGCTGCCGTCTCTTGGCCGAACGAAGAGCCGACTCTGCTGAGAGGTTTTTTGAGTCTCCCGCCGGGGAGGAGTCTCAGTGCTGGGTGATGGTTCTGTGCACACAGGATTACGAGGCTAGCAGGATTGCTGGGGGGCTGTTAGATTTGCTCGCCGATAACTTTGACACGCACACTCACAGCTCAGTCGCACTGCTGTTATCGAGGAGAGTCTCTTGGAAAGTTGATCTTAACGCCGAGTTGGTATAGACCAAGGCAATCTGGAGACTAGAGCGGGTGTGGAGTAGTGAAGGCCTGCGGGGGAAGTAATGGCAGTATTGCGGACAGGGTATAAGTGTAAGTCTTTGTGATATTGCCTGTCTGTTCTGATAGCATCACCATCGAGCTAGGGAAAAACCTCAACTTATATCGGAACCCAGAATACCCAGGCCACACATTGCAAAGTCATGCTAGACACAGGGAGTGTTCGTACAATGCCGAGGGCATCCACTCTCAACGGGGGATCCTAGACAGCCTCACGTAACAAGCAGGGCAGATTCGAAGCAACCAAGACGCGGTCAGTCGCCCGTGGCTTCCGCGTTGTGACGCAGGAGTATGCAGCCGCCATCAAGGAATGTGCATAATGAGATCCCCAAGTTGAGGACAGATGGGGCAGACACCCCCCCTCCCCTCCAGTATCGACCATGGGTTCATCAAGCCGTGCCGGCCAAGCGGCGGCAGACTACGGGAAGGGAGTGCGAGGAGTCCACGACACCGGGTCGAGTTACGAGTTAGGGGGGGAGGGGGGGGCGTGGCAATGGCAACGCAGCAGCGAAGTAGACGGAGCGGGAGTTGACATGGGTGACGATGAGCTGAGGAGGTTGACAATACTAGAGACCGGGATGATGGTGGAAGGAGGAGACGGGATGTTTGACGCGCAGCAGAGCAGAGCACGGGAAGGAGGCACCGGGTCGGTGAAGCCCAGACGAGGGTGGGCAATCCCCGGGGCGCCGTCTAGACGATGGTATACCCAGGTCCCGGGAGGCCAATTAGAGACAATTGTGGTGGGTGCCTACGTCCCGGAACACGAAATACGATGAGCCAGTGGGGATAGAGATATTGGACGTCCAAAGGATAGAAGTCGCAATGACTTCCGCGCGTCAGCAGGTTTAGGAATGTGCCGTTGATCTCATAAGAAACCAGTCCAAGCCAAGACGAGGCAGATGACCAAGTACTCGAGGAGGATAGACCCGCAAGTCCCACGTGGAATCGCTCCGGTAGGTAAGGCTTCGAATAGGGACCGGGGGCCGGAGTGGAGAGGTCGGAGGAGGGAGAGATGAGACGGGGCAGAACAAGCGAGCAGGACCCCGGCGACGTCGAGGACGATTGCGAGGGCTCTTCGTCTTCCCACCTACAATTACGTATTGAGGGAGAGGGGGTAAGCTTCGTGAAGTCGGTACGTAAGGATTTACGTAGACAAAGACAAGATTCTCACCTAAAATCTACTTTGTTGGAGGGTGAGTGGGCTGTCACTCTCGAACCAAGCTTTCGCAATCTGTACTAGTGACCTCTTAGCAACGCAATAAGAAGAACTCGAACGCTGAAGCAGTCTTTGGCCAGCATCTGGCCGAGGAATTGGGAATTGACAAGCCCGAGCTCCAAGTTTGCCTTCAGCCCTAGACCGATAGAGTGTGCCCAATCGCCCAAGAGCAACGTTGTGCCTGACGTGCGTGTTAACAGGGGGGGGTGTACGGGGGTTGACCTGCATGGCATGCGGATGCAGTTTAGCTACTCGCGGCCGCGTAGCTGCGTGATTACCTTGGTTGATAGGACACCTAGCGCCCGGTAGTGGATGCCACACACACATTCTCAATGAATTGGGGCGTCTCCGATGCAGTATCCGACCCCATCCACTTGGTCAGACAGCTTTAGGATGCAGCCATAGCAAATCGTGGCCCAGGCTTGCGCCCGTCACTCAAACTCCTCCAGCAAGGCGGGTAGGTACTTGGATGTGAGGCATCTCCAAACTCGGAAGGGTTCTGGAAGAGGTCGTCGAAAGAAGGGGTGTCGATGCCCATATGATCGATGAGTCGTAACAGCTTGAGCTCCCGCAAGGACGAAGAACGATTGCCGCTCTGCTGTCTTTGGCGGAGTTTGGAGTTGGACACCCTCGTTTGGTCAAAGGTACGTGGCTGCTGACGAAACGGCATGGCGTGTAATTTGTTTGCGTCTGACGGAGGCGGCCCTGGTGCGCCAGAGAAATGAGTCACTCGCAGAGACCTGGCTCCGGTTTTCTTTATTTCCGTCCAACATTGGCGTCTTGTCGAGTCGAGCGTAGTGTGGCGTCTTTCCAAATCCTTCGAGACGCTGCCATTTGCGGCCCAGGTCCCGAGGGAGGGGAGCGTACGAAACATTCCGACTTGCTTGCGGAACGGTGAGGATTAAGCTTATTGATAGACCCAGGCATTGCCCCTAACGGTCTTCGCAGAAGCAATGTTGCGAAAAACACTCGGTTGGCTCGCTCCCGATATTAGACCGTCGCGTCAAATGAGTTCGAACGGCATGTTTCTGCCGTGGTTTTGGTTGTCCTCGTGACAGTCTAATCCTGAATATATCTCAATTGGTCAATCAAATCGCCGCGTTTTTCCCCGTCCTGAATGTCAGGTGTCGTTGAATGGCAGGCTGTCGCCGGGCGCATGCGCAGTGTAAATTACCGCTGTCGGGTATTCTTGGGAAAAGCCAAAAGCCGCAACGTCGCGTGGAAACTCAATGGCTGGTCTTTGCCAGGTGTGGCAAGCCTCCTATGATGGCCTGGCCTGATGACATCAATGGGGACTACGCTGCCTCTTTCCAAGTTCTTCCTCAAGTCATTGAACACTCTTCCCTCCTTCACTTTCTGATCCAATAGCTCCTCCGCGTTCCTTCTTCTTTTATTTTCCTAGTAAGGTAGTAATGTGTTTATGGGCCCATGTTGACGGGCAGCTAGCAGCCACTTTTCTTCGGACCATCGACTGTTCAACAAAGATGCGATCTCTGTTGATCGCCAGCTCCTCACGATCCATTCGATTAGCCAGTGCAGCCGAACTACGAAGTATCTCAGATGAACTAGCGGATGGGCGTAATTCTGCATCCACCACAGCATGAACCAGGTACTGTAAGAGAAGCGTAGGCTTCTCCTTGTAAGGCGTTGCTGGTGACTACATATATCATCATGCGATTTCACAGCGAGCTTCTGGAAGAACATCCCAGCAGTCGCTTAAACCCTTATTTGGTAGTGTAGACCGCTGATTTGGTGGATTGCGTGGCTTAGCTGACGAGTCGCCTGCAACCCGGTGACTTATTATGCAGTGAACCTCAACATGGGAGCCCAGACCATGCTATCGCCCTGGCGGAGAAAGGCGGTTGAGCGGGACTGATTACACCGCTGCAAAAATCGCTATACCTACTACCTTACTTACTGTAGGATCGTTGGACCCTAACCTGCGAAAGCAGAATACGACCACCTCGCGCGCCGGTGAATTGTCAGATATAATAACTTGAAACATAAGGATTTTGTCAGGCCGGTTTCGATGACTCATCTTAATAAAAGTGTGGAAGTTCATTTGACGGCTCACAGATTGTGTCGTCTTGGCAGACTCTCGGTGACCCGAAATGGTGACCCATGAGCTCGGTCTCAGAGGCACCTGCCTGGAAGGCTTGCATCGGGACGACCTTGAAAAACGCCACCAGCTTAACAGACTCGCTCATGGCGACCACCATAACTTGAACACGCTGTTTTGGCTGTATGCGTTTTCACTTCTGGTTCACCTGCTTTGTATCTTTCTGAGCGCAAAAGCGTCTCCAGGAGATTTCTGCCTGGAATTTGGAATCGGGGTCCGTCGCGAATCCAGGAAATCAACGGTTTGGCACTGGGTACCCTCTCGCAGGCACGCCAACTTCTCTCGGTGCCGCAATCGGTCCCCGTACCCGCTTATAAGCCTACCAGTCCGACAGCATGTCTCACGGTAGATGCGTTACAATCGGCATTACCATTGGCGTGACGCACGATGAAAATAGCATGGTAAAGGTGCCATACCGTCTTTGGCAGCTTTTTTCCAGGTTTGCACAGGTGCAAATGGGCAACTTGTGATTGGAAAGGCGTCTCGGATTACCATGCGCCTCATGGAGTGGTAGGGGATTGGTGAAAGAATACGTAGCTAGGTAGGTAAATGTGCCATCTGAATCGAGTTCCAGTTCTGAGTGTTGGTCGACGCCGCTGCCCAAGTGGAGCCCGGATCGGCGCGGTTTTTCTTTCAGTCAACACCGGCGGAAGCTTAAATCTTAGCAGGCCTCTCATTGGTTTGTGTCGTCAATTTAAGGAAAGCAAGTGGGGTGTAGTTCATCCAGTCTATGGGTGGTTCCGAACTGAGACAGCTCTGGCGTCGGTCATCACCTTCTTCTACAACAATAAACCTTTGCAGTGCACGAGCTTCGCAGCACAGTAAGCCGCATGCTGGTGCAAAAAGGGTGACTAGCCAAGACTACCTCGTATCCATATGTGCAACTGTCGGCGCAGGTCCGCGCTGTTCACATAACCTGGGTAGGCACCGACTCTCAACCTCGCGACCAGCCAGTTGCTACGTCGTGGTCCTGCTTCAGTAAGGCAGCCGACAACACACATTTAGCGTTCGATAACTGAGGCAGTCTTTCCATCGCTCGCAATAACAAGCAGAGGGTGGGTAGATTACATCTCGTGGTGGTACTCGAGACTTCATCGCACGTATTAGAGTCACGCCGGTCCGCGTGCACCTTGAAACATCCACACCCCAGCATATCTTGTCCTCTGACTCTTTCGCCGAGTGAAGCTCTGGGTGTGGCAGTTCCTACAATCACCTACCCCATACTTACAAAATTGGTGGCTGCAAGTCTGCAGAATGGTGGATTCAGCCTGCATGAGGTTGACTGCCGAATACCTGTCGTCTAAGCATTCCTCAGTCCGTGTGCTGCCCGATTGCAGTCCACATCAAATATGCCTTGCCGATGATAAAAAGAGCCTTGTGCTTGGCGACTTGATGAGGTAGATATTAGCAAAGGCTTCTGTTCCACCAATACCAGTAGCCCCGCCGATATACCCCGCTCATTAGGATCGACACGCATAGACCAAAGACCTTGAACACAATTTTTACGACCAGATACGATGGTTTTGTTCTGGGTTAGTCTCGTCGAGTCAAAACAGAGAGCCGACGTACTCAATACTACAGAAAGGGCTGTTTGAGCTGGCTGTGAAGGCAGTACTCCTAACTTTCCAAGTTTCTTGGCGTCCTACTAGGAACGGGTCAAAGAATATGCAGTCGACATCTGCCATGATGTCGAGGAACTACTTAAATGCTCACGATTCTTCCCTCCTACCAAGCTCCCCCGATAATGGCCATGCAGCATTACTAAACCCCCCATCGTAGTGAGCTTTCTGTCGAGAACCACTCAACCTCGATATGACTTGTCCAAGCAAGTAAATTCAGAAACCTAGGCAGTTTGTACGTAGCTTAAGGTTCTATCTGATTGGTTCGTTTACCCCTGGGTGCCTACACTTTACTGTGACCAGCCGACAAAAGGGTAACCATAGACTGGTTGCGGGAGGATCGGCTGGTTCTCATTTTCAATGAGAGTGTATGCATTGCAATCGGACGAAGACATCTCCGCGGCAGCCTTGTAACCTGCCTCATCATAGACAGTCAACTTACGAGACTGGTCCAAGTTCACTGATGGTTCTTCATGATACGATCGATGACCACGTTCAGCTCTGCTGCAGTTTGATCCAGTCTCGTCAAATGAGAACTCAAGCTATTTGGAGCCCACATTATCAGACCGACAACTCAGGTACCTAATCTCGTAGCTCATACGCTAGCGACAGGTCTGCCTCGTATTTACGAGCTTCCGCTTCCATAGTAGAGAATCGAGACGAATCTGAAAGCGAGCTGCTCGTCAACTAATCCACGGGGGAGAAACGGATCAGCAGTCACGCTAACAATGGTACGTTAACATGAAGGAGCTAGAAGCGATCTGACTTGTAGACCTAGACAATCGATGATCGCTGTCCAATTTTCAACCTCGTATCGTACAAGATCTATGAATATAGTACAGTTGGTGGCGTCAAGTGGTGTGAGGCTGGAAAATGGGACAGTTGCGCAACCTCAAAACAGTTTATCGTAGACCCTGAGCCTCCCTCTCAGCCTTGCGCGCTGCAATGCGCTTCCTGAAACGAGTCTCCGCCCTTCTGCGCTCACCTCCATCCACCTTGTGACCCTGCTTGTGCTCCCACATCCCCTCGGTAACGACCACCTTTGCGCCCTCGCCCGCCTTCAGGGGCAGTGCACTGGGACCAGATATCGTGTGCGAACCACGAACCGTGTATCCTGACGGTCTCGTCAATTGGTCGGCGGCGGCGTTGCTCAAGTCTGCGCCAGCCGGCACATTGACGACCAGCTTCCGGTCTGTCTTGGGGTCGCGCACGACCTTCAAGAAAGCCTCCCCGTTCTCTACGTGCTTAAAGTCGCCACCGGCACCGAACGCACCCTTCCTGTATCGATCAAGCCAAGTGAGGAGGTAGCGTCGCGTCCGTGGCGGTTCCAAGCCAAGCTCTCTGAGTTGTGTTGAGGAGAGGGTGAAGAGAGATTCCCACGTTGGAAACTTGTCGACGTGCTGGCTCAGGCCGCGGCCGAGAACCTTGAGGAGGGTTGGGACGTCGGGGACAAGGGGTATCGGTGACGGAACTGTGGGAGTTTCTCTCGTCTTATGAAGCCATCTGGCCTGGCACGTCGGTGCGACGGGGGCCTTGTGGAGGAAGGGGCTCAGAAACGGCTGGAGTCGTGACGCTCTCATGTTGACCTGGAAGAAAGTTAGAATCAATTGTACGTTATATCTGGAGATCTTAGGCCAAGTAGCATACTGAGTGGACACGTGAGCTTTTCAAGCCAGATGCTTGGCCAAATTCGAGCTTGCGCGAGTGATGTCGTCGAAATCAATGGGTCTCGCAATGTTGCTCAACTGCTACTTCCCAATTTTTGTTCCGAGAGACGCTAAGGATCGGGATAACTTTGCCTTAGGTAAGCAATTCGGCTGGCATGGATTGAGGCCCGTGCATTTAGTGTTGACCGCCTTCCCTACTAGCTTAAATGTATCACCCATGCTGTCATGGTTCGCCGATTATCATTCTGCCAGAGGGGCTCCGCTAAATTAGCAGTGCCCCGCCATCTCTGCCGCTAAGATATAGGCGACTTTGGAGGCCGGGAGGCGATGCGACGCGACTGCCTGCTTATCGATTAAGCTACCGAGGAGCTTCCTTCCTTCCTTCTTTCCTTAGGTACCTGAGTTAGGTACCCAAATCGCTTTTTATCTTCTTTCAACTTTCTTCTCCAGAGACGACAGAACAATTGGATACGATTCATCTTCTCTTTTCACCGGTCTTTGTGGTTGTCATTGCTCATTCACACACTTTTGGCATATCAAGCAAGCATGGTTCCAGCACACACTTGAGACCCAGTCAAGTCGTTGGTGAGAGTGTGAGCAGCTGCAATCAACTATGGCTGGCGCAAAGGCAACGGCGCGCCGCCCAAAGCCAATCCCAAAAACTACGGCGATCTCATTTCATGGTTTGTTGACTTGCACCTGGAAGCATGCAATTTCTTACTAATTTTCTTAGAACCTTGGCCTATTGACTTTATTAACCAACTGCGAAACCTCCCATCCAACAACGAGACCCAACCCCAGGACCAAGGTGTAACTGAGCCGTATGCAAAACGAGTCAAGAGATCTCGTGAAGATGTGAAGCCACTTCTTGTGGCCAAGGAAGAACTGGAGCTTGTGCGAAACTGTCCCGAGGAAGCGCCTCCCTTTGCCCGAAGCAATGTCGGATCCCACCTGCTTTTGTTCCCAGGCAAATCTGAGGACTTCAGAATTGTCTCTCGAACCAAGTTATCAGCTCCATTGATCAACATTTCCGTCAGAACCCATTCGAACGTCATTACTCAGCGTTTGAGAGTTTGTCTAGATGTCTTTGCGAAGAGACGAGAGGAAACTGATGGCGAAGGCGAAGTGTGGGTGGCGCTCGATGTCGCTCTGCGCCCTCAAGGAGACTTTCTCTCCGTGGTGTTTTGCTTCAAGCTCTACTGGAATGAAACCAAGACGCCATACGACTGCTTACGATCCAAAAATGAGCGCCAGATTAGTCAGAGCATTCTCGAAACTTTCCTACCCGACGAAACCGCCTCATCCGCCTCAACTTCGACGCATCAGAGCTGGTCCCCGTTGGACTTTTATGAGGCAGCTCATGTACCACCCGCCGACGATAAGACCGCGCTATCCATCGATATCCCCGAATTGACGGTCAAACTTTATCCTTACCAGAAGAAGACAATCCAGTGGCTTCTCAATCGTGAAGGTGTCCGTTGGAAGGAGGCAAGCGCGGACTCAGCCTCGAACATCGAGGAGCTGCCTGCCCCCTCAGATATCGATGTCGCACATAGCTTCCGTAAAGCCCGAACTGAAGGAGGATCTGGTCAATCCTTTTACGTCAGCGATCTGTATCATGTCGTCACTACCGACCTCACAGCTTTCCAGGAAGCAGAGCGGGATATTCGGGGAGGGATTTTAGCTGAGGAGATGGGCCTTGGCAAGACGCTCGAAGTCATAGGCCTAGTCACGCTACATCGTCGACCCTCAACCGACAGTCATATTCGCACGCGAGAGGGCGACGAGCTCTTGACGACCGGCGCAACTTTGATTGTTACGCCGGAGTCACTTAGAAACCAATGGATTTCAGAGCTTCAACGTCATGCCCCTCATCTACGAATCAAATACTACCCTGGGCGCAAGAACGCCAGTTTCGACACTGAGGATGGCCTTCGTGCTGACTTGGCCTCTTACGATGTGGTCATTACCACATACCCAGTCTTGTCTGCAGAGGTACACTTTGCTTTGAAGCCCCCTGAGAGATCTCGCCGTCAAGAGAGAAAGTACGAACGTCCGGTGTCGCCCCTGACAAGAATATCCTGGTGGCGTGTCTGTCTTGACGAAGCTCAGATGATCGAGGGCGGAGTAAGCGGGGCAGCTGTCGTCGCAAGAGTACTACCCCGTGTCAACGTTTGGGGCGTCACCGGAACACCGGTGAAGAACGACGTCAAAGATCTACATGGCCTGCTCAACTTTCTGCGCTATGAGCCATACGCATCCTCCACCCAGATATGGAAAGCTTTGACGGAGTCACACAAGCCTCTTTTCAAGTCTCTATTTGGCAGTATTGCCTTGCGCCACACCAAGCAACTCGTCAGACACGAGATTGCTGTACCGCCACAAAAACGATACGTCATAACATTGCCGTTTACAGCTGTGGAGGAACAATACTATGGCGAGATGTTCAAGACTATGACCAGAAATTGTGGAGTGGATCTTCTCGGCGCCCCTGTCAAGTCTGACTGGACGCCAGAAACAAATGAGACTGAGATGCGAACGTGGCTTAATCGTTTACGACAGGCAGCTCTCCATCCTGAAATCGTCCAGATACGTGGCACTGGTCGGAAAGTTGGGCCCATGCGAACAGTCGATGAAGTCCTGGATGCTATGATTGAGCAAAGTGAGAATGACATTCGAGCTGATCATCGGGCCTATCTACAGGCCAGGCTTACATGTGGCCAAATGCTCGAAAATAGTCCCAGGGTCAAAGAGGCCCTTGAGATATGGCAGAAGGTGAAGGTTGATGCGCTGGATCTTGTGACTGAGTGCCGGCAAGAGGTGAAAGCTGTCATGGGTAAGATATCGGGAAAGAACTCCTCTGCTCCATGTCAAGGAAGTCGAGATGGATCCGCTGCCTTGGACGATGCCGACCGAAATGCAGCTGATGAGGGCACAACTAATGCTCTTGTTGGCGAGGCTCGGACCAAACTTCGACACGCTCTGGAGGTCCTTCATAAAGCCACATTCTTCTGCGCGAACGCCTTTTTCCAGATCAAGAGCAATACAGACATGACTGAGCCGGATTCGGATGACTTCAAGAAGTACCAGCAACTCGAAGACGATGAATACAGCAAGGCTCAGGAGGTCCGACGAGAAATCCTATCGGAAAGCCATGCTAGAGCAATGTCTCTTATGAATAACTTGGGACGCCAAGCCAAGGCCCAGTCTTTCGTTGAGATTCCAGAACTCGCGCTGAGCGGGTCGAAGGGACTAGAAAGCGGCCCGACTCTTGATACGCTGGAAGAACTATACGGTGTTCTCAATGAGCAGGCAGATCGCATTGATGAATGGAGAGAGGCTGTCATCGGGTTGCTTTGCCAGGCACTAATCGACGAAGAAGCACAAAACGAGATCACTGGCGAAGAGTTCACCGACTCCACGCAGATTCAAGAGGAACTTATTGTCTATGTGCAAATCCTTCGTGCCGTTATTGCTGACCGTCAGGATGCTATCTCAGGTCTTGAGAATGCGCTGGTCAAGCACGAGGCTCACGTTTCACTGACTGCTGCACAGAATGGCGTTGGTCCAGCTCCAGAGAAGTTCCTGGCTCTTCATAACGCCAGAGATTTAGTGAAGCCGTCCCCGGATAAGCATGGCTCTCTGCGTCGTGCTATTGCAGAGCTTCGAGGTATTGCTTCGAGGCTGCCAAAGGATGGCGGCGGTCGGGCAAGCCTTGAACACGAGATTGTAACCAAGGAGATACAACAAACGCAGGCAAATATCACTGCCCAGAATAAAGCGGCTACAGCTTTGGAACGTGAGGTCGACCGCTTCACAAGTGCAATGAATGCCAGGGTTGAGTACTACCGACAACTCCAAGCTGTGTCAGACAGCGTTGCCCCCTATGAGGGCCCAAGTGATGGACAGGCTATAGCTTCTTGTATCGCGAGCGAGAATGGCTACCGCAGGAAGCTGGACTCTTCAAACGCAAAGCACAGATATCGTGAGTTCTTCCTAATACAATTGTTGTGGTTTTGAACTAACTTTTTGTCTTTCTAGTGCTGAATCTCAAAAGAGACGGTGGAAAGTCCAATGAGCCCAGGATGTGTATCATTTGCCAGTCAAACTTCACCATCGGAGTTTTGACGGTGTGCGGCCACCAATTCTGCAGAGATTGCATAAAGCACTGGCATAAAGCTCATCAAAACTGTCCAATGTGCAAGAGGAAGCTTCGACTAACTGAGCTCCATGACATAACACTTAAGCCAAGAGAGTTAAAGCTGCACAATGAACTCCCAGTTTCTACTTCGCCCGGACTGAACAGGGAAGAGATTGCTAAAGCGAACGGGATCTACTCCCACTTCAGCAGCGAAAAGCTTGCTCAGATCAACGACATTGAGTTGTTGAAAATGTCTTTCGGAACAAAGGTCGACTCACTTGTCAGACATATACTATGGCTGAGGGAATCAGATCCCGGTGCCAAGTCCGTCATTTTTACCCAGTAAGTCCAGCATCATGAAGGAATCCCTGGATCTCTTTACTGACACTTGGTAGATACAAGGGTTTCCTGACAATCCTGGGCGAAGCGTTCAACCGCTACCAGATCGGCTTTTCCGCAATCGATAGACCCAACGGTATCATGAAGTTCCAGGAGGATCCAAGCATTGAGTGCTTCATGCTCCACGGCCGGGCAAACTCAAGTGGGCTCAACCTTGTCAACGCCAGCCACGTATTCCTGTGCGAGCCGCTGCTGAACACAGCGCTTGAATTGCAGGCGATTGCTCGTGTAGACCGCATTGGTCAGAAGAATGAGACGACTGTATGGTTATATCTCATTGAAGGCACGGTGGAGGAGTCGATCTACAACCTGTCAGTCAAGCGACGCATGGAACACATGGGTCAGAAGTCTAAAGGGAAGTCGAAGGAGTCTACTCCAGAGGTCCAGGAGCCTACTCTGGAGGCTGCAAACACTTTGGAGCTAGAGCAAGCTCATCTGACTCGACTGATGAGTAGGGATAAGAATGCAGGCGAGGCGGTTGCGACCGATGATCTCTGGGAATGCCTATTTGGGCGCGTGTCCCGGCGTATAACATCAAGCGTCGCAGAAGAGATTGATCCTGAGGGCTGAGACGTCCTTCAATCCATGCATTAGAGAGCTAGCAAACATCCGGGTGTACACCTGGAAAACACGACATAATGCAGATTATGAGGCGTTTGGAGGGATTGGTTTTCGGGAACACGGGTGGTCGCTATCTAAGGACAGAGATCCCGAGTGTTTGAGTTTGAGTATCAGCAGTTTGCGATAGGGTGACGACGTATCCCAATGTCAAGTAAGAGTATAACACAATTGGCTTTCAAAATCAGACGTATGAGAAACTAAGAATACTAAACGTCGGTGATCATCCGCATGCTGAACCGGAGCCATCCTGCGTTACGTACCCTCAGTAAGGTAGGCACACACGTTGATGAGCGCCAAAGAATTGGGAGGTTGCTTACGGGGGCTTTGGCTGAGGCAAGGTTAAGGTAGGTAATTCGACTCGAGCATTTAGGGGTTTTGCGGCTCACGGGCCTGTCACTACTACAACTGGCGCCAGGTGCTGCGGGGACCTTGTTGGAGAGAACTAGGTCATAATTGAACCCAGGCTGACAGACAGTGAGCCAGCATCGAATCGATCGTACAGCATTCCAACCACGACTTGAGCAACCCCGCCTGAACCTTCCGACAGCAATTCAGTAGCCTGATCATGCTATAAGAGCCTGCCATCCACCTCGAGGCCACAAACAAATAAGATTGCATCCCAGATGCACCAGCTATAACCCCTTCCTCCAGCATGTATAGGTCTCGAGGGACTGCCCCTCAGGGGGGTGGCATCCTCGGCGCCTTGAAGGCGACGGAGATGCTGGATTCGAGGCCGACGCTCCCAGCAGGTTCGCCTCTCTTGCTAAGCCAAGGATTGATTTGAAGCTGACAGTGGGCAGAAATCCTTGTCGCCATATTAGACTACCTCCCCGTGGCAGACCTGATGCAGGTCGCTCGAGCGTCCCGACGAATGCAGGAAATGGTATACGATGATACAAGATGGGTCACTCGATTAAAGAGCATGGGATGCTGGGACGAGCAAGAGGCGAGACGTCGTTTCGAAGACGCCGTGAGGAGGAGGCGGGAGGCGGCAGAGCGTGCAGCGAACGCAGCCAACAACCAGCCAGCCGCTGCAGCAAACCACGCGGCACCAGAACCCACGAGTACGACCTTGTTCGATGCTACATTAGAAGAAGAGCGCCGGAAGCGCCAGTCTGTTGCACCTCCCATCGACGGATTCGAGAAGATGGCCGTGGGAGCCCCACCGCCGAAGGACCCTTTCAAAGACCCAGAGGCACTGCTAGACGTGATCAAAAGCGCAAAAAGTGTAAGAGGGCACGCGAGGGAAGAATACGGGAAGATCTACGGAGCATTGGCGCCTTTCTACTTTGACCTGGCAAGGGCAAAGAGCCACACGGATCCCATCGTTTTCCAGGTCTTTAGGGACCCCGAGCGACAGGCCAAGATGCTCTCGAATCTGCAGACATTTGCAAAGAGTGATTGGGCGCAGGGGTGGAATCAGAGGGAAGAACGACTAATGACTATGACGAGCATCTTTGAGAGCGCGGTGCTGCGGGAATTTGAGCAGGGTTACGAGTCCTGGGATGTCGACAACAGGATGAAGCGGTATGCTCATGTGCTGCACGCGCTGAATGGTGGCAATGCGGGAACGGAGCTCTTTGTGCAAAAGCACCCAATATTCAGCGACGAGGAAGTCTTGAGGGCGAATTCGGTGGACTGCATCAACCGGGTCAATCCAGACAACATCAACCTGGAGCCGTCACGCATATTCTTCGAGACCCTTTTGCGGAAGATGAACGAGCAGGCAGAGGTTATAGAGCGTGTATTCGCCAACCCCGACATTGTGTTTTGGGAGTTGATGGAAAAGGTCAGGGAGGATATCATGATGGATTACATCACGCCGCTTTTCGACGCTGCGCATGACCAGAACTTGCAGGCGTACCTGATGGCAGTGGCAGGAGTCTTTGAGCAGGGTATGCTTTTCTTCCAGTCACTGGCGACGCCAAAAGCTTTCAAGGGAAGTTTAGATGAGAAGGCAAAAGAAATGATGTTGCGGGTCTTTGAGCCGCACCTCGACCTCTACTTGCAAGAGGAACTCGACTTCTTCACGCAGCACGCCGAATCAGAGGTGGCTGATTGGGAGAAGAAGCTGTCGGAGCAAGACGCCTCGGTCGAGTCGTTTTACATGAGCAACTTCAACCGGCAAGCGGACAAGAAGGACTTTTTGAGTTCCTTCAAGAAGGTCGTCATGATGCCTGTTACCGTGCTGCCCTCATTTGGAACCTCGGCGAAACCCGTGACGCCAAACGGCACTGCTGCCCTTTCACCGGAGACATCTAGGCCGCATACGCCCAGCCTCGCCCCTGGCGTGGACGGGAGCGGACGGCGGAGTCCACTCCCCGAAAAGGCCCCGACCGACGAACTGGCGGCCAAGGCAGCCCTGATGGCGTCGCGTATGGAGGGTATCAAGACGCTCTTTAGTATTGAAGTGGCGCTGAACCTCACACACGTAGCCAAGACGAGCATGGCGCGGGCATCTAGCTTCATCAAGCTGGGAGGCCAATACGGCGAAGAGGCGCGAGAGCAATGCGAGACCATCTTCGTAGTCATGCTCCGCATTCTCGGAAACAGGCACGTCAAGCCCGGCTTCGACAAGGCCGTGGAGCACCTCTCGCACTACAACCCCAGAGAGGTCAGCGACCACAACCAGTCCGGCGTGGCGCCCCTGGTAACCTTTATCGAGCTCGTCAACGTGGGCGACCTTATCTCCCAAATGATTGACGTCTTCTTTGAACAGCAGCTCGCGGGGCCCAAGATCGCGGACAAGAACGACTTTCTCGACCCGTCGGGCATCGCCAAGAAGAAGTGGGAGCAGATGCTCGACGAGAGCGTCGCCGCGGGGCTGAACAAGGGAATCGACGTGCTCATGGACGAGGTCGAGTACCTCCACGGCACAACGCAGCAGCCGACGGACTACAACCCCACCGAGACAGGCGGCATCCTCGCGGACCCGGGCCCCACGCCGACGGCGCAGCGCATCAAGGAGCTCGTCTCGGCGCATACGCGCATGCTGGTTGGCAGCACTGACAAGTCCATGCTCGACGTCTTCAACGGCGAGGTCGGCCTGCGCCTCTTCACGGCCGTGTGCAAGCACCTCAAGCGCCAGCGTGTCAGCACCGAGGGCGCCATCAAGCTCATCGCCGACATGAACCTCTACTTTGAGTACATCCGCACCCTCAAGAACCAGGACCTGCTGGCGTACTTCAAGGCACTGAGGGAGCTGAGCCAAATTTACCTCATCGACCCGCGCCACGCAAAGGAGATGGCCACCATCATTGCCGACGGCGACCGCTTCGAGGGCGTGTTCCGCGCTGAGGAGGCGTACGAGTTTGCGCAGCGTCGGGCGGATTGGTATCAGGTCAGGAAGGATGTCGAGAGGGCCATGTACGGGATGGAGTGCTCGCTTATGTAAAAGCATTGATACAGAGCGCAAGAGGAGGGCAAAACTGGACGATGCAAATGATGAGAAAAGAAGCCTTGATGTTTTGTGGAGTACAAAAATAGATCTTCCCAGAACCGCTGGGAGGACGCCCATTGCATATCCCGCCCAATCCTTAAAGAATATACCCCATTCCTTTACCCATTTGCCTCTGCCGTAACGCCTGTAATGCTACATACTTTTTTGGGGGGGGGGGTATGAGAAGGTTTCGTGATTAGTGCGAGATGCGCATCTAGGCTCCAAAGTTGAGCTTGCGAGCCACCTTGGCACCCCTATCCTCATCAACCATGCCAGGACGTCTCTTTAGGTCCGCACCCATTTTCTCCTCGCCACCGCCTTTCCTAGGGAGATCCTCCTTGCGTGTAGGCTTCGGCTCCGTGCGCCACCAGTTGTGGTTCAACATGTCCCTTGCGGTAATGCGCTTCTTGGGATCGAGGATGAAAGTCTTCATGAGCAGGTCGACGCCTTCAGGGCCCACCGTGCCGAACATGGCCTGATAGAAATCCTTACCCTTCACGGGCTCGGCATCGTCCGGCACAGTGTAAGCGGGAAGCTTGGTCACTCCGGGCCAGTTGTCCTCCGTTGGTGTACCGACGGCACGGCAGATGAGTGAAATCTGTTGCACTTCCGTCTCGGATGGCATGTACGGCGCACGAATAATGAGCTCGGCAAAGACGCACCCGACACTCCAGACATCGACGGCGCCGCTGTAGTGCTTTGCGCCAAAAAGCAATTCAGGTGGGCGGTACCAGCGCGTGATGACCTGGTTCGTCATGACCTGGTACGGGTCTGCAAAACTCCGCGCGAGACCGAAATCGGCAAGCTTCACCTCGCCGTCTGCCGCAATTAGCAAGTTGTTGGGCTTGATATCGCGATGCAGGACAAAGTTTTCATGGCAGAACCAGACGCCGCGGGTGAGCATGCCCATCCATGCCTTGATGTCTGCGGCGCCGTAGCGGACGTTTGCCGTGTCCTTGATGAGCATTTCAAGGTCACCCAGGGGCAGGTATTCGAGTACGAGATTGAGGTTCTGATCCTTGGAGGAGAAGACGGAGAGGAGGGAGATGATGTTGGGGTGCTGGAGCTCTTGGAGGTGCTTGAGTTCGCGGATGGCGTCTGGTGCCATGCCTTCTTGGTATTCTTTTTGTACTTTGATCTTCTTGATGGCAACGAGGGAGGATGTATTCGAGCGAAGGTGGCCGAGGAAGACGATAGCATAGGTACCCTCTCCGAGTTTCTTTCCTGTAGGGAATTTCTTGTCAGCGATGCTCGTTTTTTTCGGACGCCTGAGCTCATCGACGGGATACTGAACAACCTTTCACATATTGCTTTTTCTCCACCTCGTTCATCTGCTCGGCGAGATCCAAAGTCGGGGCTGTCGTCGGGTCAGGTGCGGCCTTCCTGTCCTTTGACGGCTGTGGGGTGCCGTTTCCCGATGAGACCTGAGCCGATGAGACATTACGGAAGGGCGAGCCGATGACACCCGCTGGCTTCAGCGCGTCGGTAGGGCGCACGACAAGTGGAGATGCCGACATCCTGGATAGCCGTGATTGATGTCGTCGCAATGGAAGGTCGGAGTTGATGGACGGACGAGGCGACGGGATCAGTCAAGTAGTAGTAGCCTCGTCAGGCGCAACAGGAGTTGATTGGCTGAAGGTGCCACACCCGGGATCAAGCCACATTCCGGAAGGTGCGCCCCTCCCGAGTTTAAACTGGGGCCGATTGGTTGAAGTCAGCGTACATCACGGTGCGCTCTCTGCGGCAGGATTCGCAATTCGACCCTGAAGCTCTGTGTGCATTTCGACTGAATTGAATTATACTGAATTGCGGCAAACTTCCGATGATAGAAGGCATGTGTCGGACGGAGGAAACCTCCACGATGCATACCCGTTTTACAGATTCTATAGATGTTTCTAGTAGTCCCATGAAAAGCCTTACTACGCAAAGCCATCCAATATCCCAACATCTCCAGATATTAGCTTGCTGGGTTGGGCTGGGTTCTTTTCAATGTCGAACTTTGCGGTCCTTGCGCCATCTTTACCTTACGCGGCGCGAAGATCGTAATGTGACGTGGGCGCTCGGCGCGGATTTTGCCATGGAGCGGTCCCCGGACCCGCTGGATTACCTAGAGCTGTTGTATTCGGTGAAGCATAAAAGCATAAAAGCACCTTGAAATTGCGGCGGTGCAGCAGAATACATGCCCGGCTTGGATGGATCCGAGGTGGTGGTGTTATGAGTTGTTGGTTACGCGGACATGGTTGTTCCCCGTTTCCCCGAAAGCTGCCAGGGCTGAACATGCGTCAATGAGTTCAAGGTTGTGCCTCCAAGTCGCATGTCAATGAGAGCACCTATCCATTCTGGACTTACTTGATTGAATGCTGCAGCAAGACAAAAAGAAGGATTGAAACCACAAATCAAACAGAGAGCAATTGGGCAAATCAGCCGAGATGAGCGCTCCGATAATTTCCCTCCTCTTCGGCGCCAGTTTTTAGGCGCTCAATCCGGCCAGACTCACGGCGATTCGCAATAATTTTTTTTTTTGCGGTAGTAGTATTTACAGTCGGCCGCGCCACTTCGTCATTCCCTTGTTGATTTACTCTCTCCGAGACCAATGACATGTTACCCCCACAACGCGCGCCCCGGCCGGGAAGCTTGCGCACCAAGTGTTCGCTTCAAGTGCCGATCGAATCCATGACTTCAGAACTATTTGGACTAGGTAGTTTACAAGGGATTGCCGAACGAGGCAAGCCTAAGTACACATTGGCACAACCTGTTCTGCACTAGAGAGAGTGCGCTCGACCGCAGCGGTACAGTAGCCTGCCCGGACCCATCGGGTAACCAACGTACGGGACGCCGATGACTTTCTTAAGTCCGCAACCCGACCACCCGGTGACCTCAGTCCATCCTAATCTCTTTCCTCGACACATGGTCAAGCACCGCCCGATGTTTGACGTACGCAGGCATCTCCCGCGGAACATTCATTAAGGCCCCCGCGCGCTCTCTCTAGAGACCAACCTTTTATGAAGGGTACAGCCAACGAGATATCTACCGTCGTGGTCGGACCTCCTTTTTGACGTTTATTTCCGTTCGAAGTCTCGTGATCCCTTCGAGTGCTACATGAGCAACGTTTGCGACAATAAACACGTCCCCTTTTGGTAAGTGATGCATTCAAAGTCCACTTTTCGTCCGTCGTCATACCTCGTCACCACCACTGCCATCACCGTGGGTGTGGTGAAACCCCCTTTAGTAAATCGACTATGCCCTCAATTAACAGCCTCATCTGGCGACTACATTGTCAATCCTTGGCAACACAAGCTTACACCCTCACAGAACACCACAACACAAAAAAAAAAAATTACATCTGCCAAGATGAGAATATTATCATACTGGGTACGCTCTCCAAACCGCCCCCAAAACTATGGCCCATTGACTAACATCACTACCCAGGTCTTCCCCATCATATCGGGCCTTGTCTGGCTCGGGATGTTGCTGGGAATGCTCCTCTACTGGATCATCGACACGCACCGCAGAATCTACCCGTCCATGTCGCCGCCCCAGACCATTGCCTACATCAGCGATGTGGGCGCCTACTATCTGAAACCTCTCTTCATCACCGGCTGCGTCCTCACCACCGTCTTCCTCGACCTCTCCTTCTTCTCCGACCGCTGGCTCCGCCACAAGGGCCGCCTCGTACCAAACACCTCTATCGGCGAGAAGATCCTTTACGGCTTCACTATATTCTTTGCACTCGTCGGCACCGTCGGCCTCATCTGCCTTAGCATCTTCGACACCTACCGCCACAAAAACCTCCACCTCTTATTCCTTCTCTTCTTCATGGGCGGCTACCTCATCTCGGCCATCTTCATCTGCTGGGAGTACCAGCGCCTCGGAATTAAGTACCCGGATCACCGTTACCTCGCCGCCTCCTTCTGGATCAAACTCGTCTTCATCCTCGTCGAGATTGTCCTCGCCATCGCCTTCATCGTCTGCAATTTTAAAGACATTTACAACGCGGCCGCCATCCTCGAGTGGATCGTTGCATTCATCTTCTCGTTTTACATCTTCTCCTTCACTGTCGACTTGCTGCCCGCGGCCAAGACGAGGAACGAGGCAAACCGGTTTTCGAAACCGGGGATGAGTCAGTGGAGCGGCAGCGGTAGCGGCCCGGGGAACTTTTAGGAGTGCGGCCGAAGTTTATTTATCATGGAATGAGATGGGATACGATGAAAAAGAGCAAGATAATGAATGGTGCATGGGATCATTGCGGGCACATGGGCTCGTGTGTACGAATCGCATCTGCATACCCCGGGGGGAAGACCATGAGCAGCGGCGTTTTGGGCGCAGTGTTACTGCGTATATTTTACATTGAAAGTAGCATTTACAATTCAACTGCATACGTGCGATTAAATCATCATGCCTAGCGACCGCTATGTCTAGTGACGCGATGAAAGGTCAATTGAGTTGTAGGCGGCATGGACCTACTTCCGAGCGTATGCATACCTGTTGCTTTCGTGCCATCTCAACTTTGAACGGGAGATGCTCCAAGCACTGCAAGTGCATTGCATGTACAGAAATGGTTTAATTAATCTACGACATTGGTTCCCGCCGTGGCCAGGATATGGCAGTTGGGGCATCAATGGTATTTGGATTTCTGCTGTTGCTGAGCACCTTCCCACTTGCGGTGACGCATCACATCTTCGAGCCATGCTGCCCTTAGAGTTGGATTTGCTTTGGTGATTTAAGGAAAACTACTAAAAATATTGACAAACATACAACAATCGAGAAGCGATGTCATCAATGCGTATACGTAGAGAATGTCTCAATCATGAAATGCACTCCGACGCTCCTCGCTACAAGCGGTATCCCGCCCCCTGCCTGCTGAAGTATTCCTCCAAAGACAATCCCGTCCATAAACGCCATCTATTCTAAATGAAGAAATGACCGTTCGTTATTGAAGTGCTGATCTATTCGAGGTTCTCTCGAAACCGCGAGTCCCTCGTAGGGCTATGAGTCTTGTGCGTATTCGGATCACGGATGGCAGCCGGCGGCGACACGGGACCTTCGAGATCGTCACTCGCCTCGACGAAATGCTCCGACTCATTATCAGAACTCACGGGGCTTACGTCTCCATCATGAGCTGCCGATGACCTGGGCGACTCGCCACTCTTGCCGGCAATCGCAACCTCTCTCATGCTCGCCGAGCGCGCATCGAGGCTGGTGGCGCTCTCGTTCGCGAGCCTCGTGAGTGCAACGCCGCCGATGAAGCCGCGCTCCTCGGCGCTCTCCCCGGCGGCGGACCGGCCCCGCGGCCGTCCGAAGCGCGACTTGAGCCAGCTCTTCATCTTATTGGTCGGCGAACCGCTGTCGCTCGGCGAGCGTGGGTTGTCGCTGCCGGAGCTTTCTCTGTGCGTGTTGATGGTGGGCTTCTGCTGGCCTGCGCGGTTGACGCCCTGGTCGTCGCTCACCGGTGAGACCTCGCTGGACTCCGCTGCGACGGCCGACTCCCCCGGTGTAATCTCGGGCAGCTTGGATTTGCGCTTCTCCTCCGCTTTGACAGCCTTTTCCTCTTCCTTTTTGGCCTTGAGCTCTTGCTTTTCACGATGACGTTTCTCCTTTTCCTCCTGCTTTTCTTGCGCTGCAAAAATGTTAGAAGCGCTTACATGCCCCAAGGCGAAAAAGGCAACTTACCAATGACCTTGCGGTTGATCTCCTTAACCTCTCTGTCACGCTCCTTGCGCTTCTCCTCATCCCTCTTTTTGGCTTCCGCCTCTGCCTTGAGCATCTCTTGTCGTTCCCGCTCAATGGCCGCCTTCTCGTTGATCTCATCCAGCACTGGCTGGACTCTTCTTGTCGCGATCTCGTCCACAGCCTCAGGGTCCATGAACATCCCTCCGCCAATGTCAACCTTGCCCCTATTCACGTTGGCAGACTCATGCTTGGCCATGGCAGCCATATGAGCCTTCGACTCCCAGTCGCTCTTCCAATCGCTCTTTGAACTGGGAGCTACCATGCCGGTCTCGGCCGAGATCTTGTCGTCCATACCTTGTAGGCGGGCCTTGACGTTCCGTTGGGCGGTGGCCAATAGGGCCTCGCGATCCTGTGCGCGCTTTTGCTCGTCGACCTTGGTCAAGCTAGAAGAGAAGATGGACATCTCTCTTCGAATGCGCTCTGACTGCTCTTTGTCTTCGTTGATGTTGCCATCGCTCGAAGACCGCCGCCTGAGTTTACCCTTCATGGTGAACCTCCGCTGAGGTGTAGTCTGGGTACCACTGCCGTAGTACTCCTGGTAGTCCCGGTTCTTATGGTGCTCTACGTGAAGCTTCGAGAGACGCTCTTGCGCTAGTTTGTATGCCGCTTCTTGGAGGTTGACGTATGGTTTGCTCTGACTGCCGTCGGGGCTGGTCTCTCCTGCAGCTTGATGAACTCGTGCTTGGTCAACCATCCTTTGCTGCTGGCTGTACATCTTTTTAGCCATGGCCACTGCAGAGGCGTGCAGCACATCGGCTCTTTTTTTCTCATCTTCTTCCGGCCCGATGGCAGGCTTGGAGGTGAACATGCTTCGAGGCAGGTTTGTGTATGGTACTGAACCAGTGTTCTCGGTGGGGGACTTTGGTTTCAAGGAAGGACTGTGAGCTGCTGTGGCGGCACTCAAGGCATTGGCAGCAGCTCGTGATTCTCCAGGATAAGATTCCTTGGGCACGGGGGTCGATTTAGCTCGTGGCCTCGTCCTCCTGTTCGCAGGCATAGCATTCTGGGCTGCTGAAAGTGAGCCAAGGCCGGCGGTAGAGGCCGTCTGGGGGGGCTGTTTGACCGAGCGGCTTTGTTTAAATGCCTGGTTGGCAGCGCTGCTTCCCCAGGACTCGGTAGCGGATGGAGGAGGGGTCGTATTGGTTGCCGACTGCTTCTTTGCTGAGGCGCTTGCTAGCAGAGCAGCCTTGGCCCCGGCAGAGCTCGAGTTGGGTTCCCATGATGGTGCCATCTTGTAGTCCTTTGCGAGCATGGCGGCGGTAGATGCTGAATTTGACTTTTCGGGTTTCCAAAGGTCGATTGATTTTTGATTAGCCCAGCCCAGAGATGCGGCAGCTCCGGCAGCAGCTCCATCAGATGGGAGACCAGGGGATGGGAAGCTGGGTAGATCCCGCGGGTCGGCGTACTTTAATCTTCCTGAGTGGGGTGCTATTTTCAGGGAACAGAAGATTTACGATTAACAAATGCTTTCTTTATTCGGACCACCCACATAGAATCTCGTATTCTGCAGAGAGGGTGAGGCAAGGTTTCAAGTTACCTGTGGACGGCACCTGGTACCGCGTTTCCGCCATGCCTGTGCTTGACTTTTGCTGCTGCTGCGTCGCTGTCTTGGAGTTGGCTTGCATCATTGCCAGCCCGGCGCCGGCTTGGTGGTATCGATTCCGGGTGTGTCCACTTTTCCGCTGCGGAGGCTGCTCCTCACAGGGCGAGTGTACAGTAGCGAGAAGGCAGCGAGGATGTACAATACAGGGAAAAGAAGGCCGAAAGTGGGAAGCTCGCAGCGATTTGTGGCTTACACGAGCTGAGGTGGACGCGAGGGCACGCCGCGGGTGGGTTAACAACGAATTGATGTTATTTCTGGACCTGCTTACCCGTGTCGCAAGAGGGAACCGTATCACGAGATGAGACGAGCCTCGTCGTGCTAGGGTATAACGCGCGATGATGCGAAACTGGGACGTCGAGAGCTTGTATATTGGATAGTGCAGAAAAATGGACACAGGACGACGTCGGAGCGCAGGCGGGGGCCCCCCGAATGAGGGAATGCAAGTTATATCATACAACTCCAAGCAGATCTTTCTGGTTCAAAGGGGGTGGGAAGCCGGCGGCGCGAGCGCACGATGAGGTATGCTCCAACTGGTGAGCCGGTCAATGATGGTGATACAGCGTGCGCAGTTAGTGCTGGTGGCTAGTCATAGTGAGCTGCGACGACAGCGCGCCTTACGTCATGCGGGGTCCCTTCCCATCCGTTTCGGGCGTAGCAGCCTGCCATTGTGCACCCTGCCCCTGTCGACACCCACCACACCTCCCCAGCTCTTTCAATTAGGCTTTCCCTTTGCGAACGACCGAATGACCAGGTCTACAGGTACTGAAGTGCTGGACAACTGGATTTGTTGCCCACAAGCCAACATGGGCCATCGTCCGCTCCGTTGTGGCTTCGGCCCAGCACCCGCCCGTCGAATTCGATGGAGTCGGCCAGTCCGGACCCTGTCGCGCTGAGTGGCGGATCGGGTTCTAGGCTCTGGATTGGGCAATGGAAGCAGTCATGTCTGGAGCGCGAGCTATCTAGGTCTAGGCCGACACATGTGACCTGGACCATCGAGCACAGAGGCTAGCCCTGTAGTGTGTCAGTTGGCCATAATTATCGGATCTACGCCTCTCACAGACTGCGAAGCCCGAGATGCCGCGATGAAGGCGACGAGAGGCAGCCGGGAGTCTCGAGAGTCAGACACAGGTCTGGGGTCCAAGTACGGAGTGCGACTAAGAAAAACAACAAAAAGAACACCAACACGGCCCGTAAGCCCGAGGTTCAGAGTCTGAGCTGCAAGCTCCCAGGAGGCGTAGGTTGCTGTCTCAATCGAGCCCTTTGATTCGGTTAATTGGAATGGACGCACAGTCAGCCACATTTCGGATTGTTCATGCATGTCGTTCTGCAGCCTCTGATGCCATTGCCAAATATAGCTCGCTTTGAGACGTTGATTCTTCCATCTGGCGCAGGCAGCCAGAGTTAATCCGGCATCATGGAAAGCAAGCTGCAATCCGAAAGACTGCAGTCTGCTAGTCACGTTGCTGTTGCTTTGATAGATTGAGAACTTTGAATGAGAGCAGCATACCTTGAGAGGCCGAGCTCATCTCATTTCACAGCCCAGACCCCCCGAGACCGCTGGAAATGCGCGAGTTCAAGTCGTAGTTGCAGTCGCGGCCGTAGATCTCTCTCAAAACACATGAGCGGTGACATCAAAAGACGTCCACACGTTCTCGACCTTCTCTCAACCCCCGATCTTAAGCTTTTTGGAGATGTGCAGGGATCTACCTACCAGCCCTGACCAGGGATCACAGCCCGCTCGACCTCACACTCGGCTCCCTGTTCGTCGTGAGATTGGCGGACTGGGAGCCTGACGGTAAAGACCTGAAGAGGGCCCTACGTCGCTGATCCGTTTCCATTCCGATGCTCCGGACTTCTGCTCGACGTGCCAAATCGTGGCGGCAGCCCCCCACCCACCCTTCTCAAACATTTCACACCAAGGGCTACCTTACCACCATACGCATTCACACCCACACCTTGCCAACCTCTCACCCGTACGCGCCGTCGGAATTGCTAGTCTCCAGCTGTTGACTGCTGACTGCTGGTCTCCGCAGCGCTCTACCCAACGCTCTCAGAACTTGGAAGCTTTGAACTTCTGGTACGGGGACCTGATAGCCATGGACAATAGGGGGATAACGTCTGTCCTCAACTTTCGTGATGTCGGCTCCACCGTGAACAAGTTTCTTGGACGAAGGTATGTCGCCATCAAGCCGCTCTACAGAGTCTTCAGAGGCAGTACAAAAGTAAACTGAAGCTAACATCCGTGCGTTTGCTTGGCAGACTCGTGAGGGAAGGCTTGGTATTTCGCTCTGCAAGACCAGGTACGAATATTGCACAATGCTCGCGATCTTTGCACGTTGAATCTTGTGCTCACTATTCCAAGACGATGCCACCTTGGCAGACAGAAAACGCCTGCGCGAGGAGCTGGGCATCAAGGCAGTGATAGACTTGCGCACAAAGTAAGTCAACGCACGTGCTACCCTAAGAACTCCTCCTCTGTGGAATGCAAGATCCCGCTCTCTAATCAACGACTGACGACATTCCAAGAACCGAACACGTCAAGCAGGCCAAGAAGCGCGAGGCCGATCTCGAAGCTCCCGCCCTCCTCGAATCTAACGCCGCTCTAGCTGAGCCATTTCAGATCTCAGGCCTTACATACCACGAGATCCGAATCACTGGCGGCAATTTTGAGTGGTTCTTGATCAGACAGGTATCTTGGTGGGGTTTGTGGTGAGAAATCCTGGCTTCCTATTCAAGTCCTCCACACCGGCTGATGCGTGGCAAAATTCAAGCCGCCTCATCTTCCTTTTTGCCTTCGGCTACCGCAACGAGGGCATCTCCATCTTGTCTCGGGAGGTGATGCTGCCGCGTGGCCTGGTAGGTCTAGGCCTCGACACCCTGGATCAATCTGGAGAAGAGATCGCAAAGGTATGGACGAATCACTTGGTGGCTTGTGCGTTGAGATATCTAATGAGCTTCATGTGCAGGCTCTAAGAATCTTCATCGACCCGAAAACTTCACCAACTCTGGTCCACTGCACACAGGGCAAGGATAGAACCGGACTGATTGTCAGTCTCGTTTTGTTTATCCTCGATGTACCGCTTGAGGCGATCGAGCATGACTACATGCTGACCAGTGGCGCGCTCGAGTCTGAGAGAGAGGAGAGGCTGGCCGAGATGAGAGAGATTGGTCTCACAGACGACTGGTTCGAGACGGCGCCTGACATGATTGCTCGGACAGGTCGTCATCTCGACGAGGTCCACGGTGGACTCAACGGATACCTGGACAAAATCGGCTTCGGACAGGCCGATCGTCTGAAGCTTAGGGAGCTACTGTTGTACTGATTCGGTGACTCAGGGGTTGTGTTCATCACCAAAGCTACAGCCATATAATAGCTCACCGGCCAATCTCACTCGCCTCAAGTCCTGAGTGATGTCAAGTTTGTCTTTCTCATTTCTTCGTGAAACGTCCTTGCATCCAGCATCGGTACATCTTGAGCTTACGAGCCCTGTTGACGAGCATGCGTCTGTCGACACCGAGATCATCGACGTTGAATTCGGCCTTGGCGTCTTCCGCAGGTTGTAGTGTCTTGCCGGACCAGATTCGCTCTAGCTCTTCCTTTTCGAAGAAGTATACACGGGTGCCGTCGCCGCGCACGTAAAAATTTTCATCGAGATAGCGTCCCTTCTTGAAGCGCACTTGGGCAAGGTCACCTCTTCCATAGTCTCGGAAGCAGACCTGGCCACCCGGCTTGAGCAGACGGTGGACGTTGGCAACAGCCTGGTTCCATTGATTCGGAGCCAAGGCGGAGAAGATGAAAATGAGTATAGCAACGTCCACAGATCCTTCTTCTAGCCCGGGAGGGAGCTCTTCGCTCGTAACGTCCCAAACGTCGGCTTGCATGTGGTCTTGGTTGTAGGATTCATGGGTCCGCATGACCTCTACGGCCTGCTTCGAATAATCACAGGCATGGACTCTCAGGTTTGGGTTCTTGTTGGTTGCGAGAATGGGAAAGGCGGTGTTACCCGCACCGGCGCCTATTTCAAGTATCGTCTTCTTGCCAGCGTCCTCCTTGGTTACCTCGGACAGAATAGGGAACTCTTGCTGCAGCCACTTTCGGTTCTTGAAGAAATTGGCTGTGTTGTTTTTGTAGAACAAATCCCACATTCTTGCTGGGTTGTTGTTTAACCTATCTGAGGAGTCTTGTTAGCAAGTTGCACCAAAGCAAGCGTCTCAAAAACAATGCATATTTATAATGGTGTAGTCAGATGGGAGCGAAAGACTAAATAAGGAAGTTTTCATCATAGAATTCAGATGAACTATGCGTTGTGCTAGGGGTATCATCATAACACCAAAGGGTTGAAGATAATGCAATACAAGGAATGTAAACTTACTTTTGTCAAAGTCGGAGACCGGAGACTGACGCTGCATCTCGTACTGCTGCTCAGAGTACTCCTTGTACACTTCGTCAGTCTCGACATGGTCCCAAGCGTTGAACTCGAAAACATCATCCTGCTCGCCGAGCAAGCGACTGCCAAATTGGAACGGATCGCTCCTCTTCTGGTTGAATTGGGGATCGTGCGACCTGTGAGGCGCAGGCTCTTCCTTGGTCGAAGGCTCGGAGATCTGAAGCTCTGCTGCCTTCTCGGCGAGAACATGCTCGTCCACTCCTGTGTTCTCAGCCGCAAGAGATACCATTTCACTGGTGTGAAGCCGAAACGAAGTTTTCGACAGTTTCACGACGTGTTTCTGTGTGGACGGCAGCCTGCCTCTCCAAAGCTCCAAGCGTTGGTTGGCAAAGGAGGAGTGATTGCGATTGAAAATCTTTCGAAATTTTCCCTGCGCGCCGAACTTTTTGTCTGTGGAAAAAAGGCATGGTGGGACCGTCTTCGGGGTGATGAAGGGCCGTCTGCCGATACGACCAATGCCATTCAAGCGGGCATGACTGACCCACTGGGCTTGCTGATTCTGCCATTCACATTCGGGTCAGTGTTGCCAGGCGCCCGGTTTGGTGGAGTGTTTTGGGGAAGGAGCTTAGAATCGGTACGTACCCAAGCTAGAATGGTTCACCGAGCGGAAAGCGACTGCCTCCCGTACTTCAGGTACATCCTACTTACGGATAGGTAGTCCTCAATCAACGTCTTTCCAACTACGACACCTAATCGCACAGCTTCGACCATAAGCCTGTCACCTCATACACGTCACGTTCGATCGAGACGCGAACCAGCAGGTCGGCTCGCAACAATGGCTCCATCCCTTATCCGTCCCCAGGGCCACCTGTCACCGGCCGAGGCCCTCGAGCTTGCCCAGAAAGCACCTACGATTCTGCGAAACAACCCGACAGCGTTTTCATCTTCGCCTCTCCTTTCGCTTTTTTCGGCCTCTGAAACGCCCGAAATATGGACCGTCTACGAAAACCTCCTTCTGGCCTGCCTGCGAACGGGCGACAGCAAAGCAGCCCATCAGTGCCTCGAGAGACTGGTCATCCGATTTGGGAACGAAAACGAGCGCATCATGGCCTTCAAGGGTTTGGTGAAAGAAGCGGAAGCCGACAACGACGGAGAACTTGCACAGGTACTCAAGGAGTATGAGACAATACTAGGACAGAACGCGACGAACATTGTCAGTCTATCCCCCGCCACAGTCCCACGGCAAACGCTGACCGTGGTAGCCTGTCGCAAAACGTCGTGTTGCCCTTCTGAAATCGACCGGAAAGACATCTGAAGCAATTGCGGCCCTCAATAGTATCGTCGACTTCAACCCTACAGATGCCGAGGCATGGGCGGAGCTTGCCGACTTGTACCTCTCCCAAGGGCTATACTCACAAGCTATATATGCGCTTGAGGAAGTGCTTATGCTAACCCCGAACGCATGGAATGTGAGTGCCTCGTGTCGTGCAAGCCCAAATCTGTTCCTGGCTGACCACTGCTAGATGCACGCTCGTCTCGGGGAGGTCTTGTACATGGCTGCGTCGGCTTCTGAAGGCTCTTCCCAACAGCAGTTGGCGGAATCTGTCAAAAGATTTAGCCGAAGCATCGAGCTTTGTGACGATTATCTCAGAGGGTACTATGGACTGAAACTGGTGAGTGATATAACGTGGGACATCGCCAATCGGGGCTGACATGTTCCCCAGGTCACGAACAAACTTATTCAGGAGCCCTCGAAGCCGTCGAGACAATCAGACTCGGAGGAGTGGAACCTTCCTGACGTCGGCACGATACAGAAACTCAACGAGCTAGCAACGCAAAAGCTGGCCGACATTGTACGCCGAAACGGAGCGCATGAGAGGCTCTGGCAAGGATACGACGAATCGGAAGTGGCAGCAGCGCGAGATCTGCTCTCGAAGGAATCGGTGGAGCTTGTGAGATGAGCACCACGTCAGCCAAACACAAAAACAACCGACTCTGGATTCTCTCATATCGTGACTGCATGGCCACGTTGACGGATGAGCATGCCAATATACTTCATGCAGATCACGTTAGGCGAGCAGCCATCATCAGTGCAGGCTGTACGTCGGAATTAGCAAGCAATCGGAACATTCAAATCAAGTAATTGACGAAGCTGTGTCTGTAGCAAATTGTTCACGTGCTACTGGGCAATGCGCAAATATCCGTAGCCGGGCTGCCAGCCAATCGCGGACACGTCACTCAATCATGGAACACGAAAAAAGCATACAGCGAACAGCAGACCGTGTCGCTCCGGCGCTGGTTTGTTTGGTCGAGTCGAAGTTTGGAAAATTCTCTGGGCTGTTGGGTAGGAACAATAGAGAGTCTAGCGGCGGGAATGTTTCACACATGGGCAAAAGCCGCCGCCAATACCCTCTAGTGAATTGATTACCCACAATCACCATCTCTTGCGTCGAGGTCTATCGCTCCCGTCGCGGCCAAACCCGCAGTCGTGCCCGATTGTCGAAAACTGGCAGTAACTAGGTCAAAGGGCTGCATGTCATCCTAGGTTCCAGGCGTGCCGTTGGGAGCCCGAGGGGCTAAGGCGGCCCACAAGATGCGTTGGCAGTGAGTCAGTAAGTTGGTCCACGGATGGATCTCAGGCACCGTCATTCGGGACCCTGGCTACCTATGCAGAACAGAGTGCGCCAGCGTTGAGACCCGTCGGGCAACGAACGAAGCGACTTCGGGCTCGAGGGTCGTTAGAACAATAGACTGATGAGAAATGCAGGTGCCAATCAAGTTGCGCTATTGACTTTGAGGTGTCACGTATATATCCGGGCAGTGCCATGTAAGTAAGCCGAAGGCAAAAACAAGCACTTGAGTCGGTACCAATTCTTTGACCGCCCCTGTTATCCCCGTATTTCCTCGATTTGCCTGGCGTTCTAGACGACGAAGGAAGAAGAACAAGCTACAAGTCGAGAGACACCCACGGGATACTTACCACAAGTCGGTCCAGTTATACACAAAAGGCAACTTTCGTTACGCAAATTACTTGGTTCACTCGAGAGGTTGTCGCCGCTGGTTTTTGATCCCGCTTGCCGCTCGAATTCATGTCGTGTATTCTTAAGAACATCATTTCTCGAGTTAACAAGCAACAAGACAAGACCAAGTACCCATTACACGTCACAGGGGAACCCACCTGAGGATACGGGAGAGCCTGAAAACATTTTGCCACACATTGTGAAGGTTATAATTGTCAGTACCGCTGTTGAAACCAAATTGATGTGTTGTCATGTGAAGCAGGCTGCGTGATTGATTGCAGAGGACGGCTAGTAAAGACGAGACGCGACGAGGGAGGTGGGCAGCAACGATTCAACCATGGTGGAGACTTCAGCGAAAGTATACCTAGCGCCGCAGAGGGCGGCTGGGTACGGTACCTTGGTTGTGGCTCGGAGCTGAGCGGCGCGTCTAGAAGGTCAAGAAACTCGAAACTCGAAATTCGAGAGGAGGCTGCCGCGCTTTCGACGCCGACTTACTGCGGCGGCGCTCCGAGATACGGTGAGAGATTGGGCGAGTAAGGAGGCGCGATGCTGGAGGGGGGCCACAGCTGACTGACGGCTGCCTGGTTTTCAGTTCATCGACGAGGAGCTACAGGTCAGGCAGGTAAGGTGAGGCAGGTGAGGCAGGATAGGTAAGGTACGTCCATCCTCGACTTTCTACTGGTCCGCGGAACGGCGCAAGCAACTGGTTGAGCCCGAGTGGCCGGGTATTGGCTTTTGATTGCCCTAGAGGCAGGACGGGATGTTTCTGCACTGAGAATTGCGTACCCAAAGCCGTACTATGTAGGTATGAGCCTGTTGACCACGCCCGTCGTTGCCCGTCCGTCCTCCGCCCCCCTCCCTCCTCCGTCTCTCCCTCCACCGTCATCAAATAAATACTTCACGCCGCCTCATCTAGCCTGCTCACACTCACACATTCTGACCGCCGACCACCCTGCCGCAAATTGCACTTTGGCTCTTTTTGTGTTGCCGTCCGACGTCCCTTTTTCTAACACTGCAATAAGACACAGCAAACACGGCGTCAAACGGATACTCCCGGGAATCCGCTACCTCTTCTCTCGAGAGCCCCACCGGCATAAACGAACGTCTAAATAGGTCCGTCCCGCAACGGAGCCACGCTTCAAGCACGTTCCTCACCGAAACATTGAACCAAAAAAAAAAATCCACTCTTCCGGCCACAACAGTCCAGCGCAGGACGAATCCAGGCACGACGCATTGAGAACTGACAGAGTTGGTCGGTACTTTGCAGTTGCCTGTGGGTAGGTGCATTCTCTCGGTACCGAGTCACCAATGTCCCATTTCCTGACCTATTCGTCTTCCAAGCCTATGCGAACAGCATTCGGTCCCTCTCCCCCGCCCAAAAAGAAAATCAACACAAAAAGAAGAGTGCCAGACCGCATCCTAAAAGAGACGACCCTTTGCGTCTAATCTGCCATCGCCCGTCCCTATCAGGTCTCCGGTCTCAGAACCATCCTTCCTCGAAGCTGTCTCAAAGCTCACCACACCACCACCAAAAAAGGGGGACGATTTCAACAAGGTACGTGAAACGCTGGCTACCGTTTCTGTCATTCTTTTGCTTGATGCGCTTCGAATTCCCTCATGTCGTTGCAATTCCTTACCGCCTCCCTTATTGTCCAACCCGACGCACGTTGTGTTTTCTACTGCTTCATCTGAATCCCTCGGGCTGCAACTCTGTATCTGTGTTTGTATCCCCTGTCAACAAGCTGTCAAGTGCCGGCTACCTACAGGCGGTCCGCAGGGCAACAAGCTACCTCGGCCAGCTACCGACGTCGGTTGTGTTGTTTACTTTGCGGTTGCCCCTCGTCCTATCGTCGTGGTTGCTTGTTCTATTGCTGGTAATAGATTCTGTACCTATCCCGTAGAAGGAAAAGAACAGACTGGCACCCGGCAAAAGTACCTTTGCCAACTTTGGACCAGCTTCTTGGTGGCCGTCTAGAGGAGGGGCAGCATCGCGAGTCCATGACACAGTTCTACAGCCGACGCAACCCCCGGCGTGCGGAGCAGCGCTGACAGTCATTGAATGACAATCGGCCGCCCACTTTATTCTGGCAGTCCATTAGGGCCATCGTTCATGGGCTATGGTCCATCTCCCGGGGCACCCAAGTGGAACAACAAAGCAAGGGCGGTCGAGACCGTCGGCCAGGCCAGCTCCATCCCTTTCCTCGTGCCCGCCTCCCCTTCCTTGTCCCCCATACGATGGATGGATACCTTTCGTGCTCACTGCTCCATGCTCTCCCCCGTTTTCTCTGCCCAGCGATTGTAGCAGCGTTTTCGATGCGAAGAACAGGGCTTAGTGATGGCACCTCGGAACACTGAAGCCTGCACCACACCCCCTCGTCATCTTGGCTTGTGCCCTGATTGACGGTGCCCCCGCCGCCAACCCGTCCTCTCCCAGTCCCTGCTACCAGTACCATGTTAGTCTGTCTGGCTTGTCTGGCCAGGAAGCTGAGAGGATGAGATGGGATGGCGGGGTTGGGCTCGCCCTGGCTGGTCGTAGTGTCCGCCATGGAAGCGCAAAGACATTCGCTTCCCCTCCACCCCTCCCCCCTCCCTCCATTCTCCGTGTCCATTCTGTCGTTTCTTTGTCTGTGTGTTCATTCCACATGATTCACCTGAACAGATGCTGATCTGAGGCTTGTAGCTTAGGTGGCATTGGTAGATTTTCCCCCACAACGCGGCACCACGGACGGATACCCTTTCAATTCACTACTATAGTAGCTGCGTCGACCGTTGCCCACTTTTGGTTTTGCTCTCACCGACAACCCCCGTCTGCCGGTTACCGGATCCCTGAGGACCAGCCGCTTAATCAGGCAACTGAGGTGCCCAGCACGATTCCCTTTCCTCCCGCTTCATCCAAAAGTGGGACGGATATCTTCCACTTGGCGGGTACACACACACACACACACACAGTCTCTGTCGCTCTCTCTGCTTCTGCTGTTTACATCGGATCGCATACCGCAGCGCATCACAGCGCATCGCCACCCTTAAAGGCTTTCTCTTCAGGACTCTGAGGTGCCAATTCATACCGATTCGTCCAGACCTGGCTGCGGCTTAGTTTGTGCATGCACTCTAAGTTCGAACCCTGTTCCTCCTTGTACGCCTTGGCTTTGGCCTTGTCTACCTAAAGGTTGTCTTAAACGGAGCGGTCGACTAGACCCGCAATAGCTGCCCAGCTGCCACAATTTTCCTTGCACCCAATCGCGCTTCTTTTTGCGCCCAACTGCACGATCTCGCCAAATAGCAGGGGGCTTCCTGGTTACATTCCCAAGCCCACGAACGAATACCTATCCACCCACCGACTGCCGCCCTGCCCACCCCTCAATTTTCGCAAACCGTCCGTCTCGCCTTGCAACTCAGTCCTTCGCACAGAAACTTTGTTTTCTTCAAAGAAACTCTGTTATCTTCAAGTCTGCTAGTCGTTGTCGCCTCTCCTACCGCTCTGCTGTCATCTGATCGCTTTACCCTCAATTCACCCGTCATCCCATTTTCCCCATCGTTCTTCCGTCACCAGTTCGTGCCTGGAACCCACCCACCCTTGTGAATTGCGCCAGGACGAACGCTGTACCCGACCTACACACCACACTCGAGCGCTCGACATCGGATTCCTGTCGGTTTCCCATAGAGGAACCCTCACTTTCGGCCATCCTATCTCATCCCACGTTTTTGCTCGATTTACCCCTTTACTCCGACTTTCTTGCGAGATCGTCGTGAGTAAAGGGTCTTTTCCGCCACAGACTTCCTCATGTCATCCGCGTAAGTTTTATATTTTCAACTACGCCAGGGACCAACCGACTTGGTGGTATTCACCAGACACCAGTCAACTAACGCAACCGGAAGACGATCACAACACCGACGCTCGGGTCTCGCCTCGTCCGGGGCCACAACCTCTCGATCCACCTCGGCCAGTGAAGACGAGTCTCATTTCTACCACGAAACGGAAGGTGGCATAAGCTCTTCCGCTTCTGAAGCCGATTCCTTGACAGACTCTGCCGAAGAGAACGATCTCGAACCAGACGACTCAGCCTCAGTCGGTGGTGCTCATAGGTATACTCGTCCGGCGCTACCACAACGTGCAAACTCGTCCCGTTATCACTCAATCCCACAACGCACCGCTCCTCCTCTCGGTACCACCGTTCCATACCCATATCGGCACGGTCCAGTGCCGAACCCTATAGAAAGCGTGGATTCCAACGACGATTACGGCCCCCCCTTTGCCCCCCGTTCCGGCTACGGTCATGTACCGGCGCCTGGCCATGGGGGGCATTCGGGCCATCCTTCCTACTATGGCGGCCGTGGTGGTCACCCGCAAGGTGGCTACCCTCAAAGTCACATAGGCGGCTACGCACAGAGCCCATTCGGCCATCCCGCTAACCAGGTGGTTGCATTTGGCTACAATCCTAACCATCCGTTCTCGCCCATGTCGCACCAGAGTGGGCAAAGCTATTTCGCAGAGCCTCGCCAGTCCCAGTACGATATGATGCAGTACCAGCCACAGCAGGCCCCAGTTCACTATAACCCGCAAGGCTATGGACAGATGCGTCAGCACATGCAATACATGGGCGGAAACTACCCTCCTCCTCCTCCTACAGAAGCACCGCAACCGTCACAGACCCCTGCGCCCGAGCCAGCACCGCCAAAGGAAAATCCTGAGATGAAGAAGCTCCAGCAAGAGCTCGAACTCTTCAAGAAGATGCAGGCTGAGAAGGAAGAACAGCAAAAGCAGAAAGAACTGGAGGCGAAACTTCGCAAGGAGGCAGAAGAGGACTTGAAGCGACGAATGGAGGCCTTGAAGGAGGCCCAAGAGATAGCACAGAAGGAGATTGAAAAAGCCAAAATCGAGGCCGAAAAAGCTGCCAGAGAAGCAATCGAGGCCGAACGCAAAGCGGAGGAGCAGAGACAAAAGCTTCACCAGGAAGCCATGGCCAAGGTCGAACGGGAGGCCAGAGAAAGGTTGGAACGCGAATTGAAGGCCGAAGCTGAGCGCAAGAGGCTTGAGGAAGAGGCCCGTGTCAAGGCCGAAGCCGAAGCGAGGCAAAGGCTTAAGGAGGCGATACAGGCCGAGGCTGATGCCAGAGCCAAGGCCGCCGCAGAGGCAGAAGCTAAGAGGAAATGGGAGGACGAAATGAGGAAGAAGGCTGAAGATGAGGCCCGAGCCAAGATGGAGGCCGAGAAGAAGGCGGCTGCCGAAGCTGCCGCGGCGCAAGCAAAGCTCGAAGCTGATCTCAAGGCCAAGGCCGAAGCCGACTGGATAGCCAAAGTCGCGGCGGAGAAGAAGGCGGCAGAGGAGGCTGCGGCAGAGAAGAAGAGGTATGAGGAAGAGATGAGGTTGAAGGCCGAAGCCGCAATTGCCGCCGAGAAGAAGGCTGCAGAGGAGGCTGCGGCAGCCAAGAAGAAGTACGAGGAGGACATGAAGGCCAAGGCCGAGTTCGAAGCCCGGACCAAACTAGAGGCTGAGAAGAAGGCCGCCGAAGACGCTGCCGCCGCCGCCGCTGCCGCCAAGAAGGCCGACGAAGAGCTCAAGAAGAAGTACACCGAAGAGGCCAAACAAAAATTCGAAGCCGACAAGAACAAGGGCAAGGACAAGGCCCCTATCAAGTTCAAGGATGCTGTGGGCAGGAAATTCAGCTTCCCCTTCCACTTGTGCTCGACCTGGACAGTACGTTCGCGTTTCAAACTCCCGCACTCGCAGGCACCTAGTTAACATTTACGCAGGGTATGGAAGAGCTCATAAAGCAAGCCTTCATCCACGTGGACGTCATCGGACCGCATGTGCAAGAAGGTCACTATGACTTGATTGGGCCTAATGGGGAGATCATATTGCCCCAGGTCTGGGACAAGGTGGTCGAGCCAGACTGGACCATCGAGATGCGAATGTGGCCAATGGACAAGGGGCCTCCACGGGGCATGCCTGGCCCTGGCGGCATGCCGATAGACCCTGGTTTCAGAGAAAGAATGGCACACATGCAAGGCATGCCAGGCATGCGACCGCACGGCCATGGTCGCTTTCCACCGGGCATGGTTCCTCCGGGTGCCCGGCCTGCCGGCGGCGGCGGTGGCGGTCCCCACCCACCACCTCCTCCGGGCTGGACCGGTCCCCCTCCCATGCGTCCTGGCGGTCACGGCATACCCGCCAACGTGGTAACCGTTGAGCCCGGCAAGTCCAAGCACAAATCCAAGGCCAAGGGTTCGATGCTGAGTTACTTGGCTGGCGCTGGTGGAAAGGCCCCCAAGAAGAAGTAAGTTGCCTTGGATTTTCCCATACTGGTGCTATGAGCTAATGGGGTTATAGGGGCAAGAAATGATTATCAGCTCGCATCTAGGAGATTTCTTTTGCTTTAAAGACCTGTCACGATCACAAACCCTTGACGAACTTTGCCGGGATTGGATACTTATTTGTTTTCACATATGATACCTTGTCGCGCCTTCTTTTCTACTTTTGTTCAGATTCCCGTCAGTCAAATCGAGTCCCCGAAATGCATCTAACGGCAGCCATGGTTCATTTCGACGATCTTATAACGCATGCATGCCGGAGTATGAGAGCTACGCAAGGATCAAAGTGGGGTTCGGATTTACTCGCAAAGGCTTGGAGACTATTTCCCTAGAGAGACCGTACAGGTTTCGGCGGAGCATTGCATCACTGGAGGGCAGCTGGGGGTTTGGACCTCTTTTCTTTTCTTTGGGTTGTGGGTGAGGTATGCCGCAAAAAGAGGATCATGAGAGCGTGGCTTTGTCGGTAGATGACTTGTTTTGGTTTGTTTCTCTTGCACAGACAGCTACGATGTGGTAAATGATTGGTGATGAAAACGAACATTGCGACATGCGTTGACATTTTACTTCTTGACAAGTACCTCGTGAATTAAACTTATAATAAGCCTTGCATGTCTTTATTAGTCTATGTGTTTTGTACAACTTCTCACCGGTTCCGAGTGAACCCTCTATAGTCTTCCAGTGCCCAAAACAGCCTTGACCCGTTTCTGGAAAGCCTCAATCATGACGCCAGCCACCTTTTCCGAAACCGCAGCGCTGACGGCCGAATACAACGGGTTCGCAAACTGGAACCTTATGACCAAATCCACCTCAGTGCCCGTCCCCGAAGTCAGCGGCCGGAGCTGCCACTTTGTCACCAGACTCCTAAACACGGCACCGCCCTCCCCTCCATTCCCGGGACTCGCGCCCTCGACGTCCGCACCGCTTATCGCCTCGACGCTAGAACCGGGGATGCAGTGTAGTCTGCTGGTGAAAGTCTCCTCGAAGCCACCCCAGCCTACGCGGAGGTCGGCTTGCGTGGGCCATTTACGGCCCGTGGCGGCGTCGGGTACGGACCAGGCTGTCACGCGGGAGGCGGCGCAGTAGGGGACAAAGGTCGAGTAGGCGTCCACGTCGGAGATTATGTCGTAGAGTTGGGGGGAGGGGTAGGGCATGGTGCGGGAGGCTGTGAGGACTTGGGGTTGGGAGGATGCTGCTGCTGCTGCGAGGTTTGGGAGGTTGAAGAATTGTCGTGGGGCGGCTGGCGTTGGGGTTGTGAGGCGTGAGGGACGGGAGGTGAGTGAGCTCCTCCATGGGGAGGGGAAGCGGAGGAGCGGTCTTGCGCTTGCCATTGTGATGATTTTCTTGGTCTCGGGGTGGGAGGGTTTGTTCGGGTACGGCTTTTCGAGCTTCAATTTCGACTTCGAGGTTCGCGATGCGGTCTTGGGGAATGTGGGAGGTTGATACTATGTCAACAAGTCATAGTTATATAATATGCTGCCAAGTGAAAATAGAAAAGAATGAATGTAATACAAAAAGAACCCTCGAGAGGTCTTGTTTCGCCGTCCGAAATGCTGAGATGCTTGAATGAGTTCGTCCCAAAGAAGAGAGAAAATGTCGTGGAGCTGGTGCAATGACGATTACAGCAGCTATCGGTGTTAGTGGATGTCGTTGACTGCGCCGGCTGTACAGTGCCCAATGGTACGGAAAGCTGACATGCACCGTACGTCCCGTATCCCGTAGAGCCCCAGCACACACATCATTATCGGGCTGGTCTTTGGTGGGGTTTGGATTATCGAGCAGTACCTTAGTGCAGCAGCACAGCTCTCTCCACAAGCCAAGTTGGCAAGCCACAGCAAGCCAGCCATCACCGTCCCGCATCCCCGACTCCGACATCCCTTGGACGTTTTGACGAATACAGCTCCTCAAGGCGACTGTGACGGGGACGACGACGACGACGTTTCCACCGGAGCCGACCTCGATCCACAATGTACCATAGAACCCAGAGTACCTGACCTATTCTCCCCAACACTCGCTCCGAACTCGATACCTTGCCCTTTCTAGGCCGTTCCCCCCCTCGCGTGGGGCTGTTTTCATTGTCAAGATGTAGGTCTTCCTTGGGGTGATGATATCGCAAAGTCACCACAGTCCGCGTCGCCAGGGAGCTTCGGGCGCTGACTAGAACGAACGCACGTCCAGGTTCGAGAAATCCCTCTACGACCTCATCAGAGGCCTGCGAAACCACAAGGGCAACGAGCGCGAGTACATACAGAACAGTTTGAAGGAATGCCGCGCAGAAGTTCGCGGGCAGGATATGGGTGAGCAACAATCCCTCGGCAGGAGTAGTAGCAGTTGGAAAGCATGAGAGAACTATACACTGACTTTGGAAACTCCTTAACAGACGTCAAGGCGACGGCGCTCTTGAAACTAGTCTACCTCGAAATGGTTGGTCACGACATGTCGTGGGCCTCGTTCCACGTCCTCGAAGTCATGTCTTCCCAAAAGTACCACCAGAAGAGGGTCGGATACCTAGCCGCCGTCCAGAGCTTCCGGCCTGACACCGAAGTGCTCATGCTAGCTACAAATCTGCTGAAGAAGGTAACGCACGCATCCCATTCTTGCGGCCGAGGGGGTGTTGGATAATAGACAACGGAAGAGTGAGAGGCTGACGCTGCTGCTCCCAGGACTTGTCGTCGACGCAAGCAACCACCATCTCCCTACCAATGTCCACGCTGCCGCACATCATCACGCCTTCCCTCGCCCTCTCGACCCTCTCTGACCTCCTCCCGCGACTCGGCCACTCGAACCCGGCAATTCGCAAAAAGACCATTGTGACGCTGTACCGCCTAGCGCTGGTGTATCCCGAGACGCTGCGCGCGGCGTGGCCCAAGATCAAGGAGCGATTGATGGACAAGGACGAGGACCCGAGTGTCACAGCAGCCATTGTCAACGTGGTATGCGAGCTCGGGTGGAGGAGACCGCACGATTTCCTGCCGCTGGCCCCCAGGCTGTTTGAGCTCCTTGTGGATGGCGGTAATAACTGGATGGCCATCAAATTGATCAAACTGGTATGTTTGTTTGTGTGAAGTGGCAGTGATATGATGTGGTTTGCTGACTATGGGGGCAGTTTGCGACTTTGACGCCATTAGAGCCTCGCCTTGTTCGAAAGTTGCTGCCACCCCTGACCGAGCTGATCCGGACGACACCAGCCATGTCGTTACTATATGAGTGCATCAACGGCATTATTCAGGGTGGAATTCTAGGCAGCGCGGATGACGTCTCAGGCAGAGAGGAAATTGCGACACTTTGCGTGAACAAGCTCAGGGGCATGATCATGGTGGACGGCGACCCAAACTGTGAGTCCCAACCTCCACGGGTAAACTTGAAGAAAAAAAGACTAATCTCGACTAGTGAAATACGTTGCACTACTTGCCTTTAACAAGATCGTCGTGACACACCCGTTTTTGGTGGCGCAACAAGAAGATGTCATTCTTGAGTGCATCGATAGTGCTGATATCACTATCCGCATCAAAGCCTTGGACCTCGTCCAGGGCATGGTCAGCAGTGATAACCTGGTGTCCATAGTGAGCCGTCTGATGAAGCAGCTCAAATCAGCTGCGCCGAAGAGAGACTGGCCAGGGGCGCCCCTTGGCCCAGACACGGGCATGGACTCGGAGGAGGAGGCAGAAATGGAGATACACTCGCCAACCAAGGCTCAGGGAGAGCCACCTCTCCCTGACGACTACCGGAGCGACGTCATTGGACGGATCCTGACGATGTGCTCGCAGAACAACTACAGCAGCTTGACTGATTTTGACTGGTATATCGACGTGCTGATTCAGCTTGTCCGCATGGCGCCGACACCGCGATCGGTTGAGACCGAACTCGACTCGGTCGCTGCGTCTGGCAAGTCAACCGCCGGAGACGTGTCGGGGAGGATAGGGGACGAGCTGAGGAACGTCGCTGTAAAAGTTCATGCGCTACGAGGCGCGGCGGTTCGAGCAGCTGACCTCATCATTCAACAAATGAACGCGGACACACCCGCTGGCCACTCGCTCTCATCAGCATCGCTCAAGTCGACATCGTGGTTGGTTGGAGAGTACGCAAACCAGCTGGCATTCCCCGAAGACACGCTAGGAAATCTATTACGCACATTATCTCGTACCCACATCCCCGATATTCTTACGACAAGTCTGCAGGGCGTCACAAAGATCTTCGCCTACATCGCAGGCAATGAAGGCCAGCCGTGGACTCCTGAATGGAAGACAAAGATCTCATTGCTTTTGGCTCGCGTCATCCACACGCTGGAGCCACTTGCTCTTCACCCGAACCTCGAAGTCCAGGAGAGATCCGTAGAGTTTATTGAACTTTTGAAGCTTACGGCGGAAGCAGCCTCCGGGCAGGCGCCGTCAACCGAGGACACTCACCGGGATCCCCCGCTGCTGCTAACCCAGGCCATTCCGTCTCTATTCCAGGGATGGGAGCTCAACTCCGTCGCTGTTGGAGCGCAGCGAAACGTTCCGATGCCGGAGGGTCTGGACCTCGATGAACCAATCCACCCGAATCTGGCACACCTTCTCGCCCAGGCGGACGTCATACCAATGGAGGCTAACGAGGCGGACGACTTCGAGGTATACTACCATCAGCGCCCGGCGCCTACCAGCATATCCTCTGCGGAACCTGCGATTAGCAGGATTGCCGACGTTCCGGCAGAGGAGGTTGTCAGCTCGTATCAGCAGCAAGCGACCGAAGACAGCTACCTCGATGCAGACATTGTGGCAAGAAGGAAAGCCGAGCGCAATGAACGCAACCGTGACGACCCGTTCTACATTGCCGCCCCCGACACGGCACCCAGAACGTCGACCCCGATACACAACATTCTCCAAAAGGAAAACGGCCCAGATCTCGACATTGACTCTATACCAATAATGCAGTTGGATCTCGATAAGCTGGGCAGCTCGGCACCCGGCCCCATCTCTCCCATCAACCGACCACAGCCGCGACCGAGGCAGAGGGTCGTCATCGCCGCGGACGAGACACTCGCCGGCAGTGGCGTCTCCACACCACGCAACTACGAATCGGAGAACAACTCGGACAGCTTTACAAAGTCGCGCGCCAAGAAGCTCCGCCAGGGCCTCCTGCACGTCGACTCGTCCACGCTCGGCTCCCTCAGTCTCGAGGGTGACACGGCGTCGTCCACCAACACGCCCTTTGACTACGAGCGGCAGCAGCGTGAGGAGGCGGAGATGGCGCAGGCCATGAAGGAGGTTGAGAGGCTTCGCCTCGAGATGCAGCGCGCCAACGAGCGCATCCAGGTCGCGCAGGGTGTCGACGTTGCCGGCACGGTGGTCAAGAAGAAGACCAAGAAGAGCAAGGATAAGGATAAAGAGAACAAAGACGGCGCGGGGTCGGCGGTCAAGACGAAAAAGAAGAAGAAGAAGGCGGCGGCGGCGGCCGTCGCCGACGTTGGTGCTGCCCCGCCCGCCGTGCTCTTGACGGACGACGCGGAGAACAGCGGCGGCGGTGGCGACGGGGAGGACAGCGCGCTGATACCGCCTCCCGACACGGCCTTTGAAGCTGCCGGGGAGGGCGGCTTCGATGCCGCTGGTCCGCCGATCGTCGTGCCCAAGAAAAAGAAGAAGAAGAAGACGACCAAGATGGCCGAGATTGCGGGGGATAGCGGTTGATGCGGGCCGGGGCGGCAGGGCGCGGGGCGGTCATGAAAGGGCGAGATGACGGGAATACCTACCTAGCATGCATATTAGAATCAAAAAGGGAGCAGAGATGAGGTACATCTGTCTGTTTTTTCCCCCGAGCAACTTGAGTTTAGTGGCCAGTCACTGTGAAGAACATTTGTTGGTCAGTAAGTGACTACCTTGTATCTCTGATTCAGTGGGTTTCCCTTCCTATTGCAAATGATGCCGCTCATCACTGTCCGAGACAGTAAGACATTCATTATCCATCATTTCACATCGTGAGTGTCACACTCCAGTCTTTTGAAAGGTTGATGGATCTTCCTCTTCTTGTGTCAACACCTCCTAGCTCCCCCTCCATCTTCCCCCACACTTCTTCAGCCATGTCTGTCTGTCTGTCTCTCGCTCTCTCGTCCTCCTCTCTTCTCGTGGGTTTATTTTACGTACAGACATGATACAAAGGGGACACTAGGGAATCGCTTCCCCAAACGTCACCGTCGTTTCGCGTTTCAACTGCCAAATAGAAAAAAGGAAGAAATCAAAACCAGCCAAAATGGATTTTCCCTTTTTCTGTTTCCCTGTAAACCCGCCGTCCGTCGCACATGGTCCTTCCAGCGTCCGTTCACACGTCACAAAAAAAAGGGTTGGAGTTTGGATTGAAGAAAATAGACATTAAGGAAAAAAAGGAAAAAAAGGAAAAAAAGGAAAATCTCAAGGCCATCAATAACAAAGAGGCACGGCTTAAACACGCTTGCTTCAGTCATCCATGGGCTTGTCCTCGAGTGTTACTCCGCGAGGCGCTGTTAGAGAATCGCGGGGAGTCGACGTGCCGCTGTCCGTTCCGGCGCCTGGTACGGCTGCTGCGTGTCGGTCCAACGAGTATCGGACGCTGCTGCGTCCCAAGCTGTTGCGCTTCTCCACGGGCGATTCGAGAGCCTTGATTCTGGCCGCAACTCCCTCCGCTGCAGGCGCAGGCGCTGCCGCCGATCCGTTGGTCGTCGTCTCCTTTGGCGAGCTAGTCTCGCTGCCGGGTACCTCGAGACTAGACCTCTTGGCCCCAACAACACTGCCCAAGCTGGAGCGGTGACGGTCGACTGCCGACGCGGGCGGGCTTGTCTGGATCGGGAAGCGAGTCTCAGGACCTCCCGTGCTGCGATCACGTCTGTGGCCTCGAGGGCTGGGAGCAGGGCTCGTTGCGCGGCCGCGGCTACCGGCAGCCTTCTCAAGCAGAGCTCTATTCCGCTCTTCCATGTTGGCTCTCCGGTTGCTCTCGTCGGTGCTGATCGCACGCGGGCGATTATTGTCTCTGATCGACCCGCCGTGGCTTGCGGTAGACATGCGCTTGAGTTCGCTAAAGATGGCGTCCTTGTTGGCGAATAGGTCGCGAACGAGCCTGTAGGCGTGCTTCTCTTCCATAGTAAGGGATGTTTCTGTGCGAGGGCGGAGAATGCAGGGCGCAATGGCCGTGGCCAAAGACGCAATATACGTCTCATCAGCCGAGGTAAGGTCGATTAGGCGGGTGAAGTGGTTCATGCAGGCATCGAGTGTTGCGATATTAGTAAGACGCATTTGCGATAGCGTCTGTTGCAGCACAGGTACGCGAGCAGAATCGCCATCCTGGGTCTGAGTTTGGTAGATCGTTCTGATAATCTCATAAACGTGGGAGGAGACGAGGGAATCTATACGGCTGTTAGTCCATGGCTTCCACAAAGTTGTTGAGCGTCTTCTTACCGGGCAATTCAAGGAGATACAGCTTGAGCAAAGCTGCAACGGTGGGGATATCGAACTCGTCAAAAACTTCTGCCGCAATTGGCTTGCCGTCGTTCAGCTTGCCACGAAGCTTGTGGACTTGCTGCAGTGGAACGTCGACCAGCCACACACCCCGTCTGGCTTCGTCACCTTCGAGGTCAGGGTAGTGGTTATCAAGATAGGTCAGGATAGTGGTGACGATGATGGGCACGCGCTTCTTATCCGCGCGCGCTCTCGCCTCGAGATCCACTCCGAACGTCTGCTCGTCGACCTTGTTGTAGTAGTTCTCGTATACCACCACCTTGGGAATGAAGCTACCGGTCCGGTAGTTCTCGAGCAGGTATCTGAGGTCCCCTAGAGGCTGAACGGTCTCCTGGAAGAGCATCATGTGGTCCACAGCAGATTGCATGCTGGGAATGACATTGCTGATGGTGCCGGAAAAGTCCAGGATGACGGTCTTGATAGCCTTAAGACGGTCCAGCTCGCAGCGCTCCAGGAAGCGGAGGTGAATGAAGATGGTCTCCTCGAGATCGCAGCGCATCTCGTCCAACTTGCGCACGCCGCCCTTGTACTTGTCGTCGGCTTCCCTAGCCTCGCGGCGCAATCGCTCCGGTGGGGTCTCGTTCGGGTGTTGGTTGTTGAGGACGTTCCAGTTGGCGAGGTATTCGCTGACGGTTCCGACCACGGGTGAATCCGACGTCTCAGATGCGGGAAGGGAGAATGTGCGACCAAGAGGCGACTTCTTGTCTGGGATTCCGGACAGCTTGAAGGCCTTGGGGCGCCACTGGTAGAACATCTTGGAACTGTTGGCAAAAGTGCTGCCGACGTTGCCAATCAGCCTCAAATATCCGTTCGAGACGAGGTCCTGTCCGATTCTCTCGGCATAGCTAATGCTCGTGGTGTTCATATGCCTCTGCAGGTACTCAACAATATCTGAACCTGCCGATGTGTTCTGGTAGGTTCCGAGGATGGGCACCTTGGTCTCCCCGAGCTTGATCGTGTTCAGCATGTGCGCCAAAATCTTCTTGACTTGCTCGGGTTGGTAAATTTCGTCGCCGATCTCAATGGGCTCGTCATCGTCTTCTTGGGGGTGAAGTTCGTGCTCCTTGTTTTCGGAGACCTTGATCTCGGGAATGTTGTTCTTCGGGCTGTTCTCGGGGTCCTGGAAGGCCAGCTTGGTCTCCTCCTCGATATCCTCAACCAGTCGGCACTTATTGAAGTAGGTGCTCCTCAGCTTCTTGACCAACTCGGCCTGCCTGTCGTGCGCCTTGATGCGAGCTTGCAGCTCATCCTGAGAGTCCTGGACACGCGACTCGTGGGCATCGCACCAGCGCGAGAAGGGGTTGACAACCAAGTCTCGAATGCTCTGGGCTATCTTCTTGTGGTTTTTGGCGCCCTCTTCCATCTCGGTCCGAACACCATCGAAGGCCTGTCACGAGGGTTAGCACAAGCCTCGGGAAAGCTCTCGGTGGGGTCGTTATGCGAACCTTCCGAACGCTGGCACCGTCATCTTTTGAGAAGCCGCCCTGGACTTTGTCTGCGGTCGGTGCAATATCTCCTAATCGCTGGCTGTATATTTCCTCGGCTTCGACACGCATTCGGGCGACGGTCAATACTTGTCGATTTTCTTGGACGCCTTGCTGCAACTTGCTGAAGAGGACGCCGAGTCCTAGCGCGGAGATGCTTAGCCACAGCGCGAGGGGTTGCAGTAGCGCATTCAGTTGACTTACCTGCAGCATAGTCGCTGGACCAAAAGGAGTCTTCGAAGCCCGGCATGATGCCTTGAAGCTTCTGCTTGTCGTGACGATGGTGCTGTGTTAATGCGGTTTGACGCTCAAAAATTTGGCGGGCAAAAAGAAAAGGAGGCGGCGAGAAATATTTCGTTTCGTCGTTATGCAGGAGGCGGGAGGTGGAAGGGAAAGATGGATTGGTATTTTCGGCTCGAGATTAAAGACGCTTTTCTGCCGGTTGCGAGAAGCGAAGGAATACGTCAGCCGCGATTGAGTCGGCGGTGCAAACTGGAGAAAGAGAGTCGGCAACAAACGAAACGAGAGATAAAAGAGAGGGCACAGGTGCAGGAAGATGAAGCAGAAGCAAGATGCTGTATTGTTCGTTGTCGTCGTCCTTTGTCAGGGGCACATGCCAGTTGGGGGAGGAAATTTTGGAGCGCAGAAATGGAAAGGCTTTGAAGTGAAGGTGCTGGTTGCTGACAGGTTCCAGGTTCAAGGTTGACATGCGGTTGGGGGGGGGCAGGAGGGATGGAAGGAGAAGCTGCTTCCACTTGACGCTGCTTGCTCAATGGTGCTCGCTCCATGCTGATTTGCTATTGCTACGTATGCCCTCCTGCTGCTTCCAGGTTGCTACCTGGATCCGTACTGTGTGTGTCCAGCTGTGCGTCCCTCAGTCTCCGCAGGCCATCAGTGAAGCTTTGCGACTCGTAGCACCTCTTCCCACTTCGTCATCCACTTCCTACAGCAAACCCGGTGACACGGCATACACGGCATCAACCCAGATCAATGGTTAGCATGCCATCCTACCTTGTGCTCATGGAGGGTTGCTACTATGCCACTGCCAACAATCAGACCGACGAACCGGGGCCAAATAGACACTAAACCAGCCTAGCAATGCTGCAATGGCAACGTTCTTTCAAGGGCCTTGCGCGCCTTGCCTTGGTCCTTGAAGTTTGAACTTGGAGACGTGGCATTCCATTCCATTGGTCGGTCCCCTGCCTCATGACGAACAACCGAACAAAAGCTGGCACCTCAGGCCCTCTCCAGCCGGGCTCACTGGGCGACTCGGGTAGGCTTGGGAATTGGGACCTTGGCTGAAAGACGACGATGACGGGAGGAGCCATCTGAAGCCAAAAATACACCATGCTCCAGCCACTGCCCGATCCCCACTCATCTCCTTTGCCAGTGTGTGACTGGCCAGGACCTCGGTTGCCCCCCATTGTGCTCCATGCAAAGGAAATGACCCTGAATGAGGCAGCCAAGCAGATGCCAGAAGCAAAGCAGAAAGCTACCGATGTCAGGGCAGGGACAGGTTGTGTGAACCCCCTGCATTCGTCTCTGTTGCAGAATGATGGGGCTACTCCCAGCTGGACTGGAGAGGGACTCGGCTCACCTCACTCGCGGAAGCGAACCCCAAAGACTCCCCTTCCCACAGGGCTGACTGCCCAAGCCATCGGCCGCCGCCAATTTGGCGCCGTATTAAGCATCATCTTCACACTTTATGCATTCCGGGATAAGGTTTCGTCCTTTCTATACAGAGGTGCTGCCTCTCCAGACGTTGAAGTCGGCTATTGTATTTGTTCTTTTCTTTGTTGCTAAACGGGACTTTCTATCCACCACCGAAACTGAAGAGAATATCGCCCGTCACTAAACCCCTTCATCTACATAATTAGCTCCAACCCCTGAATCCCACCTCGTTGCCAGTTAGACGGTTCCCCAGACGACAAAATGCCGTTATTAATAGCCACCAGGGTCTGGTCTGCGGCCTGCCAGGGAGGCCGATAGCCAACGCCTGCCCCATCGAACCCGTAAATTTCTCTGTCGAGCGTTATCCACAGAACCCAACCTCAGAGCTGAGAGAATTGGCTGGGGTAAGAAGGTGACCTGAACGCAGGAGCCAACCATCATCCGAAGTCGCAAAGTACGGACTGGGAGCTTCCCGTCTTTGGCGGTCCGTTCCCGAAATTCTATTCCAGTGCTCGGTAACACTGTAGTCAGTGTGTGTCCTTATTCTCGTTTCCCTATGCATTGTCCTTACTGAAGAGAAATCATCTATCCAACTCTGTACGGATACGACTATCATGCCTCTATTCTGTTAGGCTCTGGACCCTCGGGCGTATGCTGCGAAATCACCACCTCGCTTCTCAGACGAGTACTAAGCTGAGTTTTCTACGGCGTCACCAAGTTCATGCTGCTAGTAGGCGCCATTGGGCTGAGTACCCGTACATTGGAGACTTGCAACTATGTTAGCATCTGGAGGATATACTACACTCGAGGTGCCTATGTGTTTCATGGTATCTTTTGTCAATCCTGATATACCTGTAGAAGTTGAATATGCGAGAGATGGTTGTATTGAGGTATTAACTGCGATTGACCGCTTATATAATGATCGCTCGCCGAAGAGCTCTGTATATATCCGCAGGTTCTTCACTCGTAATTCTTCATTCGCTAGGTGGGCACTTTGGAGCTTCCCAAACGGTCGCTTATCGCCGGCATCGACTCGCAGATAAGAGTTTCACGCAATCGCAGCTCGGAGCTTTGACCCCAGGCACTCTGTGACGTGATTCCTAATCAATCAGACGTATTGTGACATGCCTGTAGGTTTGAACCCCCTCCGTGGCGGATCATTATTCTTTCACGGCAATCCTTATCCTCATTTGAGACGGCATTCAGACAAAGTTTAGACAATAAGTCGCCAAGGTCCGTATCGACTCGCCAACTACATGCCGCCGCTGACGACGGACAAGCAGTGCTGACGGATAACATAGCCGTGAGACACAGACCCAACTCTGTATATCACCAACGCCATGGATGAGAAGAAACGTTTTGTGTGCAATGAGGCTGGCGATGACGCCCAGCTGCCTCCTTCTCGCAAGAGCCCGTCTCCCGCGAAGAGAGCCGTCATTGCTTGTTTCGCTTTGTGGCTTGTGACATTGACTTTTACGGTCCGTCCTATGAAGTCATGCTATCATCAAATGAGAAAGCCTTGGGGCGTACCCCTTACCGTCGAGGAGAGGGCTCACAGCATTCTGTCCCACAACCCACTGATCGGTGCGACGCCCTGTGCGTTCTGTACGACGCGATGAAGTACTGACGAACCGTCTTTGTAGATGGTCACAATGACCTCCCTATCCTCGTCCGAGGATTCTTCCACAACCACATCTACGAGAAGAATTTCACTGAGCCCTTTGAGAACGGCGGCCTCGTCGGCCATGTTGATCTGCCCAGACTTCGCAAGGGTCAGAACGGGGGTGCTTTCTGGAGTGTTTACACTCCATGCCCTGCCAATGGCAGTGACTTCTCGGATGAGAACTACGCTGAGAGTGAGCCTGGTCCATCCCGAGTGATTCAAGATATTACAAGTCTAACGAATGTGACTGTAGGTGTCCAGTGGACTCTCGATCAAATCGACGTCATGACCCGCATCAAGGACTCATATCCCAGGGACTTCTCCTCCAGCGAAGACAGCGGCGCGGCCTTGAAAGCATTTGAGAAGGGCCAGCTCATCTCACCTCTAGGTGTCGAGGGACTGCATCAGATCGGCAACTCTGTCGCCAATCTCCGACGCTACCATGCCTTGGGTGTTCGCTACTCGACCCTTACCCACAACTGCCACAATAAGTTTGCCGACGCCGCGCTGCTCGAAAGCCCTCTGCGCAAGGCTGAGCCTTTGTGGCACGGGCTGAGCCCTGCAGGTCGTCGTCTCATCCACGAGATGAACCGCATCGGATTAATCGTTGACCTCTCCCATACCAGGTAGGTGTCAGGGACCCCTGATCTCCACGGAGGATGATTGCTAATCCAAACCCCAGCGAAGAGACGCAGATTGACGTCCTCGGAGGCAAGGACTGGGAAGGCAGCAAGGCGCCGGTCATCTACAGCCACAGCTCCGCCTTCAGCGTCTGCCCGCATCCGCGCAACGTCAAGGATAACGTCCTCAAGCTCGTCAAGGACCGCAATGCAGTCGTCCTGGTCAACTTTGCCCCCGACTTCATCTCCTGCGTCGACTCCGGCAACGAGAACGGCCTGCCCACGTACGTCCCCGCCAACGCCACGCTCGACCAGGTCGTCCGCCATGTCCTGCACATTGGCAACCTGATCGGTTTTGACCATGTCGGCTTCGGCTCCGACTTTGACGGAATCGCGTCGGTGCCGAAGGGGCTGGAGGATGTGTCCAAGTACCCGGATCTCGTTGCCGAGCTGCTGAGGCAGGGTTTGAGTGACGAGGACGCGGCCAAGGTTGCCGGTGGAAACGTTCTTCGCGTCTGGAAGGAAGTTGAGGCGGTTGCTCAGAAGCTGCAGAAAGATGGTCAACCTGTTCTTGAGGATGATATCGCCAGCTCGAAGTGATAGGGGAGATGATGAGGAGTCAGGTTCAAACTAGGAGGTTCAAAGATACGCCAAAAGTCTGCTTCACGGTTGTAGAGTAAGCATTAGTGAGATTGCAACCAGTTTTGATAGTACAAGTGGTATAGTTTTACATAGTCATACATGTTTGGGCACACCACAGACCCGTCTATTCTGTACGTGCGATGGTCTTTCAATGAGCACCACCTCAAAGCCTACCCCATTCGCTCTCTGAAACGCAAGCCGATAGCCACCACGCAGGGCGTTTACCATCGCCTGTTCGCAGTGTTGTGCTTCCTCGCCGACTCGATCTGAGTCCTCGTCCGCTGTCCTCTGACGGGGAGGTTCATGGCGTGTCTTCTTCCCCGGTAGCTTCCCATGTCTTTTAGTCTCATGACGTTCTGTTGTATTATCTTCCGCGCGTCGCTCTCTATTGTCATGGTCGATAACTCTGCTGTGAGGGCCGTGATGGTTTTCGGTGGCAGGGCGCCGACTTTGGACATTGGGGAGATGGAGTATTTGGCCAGGATGCGGGAAGATGTGGTCGGTCCGAGGGCGAAGAAGGACTCGAGTGCCTTCTGTGAAGGGAAGAAGTGGTTAGCATCGTCGGGTGAGATGTGCCGACTGGTTTGTCGTCGTTCGCGGGTGAAGGGATTCCCGTACCTTTACGAGCTTTTGCTCGGAAAAGTTGACGCCTAGAATGAAGACCTGTAGTGGGTCAGTCGTTCGTAGCTCCAACAAATACCCTAAGGCCTACGCTTACCATTTTGTCCGATTTATCACTTGAGACCTCGAGAAAGTGTAAGTATTGTCGTCACGGGCTGATCTGTTTCCTGCGCCTGATGGTGGGATCGCGGAACTTCGAAATCATCGCACTCACGGAGAGTCGGCACCGGAAAATAGTGGATCCAACTTAGTGCAGCGCGGCACAAAGTCAATGGAATGGCTGCGCGGTTGCATTGATAGCACTGATCCGCCCTGAAGGCGACCCTTCATGCCATGGACGCACCCACTTAGGTACGCAGATTGCCTACCCCCATTGGGCAGTTTCGGCGACCAGGGTCCGAGCTCGAGTTCCTCATTCGCGTGCTTCAGAGAGGGGAGTTTGAAACGTAGCTCTACCATTGCGAGGGTCTCTCTATTTAACACACTGTCCCTTTTGGCGATTACCTCTTCTCCCTCTCCAGACGGCTTTCACTTGCATCTAATAATCTGATTTCCTTCCCAATTGATCGAATTCAGTTTCAGCGTTCATCATGTTCACCATTCGGAGACTCGTCTCTGCCCTCCTCCTCGCCGGAGTGGCTCTGGCCTTCTTCGCGCAGACCGCTGAGGCTGCCAAGGGCCCCAAGATCACCCACAAGGTCTTCTTCGACATCACCCACGGCGATGAGGCCATCGGCCGCATCACCATGGGTCTGTACGGAAAGACTGTCCCCAAGACCGTAGAGAACTTCCGCGCTCTCGCCACCGGCGAGAAGGGTTTCGGCTACGAGGGCTCTACCTTCCACCGTGTCATCAAGCAGTTCATGATTCAGGGTGGTGACTTCACCAAGGGTGACGGCACCGGCGGCAAGTCCAGTGAGTGGTTCCCCGTCTAGGACCCTGCTCCAGTGCTGCATGACGACTGACGATGCGGAAATCCTACAGTCTACGGCGAGAAGTTCCCCGACGAGAACTTCAAGCTCAAGCACTCCAAGAAGGGTCTCTTGTCCATGGCCAACGCCGGCAAGGACACCAACGGCTCCCAGTTCTTCATCACCACCGTCCTCACCTCGTAAGCACCCCCTATCGACAAATACAAACACAAAACCACGACCCGCAGGTAGGCTAACCCGGCAAATACAGTTGGCTTGATGGCCGCCACGTCGTCTTCGGCGAGGTCCTCGAGGGCTTCGACGTCGTCGAGAAGATCGAGCAGGCCCAGACCCAACCCGGCGACCGCCCCGCCAAGACGATCAAGATCGCTAAGAGCGGAGAGCTGGAGGTGCCCCCTGAAGGTATCCACGTGGAACTCTGAGCACGTACTGTGACAACCCGTCGTCCCTCGCTGTTCTCGTTATCACCAACCCGACACTCTTTGCACCATCTCAATCCAAACCTTAACTTTTCCTGCTGATGATCTCCCGAAATGAAAAACAAAAAAAGTACTTGGTTTGCTGATGGCTACCCCCCCTGGTTGCAGGCGAATACGGCAATAGCGAATGGGCGTCAGGCTATTCCAACGAAGATACGCCCCTGGAGGTGGGTTCCGGTGAGGGCTGGTCTCTAATCCAGAAGGGCCTCTTCCTTGGCGTTGTCGTTGCTGCGATCGCTGTCTACATGAAGATCAGCAAGTCCAGGGCCGGGAAAGAGGATGTCGGCTACGAGAAGACCATGGCGTAAGGGGGGTTTGACGGAAGAAAGAGCGCCTCGAATAGGCACAGGAAACTAAGACAACAAATTCCAACTGACAAGCAATGGTAAAAAATACGCATGGGACTAGCTATCTCCAAATGTGTCGTTTTTGTGATGTTGAGTGAGTTGTCTTGAGTCTCGAGTTCTCTTAGAGCGCAGTCCAATAGCTGTAACGTACCCATCTCGAAGCGCATCACGTGTGGGGTACCAAAAAATTTCCGTAATGGCCAAACCTCAACTCAAACACTCCCTCTACATTATAGCAAGGTTGTGAACAACCACTTACTCCTCGCCCAAAGACGGAAAAAAAAATATGAAGCTCCTTAGCCTGAACTTTTTGACCTGCGCGGTCAAGGCCTGCAAGTCCTCAGTGGCCTCGTTCCCCCTACACCCCAAGGATGCAGAGCTGGCGCAGGACGACATCGAGGTCAACCCCCAGCTTCTGTTCAACGTCCTGCCCCGCTTAGACTGGGCCGCTCTACGAACGAACGCGACTGAGGTAGATTTTTTTTCTTCTTTTTTCTTCACATTTTCAGTGTGATCTCCCGTGTGAGGGTGTCTTGCTATTTCATATCATCACGTCTCATTTAGTCTCTCCGCATGCATCATACTAGTCATCCTTGAAGGGGGCTGGCTCTACTGCAAACCTCATAAAACAGAGAGTGCTGACATTCACACAAAAGTTGGGCTTCCCCGAACTCCCCACAGAGCCCCCCTCGGCGGAGCAGCTCGAGGGTGATGAGAAGATGCTCAAGAACCTACACCACCTCCTCTTGGAGACGCAGATCATGGAAGGCAAGCTCGTCTGCGGCAACTGCGGACACGAGTACGCCATCCGCGAGGGCATCGCCAATTTCTTGCTGCCGAGTCACTTGGTCTAAAGTCTGTTGCTCGGTCGGTCATGGAGCAAATTTGGAGCGAGAGAAAGAGAAGACTTTGATTTGAGACGGCCTTTGGGGCTGCAGTTGGCGTTTACGGCGTTTTCTCCCCTCAAAACGAGCATGGAGGCTCGGAGATGGGGGACGGTGGGGGGCAAACAGAGAAGAAAAAAAGGTCCATTTGTAATAGAAATACATTCCATGCCATTTGCGAAAATACACTACATTGGTCCCTACAGACCACAGTGCCTCCCGTGCTCTCTGCCTATCATGCCATGGATTCCTCCCTTTTACTCGAAATATACCTGTCAAAAGCCAGCCGATTAACTCCTGACGTTCTCACACGAAATTCACAGGTCGTTGAAGGAGGCACTTCTAGAGAGGTGCCTTTAGCCGATTTTGATACACATCTACTGGGCCTTCTTGTGAGCCGCAGGGCCATTCTCCTTCTCAAAAGCACCGTACGGGATCTCGAGGCTGGCGAGAGCCCTAATGCCGACACCGAGGATGCTGAAGAGAACAATGGTGGCAATCAGGGCATGGAAGACGCCTGCTGTCATGTCAGTGTTCCTGTTTCTGGGCATCACGGATCATGGACCTCGGCCACTTACCTGGCGAGAAGAAGACGTATTTCTCAAAGAGAGGCAGCTTGCTCCATTCAGTCTCGTTCTTGGCACGTCTCACATGACGCAAGCTCGCCTCGTGGCGCTTGAGCTCCGCGTGCAGAGGCTCCATGAACTCGGCCTCGTAGGTGGGCTCCGAAGGACTGGCAAGGTAGATGACGGTGTACGACTCCGACGCCTTGTGAAGCTTCTCGAGGCGCTGGCCCAGAACGTGGTCGTTGTCGGCGAGCGTGGCGGCTCTCACATTGACGTCCCGTCCAAGGGCAGTGAGCCTGACCTCCTCGATCTCGACGATCTTGCCCGCGCACGACGCCTTGATGTAGCCAGCCAGCTTTCCGATGGGCACCTCGCCGACGACCTCGGCAACACTGTAGACACCGCGGGCGTCCTTATCGGAAATTGCGCGGCACAGGTTTGGGGACTGGCAGTCGCCGTTGTCCGGGTTGCGGATATCGGCCGCGTTGACGTTGGGCTGGGAGACGAGGAGGTAGCGGTCTGTCGGGCAGGAGGAGAGGAGGTCCTGGACGGTCTTGAAGACTTGGGACTGGGTCTGCAGCTGGGCGGGGTTTGACTTCGCGAACCTAGGGAAAGAGGCGTGTTAGCATGTTCGATGACGATGATAGAAACGCCGGTAGTTCGTGACATACTCAGCGGTCGAGAGCATGATGAAGGGCGACGAGTCGGTGAAGGCCCGCACGGAGGAGCACAAGGCCATGAGGCCTGCTGTTCTTGATAGACGCATGGCTGGTTGATGTGTTGAAAGCTTGCCCGTTTGAATGCGATGGCTAGCCTTCGTCGTGGTACTAGGAGTTACGCTGCGGATTAAGGTAGGTAGCTTCAGGAACGACTTAGCTCGGATATATGCGCCTAAGCGGGTAGAATAATCAGAAACCGCATTATCACCCGCGTAAATGCATTCCATTTCTTTTCTCATTGGTGCAATGCAGCAAAGCCATGCCAGGCAAGTTCCAGCTTTGCGACTGCTCACCCCCATACCTACTTCATTCTCTGCAGGACCGATGCATCTTAGTAGGCCTCAACGTAAAAGCGAAGTTACTACAGCGGGCATCTGACGACTCCATTCATGATCAAACATTTTTTAACACCTACATCTCTACGCAATCTACATAGGGTCTCCAATCAAACCAATGATCACATTAACGGGTCTATTAGGAACCAGTATATTATGGCCTACTCTTCGGCTCTTCAAATCCAGGAATTCATCCATGTGAGGAGGCTGCTGAACAGCTTGTAGTGGTCGAGGGGCTGTTGCATGAGATGTGTGAGAGTCATAACTTGAGTGTAATGGGCCATACTCTTAAGGTAGCTAGCCCTCTATGAACGAAAAACAATTATGAGGGCTCGACATGGTGCAATGCAGCTATTCGAATATACGTGATCACACTGAGCAGACAGAGTGACGTGAGCGGAGCATCCTGAACCTTGAAACCATCGGAAGCATGCACGGCAGTCGAGAAATCATGCAGTGAAGCCCATCGGGATGTCACCTGCTGGTTTTGCTGACAGATGCACGCCTAGCGAGGTCTGTTCCAGCGCATTTAGCTCTTCGGCTTGGCCCGCGTCAGTGGGCCCTTACAGAGGCTGCAGCGGCAAGAACCTGGCGTGCGCGCCAACTGCAAGGCTGCCAGAAAACCCATCCAAAATTTATCTGCGCAGGACGGGTTGGGGAAAAAAAACCACCACCACGAGCCAGTCAAGAGTCCCCATCACCGACACATTCGACCGATAGCCACAATGTTCGCCAAACCCCGGCCCAAGAAATCCGTGTTGCCACCCCTCTCCAAAAAAAGGAAGGCAGTTTCAGCGATCGAGGAGGTCAACTTCGATTTCGACGCGCGGGAGGATTACCTCACGGGCTTCCACAAGCGCAAGCTGCAGCGGCAAAAATGGGCACAGGAGCAGGCTGCCCTGAAGGCGCGGGAAGAGAAGATTGAGATGCGCAAACAGGTAGGAGGCAATCATATGCCCTACGTTTCCATGCGGAGGCTGCTGTCTGTCCTGCCCATCGCCTGACACACATGCCACTACAGATCAGACAAGAACGCCAACGAGAAGTCGAAGACCACGTTAATGCCGTGAGCGCTTTGCTCAAAGAGGCCCAGGCAGCAGACTCGGACGGAGACCAAGAGATCAACGGAGAAGATTTCGAAGAATGGGACGGCATCGACGAGCCGGCTAAGGATCAGGTGGGTATTGTGGACTACGAAGACGAGTACATAGACGAGGACCGGTATACATCGGTCAAGGTCGAGGCCATATCCGTGACGCGGGATGGCCTCGAAAAGATCCACCAAGACGGCGACGAGGAGGAGAACGGCAGCCAAGACGAATCCAAGGCGAACAAGGCAGCATCCGACAGCAAGCCAATAAAGTCGAAGGATCGGAAAGAGTGGCCCAAGAAGAAGAAATTCCGCTACGAAACAAAATTAGAAAGATCATTGGGAGCGAGGAAGGCAAAAGCCAAAAAGGCAAGGTTCAAGAAAGAGTAATTGAAGGAGGGTATAATATCTCGCATTGGTTGCTGCAGCTGCTTGCCAAGAAGTTGCCTCACGCCCAGCGTGGTTTGAGGTGGTTGTATGTAGATTCCCTTCATGTCTGTTGAACAAAGACCAGGGGCATCTGACAGAACAAAACTCTTTGTTGGCCGGGGTTACAAAAAAAGGAGTAAAAATAAGGCTGCTATAACTCGGTCGCGAACCGTCCCGTCATTTGCACTCCACCGCTTGTTGGGATAGCTTAATCAGATCGCCAACATAGTGTCCCAAGCCAGGAGTCCATCATGTGGAAAAGCCTTGCATAAAATGACGCCCGCAACTTCCTTAGATGTTGCCAATCTCGGCCTGGAAGTCCTCGAGCTCCTTCTGGACCGTCGCGTACTTCTTGGCCATCTCCTCGTACTTGGACTCCCACTGGTCGCGCTCCGACTCGAGAGCCTGGACCTTGCGCTCGAAGTGGCCGGCCTTGACGTCGGTCTGTCGGAGCCTATGAAAAGACGGTGTAAGTAATAAGTATGCATCGGTCGTTCGGTGGGGCGGGCTTTAATGAACACGATGGGGGTCGGAGAGTGAAAAGGGGCATCGTTGATTCGGCAAATAGGGTCCAGAACGTACTTCTCGTTGGCTTCCCGAAGGGTCTTGTCCGCCTCCTCGGCCTCCTCCTCGAGGAGCTGGAGTCTTCGCTGAAGAGTCTCGTTTTGTGTGCCAGTGCCGGCGCTCTCGTCGGCAGCTTTCTTGAAGTCCTTAACTGCAGTCTCAAGCTTCTCGACTTCACCCTCGAGCAGACCGTTCTTGTGCTGCAAGGAGGTGATCTCCTGCTCCTTGGACAGGTTCTCCTGCTCCAGGGACTTGACCTTGGTCTGAAGCTCCTCAACCTTTGCGGCGTTGTCGTCGGCCTCCAGACGAAGCTGGTTCATTTTCTGATCGACGCCGTCGTCGTCAGCATCGATGACACGACACATTGGGGATATCTTACCCCTCCAGACCGCCGGTAGCAGTAAGGTGGGGCCAGACTGAGAAGGGTGAACTTACCTCCTTGATACGGTCCATGATGAGTAGCTGCGAGTAGCTTTGACGTTGTGGTAGAGTCGGTGCAGGTTGATTGCGATAAGAAGAGTTCCTGAAGTTGAGAACGGGACGGGATCGGTGGATGTGGGATCGCAGCTGTCGGTAATGGAAACGGAAGGAAAGGGTGTGAGGTGTTGAAATAACTGCCCCTCTACATGCAAGTCTGCTCCATGCGACCTGTGGCGGACCACCCTCAGCATGCCAGACAGGCCTGGTCTTCACACGCTGAAAGGAAGCTGCAATTGGATTAGCTCAGACACGGGCAGTGGGGTGGGCTGTGGCACGGTGCTTTCCCAAAGGTGAACCTTCTACGGGGGTTTCCGCAGGGTCTGAGCTTCCCTCATGGTTGTCCCGACAACAACACCCCAAACAGGCGGGTCCATTTCCGATCTCTATCGCCTCTTCACCACACGACAGCCCCCAAAGAGAAGGGATTGATGACGACGATACACCAATACACGATAACGACGAATCACCAAAAACCCAGAAGACACTAAACACACGACCAATACCAAGGACCCTTCTGACCCTATGAAAAATGCTGGCCCTTCGTGACGAGAACGTGGTCAACGCAGCTCAAGCTGCTCGCCTTGCTCCGGGAAAAGGGCAGCTGGCTCCCAAGACCCCTGGAGCCCGATACCCGAAGACGCCCTTGAAGATTCCCCTCAACGACGAGAATGCTGTTGGAGGGGCCAAATCAGTGCTCGCTGCCAAGTCGAACACCAACGGAAATACTCAGCTCACGGCAAAGAAGCAGAACCTTGTGACTCCTTCTGGTAACCATCCAAGATTCATCATCTGAGAGAAGAAAAAAGACTAACATCCTTGACAGAGACACGATCTCGGGCGCCGCTCGGAAACAAAACCACCAATGCAAAGGCCAAGGGCACTCAGAACACCGGGGGAAGGGATGGCGAGAAAACACAGGCGAAGCCCACGACCACCAAGAAGCTGAAGCAACGGTCTCCCAGTGTCGGCCCTCTTAAGCTCGAAGTTCGCAACGACCAGGCTGGTCCAGCCGAGGAGCCCGATGTCGAGTACGCACCGCCTACCGTCAAGGATCTGCCCTACGAGTCAGACGTCCTTTCCAATGGAGACTTGACATTTGAGGGGCTCAAGCCCGAGAACATGTTCAAGGGTTACTATAACCACTTCTACAACCCCATGGGCGAGGATGGCGTCAGGCTTCAAGACAGGCAGCATCAGGAGAGGCTCCAGAAGGCTCTCAAGGAGAGTGACGAGCGTATCCTCCGAGACATTCAGGAAATGGACTGGTCCGTCTCGGACGTTCCCGAGACTTCCGTCATATCTCAGCGAAAGGCACCAGCCCCGGCTCCTAACCCAGCCGTCACCAGGAAGGCGGTAGGAGGTGCCGCCAAGTACCCGCCTACGATCGCTTCTAGAAGAGCCGCGTCTGCTCTGTCAATGTCCACCGGTAACACCGTTAGACAGAAAAAGGCCATCGAGCAAAAACCCACTGTCAGACGACCAATCTCTTCTATACTCCCGCGCACCAGACCGACCAAGCCTGCCGTGGCCCCAAAGTCTTCGGACGCTGAAAGCGCAATGGGAGAAGCCGTGTCGAGAAACACGTTGGGCTACACAAAGGGTCGCTCAGCCTCTTCCTTTGTTAGCGGGCGTCCAGTGTCGGCCGCGGCTCGGTCGGTCTCGATAGATGCGAAAACGACACTGCCTCCAAAGATGACCATGAGACGTGACGCATCTCCCCAGAAGCAGAGACAGGAGGCCCGGGACGACAGCGAGGAGCTTGGTAAACTGCAGTTTCTATCCATCTTTGATCCCGCTGGAGATGATGAGGATGACGGCATTGCCAGCGCAGGTCCACGAAACGCAGACTTCGAGGATGATGAGTTTGAGATGAAGTTAACCTTTTAATCGCTTAATTAGGTCAGTGGATGGCGTTTGGAGATGATTACCCTCATTTGTAAAACAACAGGACGGCCGGGGACTAGGAGGCGTTTGGCTGGCATCGTTATCCAAATACACCGCCCGCGAGGTCGAACGGGCGGTCAAAGAGTGTGTTCGCGATCGGGGCTTGCAATGACTGTATTTACCTTGTTAGACTCTGTATGACTTACCCAGCAGGAACTGTTGACACCAGGGTGAGGCTTTGTTTCCATAGCAAGCCGCAGCTGCCTGCACCTATTTCAGTTCATTGTTTTGCAGTTTTAAATTTCGACAGCCTTTCATGTTCTCGCGTGCTTGTGGCCTATGAAAAGTCTCCAGTTGGCATTGAAGCGTAAACAAGGAGTGTCTGTCCTTGACCCAGTGATTGGAAGCATGGAATTATTGGCAAGACGCTAATGAAATACTCCATTGGTTCGGCGTGATGCGACAAGGACAATTTCAGTGGTGCCCCTGTCCCTCACGTCCTTGCAAGACGCGAAAAAAGAGCAAAGTGGAAGGTCCGACGACGCGCTTCTCTGAGTTGCCAGCTGTCAGAAGAGGCAGCCCCGTCTCCACTTGCATCGGTGGTACCCAACACATTAATTTTGCAGAGCAGTACTTAGTGTGTTCTTACTCTCGTCCTCGCAATGCAGGTCCCGTATGAGCATCCATGCGTAACGGTACTCCCTCGCCTTGTTCCGTGGCTGGTCTCCGCTAAATCGCATCCCTGAAAGGTTTGGACACTCTTCAACCTCCAACTTTCTGACCTCACTGCTGCGCTTTCTCCAGCCTCACATCCATCAGTCGCATCGCACGACTTATCCAGCCTCATTTGCAAACTTGCTGATTGATCGCATCGAATCTGAGCCCTTTGCGACTGGGAATTTTCCTTTCTCGAATGACGCAGTCGGGCTCTTGCCCCTTGCCATTGACTCGTGTCGGTGGCTACGCATCGGTCGCGTGAACAGCAACTCCGCGACCTCTCCTCCCGCTACACTGTTGCGGCCGCTGTCTCCGGCGATGACCTCTGTCCTTTAGTATCATTCGACACACGAGAGACGATGGTTGGTGGCAGGCGAGAGCGGTGAAAGCTGAACAACTTCACGATGACCCGCCAATCCTCGGCGAGCTTCGCGCAGTTCTTCCCTGCAGCCCCCCGCGTCGCTAGGGACAGAGCGAACGAACGAGAGAAGGCAAAGGCTAAGGTTCAAGACTCGGCAGGTGGCCTGCAGAGCCGCTCCAAGAGTGGTGGCACCCCTTTGGTCAACGGCACGACTGGAGAAAGATCATCTGGAGCTGATGGCCTACCCACCGACACTTCACAGCAGCCACACGACGGCCATGAGTCGCCCATAGGAGACACTCTTAACGCTGTCGGATCTGCAAGCTCTTACGCGAGTACGGGCTCATCCGTCTTCAGTGCAGCTGCGCGACAAGCTGTCTCTAGCGGCATATCTCATATCCCTACATCCAGCGGCACGCCGCTCACCTCCATTGAATCACCTTCATACTCAGGCAATGCTGCCTTACCGAAAACGATTATGCTACAAGCGCACAATACCGATCGGGGCGAGGCAACGGTCTCTCTCAATACCCCAACATCCCGCCTAAACAGCTCACTCCCGGAGCCATATCCTCACATTGAGCGCATTCCCGCGCGAGATCCCAACCGATCGCGAAAAGGCATCAAATGCACATATGATCCCTTCAACGACCGGACCCTATCGAAGCACGGCAGGAAAGATGCCAAGCCGATATATAAGGAGTTTGGACTGGTACGTACAAATACGATAAACCTACCCAGTGGAGGGGGAGGGGGAGGCGTCATCTTTTGTGTGTGAGAGCTTTGGCTAATAAACTGAGTAGGAAGATGACGCCCCCCCTCCAGACCCTCGTCTCGCAAAAGGCGGACGACTGGGTTATATCAACACCGATTTTCACCTCCCCAAGTCCCGCTTACGACAAGCGCCATACAACTTGAAACCATATTCTTATGATGTCAAGACATCAATCGGGCCTGGTCCGCCCACACAGATTGTTGTTACTGGCTTCAATCCCCTCATCACCTTTTCAAAGGTGACGGCGGCCTTTGCGTCCTTTGGTGACATCGCTGAGAGCAGCAACAAAATGCATCCTGAGACGGGCAGCTACTTAGGTTTCGCAACGTTTCGGTATAAGGATGCACATCCCAGCCGGTCGAGGCCCACACCCGTCAAGGCGATTGAGGCAACACGTCGAGCTGTCAAATCAATGCACGGGCAACGAATTGAGGCGAACACAATTCGAGTCGAATACGATCCTGAAGGAAAGAAAAGCCGCCGCATGCTCGAGGAGGTTCTGCAGAAAGACACAGTCACACGGGATGTTGCTGTTGCAAAGGCGCCGCCAACTGGCCCCCGAATTGCGCCCGAAAAGGTTCCTGGGCCACCCCCCATGGCACCAAAGGGTCCTTCTTCCCACAGACAGGCCGTGGCTGGGGTGCCTGCCTGGGTCCCAAGCCAACCCAAGATGCACATCGCGCTCGAAGAGAAGGTTATCGCGAAGCAGCTTGCGGGCGAACCGTACATCTTCGTTGCGCACGAGCATGTTCCAGTCATGGTCACGACCATCCCCCACATGAAGAAGCGACTAAAAGCGTTCGCTCTTGAGGACATTCGCATTGATCGAACGGGCTACTACATTCTGTTTCCCAACTCATTTCATGGTCGTAACGAAGCGTCGAAGTGCTACAGAGCAGCAAATCACACCGACTTGTTCACGTACAACATGGTGATGCAACTATCGCTCCCGCCTACGACAAGCCAAGACACCGAATCTGCTGCTCCTCCACCGCGACGGCGGACCCCTAGCCCCGAACGCAAACGTCGAACGGATATACGAGCGCGCGAGGACAAGGACCGCCGTCGTCGCGAAGAGGAGGCAGATCTTGAGGAAGAGAAGCGGCAGAGAGCTAAGAACTTTGACCCGGTCCTCGAGGCTTGCGAGGTGGTTACCCGAGAGTTGGCAGAACATTTGATCAAACACATACGAACGAGAGTTGCCGCTCCCGCTCTGACGACTTTCCTGGACCCAGCAAATCATGCGACCAAGCGAAGAAAGCTCAACTTGGAGGATCCAGCTGGGTCCGTTCCGTCTGTCACAATCGATGCCGGCGATGAGAGCCCTGGAGTCGGCACCCCCAACTCTGGCGCAGATCCAATTGAGCGTCGCACAGGTCGCTTGGAAATTGCAGCTCTGCCACGTATCCGTAAGGCCAAGGCTACTGCCCAAGGAGCATCACGCAATCACGGCTTCACAGACCCATTCTCCCGCAAACGCACAGCGCAACAGACCCGTGGTGCCTTCCGGTCATTGCACCATCGCCTAAAGAGCTACGACAGTGACGCAGAATCTGATGATGAGGTGGCCGTCAGAGAATCCCTGGCGAGGGATACTGAAGAGCCCGACTCTCGACCCCGTAGCCGCATGAGCACAGACGACGACATCAAGGATGACTTTGCCTCCTGGGGTCCCGTTGAGGAGGACTCGATGACCGAGGCAAGTTTCGCTCTTGGGGATGGCCTAGCTTCGACGAAGAAGAGGAAACTCGAACTGGAAATCCAATCGGCGATCAAGCGCCAGAAGAAGTCTGACGAAGAACTATTTGGAGTCAACTTGGAGGGCGTCGAACCTGACCTGTTGATACACGAGATTTCTGAAGAGGCCACACCTGATGCCGACATACTCGAGACACAGAGCAATCGCTCTGAGACTCCTGCGCTATCGACCGCCAAGGGGTTGGCAAAGAAGCAGAAGTCAAAGAAGAAGTCGAAGAGGCAAATCTTTGAGGAACGGGAAGCGTTGAAGAAGCAGCAAGTTCAGACGCCCATGGAAACGGAAGAGGAGACATCAGCCCCCGTCAAATCCCTGCCGGGAGTGGTCAAGTCCGAGGTGTTGCCTGTAGAGAAGAAAGAGGAAGATCCAGAGCCGCAGAAGGCCAAGGCAGACCCCTCGTTGTTCACCACCACGCCAGCCCCAGCTCTCGGTCTACCTGACGATTTCAGGCTCGATATCTCTGCATTGCAAGAGCTGTCGTTACTAGCGGCTGACAGTCCAGATATCTCCAAACTCAGGAGGAGGTTTGCTGGGGCAGATTTCGGCGACCCGCTTCTCTGGTTATGGAGGCGTAATCGCGTTCGAGAGCTTAATTCGGCCACTGGATCGGTTGATCAAGCTGTGGGCATAGGCGGCTACTACGTACCCAACTCTACCGGCGCGGCGCGGACTGAGGGTGTTAAGAAGATTCTGAACGCCGAAAAGTCCAAGTATTTGCCTCACCACATCAAGGTTCAGAAGGCCAGAGAGGCACGTCAAGCGCGGTACAATAAGGACGGCAAGGACGCCGCCGTTGAGGCAAGCAGACTTGCTGTGGCAGAGAAGGCTGTGGCGAAGGGCAACTCAAGAGCCAATCGCGCCAACAATCGCCGACATGTCTCGGCACTCCAAGATGAGAAAAAGATTTCGGGCGACTCTGACGCATTCAAGTTCAACCAGCTTAAAAAGCGGAAGAAGCCTGTCAAGTTTGCCCGATCTGCTATTCATAATTGGGGTCTCTACACTGAGGAAAATATCAACAAGGACGACATGATCATCGAGTACGTCGGTGAGCAGGTCAGACAATCGATCTCGGAAATTCGGGAGAAGCGTTATCTCAAGAGCGGCATGGGCAGCAGTTACCTGTTCCGTATCGACGATAATACGGTAATCGACGCCACCAAGAAGGGCGGCATTGCACGCTTCATCAACCACAGCTGCATGCCCAACTGCACTGCCAAAATTATCAAGGTCGACGGAACCAAGCGGATCGTTATCTATGCGCTCCGCGACATTGCGCAACGTATGTAACCCAACCTGGACCCCTTTTTGTGTTTCCACTTGAAGCTAACATTACATAGACGAGGAGTTGACATACGACTACAAGTTTGAGCGCGAGATTGGCAGCTTGGACCGAATCCCCTGCCTTTGCGGTACCGCGGCGTGCAAGGGATTCCTCAACTAATCCTGTTCGGTCTTTCTGGTGTTATTGGTGGCTGGGCTGCGCCTTTGCATTCGCCCTTTGTATTTCCCAGGCTAAGTTGCCTGCTGGAGTTGGGACTCGACCTGATTCCCTTGGCAGAGGCGAGCAGCTTGCCGCCTCTGATTTTCATCACTTCAACGCATACCCATTTGGATCTGTCTCGTGCGTTTATACTATATGCATCACAACCAAGGCAAGGGGAAAGGAGACGAAACTTTTGGAGGAAATGGGGCGGGTGGGAAAAAAAAACTAGTGTATCATGATTCACTTCGAATAGCTGGCGTTCATGTTGGGTGGGAAGGGGGCGTCTTCATCGACTGGTGAACCCGAGAGCTTTACATCGGCCCTTAAGATCTGGCGAAGGAAGCAAGCGAAGGAAGAAACAAACGATGGGGAAACGAAATGCCTCTCGACAGTCAGAGAGGCAGAGAGCCACATCACCCTTGCTAGGTAATCTGGGCGTATATCCGCAAACAACCACAACCACAAATGTACATACGGCGGAGGGGAGGGGGGAAGGGGGGAGGGGGTATGCTAGGGTTGAGAAAAGACTCAATCAAGGCGAAACTTTTGCTTATTCTTGATATTCAGACAATATCTATTCATGTCTATGTTCTTTAGTCATGTGAAGTTGCTGGTGCTGTTTGGAGACTGACGTTCCTCACAAAGGTGCTGAGGGGGTATAATGGTCCGCTGAATTCCATGTCATACCTGATGTGGTTGGTAGTCAGTATGCTTTGGCACAACCGATGATCTATGGATCTGGATCTACGCTTACCAGTAATTGACAGCAAGAACGAAGCCTTCCCCGCCTTCCGGGCAGGACTGGGAAACCTTGTGGTACCACATGGCGGGGAGGTAGAGCATGTCGCCGGGTTCCAGCGTGACGCGGACAGGCTCCGCGAGGTGGGAGTATGGCGTCGCGTTGACCTGCGGCTGATCCGGGTCCCACGTCGCAAAAGGGATGGTGTCTGGCGTCGGTGTTGTTTCTCCTCCTCTCCATTCGACACCGCCATCATCGTCTTCGGCCCGGTCAAGGTTCAACACCAGCTCGCCATCCTCCTCTCGGCGAGAATACGTCGCGGGCGCGAGAGCCGCCTCGTTGACGCAGGGGTAGCAACAGGGCGGGAGGAGGGCAAAGTGCTTCTGGCCACGGACTTGGACGTAGATGTTCTCGTAGTTGTCCTTGTGGAGGGCGGTTACGGAGCGGGAGGCGCCTATCCAGAGGTTTATGGCATCCGGGTCGCGGTCGAGGGCGATGCGGGCGAAGGGGATCGAGGGGGGCACGTGGGCGAAGAGGGGGAGATATTCGTTGCGGAGGTTGTCGTTTTCTGGTTGAGGGTTAGGTTTATATTTAAGAGTGGGTGGAGGCTTTGAATGTGTCGGGAATTCTGACTCTGAGAAGGTGTCCTTGGACGTGGTGTTGTAGGGTATTTACGTGAGAGGAGTGGGAGGCAAGTGAGAATGAGTGAAGCGTACGTGTTTGAGCATATCTGACTTCCGAGGTGCTGTTGTTGGTCTTTTCTTGGTTGACAACATGGCTAAGAAACTCTTCAAAAACTTGATCCTCCTCATGCGGCTTTGCGAAAACGACATTGCCTTCATGGTCGGTTGGGGCGTCGGCATTGCTGTGCAGACAAACCGTGTAAGTCGAGGATGGTGAGGATCTCAGGTGCAAAAAATGAGGGGGGCAGAATTTTCCAAGCTCACCCAAACGGTGTCACCGCTACATTGACAGTCTGGTCTTTGAACATGCGCAACAAATACTCCTTATCCCACGTCTTATTCGACTGCCATGACGATGCGGCACCGCGAACGACGAAGGGCGTGTTGCGGGCAACGTAGCGCATGAACTCGAGAGGGCTCGGCTCCTCGTCCAGCTCCTCGATGAAGGCGCCGTTGAGCTCGCCGTAGGTGGTAATGAGCTCGGCCAGCGGGTCCTCTGAGACCTTTTGGCCTTGCGAGCTCATGATTTCTGAGTGGATATTGAACGCGGTCGTTCACTCTTTTCTGGTGATGAGGTCCTGAGGGTGAGGGTGAGATTGATGTGTGGTGGCATGACTAAGGCTGCACCTTAACATTTGCGAGAATTGCGGCGACGGGCCACTTGAGTGCGAGGTTCCCGCAGTGTGGTGAAGTGCCCAGTGGATGTCAAAGTTGGATTTAATTGATCTCGCTCTACACTGTCAACCTAACCTATCAATCAGCTACTCGAAGGGCGACAGGCTCAGCCATCGATGAATAGATTTGCTTGTGGTGTAAATGTCGTGAAGTCCCATGACAATTCAATTCGGCATCCGCGCACCCGCACCGCACCGGCCCGTGTACCAATGCCAGGCCCCGGTATGCTGGCACGGGAAGTATGCCCCGGAATTCGGGCCTTACCAGAACCTCAAATAAGAAAGAATACAATATCTTCGCGTGCGGAAAGAACCACGCGAGCGCAAGGATCACCTTCCATTGAACTCATGAGGTTCGTTTGCCGAATGCTCCCATAAGAATCAAGGGGGGGCGAGGGCAGGGCAGGGAGGGTCCTGTGGTGGCATGGTGACTTCGGGAGCACGAGGGTCCTTGGGAAGGGTGGTGCGAACCACACAGGGCAAAGGAGCGGGGCCAATGAGAAGCGCGGCGCGAGTGGGAAGTCAGGCCATTTCAGCGTCCTCATGGCCTGATTATGATGAGTCTCGGGATTCAGAGAGCTTACTACGGCCCATGGCCCACGGGTCAAGGTGTGATTGCCGTCTGTTTGCTTTTGCTGCTCTCTTTTCTAGTATAGACGGGCAGCGGAAATGCCCATCTGATTAATTGAAGGTTAGGCAGATCTGATCTGGGTTGGCAGCGCAGGCTGGCGGGGCTTTTTCGTGGTATATAGAACCGCTGTCCCTTCCCTCCATTCTGCAATGTTTCCTTTGACCCTGTTTTCCATCATTAGGTATCGTGAGGTTATTCTCACCGAGCAAATACACCACAGCTTCCATGCTAGCAACGACCCCCGATACCACAACGATGACTCTAATGATGGATTTCAATGGAGGGGACTTGCCAGCCAGCCAGCCACAGGCCACAAAGCTTCGTCATCATTCTATTCTTCCACCATCTAGCTCCATCGCACGTCCCCCCCTCCCAACTCCGATGAGGCATCTCTTGTGGTCGATCAGGAACTGAAAGCAGTTTCCCTGGGCGCGAACGTGTGCCAAATGCGATCCACCACACCTCGAGCTCGCCACGCGACTTCGCTACTCACGACACATGACAAACCGTTCTCGCTGGAAAGCATCCACGTTCCAGAAGAGCACGATGACAGCGCCCGGCTACCGCGACGCCAATCGCGCTCACGGACACGTCGATTTCTTCCACGCAACATGGGCAATCCTCCGGTCCGTCCATGGCGGGATGACGGGAAACTTCGAGAATGCCCGCTAAGACGTGGGCTTCGACCCTCGCTTCGCCGGTTCCAGCACAGCCATGATTCCAGGGTTCTCTAAGCTTGACCCTTGTAGGGGTAGGAGGCCGAGGCACCGCCCGCCAGGAAATGGACGCTTGCATCTTGGTCTCGGGCCAAGTGGAAGAGTCTGCTAGCTGCCGGGAGACCCTCTTATTCTTCGAACTACCTACCCCAACCGAGCAGACCACGATGCGAGGTGGGAAAACCACGCGGCTTGACTTACACGGACGCATATCCAACATTTTCCTTAGGATCACAGACGCCCGTTCCCTTTTTCAAACGGGTATCTCTGAGTTCCTTTTGGGGCACCTTAGCTGCCTGACCTTCAAGCGAAGACGAGGCAGCAGGAATTCTCTACGACGAGAAGGAGGGTGCCACGACTCATGATCGGCGAATCAGCAATGAAGCGCGCGCCGATGCTCCTGCGGCCAGTTTTCTCCCCAGTCCGTTCCATCGATGCCTTGGCTAGACGGGGAATCGAAAAAATAGAAAGCCGTAACCCCCACCACCACTTTCCGACTGCGGCCGGCTCTGGAAAGATGGACGGTTCAACTGGACGCCAAGACGAGCCGCCGTGCCAAACTCTTCAAGAAGCCTCCGGTCGGCCCAGAGGTTCCACGCGGTCCAGCCAGAACCCAGAGATGGGGAGCACTTGGGGAAGACGAGCGAAATATGTCACTCTTCTTCACTTCTGGAATGTCCCAGAAAGCTTACCAAAGGTCTGATGTTTGAGACTCGCGCGTCACTCGCACAGTTTGGTTGTGGCTACTAGCCTGAAGCAGCAGACGCAAGGCGCAGGCAGGTTGTCGCTCACTGTGGAGGGCTACTGGTAGCCATCCGGAGTTCTTCCTTCGGAGACACAAAGCGCACATGAGGTGCAATCTAGGTGCTTGTTTCCCTCTCTCGCTTGTCTCGAGCTACTCATTCATCTCAGCATCCCCCAAGTTTCTCTGTTTAACTTTTCCCTATCCAAAATAGGCCTGTCCCAAACTGCCCATCAACCTTATTTTACTCCCTATCGTTTCTACGAAAGGGAAGCTTTCTCTGTTCTGGTCCAGATTGTTCTCCCTCCGGATCCAGTCTCCCTGCTGATGCCGACACACGTGCACCCCGACACACAGTTGGTCTTGCTGGAGAAGCCGTTTGAAGTGTTGCTTCTTTTGACGCAGGCAGGGTATTGGTTGGGCGCGGCGAACCTCCTGCTTCTGTTGTTGCAATGGAAGAAGTTCTTCCTCTTCTTGGATTGTCTCACCATCCTAAGACGTGCAGACGTCAGCGCCGGTACCCAGCTGGAGCTGGTGCCAGGTTTTTAATGGGGCGACCCCTATCAGGCACCCGGGAGCAGGGACGGTCTCCAGCTTGGCAGTGACGCCAAAACGCCCTTGGCTTGACCCCCTTGCGCTGGTATGGCTTTCGTCGCCTTTTGTAAGTAAAGTCTCCTCCAGGTCTTTAAGACACTCCGAGTACCGAAACATCAGAGCGAGAAGCCTCGTCGTTTGTCGCTCCCCCCCCCTCGCTCAGACTCAAGTGCGTCTCTTTCTTCTTCGACCCTGCAGGTCGCATTTTGAATAAACTGTCCCTGTCGCGTGACAGGGGTTGAAGAGTCCAAGTCCCACTCAGTTCCCCGTCCACCTCACATCGTAGGGAAGTCGTCCCATGTTCCTCGACAGATGCTGCCACCAAGCCACCACCATCGGCAGGTTCCACCTTTCCCCAAAGATAGGTAGGTACATGGCCCAATACCGCCTGCCGGTCCAGGTACGAACACCTGAGGTGGCCACCACCTTACTTCTGCCAAGCTACCAAGGTGCGAGGTGAGGAGAGCGCAGTGAGGGCAACTCTGAGATTCTAGCGCGGTACGGCACGGTACGGACACACGCCTACCTTAGCCTACCTTTAGGAACCTTGCCTGTGCCTCGCACTCTCAGCAACGTCAACCTGCGCAAGCGCACCTCACGCATTGGATCGCACCTTTCCTGGTCTGTCTGGTGTCGTTAGTACTGTCTCTGTTCACGTCTCCCCAGCTTACATACCACCCGATCCCATCGCATCGCCGTATCTTAACCTCCCACCACCTGCACAGAGGGTACATGATCCTTTCCGAACTACCTGCAGTTCCTCTCCTGCAGCCTGAGGTCGCTCAGGAAGGGTTTCCTCGGTCTTGGCCGCATATCATTTCTCCGCACCCCTCTCGTTTCGGCCAAGATTGCTTGCACCACACCACACCGCACCGCATCGCGCCGCGCTGCAATCCCATCGAACCACCCACTCACACCGAAGCAATGACTACAGTCGGCCCTATGGTGAACATCGCCCATTCTCCTCCCAACTGATCCGGTCCTCCTCCTGCGACTAACAAAAACTTCCATATCGTCTTGAAAGCCTCCTCCCAGAGCCAGCGCCACACCATCAACCAGTCTTGTACTTTGTTTTCTGGCCCCGTCGCAAGTGTCCGTCGCCGTCGTTCCATTATACACCTCTCCCGACACCCGATCGACCAACGGACGAGGGACCCCACTGCCCACGTCCCATCCCCGTCCGCTTCCACACAACCTCTACATCAGTCGCCCAGATCCCTCCACCAAAGGACCCCGTACAACAGTACTTTTGCAAAAGCTTCCTCGTCCCTCTCCCCCGCGTCGAGAGTACTTTCCGAACCAACGATCCCCCGGCCGCTCCGCATGTTCGATTCCTTTGGCCGCCACACCTCAATCATCAGTGTCGAGTCGAACCATGTGTAGGACGACTTTCACTTGCAGACTGATTACTACAATATTACTGTCCCGTGCAGTCTAACACTGGATGGATCGTACGCTCAACTAAGCAGCGTCCGCTTCTGCAACTCTGCAAATTCAACTACCAATTCTTCTGTTGCAGTCGCTGCAAGTTCACTTGCAAACGTCGCCGCAGATGATTTGGTATCTTTTGTATCCTTTGCGAGGGTACGGATTCCCTCCTTTCCCCGACCCAAGCTGGTGCCACTCATCATGGATCAGCCCCGTTGTATTGTATGTCCTGACTTACCTATCTGCAGAACGACGGAAGCTCCAGCCCTTGCCACGAACCATCCTCTCCGCCGAGCGTTTGCGCGATACGGTCGATATGCCTCCAGACACGTAGTAACGACCCTCATCATCTCCGTGACCGTCGCGGCGATCCTCATATACCCCTTCCCGTTCCTCTACACCTCGGACCTGAGCAATGGCGCCTCCAACCTCCCCCATCATGTGTGGACTGCTGCGCAGCCGCTCAAGGAAAACAGCATCGAATCCGATGTAATCATGCGCTCCATTTGGGTTCACGGCAGCTACATGAAAGCATTGGACCACGACGTGCTGCTAGGCGCGCTCGAACTGCAGGATGAGCTCCTGGGTCCCACCAAAGATTTTAGCCCACGGCGGCCCGTTACGTCCCTTCGGGCCCACGATCCGCATGCAGATCTTGCCCCTCGAGACCGAGATGCATTCCATGTCGTCAACGGCCTCACCAACCAGTCGTGGTTCTTCCATTCGCCTCTCCAGTACTGGGCATGCTCCACCGAGCGCATATCTTCCGACTCGGACATCATTTCTACCGTCAATGCGCGGAAGACTCAGCCAACCTCAGTAAACGTCACTCTACGACATTCCATTGTCTTCAGCGGGAAGCGCTTCGAAGATCGAAAACTTCTGGCCGCCGATGCTCTTGTCATAACATTGATCCACCTGCGCGATTCGCCGGTCGGTCGTCAGTGGGAGAGGAAGGCTGAAGCTCTCGCAAATCGGATGAGACACAAATGGACAGCTTACCCGGCCGACGGGAAGAGCATGTCCAGCCAGCTGTACGAGTTCCAATTTATGCCCATCTCCGTTCAAGACACAGTATTCCTGGCGCTGGCATATGCTCTAGTCGCGAGTTACTTTCTGTACAGCCTATCCAAGCTAAGGGCGGTCAAATCCAAATTTGGCCTGATAGTCACGGTCTTTGTCCAGATTGTCGTCTCTATCATGTCCAGCTTTACAGTCTGCGCCGTTTTCCGGGTCGACTTATCCAGAATTCCGCAAGCGGCATATCCGGTCGTGGTTCTCTCCATGAGCCTCGAGAACATATTCAGACTCATCAACGCCGTCATTTTGACTCCCTCGGAGAACAGCACAAGTAGTCGAATCAGCCGTGCATTTGGAGAGACGGCACATGTTGCGCTGGCCAGCTCGGCCCAAAATGTGCTTATCCTATGGGGACTATCCAAGATAGTCTCCCCTGGTGTGTCCGCATTTTGCAACTTTGTGGCCGTCGCTATTGTGTTTGACTTCTTCTACCTATCGACCTTCTTCCTCGCGGTCCTCAGTGTCGATGTGCGACGAACAGAGCTTAGTGACGCGCTTGCCAAGGCATCGCTGAAAAACAACAGGTACGGGCAGGAGCAGCAACCTGCGAATAGGAGCTGCCTCGAGGCAATGCTACAAGGAAAAATTGGCCTATCAACGCGCATTGCAGGCACTGTCATCATGATCACGTTCGTTTTGATTGCTCAGTGGCACTTTTTCGAGAATGACACTTTCATCCGACTGGTACGTGGAATTTTCAGGGTTTCTAGAGACACCGTCAGCTTTAGCCAACCGAAGAACTCAATCCTTGTCGATATTCACCAAGCGCGAAGCCCAACATCTTGGCTTCGGCTTCAAGACCACGAAAGCGCCCGCGAGGTTATCAACGTCATCAAGCCCAGGTCCCACAGTTACATCGCTCGGGTATATGACCCTCTAGTATTTGTCCTTAAGGGCGCGGACCGCACGCCTGTTATGCCGGAACGTCCACTGCTGCCGGCTCTATATGACTTCATCGACCATCATCTGAAGCACTTTCTCGTCACCGTGTTATTCATTCTATCTGCTGTCCGTCTTCTCATGAACTACCTACTGTGGGGAAACGACGCTGAGTCGAGACGCAACGATGATATAGGGGATCAACCCCTTTTGGCCATTGAATCCCTCCCAGAGTCTCACTCCCTGGACGTTGTTCTCATGTCCTCGTCATATGACGGGCACATTATTTCCGTCGGCCTGGACCGCTCAATTCGTGTGTGGGACGTCAGGTCGGGCGTCAGGGACTACTCGCTGGCTGACATCGAAACACCCCCCGAAAATCCCTTTCCGGTGTTGGCAGTTGCTACGGACAAGAAATCCAGCTGGTTGGCATTGTTATCCTCCCATAAGGTCTTCCTATGGAACTTGGTTGAGCATCGATGGAGTCAGCCGATTCCAGTCGATTTGAAGAATCAGAGGCCTGAAAAACCCGAGGGATTCTTCTTCGGAACACCGACTTTTGACTTTTCGAGCCCCCTCGTCATTGTGCGACGAAATGGAACCATGATACAGATTGTTCCTGGTCAGAATGAGCCTAAGGAATTTTCCATCTGCAAGAGCCCCTTAGTTTCCGTCCGTCCGCTGGTACAGAAGATCGCACCCAGCGGTACTGCGCAGCTGTCTATTCTGACAGCGTCGAGAAAAGGCTGTATACATGTTGCGACACAGCAGCGAGACGACACTTGGATCTCACAGAGCCTCGACGTACACACAGCCGAAGACCGCGGTGCGTCCCAGGTTGTGCCACTCTCGGCACTCGGTTCGTTCCTTGTAGCGAGGTCTCATACGGTTGACCTGGTCGATGCGAAAACGAAGACGCTGCTTCACACCTTTGAGACGGACCCAATCCAACCGCGGTCGTTGAGGTGTATTCACTCATCACGGAGGAAACCTCAGTGTGGGTCAGTAGGGCTTGTTTCGTTCGGCATCGCGTATACACATGCGGACAAAGGCGACTGCGTGATTCACACTCTGACGCCCAAAGAAGAAGGCAAAGTCATTTGCTTCCGTAACACAAATATGCCACCCAGTCGAAACTGTAGTGCGTGGGCCGATACAGTCGAGTCGAAACGAGAGATCAGTAATCCGGGGACGTGGGAGGCATTGCCGAACGGTTTCCTCGTGGGCGTCCGGAGAGGGGTATACGATAGCGGATCGAGCAGCGGCGAGTCGTCACCGACAACAACCGGGGGCCTCCGTCACAGGATGTATCAACGATTAGAGAAGCGACCGAGCAGATCGCAGGACAACTGGGAGGTCTGGGTGGCTTCAGAACTGGGGCGGGAGGAGATCTACGAAACAAGGCCCCTTCATGCCGAGTACGAGATGGGTTCGCATCTCATTATTTCGGAACTGGGTCCCATAGTCAAGGTCGGCACGGCATCGGTGGCGGTTGGGTTCGGCAACATCATCAAGCTTATCACGGTTGGACACCAGCACTTTGAGGACCTGGCCGAGAACGAGAATGGGGAATCTTTACACATCGGTAGCCGACGACGGAAACCGGCAGCTGTTGCGCATGCCCGGATGAAGGTCCCATCATGGATTTGAAGGGTTTTAGCGTGAGTCGAATTTGGAGGGGAGGCTTTTGGATTGAAAGGAAATTTATTATCTTCTTTTTATATACCCATGATCGACACAAGGGAGTTGGGATTTTTTTATTTATTACTTGCACATAGTTTTGAGATCATACCCCCCCATCATAGCAATGAGGGAAGCCAGAATTATAAGATTCCACATTTCAGCACATACATATGGTTCTTTCTGTGGCGGCTTCAGTTCGCTATGGTGCTGGACAGACTTCTGGTGGAGACAGTAACTCGGGACGTCTTGGGACAACGTGTAGAAACTCGGATGAGATGTATGTTCACGAGTCGACATCTTGGTGTGTCGAGTTTCAAGGCGAAGCTTGTTTTACTTGGGCATGGTAGGTCGTTACTCAGCGACCAGTCTACCAACCCGTTCACTTCGGCTTTCATTCTCTGCAGTTGAGTTCCCCTCTTTACTGTATGCTGTTGACTCTAAAACGTTGCCTGTGGACGTGCGGGGTTTGTTGTCGTTCGCAAACGAGTAGGCGTTTTGCTCCACGAGGCGTACATCAACCAGTCCATCGTAGCTAACTACCACATACGACCATACCCATTGGAAAACTCGGGATCCCGTCCGCTCTCCCATAGATAAGCTAATGAGGGCTGGATTAGTAGTTGGGTCGGTGACGACCAGCGAATACCCGGTGTTGTATGTTTTTGTTCATTTTGGGTGGGTGATGTCGTGATATCGTGATGTTTAGGTATTGTGGTGGAGCTGTTGCGATTGTGGTGGGTTACGACGTTTTTTGGGCGGGTTGGAGGTGTGTGGGGTTCTACTCTGTTCAGACGTGCCGGGATGACATGATTTAGTGTCTGTATGAATCTATCAGCAGTGGATACAGCAAAATGTCTCTCTGTTTTCCCTCTTAGGGGGAATGGTGCTTCGTTGAGCTCAATCTTTGGGGGTTTGAGGTGAGGTGTCCGTTTTGCACTTACACACAACTAAGCATTCCGCGCCAGTAGTAAGGGAGCATCTTTTTTAACCCAGGGAACCCATCTCTCAGCGTCTCTGTAGCAGTGTGACGGCGCTTCGTTGATAGCTAATGTACCCTGAGTGACGGGAACAGAATCATCAATCAGCGGGAAGTGGAGTAATATGGCCTGCCTTCCTATCATCTAACCTTTCAGAATGATTTCCTTGAAGGCGAGATGCTTGCGGACCACAGTGAACCCCGAAAGTGAGGACAATAAGCAGCCGAGTCGGGCTTTCAAAGGGATGTTGGGTAAGGCGGACGTGCCTTTTTATGTGTGGCAGAACTGGTGCCTTAAGATATCTGCGCAAGGCAGGGACGATGTTGCCATGAAATTCTTAGCATGAAAGTGCTTTCTTTGGAGAAGATAGCGTCTAGTGGTGTGTGTGAAGCATCAGCATAAGGAGGAGCATCAGAACATCACTTTTCACCTCAAGCTCTCCATTGACTCAGGTTATTCGTGTTGAGTGCGGAAGGGAATAGCTATAACAAGTTCTATTCTATAAGGTGCTACAATGTGCACTAGAGGAAATTTTCAGAGCCGTAAAACAGCTCCGATATAGCAATGGGCCTTTGCCAAACGCAAAACGCAGACGAGGAGGACGCATAGTGCCAGATGCAACTTCCAAACTTACTTAGAAGTGTGATGAGACTGACTTCGCGAAATTGGACAGGACACTCTACCAAGGAGCGATGATATCATTAATATATGTCCGCCTGTTTCCGTCACCGGGCTGAGGCAGCATGCAAAACTCAAATTTGATGTCTTGGTTTTCCGTTGTGTCATGCTTATCGTCACGATAGACTTGAGATATCTTGCATTTAGCATGTTTCTACTACACGTCTACTCTTTTCTATTCATCTACATGACCTTGAAAGTATCTATTGACGAATCTTCTGGTAGAAACGAATATATGCGAAGCCTGCTATAGCTTTCTACCTGTGGACAATGATATCTTCTGCAAACATCCTGGGACAGCAGTCAGTCCCAGCTGGAGTCCTGATGCAGAAGAACCGTATCAAGGTATTAATTGACCTGTTCGTACCACTGCTGGAAAGGCGGATGGAAGATGAAAGCTGTGGGCACGACAATTCCAGACATGATTTATACCAATTTGAAAGAAAGCCACGGCAAACCTGCACTTCACATGTGGGGGCTGGCATGGATGGGAGAGATCAAGGCATGCGCGCAGTGCATCGTTGTCGGCGTATTTTTTTCAACGATGAAACCAGAAGTTATAAACGACTACGGTGTTTGAACGGGCCAAACTATTATATCAAGCAGCCAAGGCCTACGAAGAGGAGACTGTGAAGAACGCCACCCTTCTTACACTTCTGCAACGGTGCACAAGGATTGAGAAGAGTCATAGGTACACAGAGCCAGTGGAGTTATGCCGAAACACGGCAATATCAGATACATTGTGTAGACCTAAAAGATTACATTTTGTGGTTTCGAATATAACATATGGTGTTTTCCAAGAAAGTGTATCCCGCACTCTCGATCCTGGACGTCTAGGTCTCATTTGCGTTGCTCAACCCTTTTTTTCCCAAGTAGATACTGTAGCCCGGCCCCGAACCTCTTACAAGACCATATCCCATTGTTGGCGCCGGATATAACAATTCCAAATATTCCAAACAAGAACGGCCCTGAAGCAGCTTACTTCCCTCAAAAGACTCTATACCGTCTCTATCAAAAGACTCTCGCCAAGCCGCCTGGAAACCAGCCCAAGACGACGGTCCGTCCACTCCGGCTTGAGTCGTCACCGCTCTACAACAGCACTTCCTTCCAGCTCACTGATACCGCGGCCTCCGACACGGGTACCGATCGGGGAACCAAGTTAAGCACTCCTCGCAGGCATCGTCGAGGCCTATGGTCTGCCAGACCTGTCTCTTGGCGCAGGGTTTCTGTATGAGGCTCGCGGGCTGGCAGAAGCGGGCAAATGCGAAGGAGAGGTGCTTGCACGTGAAGGCGTGGGCGTAGTATTGGCACATTATGGGCTGTGTTATGCTGGTGGGCGTAGAGGAGGTTGTTGTGGTTTAGAAATGCGATAGCTTTCTATCGTGAGAGCTGAGAAGGAGCGTATTGAAGCGTTGATAATGAGCGGTTGGATCTTTGGCGCGGAGTAGTGTATTACTAGTCGAGAGACCCTTTCGGGTTTGTAAGGTTGTGTGGTTGGCCAGTTGGAAGGCGAGATATTTCTACAAATGGCGATACTCGTGGCCGAGGGTGTCAATGTAAGACGTGCGAATATGAGCCGAGACTCGCTCTTTACTCTCTGAATCACGCAGGCGTAAGGAACGAATGTGATGATGTTGGATCAATACAAGATTCAGGAAACATGCCAACCACGCCTGAGAGGGACCAGCCGAAGGAACCTGTATTTGTAGTTTCCATAACCTGCAAACATGCCAATGCCAGTCCCGTTTGCCCATGTCGGGGACCAAGCCGCGAGGGGTTCAAACGGCGTTACTTCGATCCTACAGACAACGCCGTTTGGCAAGCTGTAGGAAGCCTCCTCCGGCCTTCGCGGCACTCGAGCCGGAGGGCGAGGTACACAAAAAGGAGAGAAACCATGTTTAAAGCACCGAGATCTGTCATCTTGCAAGCAGGGCGCGCAGGTCGCCCGGACGCTGCAACGTCCCGCCCCGGAAAGCAAACGGTGGTTACCGCGGCCAGGAACCGGGAACGATAACGCAAGTCTCAAACGAAATCATTTGTTCTCATTCGAAAGTCAACGGGGACCAAGATCAAAGAGTTTGCCAGCTGGCAGATGGTGTGTTGTACTGTCTGATGAATGCATCCACGTTTCCAAAATGTGTGCCCGACAAATGTCATGTTGTCTCTCGCGTGAAATTAGGGGCAAGTCGACACGGCCAAGGGGTTCCAGAGTGACTGGCCAACCTTCAACCTCACCCGGTGCTGAGGTTTTGATCGTGGCATATAGGGCTGCAGGCCCATGGTCCCAGGATCGTAGTGTAACGCAGTCCAGACCGAGCCCGACTCCGAGTGAGATGACGCAGTCGTACAGTTTAGGGGCGCGATGTTGAGGCTGGCAGAAAGTACGACGGCCGCTCTCATCTGCGTTGACAACACATGCAGAGAGGTGCATTTGTACTGCGACCTCGATGACAACGCTGGAGACATGTACAGAAGTTGGCAGGCCATATTGCAAGGCATAATTGCATGCGTGGTAGTCATCTGCACCCATTTCGACATTACATTACTTGCCACCCCAGAAGAGCTCTGGCATCATGTCTTGTCAAGGTAAAGTGGAGGTGGACCCATCAGGAGACAAGAAATCGCATTTCCAAGATGACATAGGTGACAGAGCCGCAAGGAACTCGGAGGCCAGTTCCTCACCGCCAGTTTTCGTCCTGCCTGTTTGTTGCTGCTGTTGATGCTCACTTCTGCAGACGTCAGGCCGTGCTTCAGCGTGTAAGCCGTATGCTGGATTTCCTGTGAGCAGGGGCGGCGCCATTCAGTGAAGAATTAGCCGGTGGATTGAGAAGGAGGGATGGCCGCATTGATCATGGCCCAGCGTGAGCATCGTTGTGGGCCCTATGCTGATCAGGTCCAGTGCATCCCTCTCTTCACCTTGAAAATCTGGGAACTTCAATGGCATCGGTGTGTTGGCGTGGCGTAACAGTGCGACTTATTCCTTGGAGCGCTGAGATTTGAATGCGCGCAGTTATCAGGCGCAGCGAGGCCATTGACTTATGCGCTGGCACCATTGACGCCTTTGGGAGGCCGCACACGAGGCCGGCGAATCGCAATTGAGAGCTGAGGGATAGCGACACTGGGGAGTTGGGGGGGGCGGGGTTGTAGGCGGAGGGGGGGCAATGTCGTTTGGGGCGGGACCCTTGGCGGCTGTGGGGGGGCGCCCAAGGGGGGGGGGGAACGGAATTAGAGGGGGGGGGGAAGGGGAAATTTTGATTTTGGGAAAGGGAAAAAAAAAAAAAAAAAAAAAAAAAAAAAAAAGGTGGCTGGGATGCCGAGAGTTGAGTCGAGCACCAAGGGACCTTTTCCCTGCGTTGAGAAGCGCGCCGCGTCCCGTTGGTTAGATCAGAAGACGATCAAGAGACGTTCGACGCTAGTCCACAGACAGTCTAGATCATTTCGGGTCGCCACGAAACAGGGGCTACTGCCAAACGCTAGGTAAGGTAGTGGGGCGAGTCAGCGGGACGTATCCTCTTGGTGGAAACACCGTGGAGCACAAGTTATTCCATGATGGACGACTTGTGCCATTTTACCCAGTCTTCCTCGTACAAGACGGCTTGTGCAACCCCTATCGGTGAATACACCACGATGTCTGAACAGCATTTGTTTCGGGACGTGGGCTGGGCGTTTTGAAACCCCCAGACTGACCAGGGTGACAGTCGCACGGGCTGTCTGGTTGCTGTTCGAGGGCGACAAGAAGATTACTCGACAGTCGACAACCGGCCACGTTGTGCGCCTCTGGGACCCTTGCTTCGCCCGCGTAGGGTGCATCAAACACAATGGTCACGGCCAGAATTAGGCTTACTCCGTACGTGGGGAGCATTCGACCGATATCAGTTCGCCGGCAGCAGGCCACGAGAGCGCATTGCGCCTGTCTGTGTGGGCGCATGGCGAAGTCTCAAAGCGACGCGAAAGACATGTTCGGCGAAGGGAGGAAAAGCAAGCAAGTCAGCGGCTCAGGCTGATTTGTGCACATCAAGCGAGATGGCATCTCCCGTGTCTCAGCTCGGCGTGATGACATGGCGGGTGGACGGTAAAAGTGCGAGAGGACACTTCGGAACTGAGGTTCGTGTAGCGTCAAGCTTGGCCGCCGCCGTCGCAACTATTGGGAGGAGTTTCTGTCTCGAGGGCCGAAGCAGACATTTTCAACTCGCAGAGGGGTCCAGTCGAGCGGGCTGCCGGTCAATGAAGGACACTCGAGACCCCGCGGAGCCTTGGGTTGGTTTGTTGGTCGGCTTGTCTCGGAGCGTTATCCCGCGCGTCACAACGAAAGCGCGGCGCTATCGTGTCGTAGGCGTCAACTCAGATCGGAAAGCATCCTAGGGTTCAGACGAACGGCGCATGATTCCGTAGCGCGTTCGGTTGAATAGATTGGATGGCGAGACTGGAGACCGTCGAAGAACGGAAGAAGCAAGCCTCAACTCCTCAATGCGTGGGACAAGTCGATGACCGAGGAGATCTCAGCATGCTGCCATTTGCTCGGAGAGTGGGAGAGAGGGCTAGAAGAGGGAGGATGCCGACGACTGGAAGAGAGAGCCGGTGGAGGCAGACAAGAAGGTGGCCAGGAAGGATTCCCGTCTTCACTCCTACCTTAGTAGTGTGTCTGGCTCTTGCGGCTTGCCACGCTGGGCAAGTCGCAATTGCCAGTGCCATTTCACTTTCAGAAGCGGGTCGCAGGGGTCCCAATTTAGCGCGGGCATCTTTTTACCCCCCGTGTCCCCGTCCTAGTTCGTGGGAAACGGTGCCTGTGCTTGGCCTTCCTTGACTTGCAAGCCTTGTTTCTCCCACGCTGTATCCGTACCTCCGTATCCTGCCTCTGTCCGGCTCCAGCTCCAGTTCCAGCTTTCCAGCTTTCCAGCCCAAGCTCCAGCTCTAGGTAAGCTCTTTTTCTTTCTCTTTCTGTCTCCCCCAAGCTTCATTCATCACTTTGGCTGAAAACCCAGCCTTTCCAGCCCCAGCCATAGCATTCCCAGGCTGATGTCACCGGCTGCTGTGTTCTGTATCAGTCTCCGCAATTCTCTCTTTCTCACGAGCACTCAGCCTCTCACTTCTCTCCGTTTTCTGCCCAATCCACCACCCGTCTTCGCATTCGATTCCGCCGGGGATCCCATATCAGCTGCTCTCAATTCACACGGTGCGCGCGGTGCGTGTCGTCTTCCGAGAGGTGGACAACTCATCTTGCAGCATACTGGCCCCCTCATCCAACTCTCAATATCCCACTTCATTCGCTGCCTCTCGTCTCTGTACGACATCGCCCACAGCCGCCGTTCCTGCTTCCACCTCTCATCTCAGCTCATAATCGCCCAACCCTTGGTGTCCAAACTCAGACGTCCTATCGCGCGGCCACCACCACCTGTTGGGCGACTTCGTCATCCATCTGTACCAGTACCCCAGGAAGTGCCTCCATTCCCAACCGGCCTCGGCTCTCCAGGATCTACGGCCAGACTGCCCAGCAGCTCTCGCGAAGGCCCACACTCGTTCATGCACAATACGACAGCACGCCCCAGTCCTCTGCGCCTGTGTCTGCAAGCTCTCCTTTAGGGCACATATAACCTGCAGCTACCTACATTACCTTACCTTACATTACATCGCCTGAACCCATTTCAAAACTTACCTGCATCGCTGCTGTTCCTCGACTCGTCCTCGATCACCGTCGAGATGCCTTCATAGCCCGACCTTCATCACAGTACCTCGTCCTACCTCAATTCCACGACTGCAACTGCTACCAGCCGTCTCATCTCGTCTGATCCGATTACACCTGCCTCCCACCTTGACATTGACGCACGTTTGGCACTTAGTCCCGCCCCCGCAGCCACGCCCACGCCCGCTCTTCACCGCCTCCTACGCCGGCATTGCCCTCTGACACTCGTTTATTCTCCCAGGGATCGCCCTCGTAGCCCATCGGGTAGTTCTATCTACATCTGCTTTGAAAAGGACTCTCGACAACAATCCACCCAAGCATCGAGCGACGTCGTCATGCCATTTGCAAAAACGATCACTCAATCACTCGTCTCCTCATTTGAGCCTCATTTTGCTCTGTCACTTTGCTAGTTGCTGTCTGCACCTAGCAAGTTTCCCACTGGTCGCATGGTCGGACTCCCTCACTTAGCACTTACTGTAATGTATTATACCCGTGAGTATTCATCCCCTCCAGATTACACTCAATGCGATCGATGTCCGTAGTCGCTGACCACCGGCATAACTCAGTGTCATTACCAGGCCAAAGATAAAAACGTAATCGGCTTATTCTACTTCCCGGATCTCACCTCGAGCTTTCTGCAGCTCTCATAATCTTGGCTCATTCACTCTCACCTGTGGCTTACTCCCAGCCCTTTCTATCGCTCTTCCATTCATTGCTCGCCCCCTTCTCCTGAGCGACTTTGAATCGGCGCAAAGAACGGCACTAAATTACCATTGGCGAATTTTTGGCGATTTCCAGTCCACTTCCTCACTTGGGGCTTGCCATTTCTTTTGAAGGCCCAGGGAAGCCGCGATACCCATCTCCGCCATCCCACCTCACCTGCCTCACATTTCCGAGCAAGTCCCGATGGCTTCCTCCGAAGTGGATCAGAAGTTTCTCGGAAAATGGGCCAAAACCGTCGAAACCGATAATCCACTCTTATCATCAATGCTCTACAAGATCCTCGGACTCTCTCTGAGCCTCGCAGAACAACTGGTCACAGCGAAGAAACAACGTAGACCCGATGCCGCCCGCGCGCCCCAATCTCTCGACCTCATTTTCCACATCATCTGGCTTTCGAGAGAGGGTCTAGTGATGCTCCAGCAATATGTGATTCCCATGGTGGGCAATCACACAGAGCTCCGGGTGTTGGCGTACAAGCTACGAGCATCGTTCTACCACATCTTCGTCCTGTTCCACAACAAACCTGCAGTGTCCACCATGGGCATTGCAACTCCAGACACAATGGCCGGATTGACCCCACCAAGGTTGGACAAGGGCAAAGGGATCGCGAGGGAGGATTGGAACTCATCACAAGGCTCAATACAGCCCACCCATGCCCTCGAGGGCGGTCCGGTGAACCCTCCGCCGGGTTTCGCTCCCCGAGACGGCTCCGATCAGCCTGCCGCATTCCTCGAGCCGCCAAGAGACTATCTCCCCGAGGCGCATAAGTATTTCAAAGAGGCGATTACCCTGGCCGATCAACATCTCTGGGGTTCGCACTCGTTACGACTCTCTGTCAAGACTGAATACGCCGCGTTCCTTTACGAATGTGTACATGACGCTGACGGGAGCCGGAAACTGGCCAAGGACGCCATTTCCGAGGTCTACGAGGCGACTGAGGGCATGGACGACGACATGTTTTCCGATGCTTGCGAGCTGGTCACCGTTCTGGGCAAGATGATGAAGCGAGGGCTCGGGTCGAGCAACAATACTTTAACTAGGGGAACCAGCCCCAGTCCGGCTGCACCGCCAGGAACGACAATGGCCCCCGGCATGGAGAACCCCATCTGAGTGATGGCATGTCTCGATGGTGACCATTCTGTGCCCTGGTTAGGAGGCACTCGTCCACACTCCACCTCCAGCCAAGGGTTTCTCTGGGGAGGTAGCTTGGTAAGGGCAGTACGGGCAACCCTGCTCTGATTGATGGCGGAAGCCACGCTCGGTCGAGTAGGAGTCAGGCACGACAACCTCCCCTGATGGGATGCCTCCCACAGGCAACTTTCCTCCAGGCTTCTTTGATGTACAAAATTTGGCTTGACAACTATCGCCGCAGCGGAGTTGAACATTTCGTGGAACATCCTCGATAACTTGGGCGCACACAGCATCTCCAGCGGCGCATTGGGTGGCACATAATATTACAGCGGAACCCTAGATGAATTCGAGGGCTGCTTACTTGTACTTATATATTGGATACGGCGAGCATAGAGGCGAATTGAAATGGTGCGGGGTTTCTCATATGCGCCACGCAAGATGGCTGTTTTGTTGTAATAGTTGATTCCATTGATACCCCGTCCTCTGCGGTGGCTGCTAGTGGTACTTGTACCATCTTCTTTTCCATAGGAGTTTTCAAGATTCAGGCGTTTCTCCGCAACTCACATCTCGTGGTAGGGAGAGGCCACCGAGATGAATCACTCTCACGAGCAACACGCTGACAAGGAAACTCCGCATCGAGTCTCATGCTGTGAAATAGGGGTGTTCAATTCGGCGCTACGTCCTTGATTTCCCCTCGAAATCCCACGCCGGGAAGAAAGAATGAAGCAAGGCTGGGTGGCTCGGTATGGGAGGGGGCAGAAAAGATCCCTAGTCCCCCGCAGTAATAAACTCGTACCTAGAGAGACGGCCTAAAGCAAAATAACGCAAATACCCCCGTTCTATCCATTATCCCGAGTCCCATCCCATTTTTATATCCCGCAACCCGTCTGTCTAAACCAGAAGCCCTAGCCCCCCATTCATGATCATAGACTCGTAGATGAAAAGGGGCGATTCGGTCCGTCTCTCGTCGAGGAACCCCCGCATCCTCGTCATCGTTATTCATTAGTAGTCACCCCCTCGAGCCAGGTATCTCAAGGGGCAAGGGGGGGGAGCGCAGAAAAAGAATCAATCCTCGTCATCATCGACCAGCGCATCGTCAGGAGTGTCCTGACCCTCGTTGGGATCCAACAGATCCTCGCCACCAGCCACCGAAGAAGCCCAGCTACGAACGCCCGCCACCTTACCCCGGTCCTCCTCGGCCTCACACCTCGACTTGATCATGTGTAGCGGCACCATCCTGCCCGTGGCGTTGTAAAAGTTGGCCTGCATCTCTAGCCATTTGGTCGCCTCCCTCTTGGATACCAAGGCCGCGAGCGTCGCGTCGTCGCGGCGCTGCTGTCTGTCTGCCGGGCTGGGCGGTCGTCTGCTGGCGGGCGGGGGAAGCGGCCATTCCCTCTTCTTTGACGCCGCGGCCGGCGGCATAGGAGGGTAGAGCGCTGGGTGAACGTGGCGGCGTATGTAGCGTTCCTGGCAGGCGAGTTCTCTTTCGTAGTGGGCCAAGGGATCAGCTTCGTTGTCGGCGTCGTATTCATCTTCGCTGGTAGCAGAGGACGAGGACTCGGGCGAGGACTCGGACGCCGAAGAGGTGTCGCGGAGGAGGTTGAAGCGGTCTCGGTAGGATAGGCTTGGGGTCTCGTCGTTGGAGTCTGTAGCAGGCTTTGGCGACGAGTCCTTTGACGGGATGGGCTTGGCGGGTTTGGTTGTTTGCTTGGGTAACTTGGGCCTGGGCTCAGATATCTTCGCCTCGGTGGCCTTCTCCCCCTTAGAAGGTTTCTGTGACTCTTGTCGTTGGTCATCGAACTTGGGGCTCTCCGTTTTCTTCTGCTTCTGCTTTTCGGCCTTGCGCTCGGCCTTTCTCTCTGCTTTGGACTTATACTTGTCGTCCGTCTTCTTGACCTCGTCATGGCTCTCGTCGGGCTTGATATCAGCTTCGGTATCAGCTTCGGTATCAGCTTCGGTATCGGTCTGAGATTCTGTCTGGATGGTTTCTCCTCCTGACTCCGTCTGAGTCTCGCCTCCAGATTCGGTCGAGTTGGCATAGTTGACCTTCAACACATGCCAGCGCTTCTTGACCTCGTTCTTGCCTCTGTTGATGGCGTTGCCGATGGAGGCCCAGGTCTCTCCACCCTCCTTCATGCTGAGGATGAGGGTGTCCTCCGAGACAGTCCAGTCGCCAGAATGCGATGACTGGGCCCCAGAAAAGGCGTCTGCACCCTTTGAGGACGCATCGTCGGTCGTGCTCTTCTCCGAGCTTGTCTCACCAGAAGTTGACGACTCAGCCATGGCTGCCTCTGAGCTAGTAGCTTCTGATGTTACTTTGGACGATGTCTCTGCTTCTGTGCCCGACTCGCTTTCGGGGTCCACGAACTTGCCCTTCTTGCCTAACTTCTTGAGATTCACCTCACTGTCAGCGGCGTCTGTGCTGACCTCTGAACTCATACCGCTGGTCGATTCGGCAGAGGTGGTTTTGTCTTCAGGCTCAGTAAGTTCATCGATCTCCAGGTCCCCAAACAAGTCGACGAGGGTCATGGCGTCGTCAGATTCAACGGTTACTGCTGGAACAGAGGATGTCTCATTGTCAACCGCCGCCGTGGCCTTATTCTTAGCCTTCGTCATGGTTGGAAAGGCATAAGTTTATGGGCTTGTGGAGGAATGAAAGGCTGAAGAGGTGAAGCCTGCGTGTGTCAGTGAGGTGAAATATGGAGTGCAAGGTTCGTTCGAAGTAAAACCCACTTGTTAGGTATAGTCTGCCCCTGAATACTCTTGATACTACAAAGGAGTGAGATCGGTGGTCGTTGCTTCCGTTCCGAATTACTCCAATTGTCCAATGGGCGATATTCGATCCACCGAGTCTGACAAGTACCACTCCTATTGAGAAGACGAGTTGATTGTGTGCTCGTCAAAAAAATTTTGAGTGTGAGGTCGGTTGGAAGTTATCGATGAAGTTGATTGTGATGTTGATGAGTGAGTTGCGGGTAGGTCCGGTTTTGGTGAATGCTATTGAAAGCGATTGTGAAGTTGCCGTGTTCTATTGATAGGATTATCAAAGAAAACACTGGCTGAGAGATCACGATTGACAGCTGTCACAGAGTCGTGCTGAATGATGAAAAAATAATGAACGTTTGAAAGAAGGAAAGAAGGAACGGAGGATGAGGTGTGTGGTTGAGCTTTCGACTGTTGGTGAAGTTGGCAAAGGAGGCAGGAGCGATTGGTCAAAGTGGTGCAAAATCTGGAAGCTGCAATTTCACCGTAGCTGGCACAAATGTTCCGTCATCCTTCCTCAAAAGGACAGGCATACCCTCCCGCGATATAAAGTGGGCAATTGGATCAATTCTGTAGAAAAAAATAAAAGAAATTCTGCTTGTGGTTGTGGTGAGCACAAACACAAAAATAAAAACTTGAAGCTGGCTTTGACGGCCAAGATGGGGCAGAAGATCTCCTTGAGAGCTATTAATACCGCTTCATCAGACTGCCAAAGTGTCAAACTTCAGCTTAAGCTGTTGAATGGGACCGGCCAATCAACGAGCTTGAATCATACGGGAAATGTGCGTATGCAGGATCAGCCGTGTTGGGACGAAGGGACGAAACGCCGTTGTTCGGGGTCCTTTCCCCCTCGCTGGACCTTAAAGTATCCTTCCGGTCTAGAACAGGCGAGACCGAGCGGAAGGGCGATCTGCCGGAGCACTGTGGTATGGTGTCAACGGATTGACAGCGTATGCGTCTCGTTGATCTACATGCTGAGTGTGATGTTGAGTAGGACGTTGGCAGAGCCATGATCGCGCGGGGGAGCGGGATATGTGGGAAATATCGACGTGATGTTAACGACAAGGTCCGGGGATTGGTTTGCGGCTCTGATGCAGGTCCGGGACGGGCGATACAGGAGTGACGGCCAATCATGCCCTGGGCTTACTCATCGTCCCGAGCCGCCCGTCAGTGGTAGCATTTGGGTCTTGGAAGGCCGACTAGCGGCTTTCTCTCTTACTGGCCAAGAAGTTCTCGCAAGGCCTGAAACAGCAACCAACTCTTCTCCCTAGCGACAAACTCACTCATCCCAACAACCCACCATATGTCCGTACTCGCATGTAAGGTAACTTACGCACACGAACATACACACAAAAATGGCAGCGCCGTCTTCACTGCCCGACCTGCCACTCAATTATCTCAAGGCTCTTGAGCTGATCGACGAGGCCCACAAGCAAGATCCCAGACCGTCGTCCGTCGAGTCGGTTCCCTTTGAGCTTCACTATGCCCAAAAGATGACGCGCTGGCTCGCCATGAGGAGTCCGGCGGCGGCCCCCGTCTTGCAATTAGCATGCCGAGCCCAGCATTTCAGGAGGTAACATTGTCATCCAAACATTTTTCTTATTGTCCTTTTACCTTTTCTCTGAACAAGCACTTACAAGCAAAAATTTGTGCATATCAAGCACATTGTGGCGATGAATAAGAACCCCCCAAGTAACCGACCTCGTTTTCTGACTCACCTGATTGCAACCGTAGATGGGAGATCCCCCGCAACACCTACCCAATGACCCGCCCGGGCTACCTCAGTTGGCGCGCGAAGCTCAAGTCCCAAGCCGCTGCCCAGGTGGCCGAGCTCCTCGCAACGTCGTCCGCTATCCAGCCCGCCATTCCCGAGGAGGACGTCAACCGCGTGGCGGCGCTCATCCGCAAGGAAAATCTCAGCAAGGACGAGGAGACGCAGGTGCTTGAGGACGTAGCGTGCCTCGTCTTCCTCGACGACCAGTTTGACGACTTTGAGAGCAAGGAGGAGAATGACGAGGACAAGATCATTGGGATCCTCCGCAAGACGTGGGCCAAGATGAGCGAGGAGGGGCATGCGCTAGCGTTGAAGATGAACCATAGTGAGAGGGCCCTGAGTCTCATTGGGAAGGCTTTGGCGGGGTGATGTTGCGTGAGGTTCAGATGAGAGTTTTGCGGGGGTGGAGGGGTAGCTTCGTGACCAAGTAAAAATAATTCTCTCCCACCACACCCACCACCACCGCACCAGCCAATGCGATATCGGTGATTTACAGTGATGACGAGTTCTGTATCCGTGCATGTTTAGCGAGCGAGAACCACCGGGCCTCCCCTGGGGCAATCCACCCCCGCCTGCATGGGGCCATGGACAATTGCCAGAGTTGCATCAAAAAGGAAACCCCGGGAGGACGGCACGCTGCAGTCCCACCACCCCGAGGGCCCTCTCGGCGCAATACCGCCCGAACCCGAATTGCCCCTTCGGTGCCGGGACATGTCAGACTACGCCTTGGCGCCCGGCTCGCGACGACCTACAAAGATAGTGATTCCAGACTTCACCTCCCGATATCTCCCAACCCTTTTCGCGTTTGCTTCCTCACCTCACCTACCCGATCTGAAGCGTAGATAAGTCGGCTTCCTGGTAAAACTATGCCCTCTCTTACACTGACGCCCGAAGAGGTATCAAAACACAACCGCCTCGACGACCTCTGGCTCGCCATCGACGGCTCCGTCTACAACTTTACAGACTTTGTCCGCGAGCACCCAGGTGGCATCGCCGTGATCCTAAAGTGCGCGGGCAAGGACGCCACCGAGGTCTACTCCGAAGTTCACGGGCCCAGCCTCGTCAAGTCGACCATCCCCGCCTCGCACCACAAGGGCGTACTGGCCCCGGGAGCCATCATGGCGAAGCCTCGACCTCACAAGTGGCCGCAACAGGGTACGACGCACAAAGACGACAGCCAGGCATCACCACCACCACCATCACCACCAATTGTCCCTTCAAAACCACCACTCAACACCCTCATCAGCGCCCACGACTTCGAATCCGCAGCCTCCACCTCCTTTTCCCCCAAAGCCTGGGCCTTCGTCTCCTCCGCAGCAACAGACCTCCACACAAAGAATCGCAATAGCTCCCTCTACTCCCAAATCACCCTCCGCCCCCGCGTCCTCGTCGACGTCGCCTCCGTCTCTACCGCGACAACGATGCTCTCCCACCCCATGCGCGCCCCCATCTTCTGCCCCCCCACAGCCATGGCCCGTCTCGTCCATCCAGAAGGCGAAAAGGAACTCGGCCGCGCCTGCAAATCCACTGGCGTGCCCCAGTGCGTCTCCGTCTCCGCCTCATTCCCGCTCGCCGACATCCTCGCCGCACACGCCGCACATCACCCCCCGACACCCTACGACATCCCCGTCTTCTTCCAGCTCTATGTCGACAAGAACCGTGCAAACTCGGAACGCCTCCTCCGCTCCGCCCAAGCGCAGGGCGTAAAAGCCTTATTCCTCACAATCGACGCCCCGATCCCCGGGAAACGCGAGGCCGACGAGCGTGTGGCGTCCGACGAGTCCCTGGGTTCCCCCATCTCAGGTGCCCGCGCCGTGAACGACGCAAAGGGCGGTGCCCTGGGCCGCATCATGGGGAGCTACATTGACGCATCGGTACACTGGTCCGATATTGCCTGGCTCCGGCGTACCGTCCCCGGTCTGCCCATCGTTCTAAAGGGCGTGCAGACATGGATGGATGCCGAGCGCGCCGTCGAGGCCGGCGTCGAGGCCATTGTTCTCTCCAACCACGGCGGGCGGAGCCTCGATACGTCCCCGGCGACCGTCATGGTGCTGCTGGAGCTGCAGAAGAACTGCCCGCACGTGTTTGACAGGGTCGAGGTCTACGTGGATGGCGGCATCTCGCGCGGGACGGATATCTTCAAGGCGCTGTGTCTTGGTGCCAAGGCCGTGGGTGTTGGGAGAGGGCTGTTGTACGGGCTCAATTATGGCGCCGAGGGCGTGGAACGGTATATTGAGAGTGAGTCTTTCCCAGTGCGAGTCGAGTGCCCGAGTGCCAGAGCGATGGTCAATGCAGCTGTGAGAGATGATGACAATGCTGATTTGCATACCTAGTCCTGCGAGACGAACTGGAGACTACGATGAAAATGTGCGGCGTCACCGACCTGAACCAGGTCCATCCGGGTTTCCTCAATACGTTGGCTGTGGACCACCTCGTTCCGGGACGACAGGACAACCCAAATACACCATGGCGCCGTGATCAGCACAGCAAGCTGTAGTTTGATGACAAGATGATGACGACACACAATATAGTAACATATTTCGCTTTACGCGTCTCAGCAATCTCTTGGTAAAATCTCAACTGTGTTAGAGAGGGTTCAGAAGCCCGTTGAGGCCATGTAAAAGACTTTGGGTATTACATATACACATAACGATAGTTGCCCCTCCATCACCCTGTCCCGCACCACTGCTAACTCCGCATTCACAGCTGTGTGTGTGTGTGTGTATGTGTGTGAGCTTCGCATACGTCCAAGTACCCCGCATCCATGCCCGGGTTTTGCACATTACATCCATCATAATCAATCAAGCTATCAACCGCGCTATCCCATCTTCGCCCACCCCTATCCATATCCGCAGCCGATCAGGCCAACTCGCGCAGCTCGTTATCGCCCCTGTGAGCAGGCAGTTCGGACGCGAAGCCCGGCTGCTGGTGGTGATGCTGCTGCTGTGGCGCCGGTGGTTGTCCTTGAGCGGGAGGCGGTGCGTTGTAGTAGCCCCCTTGCTGCTGCTGCTGCTGATGATGAGGGGGAGGATACGCCCCCTGCGTCGGGCTGACACCGTTCTGGGGAGGCACATACTGCGGAACGCCAGACTGGTACGTGGGCGACGGGCTGTTGGGTGGCGGGCTAGCGGGCGGGCTGACGCCGTTGTGGTTCTGCTCGTAAGAGCCCGTGGTGACGTCGTACGGCTGCTTCAGCATGCTCTGTCTGTTGTCCACAGGTGTGAAGCCCTGCGGGTAGTTTCCTTGTTGGGGAGGGTATCCTCCCGGCGACGGCTGCTGCATCGGCGGGGCGGGCTGCTGGTACATCTGCGGCTGTCCCTGTTGGGGCGCCGGGGGTCCGGCGTAAGACTGGTGGGCGGCCTGGTTGTTGTTGACGTCGTTGGTGTTCTTCTTCTTCTTGCGGAGGAGGAAGATGATGCCGAAGACAATGAGAGCGATGGCTGCTACGCCGCCGACGACGCCGCCTACGATAGCGCCAACGGGGGTAGAAGAGCCGCCGCCGCCGCTGCTAGGCGCGGTACTCGTAGGACTCGTAGGCGTTTCCGAGGCACCGGGGGTGGAGGTGGTCGACACAGAGTTGATGATGGGGCTTGTTGCCGGCTCTGTCGTCGACGCCGGGGTGACGGAGGAATCTGTAGGGTTTGCGTAAACGACGACTACCTCCTCAGTGGCGGCGCATGCATAGAGGGTGTAATGGTTGAACAACGAGCCCGAGTAGATGTAGGTGATACACTCAGGCCTGGTTGCGGCCGTGCTGCAAGGTTGTATGTGAGAGACGGCTCACGCAAGAAAGGAGAGCGACAAAATCACGTACCAGAGTTGCATACGAGTGTCACTACTGCTGAAGCGACTCGCCGACCTTGATGGGAGACAGCTCGTAGGGATCTCAGTGCAGTCCGAGACCGCCGAGGAGCTGCAACACCCGACAATGGAGAAGAAGCTGTTGATGACACAGGATCCAGTGCCGCAGTAGATGGAGTTGGCTGGAGCGAGGTTAGCATCCTTTCACAGGCCGGTCTCTTTCTATCATCAGGGTGTGTACTCACTAGACTCTCCAGATATATAACCACAGGTGTCATCGCCTCTCACACGCTTGGCCAGCTTCAGTTCGACATTGGCGGGCTCAGGCGCTGCAGTCGGTTTTGGACTGAAGCCGAGCTCCTCCATGTTCATCACAGCAATGGTCTGCTTGGGTGGAGACCAGCTGGGGGTATCGTCCTGCCATCTCAACGCCTTGGACTCCGCGCCCAGGTACCAGCAAGCAAGAGCTCCGAGTTGAACGAATCTACCCATGTTTGAACGATCTGTTTCCTCAGCGATCAGAGAATAGAATGTGAAGGAGAAGTGCAAGAAAGAAAAAGGGGGGAGAAGGGAGGGATAAGAAGAGACGAGGGCCCCAGAGGAAGATGCGGGAGAAAAGGGAGACAGACACCGCCGGCTGGGCAATCCCAGCTCGGGCTGAGATTGAAAGTTGCCGAATCGAAGGCGCCCTGCGGGTGAGCCAATAGACCATGGCGTCCAACAACGCCAATGAGGCTCAAAGGAGGAACAAACCAAGGGTCCAGCTCCAAGTCTCCTGCACTTGAACGTTTGTATCTTGGCCCGGGGTATAGAGGTTAGTTGGGATTGGGCCAAATGAAAACTCCGCCTCGTGAGGTGCGGGTATGGACCGATGCGCGGCGGTAGCGTTGTTGGACCAGCCTGGCAAGGCAGACAGCAGATGATCATTCCAAAGCCGTTTTCCTTTTCTGAGACCTGACAACATGCCCATCTAGTCAGGTTGACACAAGGGAGTAGATGCCAGGTACTTTCCCAACTCTTCTCCCAACTAACATGGAGATCACTCGATCCAATTCATGTGGATTTTTGCGCAACTTCGTACAGATTCATCCTAGGGAAACTCACTTGAGTTTCGACGGCACCCTACTAACTGTAGACAACAGAACAAGGCTTTCGCGCCCTATGTCACGACAACTCATCGTTGGTGTTGAGCCTTTGGCGTGATAGCGGTGTAGTGGAGTCTAGCGGTGCCTAAGACAAGACTATCAAGGCGTTTAACCCGAACCGGAGAAAGTGGCTTGCAGCTGAAGGCAGACCTCAGCCAAGCTCCTGGTCAACTCGCCAAAATCAACCAATCAAATGTTGGCCAGCTGAAATGCGTGTTGCGAGCTTGACTGACGATCCTGGATCATTTTTGCCGACAACCCCGGACAGGCCCCTGCTGGCAGCGACTCAGATAGCCTCGAAAGTTGAAAAAGGTCGCGTTGCGCCCCGCCTTGCTGCTGAACCCAGGGTCTCCTGCATCCACAGCGGAATCGGAGTCTTTGCGCGGAAAGCGATCAGTAAACAAGAATTTTAGGCAACCTTTGCGCGCCAACTGCTCTCGGTCCGTAGAGTCGCCTGGTGCCGGTTATATTCGGCCGGAGTGGGCAATAACAAAGGGACGCTCGTTTCTGTGACAGCCTCTGGCTGAGGAAGAATTGGATAGATAGCAGGCTTGCCAGAACAGCTTAGACTCCAGGAGAGGCATTGAGATGCTGTCGCATTGAGCACAAAGCGATTGGATTTGTCGTTTTCAGATTTGTCGGCTCGATTGACCCTTGCAGCTGAGTCGAGCTTTTGCTTTCGGCCTGGAATATGTCTGCTCATTATGTTGCCAATTCGAATGCTCGCTTGTACGTGGTCCATCAGAAACCATGGTCAGCATGGTATGTTGATAGATCTCATCTTCGTCCTTCTGATACAAGGCCTATGAAACGTGCCGGGTGGTCTTCCAAGAGCCAATGGGCAGTCCCCAACCGATGGCCACAGCAACTTGCCGCATGTTTTGGTGAATCAAGGGTTTCATTAACTGAAACCGACTCCTTGATTTATCCATCAAGTCCATATGATGCTGCCTCAGCGAAAGAATTGAATGATTAACTTAATTTGCTGCAGTCACTTGTAGAGTCAGGATAAACCCTTGACGGACTTGCCGTATGACCATGGATACTGATTCATAACTCATGTGAGACTTGGACCGACTTCGGGCTTTCGATGGACAAAGTAGGTCCGGTTCCTAGAGATCAATTGTGACTTTTAACAGTGTAGAATGTTACAAGGTTTCCCACAACCCGTCTCCTCTTGTGACTCGGGATCCGGCTGGTTCCAGAAATATGAAGTCGAGACAACCGCCTCTGATTGTAGCGCTCGAATCCTAGCCCTGGGTTAGCTTTGTAATCTGACTGCCTGTCTGTAAGAAGTGGGAAAGGCCTGGTGTGGTCCCGCAAACTTCTCTCTGGTACCTGATCCTGGCTCTCAAGGTGGTCTTCGTAGACGTTGAAGAAAGCTAAGTCGGTTCGTGAATCTGGCAACGCATATTGTGAACGCCTTTTTCAAAGTCCTGCCAATCATCGGATATTATGGAGAGACGCTGAAGCAAAATATTCGATATCGGTATTCGATGCCATCTAGGTTGATCTTGATTCTCAGCCTTCCAGATTTATCGAAGGCCATAGCCGGTATTCGGGACTTCGCAGTCAACAAAAAAAGAACATGACACAGGCCACGGAAGTTGACGCCTCAAGTATTGTCGAAGGCTCGATGGCAGTTTCGAAAGTAGGATATTTAGATCGGTATTGGCGTGACGACATGCACCGTGTACGACACCAGCGAGTACTGGTCTCTCAACGGAAGGCAACGAAGTTTCCCAAATTAGTTAGGATCCAAGGAACATCTGCGGACTGACAGAAAGACACGCAGCTAGATGGATGATGATGGTATCGAGTGTAGAGTGCGCATACGAGTGATCTCGTGCCTGTGCAGGGTTGATACAATTGTGACAATGAGCAAGAGAACAGCCTTGGACCCCTTTGTGTTCCAACGATTGACTTTTTCTCGATGGCCTGCAGGGTTGATTAATAACATTTGCTTGGATGAGCGAAGTCGCCAATGACATCAATCCGGCGAAACAATGCCTCCGTGTGACCGTGGCTTTAGTTGCTATCGCTAGATCGATTCCAGTCACTCAGCATATGTAGCCAAGCGGGAGACAACAATGTTCACTCGGTCTGCTGAGAACGATCTGCGAAGGACGCCTGGTATACGGAATAGTTCATCGCTCCTCCGGATCGATATGTGATCCGTTTCGGATCCTCCACTGTGTGACGCTCGTACATGGTGGTATAGCTACTACATGCCCGGCTCTGCAGGGAGAACATTCTGTCCTCTGTGTAACCACCAACACTTGTACCACTGTGACATAGTTGAAGCGTCTCACAGGACACAATTAAGTCGTGGTCAGGGCGACTTCGAGCCTGTGGCGATTCCTACTCAAGGCACAAAGTCAGCTGTCGAACCCGTTTTGAGGAGATATCGGTACCACTTTTGTCCATGCAACAAAGCCTGGTATACTCCATCCAGAGTCAAAGTTTGAAAACCGTCAGACCATGAAAAAAAAAAAAAAAAAAAAAAAGTGCATCGGTCTTCTAAGAGGAGACACTTGGTTGGCATCGCACTGGCTGGTTGGACTCGTTGCCCAACAAAGTCAAGGGAGTCTACTGGCATACTCCCAACCGAGACCAATGACGGGTGCCTCTTCGACCCTACAAGTCGCGGTTCGCATGAATAAGGTGTTGGTCTGTGACCGTCCCGCGGAACCAAGGTGGGGGTTTGGCGCAAACGGTGGCCTTTCCCTCCAGCTTTGTCTGTCTGACCATGCACCACGGCTGACAGACCGTTGTTCGAGGGAACGGTGGGAGCATCCGATCGCGCTAAAGAATCCTCGGAGGCTGGCCTTAGTGGCGTGGAGCTCCGCTTAGACCCGAAGACGCGGCGATGAACGTACATAATGGCTTTTCGATTGTCGTCCCAATGTTCCGAGACGTGCAATTTGCAGAGCCTCAAAGCTGAGATGGGATTTGCAGGGTTGAAGCGTCTCAAGATCCCTATACCAAGCAGGGGCCATGAATGGTGGCCATTCACCATTCATTCTACAGGTCAACCAGGATCCCTAGCCGACAGATCAGGAGCAAAATTCAACGACCATCAACCGCACTGTTGGAACAAGCCGACTTTTGAACTCCAAACTGAAGTGAATGGCTTGGCCGATCGATCAGAAACCACGCCAGGCCTGGAACTCAACATGTTAAAAGGTAGGAGAAGGACATCGGAATGTGTGACTGCTTCGAAGGCCTTAGATCACCTGGCATCGGCCGTTGCTTCCAACAGAGCATCGCATTCAAGCTGCGCGTTTTCGAGCTTATGTTCCTTGCACGCCACATAAAAAGGTGGTGATGCAACGCATGCAGACCCCGAAAAGCTACCGTCTAACTGGAACGATGCAGTGGCCAGATCCGGGACCCCGAGATCTCAGTAGGCGCCGTTCTGCGTTTGCATGTTGCACCACTAAAGGGCCACTAGCTGATAGCCAGGGCTAGCAACCAAGTAAGGGAAGTCGGTGAGAGCTGGTGGCCGATCGTACATGGGGAATGGCGGCATCGGCTGCATATTCGGAGCACCTCCATAGTCCAAACGGCTAGCTGCATGCCTCGTGCTCGACGGGGCGTCTCCTCGCCAGCACTGCATTCTCAATGTGGGAGTATTGTACCCGGTTGTTCAAGAGGCTGGACGGTGGGTGGTTGGCAGTGGGAATGACTGTCAAATCGATGTGCTAGGCCGAGAGCTAACGCAGACGTCCCAGCAGCGTAGAACAAGATTGGCGTATCGATCGAGGCGTCTATAATTAATGCCTTTTGGCAAAAGCGAAATGATGACGCAGGCACTTTTCTGACGTATCGTTGGGTTCCGCTCACTCTGTGACGATAGATCCCACTGGTCTTGACTGGTTTACAATCGCTACAAGCCATGATAATACCGCAACGCCCAGGTGCTGTTTTAGAGGCGTGGGGACCAGAGCCATGGTAGGCAGACCAAAGTGTGGAATCTGTAAGGCGGCTGTCTGATGCCCCGGTGGATCGTTCCCGTGATGCTAAGCTGCTCTGATTCGTAGCGTCGTGATAATCGGTGGGTGCTAAAGAGTGTATTGTCTCAGACGATTGGCGCGGTGGCTGTCCTCTAGGTACATCCATCTATCCGTCTATATCTGTAGAGGTGCAGGGCGTGGAGAGGTAGAGAAGTGGCACTGGCCACCTCCACCACTCGGGCAGTATCACAAATGATGGACGAGAGCTGATGCAAGAGAACTTTTGCTAGGCCTCGGCCATGGACGACCAAGCGTTGCTCGTTAGCATCGGAGAATTTACTCGGGAACCACCACTAAGGCCAAGAGTGCCGCAGCGTATTCCGCAGGCAAGGTGCTGGGACCTGGAACTCGACAGCCAAAACCAAGGATCTTTGGCAGCACATATTTAAGGTCCCATTCTTCGAAACGTTTTCGATGAGCAGTCCGAAGTGTTACAGCGGTCTATCCCTGAATCAACGCGACACGGCAAGTTGCTTGGTATGGGAGAGACGTGATGAATGACAGGACTTGAGGGAGGGTATTTGGAATCTGGTCTCGTCGGGGTGTGCACATTTTGGAGATGGACCCTGACTGGGAGACGGGGAAAGGACGTGCGGTAGGGGAGTATGGGGTGGCTCAGGGGGCTCGCTGGTCGGCGAAGGTCAGGCTCCGAGCCCTGCCCGGTCGAACCAGATATCGGCTGTCCAGAGAAGACGAACCGGACTATGGGACCGGTTAGACGGTCAGGCGGGAGATCAACTTGGGGGTGATCCTTCAGAGAAAGACAAGTCGACAATGTCTCGGTCGACTGAACCACTAGTTCATCCCGCTTCCTGCTTGATCCAATGAGCCCTTGTGCTTTTGATCCGAATGTCTATAGCAGCACGAGGACGTACCGAATCGGACGGATCAAAAGGCCCTTCGTAGGGCGCGGCCCATGGCTCAGCAATACCCACTGTACGAATACAAGCAAGAGACGACTACGGTAGGTAGCGGCTCGAGGTCAAGAATCAGCCCCGGTCTTTCACATCTCGGCCGGAGCAGGGATTGGATCCCTGCAAAGGCGCACGATTTTCGCCCACGGCTTCGTCCGCAGGTACAAATCGATGTTATCGTATTGCTGGGCCGAGATACGGCAAATGTCATGTTGTGCGACATGATCTTGCGGGTGAATTCTGCTAGATCTGTAAGGCCGTGACGACTGCAAACCATCGAATTGGCTGTGGATGCCGGGGAGTAGCCTATATGCAGGGCGAGACCCGAAAGTCGATAGGTAGTCGAAGTACAAGAGCGTAGATATCACAAATCAGTGCGCTGGTGATGAGGACTTGATGGACGGAAGTGATACGCATCATAATAACATTAAAATGGTGGCGCGAGAAGGTCAACCGGACGTTACTCAATCTGAGCACCTATCCGAACGGTTATGGCTTATGTAACAGGTCCAGGCTCAACTGTGCTCCGCACGCCTGCACTTTGCCAGAAAATGCGGCGAATCCTGCGGTTCGTCTGGCGCTTGGAGAAGCGTCTTGCGCACCTCAGACTGCGCGGGCTCGACCGAACGCGCCTGACCTAGGCTGTTGCATGATCCGCTAGAATATTTAAGCAGCTGAGAAATGGGGCCGGCTTACCGGAGCTTTGATGCCGTGCTCGTGATGATGACCACAACGTGCTCAGATCGCCTCTAGAGCGCCTCTACGATTGTTTATTCGATATTGCATTGGTCTGGTTCTACCCGGTTGAGCTGCATCAGTCGTCAATTTAGATGTGCTAGGACAGCTGAGAGGCATCATCATGGAGCCGTCGCGCGCGGCAGTCATGTTCCCAAAGTTCCTTGGCGTGAGACGCAGCCGGGACTGATGGCTCCGACGGCTTGCACCATTGACAACGACTTAAACTGGCCGTTTGCTTGCTTATTCGTTGGTGCACCATCGATTAGTCTTGCTAACCGACCACTGGTGTGTGGTATTTTCCCCCAATATCAACTCGGCTTGTCGCACCTATGAAAATCAACTCTCGAGGGGAAATGTCAAGGGAAATGGTTCGCGTACGTGTAATCGAGTGGATTGGAGCATCGTAATTCGTAGGGTGCGCGTGGGAGGCAGAGAAGGCTCGGACGGGCTATGCGCCCTGCGTAAAAGACCCTCGGCTATCTCGCGACTCGGATGCCTGGGTACGTGATTGCTGCCCGTGGACCGAGATGAAGACGGATTCAATGAGAAGAGAGAACTTCCCTGGTCTTGAAGGAACCAGGGCGGGTACGAACGAAGACCGGTTGCCGCCTGCGCGCCGGTGCTTCAAGTTCGCTAAAAAGCATTTAGAGTAGGCAGGCTCTGTTCGTCTCTTAGACCATGGTGGAATTACCTCCCCTGCTCGAGGTGGTAGGCAGACAAGATCCAGTCATGATATCGGAGTCAGAGAGCGGAGGCGGGAGAAAAAAAAAAGTGCATAACTGACGACTGACCGGTGGGCTTGTGTCTCGACCGTTCTTCAGATTTCTTCTTTTCTTTTCCCTTTCCTTTCTTGGCAGTCTTCCAGGTGGCAGGCCAGGGCCGGGGGGGGAGAAGTTGAGAAGCCGATGGATGGCAGTGGGGGCTTGAGCTGGAAGGCAGCGACCTCCTTCATCTCCATGGTCAGTCGCTGCGCTGGATGGAGGTGGTTGTGATACAGGAGGTGTGCTATGTAAGACATGGCGGCCAAACAATAAGATCGCAGGATGAATTCCGCGGTAGCTGAGATCTGAGCCTGAATCTACGTCAAGACTAGGTCAACCGGACGGCGGAGGAAGGAGAGCCAATCGATGTCTCTCAAGCCAAACAATTCCCTCTACCTTGGCTTCGGGTACGGGGCTCCCGTGTTCGTGCGAGAGGCAGAAATTGCCATGGCGAATGGGATAGGTGCGCGGATGGAATGCGTTTGGTTCATTTTCAAGGTTGGATGGATGGCACGCCTGGAACTAGGGCAGCCAAGGAACGTTCCTTACCTTACCTTGAGGTACCTTACCTTAGGTGTTAGGGTAAGGTACGTACTGGCATGGGTGGCCTGTGCTCGTTGGTCTGACCGGGAAGGGTGTCGCTGGCAGGTAAGGAACATTTCACGCCCCTTCCTTTGCCAAGCTACCTACCTACCTTACCGCACGTCAGCAAGGGAAGGACGGCAAGCAGAGAAGTCATCTCTTCCTCCCCTTCTCAACCAAAGTGCAGTTAGGCTTCAGCTTACCAACGCTATCTCATACGCTTGACACTGACAAAGGTCACTCAATTGCCAGAGATCTCCTCTCCCCGTCTCACACTCCCGGTTTCACCCCCCCATCTCTTCCCAACGCTTCGTCCAATGACCTCCTTCCCGGCCTATACTCCGGCAGGCTCGTCTTGGCACCCCTGCCCTGCATCTGTTTACTCTTCAAAGTTCAACCGTCTTACCTCCTATCACCGACGACAAAGCTTAGGGGAGCGTCTCCTTTCTTGATATATCCGTACGGATACTCTATACACTGACCAAGTACTTCATCGCAGTCCCAGGATGGGACCCTGGGTATCCGCACTGTTGATAAGCTGTACTTACTGTGTACAGTATGGCTGGGGTCGCCGTGATCTATCAGCTCCACCCGGGGTCGCTTAGGTCGAGAATAGCATGGAAACAATTACCCAATTTCGATAAATCTTTGGCCGGTTTCTCTCATCTCACACCCGAGGACCAAACAGTACACGGCTGCACCAGCGGTCATTCTTCAGCTTCATGCGGTCAAGTATTCTACGAAATACAGGTACCTTGATCGGTCTGCGCGAGGCCAACCTGGAAGACACATATGTGGTCATGTTCCTTGTTTCCCGCCCCTCGATCGGAATTCCCTGCCATCTTGTCTATCATCTCTCTTTCAATCTTGTCTCGTACGTCTTGTCTCTCATGCTTCCGTCTCACCACTGATTAAGACCACAGAGTCGGTGGCCGAGATGGAGGCCCCGTTTCCTTTCCGCCAGCCGCGTCCAATCCACCTTCACCATTCGGCATCTCCACTCGCCATCATCCTCGCCATCATCTGTGCCACCCTTCTCTTCCGACGGCGGCGGGAACGACGAACAAGCCGGCACAAACACTATTTCCACACTCTCACGGAGATGCAGACGCATCACGCAGGCGCAGAGCAGACGACGCAGACCCTGAAAGGAACCACACGGACCAATCACCCCACAGATACCTTACCCAAACGCCCCCAGGCTCGTCCCGCCTCTTCGTCTCCTCCTTCATCCAGTGTCCTGGTCGGTGCTCCCACACCTCTCTGGCGAAACATCCATCGCGCACACAATGGAAAAAGTGAGGTACGTGTATGCAGATGCACCACGACCACGGCACGGCAACAACCACCAACACCGCCACAGGAAGCCAAACCTGTGCCTGTGCCTGTGCCTGTGCCTGCGCCGCGCCAACCAACATCACACGCCTCTTACACTACCTCACCTCTATAGCCCGATTTCCACTCATCTCGCTACATTATCAACGGGATGGCTACGCACTAACTAATCCCATCCCCAAACCTACCGGCCTGGTTAAGTACCGCGCTACCTTACCGCGCCTAACGTACACACCACTGTCATTCGCAGGTCCCTTGCTTCTTCTTCTATTCTGGGCTGTACTCCCGCCTACCTATTTTCATCCGGTCCTACCTGAAAAGGCTGACCTCATACGTCTCTATCTACACGGTGAAGCTCTACCGGATCACGCACCCACAGGCCCGAGTGGGAGGTGAATCGGCAGAGGTACTTGCCCTGCGCGGACCGAACATACATTGCGACCTGGACCACAACGACCACCACCGCCGCCTCTTGCTTGTTACCGCCCCTTTCCCTTCCCCCTCCCCCTTGTATGTACGTAGGTGTGTGCATGCGTGTGTGTGTGTGTATGTGTGTGTGTGTGTGTGTGTGTGTGTGTTTTCTGCCCTCCTCTCCTGCTTCACCGGATTGGTGTGCCGTAGGTGCAGACGCGATCTCGACCCAAGTTGCGGTAGGTAGCCATGTCACATTTTGATGTAGGTACCCTCTTTCTCTCCCGGCTCTGCCCCTGCTGCACCCAGCATGTACCCTCCGACCACCTCATTCCACTTCGTTGCCATACTTTTTTTTTCCCCTTCCCTACCCTTCCTTTCCTATCATGTACCTTATTCTACGGGGTGGGCGTCCGTCCATTTTCCCTCAACGTCAAGTACCTAAGAAAGGCCAGGCAAGGGAAAGAAAAACAAGGGACCATTTCACTCCTCGTACATGACTTTTTCTTCCCCCCTCGTACACACGCAAACTTGCATTGCACACTGTCCAGAGTATATTAAAGCCGGCCGGCGTCCCGTCCCATACTCCATTGTCGACGCTTCTTTCGCTCGTCACATCCCGTGCTGTGACAAGCCCTGGACCGAGAACCCTTATTCCGTTGGGTCCTGTCATTGCTTCTCCGACTCCATCTCAATGCAGGTCTGGCTCCGCATGTGGTCCTGCTCCTCCTTCTCCTCCCCGTCCCGCATGTCTTCCTTGCCTGATCAGCGTCAGATCTGTGCCTCCAACCGACCTTCTTTCAAATTCTTTGCCAACCTCCGAGTCGACCCTGAGACACAAGACACAACATCGCAACCATTTTGCAACCTCGTCGGACGCCGTGTTATTAGACACATTCACGAACGAGGTTGCATCGTCCGGCTGCCCTCTGGTCCTTTCCATCTGAAATCTCTCCCACCCTCTCCTCCCGTCGCGCAAAAGTCGTTGAGGTCCTTTCCCCCGGATACCGCCTGCCGCTGTCTGGTTCTACCTGCGGCTGATACCGCCAGAACGCCGCCGCAGGCCCCCAATCTGCCATCGGCTTCGAGGGCTGATTCCGGATAAGGCGCCTGCTCCCGCGGCAGCTTCTCTCCTGTTGAGGACTCATGGCATACCACCACTCGAGCGGCTCTTCCGCTGCCTCGGGCTTCGAGTATGCGCAGGTAGGCCACGCCTTCACCGGCCACCAGACTGCTCCTCCGCTCAACGGCCCCCCCTTTCAGCCGTTCCAAGAGTCCCAATTCGACATCTTTGAGTGGTATCCAAAGTTCCAGTCATGCCTCCGCTATTTCTTGGATCACGCCCAGTACAGCGGGCCCATTCAGGCTGTGGCTGCCTTTGTCAACATTCTACTCCCGTTCCAAAAGGCCCACAGCCCGGTACTGTCCTCCAAACACACCGGTCCCAACTCCCCCGCCGGGCCCGGGCCCTCGACTCCGTCCACGGCTCGAGCCGCCGGGAAGATGCCAATCAATGCTCAGTTGCCGTCTTCTACGCACGCAACGCTGACGCCTTACATCCGACGCTTGGTAGCGACTGGCTTCGACTATCCGGCCGTGTTACACGGCTTTTTCGGTGACGATTGGGTGGGCGGCATTGGTCCCATGCACGAAGCTGAGCGCCGCAACTACATGTTTGCCGCCAAGAGCGACACCTGGCTCAAGGTGAAAACACACTACGACATGGACGGCGAGCAGCAAGTCCCCTTTCTCCGGCCCTTGTCGAACGTTACCGAAAAGGAGATTCAGAGTGCGGAAACCCAATGGAGTGAGTGGCTTGCCATGCAAGATTGGATGTTGGGACCACGAGCACCGGACCAAGAGCAGGAAGTGAGGATCAAGCAGGAGGACGATTAGAGTCGAGGTCGAGGTCACTTCAGGCCCGGTTTACGCTTTTATGCTTAGGATGGTGGCGGGGAGGAGGCATTTTACATTTCATGGCTTCGCAGGACAACACTGGCGTTAAATTTCTGTTTCTCTTCGGTTCTACAAACGGCGGTATGACTATACATGGAGGCGCAGGGACAGCTGTACGATGTCGAAAGGCGAGAGAGCAAACGGTTTCTGGGGAATGAGGGCGGCCTGCATCCATCTGTCTCGCTTGCGCAAGATCTCATTCAAGCTGCTGTTAGATATAACAGCATGTGGTGCTCGGTACCAGACTTTTGTTTTGCTATTTGGGCGGCGGCATATTCTCTCAAGATTCCCTTGCTCATTTGGACAGAGGCGCGCTTCCAATGGCGATCGGGGCAACGTCATGTAACCACCATATCCCAGGTTTTCATTTTACGACTTTTTACCATGACATGATAATGCAGAAAAGAGACACGATGATGCACACTAGGCCCAAATCTTTCACATAGAACCGCGCCATGAGCTTTTGCCATTAACCCATTAATGCGCCTAATTTTCCAGCCATGCTTTATTTTGACAAATAAGATTCGAACATCACCACCCGCCTCGCCATCTCGGACTGGGGATGGTGTGATCGATAATGCGCCGACGACACCTATTTCTTCTTCTTGGCTAGCCTCTTTTGCGCTCTCAGGTCCTTCTTCATTCTCGAATCCACAATTGTGTAGCGGCCCTTGACGCCCTTGGGACGACCCTGGATACCGCGGTTGGCACCTATAGGCGGTGGTTAGCAAAGGAATATTCAAGATCCTGGTTCGGGCGGAAATACTCACCCCTGGCGATAATCAGAGTAGGCTTGGGTCTTCTCTTGACCTTGCCGGCCTTGGCCATGAGCTTGGCGATGCTCTCGGCCTTTTCCTTCTCCGTCATACCCTCCTCGTTGGCGAGCGAGTCCGACTTCTTCTTGAGCTTCTCGAGGCGCTGCGCCGTCTTGAACTTCTTGCGCGCTTTCGCTTCGCGCACCTTTTTGATGGGCCGCGCGTTGTAGGCGCGCATCTTTTCGCGGATGGCCGCCGCCGCCGCCTTGGTGATGGGCTTCTGCTGCTTGTCGTGCCGCGTCTCGTCGTCGATGAACCAGTCCGGCAGGCCGTCGCGGTCCTTGAGGGCCCACTTGTTGAAGCCGTCGTCCATGAGGTCCATTTTGGTCTTTTCGCCCGTCGCGAGCTGGTGGGCGAGCGTCATGGCCTCGGCTGTGATGATGTCGATGTCTGCTGGCTTGTCAGTGCGATTTCTCCCTCTCTCGGCATTGGAACCTCGTGGTCCGGATAGTTTGCTTACCAAGTCTGCCGTCCGGCCGTCTCTTCTCCTGGTTCTCCCAGTCCTCCTCTTGGTTCTTGACGACCTCGAAGCCGGCGTCGTCCTCGCTCTCGGAATCCGAGCCAAAGGACTCGGCAGCCTTTTGCTTGGTCTCCTTGGCCTTCTTCTTCTCGTCCTTGGCCTTTTGCTTGCTCTCTTTCGCCTTGGCCTTTTCTTCCTTGGCCTTCTTCTTGTCCTCCTTGTCCGTCTTGGCCTTCTTGGGTCTAGGCTCCTCTTCCGGCTTGTCATCGACGCCCCACGCCTCGTCGTCGACGTCTCCCATGTCGATATCCTTGAAAATATCTTGGCCAAAGAAAGCCGATGCGCGCTTCGACAAGTTGCCGTTCTCAGCTGTGCTGTCCAGGTCCGTCACAAGAGGCTTTCCGCTCTCGTCTTCGTCTTCATCGTTGTCATCGTCGGAGCTGTCAGAGTCCATTTCCATGTCCTCGTCGCTGTCGCTTTGCTCGCCGCCCGATATGCCCTCCCACTCGCCGTCCTCGTGCTCCTCACGGGCCCGCTTGGCGCGCCACTTGGCGTCGGCCGCCGCCTTGCGCTCCTTGAAGTTGTCGTACATGCCGTCCAGCTCGCGTTCGAGGCGGTCTTCCTCCGGGTCGCTCTCGGAGTCGGAGTACACGATGCCGGCATCCTCCGCCTTCTTCTCGCTCTCCTTGAGGAGCGCCATCTTGCCGCGGGCGATCTTGTTGATACCGCCGGCCTTGTCGGCCGTCTTCAGAGCGAACATGGCATCCGGGCCGAGAGGTCCGGCTTGCTCCATACCAATGTCCATTGGTGCCGTCATGTTCATCTGCATGCGTACAATGTCCTTTTGCTTCTTCTCGTTCTCCCTCCTCCTCTCCTTCTTCTTCTTGGAGTCGTCCTTGTTCTTGAGCGCCTCCAGCTCCTGTTGGATCCGCAGCTCCTCGTCCATCGGCTCCACCTCTGCGACCTCCTCGCCTACTTGGTCCTGCAGGGACTTCTTCTCCTGCGTCGTCTTCTTGGTCGGGAAACCAAAAATTTCCCGGACCTTGAGACGCCATTTCAACAGCTGCTTGAACTCTTTCCTTCCGAGGACCTTCAAATCTGCGCAACTCCTGCGGATCTCGTCTGTCGTCTCAGGGAGCTTGTCGAGCGCGGCCAGCGCCACGTCTCCGTTGGCGGGCTGGTCAAAAGACAGCTGGTTGGTTTGGCCGAGAATCGCAATGGGGTCGGCCGTCTGGATGAACTCGCTCGCTGACACGACCTTGTGCTGCGTGTAGTCGCCCTCCTCGTAACCTTCACGCTTGCGCTTCTTCTGCTCCGGGTTGTACACCTTGGCCTCGTTGTTGGGGGTCGCGTCCTTGAGCTCGGCGAAGACGGCACGGGGATCGAGGAATCGGGGGTCGATACGCTTCGGGGCCTTGAAGCCCTTGCAGACGACAAAGATTTCGGCAGACACGTTTCTCGACGACGGAGGCTTGGTCGCCTCGACCTTTGTGAAGAGCTGGTTGAAGACCCACAGCAGAGGGTTGTAATCCTTGGATCGGAAGACCTTGGTGACAAAGGTACCGCCCTCGGCCAGGAACTCCGTTGCAAGCTTCATCGACTGCAGCACCAGCTCGGCCTGGTTGAACGAATCCTGGTTCCATGCAGTACCGACATTGGGCGCACCATCGTGGAGAACACAGTCCGCCTTCCATGTCTTGAGATGCGATCGGATCGTGGCTCGACATTTCTCGGTCGTAATATCGCTTTGAAAGGTGATGACCTTGGGGATTGGCTTGATGGGGGACAGATCAACACCGACAATCAGAGCGCCGACGGGGCACGTTTCCGCTGCGACCTGGCACCATGACTTTGAATTGTTAGCAAGCAATTTTGCGGCTGATTTGTTCTTCGTGGGAAACTTACACCGGGCGCAGCACAAAGATCGACGACGACCTTGCTCTTCTCCAAGAAGCCATACTTTTTGTTCAGCTGGATCAGCTTGAATGCGGCTCTGGCGCGGTATCCCTTCTCCTTGGCAAGCTTGTACCACTTATCCAAACGCCCTTTTCCGTGCTTCTTCTGGATCGCCATCTTTTCTGAAGGGCGAGGCCAAGTCGAGATGCACGGGGAATTCTTGCGAGAGTTGGCAAGCTCTTCTGCAACCACTGGGCGCAGGATTATCGACTTTCGGACCCGCCCCGTCGCCTCGACTTTCGCAGAGCGGCTTCTCTCTCAGAATTTTTTTAGCGGGTCGCATGGGGATCGATAAGGATCACGTGGAGATAGACGTGGTGGACCGACATATGGGGCCCGCGTTCGGATGGAATGTCGATTCCATTTAACATCCCCGGTGGGTCCACCGCGTCCACCACGCGCACCGCGACGGAGTCGCGTAGATAGCTGCGCTAGGGTGATCAGGGACCCTCGATTGGGCAAGTAAGACGTCAAGAGCTTTACCTACCTTGATCAGATACCTTGCTTCAACCCTGAACAATTGAACCACAATCGGCCATCACCACCCCGCCTCGCTGGACCACACGCTGCTCTCTCTGCTCTCAGGGACGTTTCTGTCAATTGTTTGTTTCTTCTATAATATTAGATAGTCATTGAGTCTAGAGCCAAGTCATCGTCATCATCACCTCCAGCGTCATGGTCTACCACGGCGGCATGGCCAGCCCGCCACCGAGCGATGGCCTTGTTCCGGCATCGTCTCCTACCCTCCCCTCCTCTCCGCCGTCACGTATCTCTCGAAAGGAAAAGAAGAAGTCCATCTTGACGCCCCGGAAATTCCGTCGTTTCTTCACCCCTCGCGGTATGCCCTCCCAGATATCTCGGGAAAGACCAGCCCTCGGCGAGCTGCGCAGTCTGGCACTCAACGCTCAAACAACACCCCCACGATCCACCCCCCGCTTCAACGAACCGATATCGCCCACGTCGAACCACAGCAGCAGCTTGCTCTCCCCTTTTGGCAGCGAAGATGGTCCGAGGAAGCGGAAGCGGAGCGTCGTCAACGCAATACCCATGAAGTTGCCACCGTCAAGCCGCAACTCGAACACGAAGCGTTCAAGGACTCAGCTGGAGGACTTGAATGAGGACTACCCTTTGGGTCGGAGCCCCGTCGCGAGGTCACCGTTGGAACAGAATGAGAATGCCGGACTCGAGGATCACCCCATGGGCTCGCCTTCGCCCTCAGGTAGTCACACGGCAGTTTTGGGCAGGACGTATCCGACAGGACCTCAAGCTACATCGGACGAATTCGCACGGAGGCTTAGCTCCTTGACTGCCAGTAATTTTGCGAATGCAGGATACGAAGGTCTTCGGCCCAGGTCTACGCTGATTGACTATTTCAAGTGCAACCGGGCAGGGATTCCCGCTTCAAGTAGGGGAAAGGCCATTGCAGCTATTGCCAAGCTTCCCCTGCCGCCCAAAGATGAGCCGGTATGTCTGATTTCTAAAGATGTACGCACGCTTCTTATGCTTACCGATATCAGGTCGTTTCCGAGTACCGGCCTCTGCCCGTGATCAAGCTACGCAACCGCGGCTTTGGTGCTCAGCTGCTGCTCCGGGAGCAGGGCAGCACGCCTCGTCCAGGGCGTGAGCATCTCGAGTATCCTGCTTTTGGTGAGTCATTTGCCTACACAGAACAAGACTTTATAACTAACGTTCAATAGACTCAAGGGCAAGTACGGCATCCTTCTGGAGCCGAAGCACCGACGTCCACATGTGTAACGCGCATCTGACGCAAGCGAATACTATTCCTTTCAGTCTTGCAAGTTGTCACAGTGAGTATCCCCGAATCCTAGACCTCAGACTTCAACTAAGCCTCGCAGATGCCCCAATGACGGCAATTGGTGACGAAGAAGGCTTCATCCGCTTCTTCGATACGACCACAACCCCCTTGGGAGCGACACCTCGGACAAAGGTTGAAATTGTCATCCAGGCTCACGAAAATGCCATCATGGACCTCGCCTTTTCCAATGACGATCTTCGTCTGGCAAGTGCCTGCGGTGACCGCTCCGGCAAGATCTTCGACGTCATGTCGCAGACGGTGGCCGTGGAGTTGAACGGCGGCCACTTCCAATCTATGCGCCGTGTCGAGTTTCAGCCTGGTAAAGCCAACGGAAACGTCGTAGCCACATCGGACCGTGATGGCAAGATCCAGATTTGGGATCTTCGATGTTCCATGGCACCCGCCGCGGCCTTTTCCACTCGCGGTCCGGAGGGTATTGTGCACCGTGATAGGAACCGTGGCCCCCTCTGGGCTCGAACGACCAACACGCTCGACAATGCCCACGCCCGTACGGTCGAGAGTGTTACATCTCCTGCCTCCGTCACTGCTCTACAGTATATGCCCGAAGGTCGTGAGCACCTCCTCCTCTCCGCCTCAGAGGCGAATGCCTGCATCAAGCTCTGGGATACTCGGTACATCACCCCGCGCAACAAGGAGGCCGCGCCCCTGGCCGTGACCGCCGAACCGGGTACCCATCGCTGGCGCCCCTACGGCCTTACTTCTCTCGCGCTGAGCAGCGACGCGGCCCGCCTGTACGCCGTATGCAAGGATAACACCGTCTACGCGTACTCCACCTCGCACCTCATGCTCGGCCACGCCCCCGAACTCTCCCTTCGGCCACCGCGCCAAAAGGCCGGCTCCGCGGTGCAGGGTTTGTCGCCCCTATACGGCTTCAAGCACGATCTTTTCCATGTTAAGAGCTTCTACGTCCGTGGAGCCCTCCGACCGGTATCGACCTCCGGTACCGAGCTTCTCGCCGTCGGTAGCACGGATAAGTGTGCCATTATCTTCCCTACCGATGAGCGCGCCATGCGGGAGTACTGGGACATGCAGAGCCACTTGCTGCCATCGGAGACCATGTCCACCTCCTCGAGCGCCGCGACGTCCTCGTTCCATTCGAAAAACCTCAACGCTGGCGGAGCTCAGGTGCCCATCATTCGGAACGGAACCCCCCTCGTCCGCGGCCACCGCCGTGAGGTCACGGGCCTCAGCTGGTCCAACGAGGGCAAGCTGGTCACCATCTCGGACGACTACATGGTGCGCCACTGGCAAGAGAGCAACGACAGCCGCGACGCGTGGGACCTGCGTACCGGAGGCGAGTTCGGCGGCAAGCGGCACTTGGCTGGGTGGGCCGACGTCGCGGACGATTGGGACGAGGACTGCGACTCACACTCGGAGTGTTGACCCAAAGAAGGGGAGAAAAGAAAAAAGAGTCGTCTTGATGGGGGTTGTTTCCCTAGACGGCGAAGAGTCATGATTGGTTTGTCATGACGAAGAGTTTGATAGGTCCGCCTCACCGTCTGGCCTTTTTGTTTTCTTGTACGATTTGTATACACGCGTGAGGTAAGTTCTCTGGATCGGGGCGCGATGGGAGTTATTTTTTGAAAGCATTGGTATGGCGGTGATATTACATGAGACGACGAGCAAAAAAAAGGTTAGAGATGGGATGGGTTGGTTCGAAATGATTTGGAGTGTTGGCTTGGTAGCAGACAGCGCATAGCATCGCTTTGCATTGCATTGATTGCACGGAGGGCTTCTAGATACCATTGGCATTCGCGGGATAGGGAATCCCTTATACATAATGAGACATGTCAGAAAGCAGCATCAAGCATGTACTTGAAAATACTGCAACTTGTGAAGGACAACTTGGTTCTGAATGTGCCATCTAGCCGTCGTAGCCCTCCTGAGGACGCCGCAAATCGTCGATCACTGCCATGCAACGTCATAGGAGAAATAAAAGACCAAAACACCTGGAAATGCAAGTAGGGGGGTATCTAACGTCTATCCCATGCGGCAGGTACCCTGAATGGAAAAACGCTCCGAAACGCCGAGGTCGTCATGCTATGCTATCACAATGCCAGCCGTCTAGTCTACTATTCCTCTTCTGCGATGACCCCTTCCTTCATCGTTTTCCTTGCTAAGAAGAACATGCTGACAATCGCAGCTAAGCCCGCCACGATGATAATGTTAGATATCAAGGAGGTGGCAGAACGTGGCATCTGCCACTGACTATACGTCAAACCTCCTGCAGATGACGCTGCGTTAGCCGCGCCGTCGGCCGAGAACGTCTGGCCCTTGTCCTTTCTGTGTGGTACCGCGAGCTTCGGCTCGAATCTCATAGACTTGGAAGCCGGGCAGCAAGCGGGTGGCTGTTTCTCCAAGTCGCTCAAAGCATGCGACTCCGGAGTCTCACATGCCTTTTGCCTCGTATGCCTGGAGAGCCACGAATCAGATTTCTCGCTGTCCTCAGAACCCTTTGCGACTGAGGTCGTCTTCTCCCTCTTCCTGTCTCGAGCAACCGCGACGCTGTCGCGCAGACGGCCGCCGGGTGCCAATGATGCCCATGATTCCAAGATGGAAGCTCCGTGCTCCAAGTCCGTGTCGCACACATTGTCCAGCTGCCCAACGAGGAGGAGCATGTTGTCGAAGATGCAGACGGCCTCCTGGATAATGTCACGTCTCTGGCGCGGTGACAGGTGGTGCTCGGATTCCGCCAGCCGTTTCTTAAACTCTTTTTTGAGGTCCTCGCCGTCCAGCGCCGTCGCAAAGTGAAAAAAACTCAGTGGTAGAGAGTGGCGCATGTGTTTTGCGCCGACTTCGGCCTTCCCACGGTCGTCACCCCGCGACAGGTCAACCGGCGCTGCCGTGGGAGTCGCCGTGCCCGATGGTGGTGCGCGTACTTGACAGGGTATCTGCGAGGGTGGAATCGGCGACGGTATTTGCTCCCAGAATTCTGTACCCGCAGACTCGAGAGTTGCTCTGATGAAACGCCCACCAGCAAATAGGGCCATAAACAAGATGTACGAGTATGCCATTAGGACGTGGGGCTTCTTCTCAATGGTGCGCTTCATGTGCCTTGTGAACTCGGCAAGTCGTCCTGATTGTGAGACCGCGGCCAGTTGCTTGTTGACAACATCAGGAGCCCATCCGGTGATGGAACCAATGTCGGCTCGCAGCCGATCAGAGCGCATGAGCGCAGGTAGATACAGCGACGTCAATATCGACCGTGTTCGCTCGCAAAGAGCAGGTTGGTGTTGTGAGTTAGATTCGATATGAGCGGCCGATGTAAGGTCAGCTAAGTTTAGGTTGCAGTCATCATGGGCCTCGCCAAAGGTAGAAAGTTGAGGCGATTCTGCGATAGTCTTCCATAGTGACTCAAAAGTGTCGTAGATGGGCGTGATGTGAAGAAGGCCAGAAACGTAGAGGGAGGGATCTGCCGCACGAGGCGGGATGGCCAAGGGCAGGCGGGTAATGATTATCTTGTTAAGTTTTGCATGAACAGATCGGGTCGCGGCGGCGATGGACTCGGACAAGGGACGTTGTTTTTCTTCGGCCGGCGTTGCGGCTGGTGAGGTCATCGTCACGGGCATCCGCGCGGCGCCGTTGTTTGTCAAGCCTCCCGTGACGGAGAGGTGCGGCTGATGGTTTCTAGGAAACGTGTCGGAGACTGGATATGGGCGTGGCGTAGGTGGTGTACAGGAACCGGGCACCCAGTGTTTGCAGAGGAGAAGAATAGGACAAAGGATGCTTGGTGTAACACAAGTCCGAGGTAATGCGGTTGTTACTCGAGAATCAAGGTGTAGACAGGAGCAGAGACAGAGGGTAGGTAACCGGTAGTCCTAGAAGACTTGTTGTCTGCTGCTCCTCCTCAACGCCCCCTTGGCGAATGCAAGGCGTAATGAAATATAATGTAGAGGGACCTGGGAAAGGACAGAACGGACGGAAACCACAAACGGAAGCTATAGCGTCGATCCACAGTAGACTGTCGATGCTAATGATCGAGTGTCCCTCTCTCGTTTTCTTTCCATGGGAGAGGCTGAACCAGTGGCAGTTGCGCTTGGGTGGAGTGGAGGGTAGTAATGGCTTAGAGTAGCGGGTGGCAAACTTGAAGGGTAATATGGAGAAGAAGGCGGCAGTGTCAGAGCTTCTGCTGCTTCTGCTCTTCTGCTGGAGTGACCTCTGGTAGAAGAGGTCGATCGCCCGGGCCACCACGCATTGCAGCCATGAGGAGGAGTGAGCTGTCCCGGGAGCTTGGGTTTTCTGTTTCTTTTTGCAGTCGAGGATTCGGGTAGGTTCCAAGGGGATGGGACTAGTCTTGCTCGGAAAGATTCCACTTTGGTTGGTATGCAAGGTAGGTATCCGTAATGAAGAGACAAAAGTTAAAGATCCAAAGGGGACGGGGACAGGAGCAGGGCCCGGCAAACGGGGTTGGAAGAAGCTAGTCTCGGAGAGATGAGGTGGAAGAGAGGCTCGGAAAGCTAGTGCGCACCCCAAGCATGGAATCTTGAGAGTCAACTGGACTACATCGAAGATTGCATCGGGTGTTAGCCCGGGTCTGGTCTCGGGCGTATAGGATTGAAGAGTGGGGTGACGTCTGAGATGGAGATCGGAGTTATCTGCTGCCTCGCGGGAACTATTCCCCAAATCGATAGAAACTCACTACCTACGCTTTGTTATATCGCGTCAAGGTCTCGTGGACATGTAATTAGGAACTAGATTTTTCTTGGATAGTAAGGTAGAGAAGCGAGTAGAGAAGCGAAACTAAGGTACTGAGGTGGGTCACAATCACCCACGACTTCACAGCAAAACCACAGCCGGCTCAGGTATTCAGCGACCCCCGCCACGCTCGCCACGGGAAGGCAAATTCCGCCTTTGGCTCCATGTGAAATTCCCATGAGAGAGAAATGGAAATGCGGTTTGGCACTTTGGGTTTTCTACCGTGGAGCGAGCAGTAAACAGACGAGGTCAAGGAAGGGCGGGGGGCGAGGGATGTGGAGGACATCGTCACTGGTCAGGGTCAGGGGTCCTTTTGCTTTTGGTCATTCGCGGTCTCGCCCCGTAGGGCCACTTTTATCCATCGGGCTGGAATCTGGATTCGAATGGAGCATCTTCGCATTGACACGCTGCATGTCCGACACTTTCCCCGGTCCACTGTGGCTTGCCCGTCTACTCTGCTGTTCCTTGTCTCTACGGTGGCTTCCAATGGCTGTTCCTGCCCGCGTGCCCGTGTTCCTGCCTGATGCGTTTCCGTTCTTTTCAATGTCTCGGTCCCCAAAAGCCTGGAAGGTGGAATTGCAGGAGCAAAAAGTTGGCAAGACTAACGAGACACGGGCAATGCATCCTTGTGCCGCCATGTATGCTGCATTACCCTAGACCAGTGACTGGTGACTGGACCTTCTGCAGGAGGAAGCGCCCCAGCGATCGGCTTTCCTGCGGGCCATCAACTCTGGTAGGACCCGCGATGTCAAGCCACCTCATTCTTGCTGCCCGCGCCGACAGCAAGTGATCCCTTCCTTCTCACGCCTCTCTACCTACCTTCCCAATTGGGTACCTCATTACTCTGTCAGGTGTAAACATCCTTTTGATAGATAGTCACCAACTTTCTCTAAGGTACTTGCCGCTCCTTTGTTGCGCTATATACTTGCAATACAATCTCACAAGTCTGTAAAACAGCTTGCATGACTCTCCCTAACAAACCGCTTTCCCATGGTTTCCGCCCATCTCTCAGCCTCAATGTAACCCAAGACTCTCAGTCTTCGGTTATGCAGCATACCTCTGCCAAAAAAGGAACATTGGAAAAAAAAAAAAAACCCCCAATTCAAGTCATAACAGAGTTTAGCAATTCCCGCAACTCTATCAAAAGCAGGGGCAGGGCCCGGCAACAACCAAGGATCACACGGCTCAAGAATTTTGGAGCATTGAACTAGAGGCGGCGAATCCGATTGCACGGCTCGCCATGCGCCTGCAGATCCCCTCCTCAAATCAAGGAAGAAAAATATGCATCGTATTTTACAAAAACCCGTTATCGGATTCTGCAAAATCCCGTCTTGTCATGCTCAGCCGACCTTCCCAAACCCTAGTCACACCAGCTTACCTCGACGCGCTCAATCTTCAACAACGGACCATTCACCCACCATGGGGAACGGAAAATTGCCGCTCCTCCGAATCATCCGCTCATATTGGAATAGTGAATCCTTCCAAAGCATGCACATGTGAAATTGACGCCTGGTCTTATCTTACCAACTTGACCTTGAACAATCAAATAGTGAAGTCATTCGAGGGGCAGTTCTCGCGCGCATTTGACAATACGGTATGGTGCAAGTGAATCGTATTAATGACAACACTGAGCAGACTGCTCAGATTCACAGCGCGCCAGGGGAATTTCAACACTTAAAGCGCCGTACTCTGTATGTAAACGCCGTGGTCCATGCAACACGTCTATCCCTCCCCCGAGCGCCTCTCTGCTCTCGAATTACAGCTTTCTTGCTATGGGAATATCTTTGATCATTGCGAGGCTCCTCCCCGGGATCCTGCCTCGGGGCTCTTGTCGCTTGTCTCGTCTTCGTGGCTCTCGTTGTTGATGAACAAAAACGAGAGGAGCACCACGGCCGCGCCGACCCAGTACACCCAACTGGAGTACTGCGAGTACTGGATCATCTCGCCAATGAGCGACAGGGGAATCGTGAGGGACAGGCCGACTGTCACGACCAGCGGAGTAGTGAGCAGCATGGCATACGCCCACGACATGTCGCTGATGAAGGACGACAGCGAGTTGCTAATAACAATGGCCCAGATTTTGGCCGTGGGAGGGAATGAGAACTGTTCGTCATTTATTAGACATTGAAAGCCCACAGAAGATGAAACGGGCGTGTGGTGTGACTTACTGGCTCCATCCCAGTGAAATGCAAGATGAAGAACACGGGCCAGAGGAACACCAAGTTAAAGAGTCCAACCAGGCCGAAGAAGAGCGACATATTCACCCGGTCCTCGTTGCCAACCCGCCTCTTCATCACAGTCACGTAAAGTCCGTAGATGATGGCGCTCACAAAAGCCATGAGATCCCCAATGGCAATCTGCGCCGTCGTCTTGTGCGGGAACGACCCGCGGTTCTCGTCGCTCGACCCGGACAGGTCCACCGTCGATATCAGCACGATGCCCGTTAACGACGCCATCACGCCAATCAGCTTACGCGCCGTGAATCCCTCGACCCCCATCACGGCGCAGAAGACGAGCGTCCAAACACTGCTCGTCGAGTTGAGGATCGTCACGCTCCCGACGCTCGTGTACTCTAGGCACGCCGACGCGAAATAGTTTGCAAAAAACCACAGCATGCAGAACTCAAGGCTGATGATGGCCGTCTCCCGAAACGTAAGCTGCTCGACCCTTGTCGTCGTCTCGAACCTTTCCATCTCCAAGCTCGGCTCGTCATCGACCAGCAGACGTTCCCCCGCGACCGTATCTTCCTCGTCCTCGGTCGTCTTGAGGTCCTTGCCGTATCTCTGCTCGTTCCAGACCACCATCGCCTCGCGTCGTAGACCCTCGAAGCCGTGCTGCATCAGGAACCGCACTAACATCGGTATCAGAGACACCGCGAAAATTGACGTATTCATATACACCACGAAAAAGGGCTTGTCGTAAGAATGATCTGAAAAGATGTACTGCCAATTGTCAGCTGCGCCAGTCCACCGCAAAACACCATGGCCAACTCACAGATGCCAAAAAGTTGGATATCGTCCACAGCAGCACTGTCACAAGCAGCAACGAAATGCCCAGCGTCCGCCTCGCAACGCCGCCCAACCCCATCTTCGTCTGCCACCCAGATGACCGCACTGTCGACCTCGACCTAGTTGTAGACGCGACCGAGACGCTCAGCCTGTCGGTGCTCGAGAACGACCTCCTCGGAGGACGGTCATGATGCTCGGGTGGTGCCAGCGCGGCGGGCAACATAGGCTCGGTCGGTGCCATTTTCGTTTCGGGATTTCGCGCTTCGTCGTCGCGCGCGTCGTCGTCGCGAGGTAGGTAGACGGAAGAGGAGTTGCGGGATCAGGAAGGGTTGTCCGCCTTCAGGTAGTCCAAGGTCGCCGTCGACGCTGCAGGCATTTGACCACGGGGAGGGCAAAAACAGCAGCAAACTCTCGAAAAACCTCACAAATAATCGCGTTTGAGGGGGACGGGCGGTGGCCGAAAGTCCTGTCGCTCAACTCGGCGCATGTGCAGCACGGCACGATATGCCGTCCGCCAACTGTTTTCTCGGGCCGTCGAAGGTTGATAATGACGATTATGGAGCGGTTCCCTGGAGAGCAAAAGACCTCAACAAGGCAAACCCTCGAGGAAGCCTGGACGAGCTTCTTGACGTGGATGCGTCGTCCGGATTTTTTGCTGTCGTTGGAGCGTTTACTTTCAAGGGATTCGTGTCAATGTGTTAATTAAGGGTGTTTCTTCAAGGTTGAGTTTCAAAGGCACGGGCGAAAATACCCCCTGTATTCGTCCCAAGTGCCGGCAACCAATAGCGGTGAGTCGATTGCATGCCACTACGTCTCGAGTCTCAGCCTCCCTCAGTAAGGTAAGGCAAGTTAACAGGATGAGGATCTTTGCTGTGCTTGCTAAATCCTGCCTAGAGCACGAGACGCAACCTTTTGGTCCTCTAGGCTGCCGCCGCTGGACAAAGCCGTGCATGACGCCGCCCGCAAAGCTTACAGAGAGCATAAGTTGCCAGGCCGGACTTAGTGCCGGTCTCCGGCTTGGAGCTTTAGCGCAACCTCGGATCCATTCTCCTCAGCGGAGTCTGATGACAAGACGGCAAGAATGATCCGTCAGCTCGGGCCGGTGATGATCACAGGTTGCAGTAAATGGATTCTCTCCACTGCTCCGCGCTTGCCAGTTGAGATGAAAGGTTCCCAGTAAGGCATGTTTGCCACTTCCAGATCCTCTCGCCCAGAAAGAACCTTACCTTCCAGGACGGTTGCAGGCAGGACAAGCCATTTACGACGCAGAAGCGGCCACTGGCATCATACGAATAAACCCTGGATCAAATTCCAATAATAACCTCTAAACACCTTTCGCACCAGTACAGGATATGCAACATCAAGCCAAGGCCAAAAAAACGATATGTGGAAAGGCCATTGGACTAAACATAATGCGAGTCGGACAGGGCCTAATACTGTGTGCCGCCCACGTCCTCGATTCGCCCAACATCAACCAGCTGCTTACCCAATAGCAACTTAGCACGAACATCCGTCCCGGGGGTTTTCGATGGGGATGTTGATGACGTCCTGGTAATCGCCGCTGAATTCCTCAGACTCCTCCTGGGCTAGGGCGTTCCGCGCAATGACTAGGTGATGAAGTTAGTATTCCTGCTGCCACACGCTTATGGTACAGCACCAACCTTCGAATGCCTGCTCAACGTTGATAGCCTCTTTTGCGCTGGTCTCAAAGTAGGGAATACCGCCCTTGGATTGGCAAAAGGTCATGGCGCGCTTGGTCGAGATCTACAACACCATTAGTCAACTGTACAGGAAAGAGCCGTTCTTGCGCACTCACCACTCTCTTGCTTTCCTCAACATCAATCTTGTTCCCGAGAACGACCTAGTCGCTCGTCAGCATCGATTCGAAAATTCTAGCGTGAACCGGCCACTAACAAATGGGAAGTTGTCCGGGTCCCGCGGCGACGCTTGGATCAAGAACTCGTCCCTCCAGCTGTCCAGGGCGTCGAAACTCTTGGAGTTGTTGACATCGTATACGAGCACGCAGCAATCGGCGCCGCGGTAGAAGGCGACACCCAGAGACTGGAAGCGCTCTTGTCCTGCCGTATCCCAGAGCTATCGTCCGTCGTCAGCTTGTCCGGATTGTTGATGAATCGTTATGTCTGTCTAATCCTACCTGCATCGTCACCTGTCGGTCGTCGACGAGAACCTCGCGCGTCAGGAAGTCGGCGCCGATTGTGGCCTTGTAGCTTGCACTGAACTTCTTGTTGACCTGAGTGAAACATTCAAGTCAGCGCCAGTCTCCTCCGGGTGTTGCTAGGCACGCGGACACTCACATATTGGTTCATCAGACTCGTCTTGCCGACACCGCTGTCGCCAAGGATAATGACCTGCAAGAATACGACATGGTCAATTATGCCGCGCCACGACGTGATGCAGCGCTGGATGAGAGCCCACCTTGAGGAGGACCTTCTTTCTCGATGACATTTTGGATCGAGAGCCTCGCCGGAGGTACGTGTAGAACAGGGGATGGTCAAAAGTGTCGGCGTCAACAGTTGGTCGGTCTACGGAGTTTTACGAAAGTTTCGGTCGCGGTTGGGGTTTCTTATCGGTTCGGATGTCAAAGTGATCGAAAACGGACCGGTGTCTTGCGGTCAGGGGTGGTTGGTTGGTGTCAAGTGCTGGTCGATAGACCGATTGACGGAAAGTGATGGTGGAGGTTGACAGGGAAGCAGGCGGTACTGAGAGCTACCGTCACATATCCAGGTTTCAGCCTATCAAAGAGCTGCCTCCAGTGCTGGGTCTAACCAGGAAGGGCTCCGAGTGTCTATCGTCAGGTGCGTTGCTGCTGTTGTCATTGTGGCTGACGTAACATGGAACTTGATGAACCTAGAGCAGGCCAGCAAGGCGCTGCTGGTAGTGAACGACGGTGCTCAATGCACTGTACCTTGGTGAACTCAACGCCGCTCCAGCCACACATTCCTCATCAACTGAACGACCCGTGGACGCGGACGGCCCAGGCGAACTGAGTTCAGCGGGAGCACGCCCTCATCACTTGGAATTCCTGCGAGGACCAAGACCTCCCACCTCTAGTCGCACATCACATGTATGCTGGGGGCAAACAAACCGCAAGACTACGTCTGTTGCCCAGCATGCGCTGATGGGCCTTTTGACACTCACCTCACCCGATCCTCATGGCGGATGAAGAAGATCTCCTGACCAAGGTCCACGGCCTGAGCGACCTCGAGCTCGCCGCCTTCTTGTGCCTGGTCAACCGAGAACACTGCATCGTCAGCACTCCGCCCGTCGCCCTCAATGAGCTCATTGAAGAGCTCCAGCTTGTGAGCGCACCTGTTGTAGCCGTCCCGTTTTCCACGTCACTAACCTACAGCAGATCGCGACCAAGACCTTTGGTCTGACGTGCGCCGTCGTGGATTGCACTCCGCAAACCACCCTGGAGGACTTTGCATCCTCCATCCTCATAGCGCAGTCGCCTGCAGCAACCAGATCAGGTTCGCCGCTGCGCACCCGCACCGACTCCTACTTCTACTCCCGCGCCGGAATCTCCCCATTGACCGCCGTCAACGCCTCCAGCCCTACCGCCCCCGGCGGCGCTGCCGGTTCTTCCATCGCCAACGTCATCCTCGCCCGGAACCTAGACCGCGCGCCCAAGGCGGTGCAGATTCAGGTCCTCGAGCTCCTACGCACCCGCCGGATCTTCACCCGCACCTCCGTCCAGACCGCTCCCAAGCAGTTTCTCTTCGTGGCTGCGCTGGCTGCCGAGAGCGGAGGCAAGGCTCACGTCACGCTGCACTTGAACGACTACTTCTTCATCGCGCACTGGCACGACCCCGACGATGGCTTTGCCAACCTGGACGAAGCCTACGAGGGTACCAACGATGCCGAGACTGCCAGCACCGAAAGCGTGGTAAAAAAGAGCATCAACGAGGAGGCGATGGCGGTCAGTGAGGATCCCCTTTTAAGTGAAGGTGTAAGTGAACATTCGCGAAGTGTTCGGTCTTCTGGGAGCTAACTTTCTGTAGGACATCGCATCGCTGGCTAAGCTTAGCCGAGAAGTGCAGGTCAATGTGGACGTGCTGCGCTATCAAATGAACATTGTCACGTATATGAGAATGCACCGCGCGGTTGCTGGCGGCATCGAGCCAGTTGCTACGAAGCACCTCGACCAGCTGCTCAGATGCCTCGCCCCCTTGCACCGCCTGAACTTTGTGACGCCGGCTCTCGTTCACCTGGCCATTAGGAAAGTCTACTTGCATCGGATCCGGATTGTGCACGCAAAACAGGAAAGGAGCATGCAGTGGGGCAGCCAACTAGAAGCTATCGAGTCCATACTGGAAGGGGTGGGTGCCGAGGACGTGATCGAAGACGTGATAAGCATGGTGGCGGCACCGCTTTGAAAGGAATTTCGGTTACTTTTCCCGCGAGCGTAGTTGATTCTAACAAGTGGCTTCGCCTTAACGAGTCTTTATTCCTGATACCCATGGAAAACCATTCGAGACATGGCACGCCCGCCGTTGATCCGTGTACTGATGCGTCTCCTGCATCCACCATGTAGCCTTCATTGGTCTCAAATACACTTATTCGTAATCGAACATTCCCATTTCTGTCGTGGAATTAAAAATCTATAATACTGCAAGCCAGCCAACGCCAGGGGAGGCTTGCACAATCTTGTCGCGAGATAGGTCACTGGTCTAGTTGACCTGGTTCACTCTGCACTTCCAGCCGGATCCGGGAGAAAGGAGTGGCAAGCTGTGACACGTTAGCTTCTGCATGATTTCTCAATGACTGGTCAAGACTCACCTAGCACCTAGGCACCAGCCCAACTCGTTGCCCTTAATTTTCTTGGCAATCTTGACCTCACGGTCAATGGGCATCTCGTAGCCGGTGTGGAGGAGAGCCATCATGAAGTTGAGGTCGAGGCAGTGCTCAGGACGGTCCTGCAACTCCTTCAGAGCACCAGGAATGCTGGCGAACAAATCCCATGACTTCTCACCGCCACAAACAGAGTTGGCAAGGTCGTGCATCTCGCGCAAGGTGAAAGAGTCAGGCATGCCGAGGGGTTTGGTACGATCGTAAAAGTAAGAGAAGATGTAGACGTCCTCGCGGCCAAAGGTCTTGGCCAGTGACGGCTGGTGGACACCGTTGAAAGAGCAGGGTGCAAGCTTGCAGTTCTCTTCCTTCTTCAAGATCTTTTCGGCAAGGTTGCGGCACTGAGCGGGAGCGGGCTGGGAGGGACCGGTCATGTTGAAGGTCACAGTCTTGCCGAGGGGGTGCTTCTCATCGAGCTCGACCTCGACCTCTCTAACCATGCCGGGAGCAATGCAAGGGTGGATGATGGGCTGCTTGACCCAGCTGTCGTCGGACTTTTTGCTCTCAAAGATCTCCTCGATCAGCTGCTTGTGCACGGCCTTGCGGGCGCTCATCAAGCCGTATCCCAGGTGAGAGTGCTGGTAGAGCTCAAACTTTTGTCCACCAAAGGCCAGGTCGTACTTGTGGTCGCCCTCGGCGAGCTTTTCCGGCATGCCTCCGTCCGCAGCTCCCTTGAAGGTGGGCTCGAAGACGATCTGGGTCGAGCCACCACCCAGATCGAAGACGGCAGCAGTGGGACTCTTGTCGGGGCCGCCAATCTTTCCGAGGAGGTAGTTGGTGGTGATCCAGGCGTAGACACCTTCGTCGGCGCCGTCCATGATTGCAACTCCGTTATCTTCCTTGGAAACGACGGGGAAGGGGTACTTGGTCTCGAGGCGGTTGCGCACAGCAGCAAGGATCTTCTCGGCGTTCTCAGCTCCAACCATGCGGAGTCCAGCCGTCGCTTTCACCGCGACAGGACTGCAGGACTTGAGCTTATCGGGGACGTTCGTCATGGCAACCTCCATCAGAGCGTCAAGAGAAACAGCAGCGGCCTCAGGGTCGTCCTTATACTTGCTGAGACCACCAACAGACTTCTCCGTCATCTTGAATTCCTCATGCTCCAGCTCGGGGGTGGCGCCGCAGTTGTTGAACTTGTAAACGTGGATCCTGGATCCCGTGCTGCCGGCGTCGATCATCAAGACGTACTGGACGATAGGCTTAGACTTGGAGCTGGACTGAGTGCACTTGTCGGTGCCGTACGAGGCATCGGTAGGGACCTGGCCACCAGCGCCGCCTTTCGATACTGTCAGAAAGGTGTTAGTACGGACCCGTTGGTGTGGAGATCAACAAGTCATCGCATACCTCCGCCATTGTAGACGTTGACGCCTCTAGGAGACAGATACCAGAAGAGAAAGACGACGAAGAAGGCAATGGCGCCCGTCCTCATCCATCTCGTCTTCTGTGCTTGAGACATATCTCTCAACGCCGCAAACAGGCCAGTATTCCGTTGAGCAGGTGCAAATCGACCTGGCTTTTCGTGTGGATCTCGCGCAGGTTGCTTCGTCGGCAGCGACACAGATGTTCTTCGCATTGGTCGCGTGTCGTTGGTGCTTAGGGGAACACAAGGTAATGCATTCACGAGGTACAGCGCCGTCAGGACGGGACAAAGGAGTGGACTGGACTGAACCGAGGGCCGATTACAAAGGGAGCAGCACGGGGCGACTCGAGGAAACAAAAAAGTGCGGATGGCCGAAAGAAAGAGCGGACGAGATGGGACGGTGGCACAGGCCCCGGAAAAAAGTGCAGAAGTCGTATATGTAGGGAGACGTCGTCCAAGGGGGGTGAGGAGATGCAAGGTACGGTGGCCTTGAAGGGGGTTCAATGGCAATTGCAGATTTTCTCTTGCCTGAGAGGCTATCAAAATCCAGACATCCCTGTCTTGAGCTGGCAGTTTGTTAATCTTGGGTGCGCCAGCGGGGACAACGCGAGTCCACTGAAATGCTGAACCAGGCGTCCATCCCGTCGCGTACACCTTAATGGCCGGCTCCCTGATTAGGGGGCGGGGCCACTGACTCCCTGCTACGCCCCCTAAATTGCGCAGCCGCTCCTTCACATTCTGACTATTCCTTGACACTTGCTCTGCAGCTTACCTACCCGTGCTACACCTTACCTTAAGGTAAGGTAAGATAACGTGTCTCTCGAAAGACACATTATCGATAAGCAAGTGGACTAAACGCCACGTGTGGCGCTTCCTCCACCGGATCCGACACTGTGACAGGACCCTGGAAGCTTCTCGTCCAGTGACTATTACGACTACGGCTTGTTGCCTCCGGCGTAGCGATTATTTGAACGACGTCCAGGAACAGGACTAAGAGAAAAACCAAAACCTCTGCGAAATAAAGCTTGAATCATATCTTGCACCTGATCCGCTAGCAACACAGCCTTTCCACTCTTCGACTTGATCGCAGCACTTTCCACTGTAGACGTTGGATCCCTGTCTAGGCTGAGCGAAGCCTCTCGAGATGGATGTCCATCTCCTAACATACGATCTGTCCCGCGGGCTTGCACGGCAAATGTCTCAGGGCATGCTTGGATTTCACCTCGATGCGATATATCACACATCCATCCAACTCAACGGCCGTGAGTACGTCTACGATGGTGGCATCGTGGACATTACTCCAGGCACGTCTCATCTGGGCCAGCCCATGGAGCGGATTTTCCTTGGAAAGACAGAATTACCTATGGAGGTGATTGAAGAGTTCCTGGAATCATTGAGACCAATATTTACAGCCGAGGTGGGCTAAAATTGCTCTTGAGTTGATCATGGCTAACCGACCTCCAGGCCTACGATCTGTGGAAACACAACTGCAACAACTTCTCAGACTCGTTTTCTCAGTTCTTGATTGGAAAGGGCATCCCAGAGCATATCATCAAGATGCCTGATGCTGTACTCAGCTCTCCGATGGGCAGGATGCTCATGCCTCAACTGAACCAGGTCATAAACTCCAACAGACAAAATGGTTCAATCCTTGGTATCCAGAACAATCCCACGCCCCAAGGCTTCGGATCAGCGCCACATCCCACAACCCCCCGGGCAAGTATCAGGATTGTCAGTAGCTCTCAAGAGCTGGACGCCGTCCTTGATTCTGCAAAAAACTCATGTGCTGTTGTTTTGTTCACCTCCTCTACTTGCCCTCCTTGCAGGGCCATCTCACCCGTCTTCGATGAAGTGTCCGCAGAGGCAGGCAGCAAGGCTACGTTTATTAAAGTGGACGTTGCCCAGCTCACACCACTTCCTGGGAAGAACTACCCTCGAGCAACCCCGACATTTATCACGTATTTGCACGGGGAAAAGGAGAACGAGTGGGCAGGTGCTGATCCTGCTGCTCTTCGAGGCAACGTCCAGCTCTTGTTACAGATGGCTTGGCCTAGGCATCCTCACGAGTCCCTCAAACTTCCCAACTTTTCCAACCCAAATGCAAAGCCAGTCTTGTTCTCGAAGGTGCCTCCACTGGCCAAATTACTCGGCAAGATGGGGTCGGCAGCAAACGAACCAGCCGTGCAGGCGACCAAGCAGTTCATTGAAGCCCGCGATAAGCAGGGTGCTGCCGCCGCCATGCTCCCGAACATGGTCGAGTTTTCGGGGTTTCTGCAGGCATCAGTGCAGTCGTTGCCCATCGAGATTCTTTTTACCATCGTCGACTTGTTCAGGTGTGCGCTCGTCGACGCAAGGTTTAGCGGCTACTTTGCCGAGGAAAAGGGGCACGCGGCTGTTTTGGCAATCCTCAACCTCGTCAACTCACGCAGCGACTGCCCGTATGCCTTGCGATTGGTCACGCTGCAAATGGCGTGCAACTTCTTTTCCACGCCGCTCTTCCCGGAGGAAATTCTTCGAAACGAGACTTTGAGAGCACCAGTCATCCAGCTGATTTCGTCGAGTTTTTTGGACGACAGCCACAATAATATTCGCGTGTCCGCTTCGTCCCTGATGTTCAATTTGGCACTGTTCAGCAACAAAGCAAGACGTGAGAAGTCGGGAGATGTATTGCCAGATGGCGATGCGGTAGAGCTGGCCGCATCGGTGTTGGAAGCCATTGGACAAGAGGAGTCTTCGCCAGAGGCACTGCAGGGCATGCTTCTCGCACTGGGCAACTTGGTCTATTGCACACCAGGTGACAGTGAAGTATCGGATCTGCTAAGGACGATGGATGCGGAGGACACGATTCTGGCCAAGAAGAAGCAATTCCCAAATGAAAAGATCATCATAGAGGTGGGCTCAGAGCTTTTGGGCAAGGGGCTTAGACGGCCGTAAGTCACCAATGTAGAGATACAAGTCATTAGACTACGTGGCGTTCGGTGTTGACACCGTCATAGAGGTGCCGAATGTTTACTAGGTTTGCGTTTGCAAGGCGATTTGTTTACACCAACGGAACACGAGTGTCTGTCACCTGATTCTTCCACAATACACCGGCAGCGACGCCGTTTGACGCATCATTGTGAAGAGACGGTTCTTCCTCCGTCTTGCAAAAAATTATCACACGCTCGATACAATCTCTTTTCCCTATTCCGCTGTTTCTCTGTCACCAAAAAAGCAAGTCGATGACGCTCCGGAAAGATACGTACTCGTACCCCTACATTCCTACCCCAGGTATACAGCACACCGCATAGCAAGTGTGGCGTCACTGCCCTGGCAACTCGGCCCCACCAGCTGTCCTCCCAATTGGGCAACCGAGTAAACAAGCCCGACCGCCTCATGTTGGGATGTGGGCTTCGCAACGGCAACGATACCACGCAATTTTGGAAGACCTCAAGCAGACCCTTTGTGGATTGTCTCTCGATCATCGACTGCTACCGCCAGCGGTTTATGAGATGCCGGCTCTCTACTCGTCTGCTTCAACCCCGTCTCTGCGGTCGCACGATGGACCGGTCAGAATGGACGGGGGAGGCAATGTTCGAGTTGTTGTCCGAGTGCGGGCGTTTCTGCCCAGAGGTACGTGAAAGACTTACTGATGTGGTGAGGCAGAGAGACTGACGAAGAAAATCCAGAGATCGAGCGTGGTGCCGAGTGTCTAGTAGAGATGGACCCCATCACCCAGCAAACGACGCTTCTCGTGCCTAACGACAACGACCCTGCGAACGCGAGAGCAAAGACCAGAAAGGTTATCGAGGAAAAGAGCTTCACATTTGACAACTCTTTCTGGAGTCACGACCTTAGTGACAAGAATTATGCGCACCAGGAAGACGTCTACAACAGTCTGGGCGAGGAGTTTCTCGACCACAACTTTGAGGGCTATCACACATGCATCTTCGCCTATGGCCAGACGGGTTCCGGAAAGAGTTACACCATGATGGGAACGCCAGACCAGCCGGGCTTGATCCCTCGGACGTGCGAGGATCTCTTCGAGCGAATCGAGTCCGCGCAAAACGAGACGCCCAATATTTCCTATAACGTCAGGGTGTCATACTTTGAAGTCTACAACGAGCACGTCCGCGATCTGCTCGTTCCGGTTGTGGCCAATCAGCCGCCGTACTATCTCAAGATCAGGGAGTCACCGACAGAGGGACCGTACGTGAAGGATCTGACCGAGGTGCCTGTACGCAATCTCAATGAGATTTTGCGATACATGACCATGGGAGACAGATCGAGAACCGTTGCCAGTACCAGAATGAACGACACGAGTAGTCGCAGTCACGCGGTTTTCACCATCATGCTCAAGCAGATCCACCACGACATGGAAACGGACGAGACGACAGAGCGGAGTTCGCGTATTCGGCTGGTCGATCTGGCTGGCAGTGAACGTGCCAAGGCAACGGAGGCAACAGGCCAGCGGCTTCGTGAAGGTAGCAACATCAACAAGTCGCTGACGACCCTCGGTCGAGTGATAGGAGCGCTCGCCGATGCCAAGGCTGGTTCGAGAAAGCGCAGCAAGGACGTCGTTCCGTACCGGGACTCGATTCTCACGTGGCTGTTGAAGGATTCGCTCGGAGGCAACAGTAAAACGGCAATGATTGCTTGCATAGCGCCGTCAGATTACGAGGAGACGCTGTCGACGCTTCGCTACGCAGATCAAGCCAAGCGCATTCGTACGCGCGCAGTTGTCAACCAGGACCAGATTTCGTCCGCGGAGCGCGACGCCCAAATCGCAGCTATGGCGGACGAGATTCGAGCCCTTCAGCTATCCGTTTCGGAATCGCGACGACGGGAGAAGGATACCAAGGACCAGGAGGAGAAGCTTGAGGAGTACCAGAACCACGTTGCTACGATGCAGCGCATGATGGAGGAGCGAAGTCTCGTCGCCGAGGGCAAGATCCGCAGCCTACAGACGGAGAACGAAGCATTGCGCCTGCATCTTAAGCTCGCGCTCGAGAGTCTGAAGAACCCGATCCCGGCCGTCACGATTAAGCCACCAGAGGCCGAGGAAGCGGAGGACGAGGCTCAGAGGGCCAAGTCGGCGGGTCTCGAGGGCAAGGAAAATGGCGAGGACGCCGAGTCATTGTACGACGACTCGGACGATACGGCGTACGACTCGGATGTCATGGAGGATAATGCCAGCGACATGCAGGAGTACATGCGCAGCCTGCTGAGCGATCTGGGCATGTTCCGGCGGAAGATTGGAGACGATAAGGAGCGCTGGGTCGGCGAGAGGCCGCCCGTTGGAAGCAAAATGAATATGTAGTGTGGAAGGAGTGGGCAAAAAGCTCGACTATCGACTGTTATGAAGCATCAAGACGATAATGGTAAGCATGGTGTTTTGGGAGTCTTCTTGTCCTTCGGGGGTTATAGTATTTCGGAGACAGAATCCATAGTTTGCAGGCAACACCTACACATGGCACATGACTTAACACGGCCCGGCCATGAACTGAGCAATGCAGTAAGGTAGGTAGGTATGCACCAATCACAGATTCCTTTACCCGGGACACGTTAGACTTTGTTGCGCACGTCATGATTGAAACTCGTAGGAACACGATGCGGGCTGTCAGATTTCATGGAAAGTGGGCGGGTGTTCTTCGCCTAGCACTTGCATCCCAACCAGGGGATCCATTCAGGTGGTGCTTCACAAATCGAGCCGCAAGATGGGAGCATGGAGAAGGGCGCGCGAGGTCCGTCGGGGCCGTTGTGTGCCGCTGGCGTTGTCATTAAAGGTACGCAGTCGATGTTATCCATGGGGCCTAGTTGCTGCAAATGTGTAGGAACGTCAAGAGAAGAGGAGGGATGTCGTTGTTAGGGTTTGACTGGTGAGAGGAGAGAAGGAAAGGAGGCAGGGATCAAGCATCCGGAAGAGACGACGGCGATGCAAAGCCGGTGAACTTGCCAGGGGGAGTTTCGAGACAACGATTTGGTTCGTCGACGACGGGCAACGTGCTCCGGAGCTGTGGCCATCGAAACTCTGACGTGAGAGCCCCCCCTTCCCCCGTCTGCGGTCTGTGTTGAGTGTCAAACCACGCAAGTTTGTCATTCCTAAGAAATAAATGCACCAACGGCGTTCAAAGAGTTGGCAGGAGATCTAGGCGGATTTTGTTGGCTGTGCCAGTTCCAGCGGCTTTCGCCACCGCAAGTGAATGTAATTCGTTTGTTTCTGCCATGGAGATTGGTTTTTCGCTTTCTCTCTTTTCGGTTTACGGATTTGGGCCGTTGAAATGGTATTGGACGAAGTTTGATTTTTGTTCCAGAGTACAGTTCGGGTGCATCGGGTGCAAACGTCGTTTGGTTATTTAGTTTTCTTTTCCGGGAAAGCCACCTCTCTTGGATTGCAGTCGATTGGCTTGCCGTTGAAGTTTTGCATCGTCAACGAGTAGATCTTTCGTGAAGAGTTGATGTGCTGGCCAAATCATGATCTACGGCGGCTCTGGCCGTCTTGCAAAGCAGAGGGATGACTTCACAATGGGCAAAATTGGAAAAAAAGAAAAAGGAAAAAGCCGCCGACAAATTGGACCAGGGACCCAGGGATCTGGTGCAAAGTTTGAATGGGCATAGTCGTGCGCGGGAGAGTTCCTGCACTTCATGCCGCTACCTCTCGAGGCGGGGAGTAACTCAAAGACCCCAAAGGAGACAGACGGGTAGTTGGTTGAATAACCAGCTAATCAAAATCCGGTTCCTGCAATTTCCTGTTCCTGAAATCCATCTCAAATTCTTTTTTTGGCTTTGGGGTGTTTCCCGTTCGACATGCGAGTGATTTCCAGAGGGTTGCCGAAAGGGTGAGGAGCGCGAGAAGGTAGAGTGAACGGGTTGCCGGCTGAACTGGGCGTAAAAGTCGACTCTGGGGCTCGACACCCGTGAGGGTTTTGATAGCGTGCGTAAGTGAGACTATGACGAGTTGTCCGTGAGTTAATTGATCTTATGGGTGCGTCTCATTCTCCGCCCCGTTTGATAATGTTGAGCGGCTCAGACGTTGCGGACGGGGCGTCCAGGGTCACAGCTGGATACGGTGGCATCCGGAGTAAGGCAGCGACTGTAACCGACCAGATTGCTGGGTTCCTACCTAATTACCTACTTAATCACCCAAGGTATCCTTACGGTTTTCTTCATTTTCTTCCACGGTACTCCGTAAACGTGTCGTCGTTGCCATATTCGCATCTTACGTACCGGGAAGCGCGACTCGTCGACAGGCAGGTGCTTATCAAGGTGATGTATCCGTATCTTGCCTCGCTCGGATCAGCTCCCCTTCGACCATTTAGAAATCCGCAGGGAGCTGGGCTTTCCAACAACGTCTGCGCGTACGGCGTACCTTGCATTCCCACGGCACATGCCTCGTTCCTGGTCCCTGTTCCTTGATCTCGGAACCCCCTGCTACCCTGCTAATTTGCAATGTGCTTGGTCTGGCATACGCTGCACTCTCAGGAACCGAAAAGAACAGCTGTATCCGGACAGAGTGCCACGGTCCATTGTCGACTACACCCTTGGCACACGGCAACCTTCCTTCTCGAACATTGAACCTGAACGTCCGGTCTTTACTCCCCTTGCCCACCCTCGTCGCCGCGTCCTGTTACTGGCCGCGCCGGCGACTCAATGTTTCAGGCCGGTAAGATGTTCCCACCAAAGTTCTACCATCCATGGCCCCTTATACACTACTCTCTGAGTCTCTGCACAGTCGGAGTCGCCGCCCCAGCCGTTCGCTCACCGGCCCTGGGTCTTCCAACGTCAGTCGGTTCCAGTGTCTCCAGACACCACAGTTAGATCGGCACGGACGGCCGTGATAGTAGCCGCGGAATGTCACCCAGGGCCCGTCCGTACGGCAGTAGGACGCCGTTGCCGTTTCGCCTGCCTGCCTCATGTGCGCAGCGGGCAGGCTCCTTCCACCACCTGGACAGCAGGAATCGCGTCCGAGACGTCCTCATTCGCCCGTACCTTACAGACTGTTATGTACGTACACCAACATTGTCCAAGCACTCGGACGGTTCGTGTACCGTCCCGTTCCCCCTCCCCCGTCGAGACTCTGCTCACTTCTCACTTCCTCCTTTCGGCACCCATATGCCATTGCAACCAAGACCAAGGTCCCCTGCCCTGTTGCGCTTCAGACCTCAGATCAGAGGGACTATTGACCGGATTCCGAGGCTCCACGCCCACCCTCTAATTATCCCCTTGAACGCGGTGCGTAAAGTGATCAAGATCCCTTGCTCTTTGGAATCGCCTGGAGTGAGTGTCCCGAGGTCCCTGTGCCCCTCTGCAACGTACCTTTGCCCTCCCTGCCTTGCAAACTGTACTCTACACCCTGAAAGAGGACCGCCTGTTCAGTGTTGAGGTGTCGCCGGCCATGATGAAAGATGGGATGAGATGAGATGGGCAGCTTCTTGCTTAATATCCCTACCTCGCCACAGATTCGTCCCCGAGGCTCTTCTCCCCTTCCCTCTCTACCGCCTCTCCCTCGGTCACCGCCTTGTTGTATCTTCACGACCCTTTGTCACCAACTCCCTGAATACCATCGTCGAGTCATTCAGAGTTGCAAGGACCCGAACCTCAACTGTAGCCGTTCCATCTCCCCGTGTCTCCAAGTCTTAGGTATCCTTGGTCCACCTCTGTCCCTCGGACTAATTGACACTTGGGAGGAACACGACCGGAGTCAAAGCAAGCTGTTAGACCAGGGCATCTGTTCCAGACAACCAAATCTCCCCTCCCCGCGTCACCTTGTCGTTGTCTACAGATACCCCATACAGACTCCTGTATCTGTCCTCACACAGGTTGCCCAAGAAATCCACCAAACCGGTCCTTTCATTGGTTATTCCAGAACAGCCCCAAGCCCCTCCAGTCTCCACGTCTCCTACTGGGCCAACAACCACCAAAAGCACGCAGAAAAACACCAACCAGCACCATCAACAAACGACGCCGGCCCTAAGGCACTTAAGCGTGCTCCATCCCGTCAACGGCCTACCCACTTCTGCCCCTCGTTGCTACATTAGGCGCCGCCGCGCTCCACCCAGCCAACCAACAACCAGCGACCCAAAAAAGCAAGGCTCCAGTTGTCACTGTGTCCCTCTCTTGGCCACGCCCACCCGACCCCCGATCCCCGACGAGGTCCAGCAACCACGCAACATACGAGCCTCCGTCCGACTGACAGTTCATCTTTTGGACCGAACACTTGCCTCTCGACTCGACACCTCTTTCCGTCCCGCTGCGACTTCACTTGTCGCTGTCCTTTCTTTGCATCCCCTCTCCCCAATACCCCCTTTTCCGTCTCTCTCTTCAACCGCTTCATACGCCATGGCCGCCAGACCTGCGCTCTTCACCCGTGGCCTCTCGGGGCTCTCCCAGAGCACCACCGACCCCAACTCACCCAGCGTCAGCTCCCCAGCCGATCAGCGTGACGATGCGAAGCGCAACTTCCTCAAAGCCATGCGCCCTCTCCCGACACAACACTATTGGAACGTCTACTTTGACAAGTGAGTGATTCCCCGGGACCATCAACCGCATCTACCCTTTGCGCCTCTCCCAATCCACACATCAACCCTGAAGCTGCAATTCTAACTTATTCTCAACCCTCACTCCAGACAAGCATCAGAACAGCAAAAGGCGGGCAGCGATGAGGAGTACAAGGTGCAGCTGGAGCAGCTGGGCGCGCAGATAGAATCCGTCCAGGACTTTTGGAAGTATAACAACAACACCCCCGTTAATCAGATCAAGATGCGCGAGTCCATATACCTCTTCAAGCAGGGCTTTAAGCCCATCTGGGAAGACCGCCGCAACATCAACGGTGGCGCCTGGACCTTCCGCGTGGCCAAGAACATCGGCCCCGACGTCTGGACACGCGTGCAGCTCCTGGCCATTGGCGAGAAGCTGCAGAGCGTCCTGGACGACAGTACGTCACCTCCCCTCCTACCACCCTTACAACCAGCAGCGCAGGTTGGCTAATTGGCTAATCTTGAAACTCGTACAGACGACCAGATCTGCGGCGTCGGCCTGTCCGTCCGTTTCAACTCCCACCTCATCTCTATCTGGCACCGCGATGGTTCCAAGCAAAAATCCGTCAACGCCATCCTCGAGTGCGTCCTCGAAGAGCTCCCCGCCGAGCTGCGCCCCAAAGCCGATAACTACTTTTACAAGCGCCACCAGGACCACGCCGGATTCAAGGCACCTCCCGAGCTCCAGGTCGTCATCGACTCGCAAAAGGCGGCCGCCGACAAGGCCAAGGTCGCTGTGGGAGGTGCGCCGGCTTAGAATGCCGACCGCGTCCCTCTGCATTCTGCTCCTTTTTAAGGTCCTTCGAGGCTCTCCAGACAGGAGAAGCTTCGCTGAGGTCCCCGAGGCCAAGCAGCGTGGTCTCTGCATGATTCCCCCTTACCAGGCCTTTCTCTTCTTTACACAATAGGCAAACCCCATTTAGTGACGGACACAGCGGTGAGGAGGAACCTCACTTGGTCTTCATCTTACCAAAGATAAGGGGATGGAAATTTATTTGTGTTTGTGTTTTTGGTTGAGCAAGTCAGGTTAAACCCGTCCTCAATCTCATGCCATGTTATGTGGCAACGGAAAAACACCCAAGAGACAAGGCCGGAACAAGCATATTTCATGGGCGTTTTATTGTTCTTCTTTTTAACCTAGCATGGAAATACAAACACACCGGGGTGATTAAGACCACACACCCACCGGTGCTATATGGGCTGCACCGAGATCAGATAGAATCATCATTACCACCGGTACTCACCAGGGTGTCCCGGATGTTACAGCCTGTTGCCGTTGTTTGTGTACTGCGTCGCTTGGAGCCATGAGACGAGCCTCTGGGCTAACAAAAGATAAGTAGCCTGTAAATACGATAACTGCGTCTAGAAAGAGAAACGAAAGTATCTTACCGCGTGCTTCCCGAAACGCCAGACACCAAGGGTATATAACGCATGACGAACACCTGCCCCAAACCCCGCGAGAACATCTCAAAAGTCCAACCAGTTTGTCACTTAGCGCATTACCGCCAAACTCCAGCCCGTCGCATGACCTCCTCAAACTCCTCCCTCTTGACCCCCTTGCCTACGCCCGCGCCCCCGTTGGCCTCGAGAATCATGTCTCGCAGCACCTCGTCCTTGACGTCCTCCCTAAGCACGGCAGCAACCCTCTTGAGATCCGTAATCGTAATCACATCCCGCGGCTCCGCCGCCAACCCTCCGTTCCCGGCGCCCGTAAACAGCCCAAACGCCTCCTCCACCTCCTTCCTCCTCGCCTCCCCTCCGCCCCGCTCCTCCCTCTGATGGTACTTGAGCGCACACACTGCAAAGAAAGGCTCGTACGCGACGAACCCTTCGCCTTCGGGGTCCAAGATGTCGATAAACTCGGCCTGCTCGTCGCGGGAAGACGGGGGGATGCCGAGGGCGACGAGGCAGGAACGCACATCCGAGGTGGGGATTACGCCTTCCTTTGAGTAGCCCTTCATCGGCTCGGAAAAGAGGGAAAAGGCCTCGCGGATCTCGCGCTCTTCGTGCGCGGAGATGTTGTGTTCCTTTGCGAGCTTGGAGGCGCGGGGGCGGGGGACGTCGGTTGTGGAGGTGGAGGGTTTCGTGGTCGGCGGTTTGCGTTTTGCGGGCTGGAGGAGGAAACTTATTAGCTGCTGTGGTTGAGAGAGAGGGGGGGGTTATGAGGGGAAGCTCACCATTGTTGAATAATTCGTTTAGGGTATCGTTCCGGTGTGGTAGTTGTTTGTGCTATTCTCTGTTCGTGAAGGAGAGGGTGGTGGCTTTGAAGTGTGTGGTCGCAAGAACGACGGATTGAAGTGAGGTAAGGCAGGTGGGTACCGATAGTTGAGGTCGATGACGGTGGAAGCGTCGAGACGAAAGAGTGCCAGGACGCGTAAATGGGTTGTGGGGTCGCGGTAGTACAGTGCGAGATGTCATGTGCGCGACCAATCCATACGCACGGTAGACCGCCCCGCTGCCGGAAAAATTCAACATAAAACCTTCGCCAGGCTCTACTGCAAATTCTCATCCTATTCTTCACAACCTCACCACACATCCTCTTTTGAGCGACGTCGACAACCTCAACACGAGACTCTTCAGATCAGTTCTGAAGCTTTACGATTGACCAGAGAGACTGTTGACAGTCTGGTCCTTCACTGGATCCTGCGCAAGTCTGGCTCTACTCTCTCATCGTCGACTGTTTGGACATTCTCAACACCCCTCGAGGCTTACGCAACGTCGTCGAAGTGGACACAGGTTTAGGGAACTTCCAAAAACCGCTCACACGCTCTACAGCAGGTTGATGCTGCCTGGTGGAAGTGTGCCTCATCCTCAAAAGCTCAAGGCCTCCGCGCCAACTGCGCTCAGCAGCCTGGGATTCGCAGACTCCATGCGTGCTTGATGGATGACTACACTCTACGGCCGTCATGCATCTCGTACGCGGCGCTTCGTCTTTGAGGAGCACGCCTGCAAAACAAGCCCTTGCGATACTCGCAGGGCATCATTTCATACCAAGCAGGGCGCCGTCCATGGTTTTGTTTCCCAGTGGAGCAACTCGAACCCCCCATCGTCCCAAAACAGGGACATATACCCGCCCCAAAAATCATCATGACAGCTTCTAAAAATGCTAGAGCTTGCCGCTTTCAATTACCCAGAGCGAGCACGTGTGGACAGTGAAGCAAGATTAAACAAACGGGGGCGCGTCGCAGGACGTACCGCCCCTTCCTCGGGTTACACTCTCGCCTCGACTACTTGTAGTTGTCGCGTTTAGGACCTGCGGGAGACATATCGTGAAGTGATGGTTCGATTTTGAAGACTTTTTTCTTTGTTCATTTTATGCTTCTTATCTGAATGGTGATGGATGGGCGTAATCGACTTGCTTTTGATTCGACGCATGCTGCCTACCTCACCCTCCGCCTTAAAAATGTCTTCCGGCCTGAACTCCGCGGCCCCGTCTACCCCAACCCATCACGTCAAATCTTGGACTCGGGAGGTGAACTGGCGCCCGTCAGCTCTGCTCGTAACCTTCCAAGCGGCCCTACTGTCTTGTCCAAACGAGTCATTGCCGTGTAAGAAATGCCGCGTGAGGTAGAGATGAGAAGAAGAAACCTGCAACTTACTCACTTGAAGTTGTTCTTCATCTCACGCAGCTTCGCCATGACAGAAACGGGCTCGCTCTCCCCCGTCACCCTTTGAATCTCGGGATCCTGGCCATACCGCTGCTGTCAGTCTCTACAAAGTCACCTGCCTATAAGGCTTCAGGATCGGGAGGGCGTCTTAAAAGACTCACCTCGACGCGCATAAAGACGTTGTGTTTCTGTGGGAAGCCCGTCGTTAGCGCATTCTCCTCCCTCCTTTCCCTTTCGTCGAGTGACAACCGCGCATAAAAACAACCTCTCGGGACGGGCAAGGGAACAACAGGGCTGACCTTTTCATCTCCAATCGTAAACTTGCCCTGCGTCTCCTTGTTATTCTCCGCAAAGGCCTGCAGCTTCTGGATCGCCTCGTTCTGCAGCACCGACGCGGCGAATTTGACGTTGGATTTGGTATACTCGTGGCCGGGCTTGTTTTCTCTCCCTGTTAGCAGACTTGTCCCCCTCACCTCTGTCGTCTTTGACATTCTTGACGGGTTTTTTAAACAAAAATGATTGATTCACCGACGGTGACGGTTCAAGAACTCACAAACACGAGCGTGTCGTCGGGCAGCGAAGCCAGCGTCTTGTTCAGCGCGCTGTGCATCTCCTCTGCGTTGCCCTCAAAGAATTTGCCGCAGCCTGGATGGGAAGCGAAGAAGAGTAGTTAGTAAAAGTGTACTTGCGCAGTATGCCTCCCCAATTCAAACGAGCTTGCGTCTCAAAACCCTCCCATTCTTCTCTCTGAAGGAGTAACAACCCATCACCTTCCCATCATCCCCTCCCGCCCTCTCCAAAGATGCAGGAACAACAGCAGCCGCAATGGAGTTGAATATGTGGAGTGAAGCAAGAGTCCGGAAAAAAAAAAAACCCACCGCTGATGAAGAGCGTGTCGCCCGTAAAGACAACCTTTTGGTCACCGTCCTGCATGAACCAGCAGATGCTGTCCTGCGTGTGGCACGGCGTGTGCAGCGCCTTGACGGAGATGCCGTCGCCAATGGTGAACGACTCGCCGTGGCCCGGCGTTCGCGTCACGCCCTCGCAGTCCTTGCCGCCGATGACGGCCAGCGCATCCAGCCCCAGCTCGTCTTGCTGTAATGAGTTCCGGTCAGAGAGTTTTCCTCCGTAGTAGGGGAGGTTCTGGTGAGAAAGCCAGGGGGGGTAATAACGTACGAGCTTCTTGTTTCCGCCGGCGTGGTCCCAGTGGCTATCCCGGATGGAAGAGTCAGATATACACACGTCGTGAGAACCTCCGCGTCGTCGAGCTTCAAGGCCAGAGACTCACTGGTGCGTGTTGACGATGGCCGTCAGGTTAATCCCGCCGCTCTTGATAGCCTTTTGCAACACGGGCGTCACCCTGGCAACGTTTGTCAGTCAAGCCCGATACACAGCCCAAAAATCCTCTTCTGACTCCTTGCTGTGGAAAAGCAGAAACTCACTCGGACGGGTTGGCCGGGTCGATGATGACGGCGTCGTTGGTCTTGTCGTCCTTGACCAAGTAGGCGTAGTTGTTACTACTGCCCACCCCTGAAACATGCAACGCTCAACAATTAGCATGGTTGGTCGCTGCCATCTCCCTCGTCCTCGCCCTCTCGTACTCGCCAAGGTAGAGAGAGTATCGGTGGCTGCCGGGGGGGACGTACACATGGGAATCGACTGGATATGCATGGCGTTGGTGAACGTGAGCTGTCATGTCCCTTATAAGCCACTCATCCCCTCAAAAGTAAGGATCAATCTGGAATGGACACCAAAAAAACTCACTGCAGCTGTGACGGTGGCTAGTTTATGTCTCAGTAAAGGTCTCCTTGCGATGAGGGTATTCATGAAAGGCAACTTTGTAGTATGCTTAACGATTTTGGGGAGTTTGGGGCCGGAGCCGTAAGTGTTGCGTCGCGGAGCTTCTCGGCAAGTCACGGTGACGTTATTACAAATCCGCGAAGGGGGGCCACCAGTCGTCATGTACCCCATCCAATTACATTGATATACCCACGTGATGTCGCATATGCACGACAACCGCAATACCAGCAGCGATAACTTCATGTGTACGACATTTGGTCTTTGATATGTTCATCAGTTGATGGTCTTTTCACTTGTTGGTATTCCAAAACGACGCCGCGGCCAGGCTCGACGATTCACGCGACGCCAATCGGACGCGGCTTCCAAGTCCCCTCAGACTTGGCCCATCCGGTGCCTGCGCCCTCTGGAGCCTCCTCTCTCTCGACGGGCCCAACTGCAGCGTCCATTGCCGCCGACATCAAAACGTCCTTTGACTGTGATATCTCCTGTCCAGCCTCGCCTCTGCCTCTCGTAATTTCTGTCTCGCTCTGCCCTTCTATTTGCTCCCTCTGCAAAATGTCCTTTGACAACCGCAGAGCCGCAAGCATGACGGCCTCATTCGGCGGCGCCTCCGCAATCTTCTCCAGCGTCGCCAATAACCGACTTTCGTCAAGCCCGTCAATCCACTTCCTCATCTCGGCCCTCCTCCCCACGTCCTGCTCCTCAAGGAAAGCGACCACAATTTCTCGGCGCACAGGCGCGGCAGCGACAGCGACGCCGACGCCGACGCCGATGCCGCCTGTTCTCTTGGGAGCCTGTCTATCGACCTCATCGGGCCCCAGGTGCTGCCAGTAATACTCCCAAATCCACACCAGCGCTTTGCGGGCTGCGGATCGCAGCTTCGCGAGAGACGGCAACGTCTCGTGCGTCGCTTGGTGCCGCAGCTCGACAAAGGTCGCCGGCAACCCGATGGTCTTTGCCACCGAGTACATGCTCAGCTTGCGCTGCTTATCCTGATGACCGTCCAAAAGCCCGGTTACGAACCTAGATGAAAGAGAGGGTAAGCAAACTGAAGATCGGCAGACGGTGACGATGGCAGATCGATGAATCAGGGGGTATGGTGCCCGAGCCGGAAGAGTATCCCGGAGGCTTAAGCAGCGAACGACCTGGGCGAGACATTCATAGCCCTCGGCCCAATGGCCCTAGAACCACTGCCCATTGACCACGGGGCGAGAAACGAGCTCTGGCATTCTGAATTGCGGCGACAGCCCGTAGGGCCGTAGGGGGTTTGCATGCCTCGAGGAAACCAAGCCAAGTTTCCCAGGCTTCCCCCGATGCCAGGAACATCCGTCAGATCATAGCTCCCAGTTGCACCAAGGTGAGACACCAAATACAAAACCACGCCGGTTTGCTGTGAATCTTGGGGGGAGGGGTGGGGGCGTGTTGGTTCGCGCGGTGTGCTTGTAAGTGAAAGCCTGTCTGTGTCTGTGGCTTCCAGCAGTAGGGTAGGCGGTAGCGCAGATCAGGCAATTGTGGCCCTTCAGACGGGACCCGACTCGGGTGTCGGTCTGGGCAATGGGTAAGGGCGCTTCGATGCCAAAAGAAGACACGGCGTCGCGGGTGATGAGAGGGGCGTGTGTATCTGTGTATGTGTGTGCGTGTGGGACAATGGGTGAAAACGACAGAAAAGTCAAACAGAAAGATGTGAGATATGAAATACGTCGAAAATCCACAGGTGAAGAAGGTGGCCAGATCCCTGGGGGACGAGATTGTTTCAAGCAACTCCAAGGGCAGGAAAAAGACGGAACGTAAAACGCCCCAATTAGACTTTCCTCACTTTGAACTTGTAACCAACAAATAACTCTTTGCCCTTGGGATGTTGGAGAAGAAAAAAGCAAGGTGGCATGGGAGAGGGCACGGAGAAGAAGAGGGAACCAAGGAAACGTACCGACTAAAGGCGGCAGCATAGGCAGCGCGAACGGCGTAGGTGCCGGCGCTGCCCTTGCTCTCCCCATCACTGAGGATGGCGGCCGTCAGCAGGGCCGTCGACTCAACCATGTGCGGGCAGTTGCCGCGCTGCATCCACATGGACACCCTCGCAACGGCATGGTGCTGGTCGCTGGGCGGAGTTCTGTCGGTGTTTGTGCTTGCTAGTGGTGCTGATGAGGTCGATAGCGTCGTCGTTGACGCTGGTGCTTGCGCAGCCGTTCCTCGTGTCAAAGACCTCGTCGGGGCCTGTGATGCGGCGGCCGCGGACGCTGCTGCTGCCCTTGTACCGCTAGCTTGGGTGGGTGCAGGTGCAGATGCGGATGCTGACGCTGCTCCTGCTGCTGCTGCTGCTGCAGACGCTAGGGCGGCGGGATAGAACTGCTGGCGAACCTTGAGCAGCTCGCGGCGATCGCGCCACGGCGTCAGGATGTACTGCACCATTGCTGGTGTGTTGTGCGGGTGGTGTACATGTACGAGCGGGTGTGCGTTTTGGTGTGGGATGTATGTATGAATGTGTGTGTGTCTCTCTCTCTCTCTCTGCGTGTGTTTGTATGTGGGAGACGGGGAGAGAGTATCTGCTGGGCCCGATGTGTCCGGGTGTGTGTGTGGACCGCCTTGTCTGGCTTTCCTTGACCGGGCTTGCTGGCTTGCTGCCTTCCCAAAGCGCCCAAAGCAGTCGATCTGCGCGCGTCGTCTAGTCTGTCTGTCTGTCTTGTATGGGCCCAGTTCCCGCCCGTCTGTCCAGACTCTGGTGGCCCTCAGGAGGAAGGGTCAGAAAAGGGAACGTTGTTTCAGGCCGTGTGTGCCCTCTGGGCGGAAAAAGTATTGCCTTTCCTCAGGGCTTGGATTCTTGATCCCCGGTGTCGCGGGCGCTGCGGGTGTTGCGTTGCAGCTTAACGTTTTGCGGCTCGTCGGCATCAATACAATGTAGCTAGCCTCGCTCGTGATTCGTCCCTGTATCGAAAATACGTATCTTGTTGCTTTTTCGCCGCTCCAGGTCGAGAGGGGTGGGTTACGAATGTCCCAACTGTTTGGAAGGGGGGAGACATGAGGTTGAAAGGTTCAGTTTTGAAAACCGCAAACTGCTCACGCAGTAAATTCCCCGGTTAGTCTCGAGTAGCGGCAGCCCGATCTCCAGATGACACCGCCAACCATTTCACACTCACACTCACACTCATACTCATTACCGTCTCCTACCTTTTCAGACGCCCCAAGCGGGACAATTCATTCGTCTGGGACACGCGACGCCACAATATGCAACAGCGCACACGCACCCCCAACTCACTCACTCACTCTTCTCACACCATCAGAAGTACAAATCAAGGGCAAAGCTCGTTCCACTCCACGCGGTTGTTCTGGAAGGAGCCTTTAGTATGCCCGTCATTGGACATCAGACGAGATGCACCTTCTCTGGAATTCTTCTGACCTTGAAATGTAATCGTCGTAAACCAGAGTACGGGACACTGTATCGACTCCCTCCCAAATTGAGACGACTTGGCGTCGTCGTCTTTTAGCACATCATCACAAGCCAAACATCTGAGCATTCCTACCCATGCCTTGAACTCGGTCGACCGAGTGCTGCATGAAACAACACATTCATCTCTTTGGCTTCACATATGACATGAGAAGGAAATTGAGGGAAGACTAGGTAGGCAACCAACACACATCGTCGTGGACACGTCAAAGCGTTTTCTATTTTTCCTCAAGCAACAACCTCTTAACTTTTTACCATGTTCTCATCAAGGCAACTGCTGTGCGCAAGACAGCAAACCCGGTAGGCACACTCCACCCTCCATCAAACCTCGGACCTAAGACAAGGTCTTCTCGATGAGGTAGATGCCGTACTTGTCCTTGAGCTCCTTCATGATGGGGTCGTTGATCTTGGAGTTCATCGGCGCGAGGACGCCGCGCTCCGCAATCGTGCCGTTGAGCACCTGCTGGACGGCAACGCCGCAGGGGACACCAACGAGCTTAGCCATGGCCGAGTAGCCCTTGGGCTCGCCGTACTCGGCGAGCGTCGACGTCCGCGTCTCACGCGAGCCGTCCTTGTGCTCAATCTCGAACTTGTGCTGCAGCATCACCATGTCGCGCTCGCCCTCCTCGAATTCCATCTTCTTCTCCAGCGTCGCGCAGAGCGTGTCGAGCGGGTTGCCGCGCGGGGTGATCTTCTCGTCCGAGAAGACGCCGATCCACCGCAGGCCGCTGAGGATCCTCTGCTGGTCCTCGGGTGACTCAAAGTGGGCCTTGGCCATGATGGCCGCCTCGAGGTCGCTCTCGCTCGACGACGCGGCGCCGACGACGGCCTTGGTGGCGTCCTTCCACGCGATGGGGCTGGCGAGCGTCTCTTGCGCGGCGTCCTCGAGGAAGCCAATGTCGACGAGCACCTTGATGAATTGGGGAAAGCCCTGGTAGCGGAGGGTGCCGCGGACAATGGTCTGTGCCTCGGGGATGTTGTAGCGCTCCTTGTAAGGGGTCGAGTCGCGGTTGGGGTAGGCGACAAAGGCGTAGCCCGGGTAGATGAAGTAGGGCTTGGCGGTGGCCATGAGGTCCTTGGAGGAGACGTCGACGACCTGGCCGTCCTTGTAGTACTTGGCCGCGTTGCGGAGCGCGAGCAGCACGCCGCGGGACGACCACGAGAACTTGTAGCCGAGCGGATTGTCAGAGGCCTCGGGGGCGGGGAGGCCGCCGCAGTACGAGAGGAAGGACAAGATCTTGCCGCCCTCGCGGTGGACCTCCTCGATCGTCTTGACGGCGTAGAGGTGGTCGATGCCGGGGTCCAGTCCGATCTCGTTCATGACAGTGATGCCGGCGTCCTTGGCCGCCTGGTCCAGCTCCATCATGGCGGGCGAGACATAGCTGGTGGTGACGACGTGCTTCTTCTGGCGAATGGCCGACTTGATGACGGTTGCGTGGAAGGTGTAGGGGATCAGGCTGATGACGAGGTCGTGCTTGGCCAGCTCGGCGTCGAGGGCCTTGTCGTCGTTGACATCGAGGGAGATGGGAGTCGCGTGCTTGACACCCTCGGACAGCTTCTTGGCGGACTCGAGAGTTCTGCAGGCTATGTGTTGGGGAAATGTTTAGTTATCGATTGCTAGAACTGGACGGTAGGCAACGGGTGCCCTGATGTCTGGACCGGGCGGATAGGGAGGAGGTGAGAAAGGGGGATTTCGTACCAACGGTGACGGGGATTCCGGCATCGCTGAGGATGTCAAGCGTCGGCCGGGTCACGAAGCCCGCGCCGAGCATCAAAACGCTCCTTTCATTGTGAAACCATTAGCGGATATGTCCTCTGGAGTGTGTTCGGAAGTGTCCACCTTACTGGGATGCCATTGTGAAAATTGACTAGTTTCTTTCCCAGTGATGGTATCGTGGTCAATAGTGTTGGTTGCAACTTTTGGTTGTCAGTGGGAGTCAATCCAGGTTCATTATCGAACCGGCAATGAGGGGCAGCCATAGGAAAGGGAAACCCACTCGAACTGACGGATGAGAACCCGAACTGGAGCCCAATGTTCTCTCAATGTCGTAATTCGTGATTCGTGACTCGACGGGCAAGGAAATTTTCCAAAGCATCCATGGTGGGGTAAAACTGCCAAGCCGATCCGATAACGGCGGCCATCCCCCCCTCTCCTCACTTTGATGGGAAGGTTTACTTACTTACTCACGCACACAAGCAGACGGGCAGGCACGTAGAGAGGTGCGCACTCGGGGCCTCGCACAGTACTGTGGGAGGGATGTGGCTGGGTGTGCGGTGTGCGGCGTGCAGCGTGCGGCGTGCCTGCCTCCGGTGAGGTCACCAGAAATTTTCCAGGGGCCACGGGCGGGGTGTCTTGCAATCTGGCAGGGCTGGCCAGAACGGCGGGGGTGGGGAATATTCCTCTCAGCTGATTGGATAATTCCCGAATGTGACAAGGGAGCATGGACCCATATGCAGCTCATGCCATGCTCGACAGGGGTGCTGTTCGGGAGGCTCTTTTTCGCTTATTTTTAGTGTCCGCGTTGACGATTGAACTTCGATCCAGCGCCTCTCGCTCGTGGTTGTGTTGGTGCAGTTACGATTACCATATGCTACGTGTTTGGCTGCTGCAGCTCCTGTTCATCCATTCACGCAGCAAGGGAGGGGAGTAGAGGACAAAATAGATGTTTACTTTCACTTTACGCGTTGAAATTATTTCTATCTAGGCGATTTAATCGGCCTTTTTCTTTTGTGACGGCAGGGCCACAATTTTGGCTCATATTTCCATCTTCGGGTATTGGCCTTCGCGTGGTTTCCTCCCGTCTCCGACGTTAGGAGCGCACAGCTCCATAGCCCCCACGGCCCCCAAGCCCGTTTTTTGATGTTACATCTTCATATCATACATGGTCTACAAGTTTCGTCGTAAAATCATAAACGCTTTGCGCTGGTGTTGTCCTGTGTAGGAGTTGTCCTTTTTCTTGGTCGTGTCATTAGTCTGAGTCCTCGCCATCGGCATCATCCTGCTCATCCTCGTCTTCGTCGTCACTCTCGGGAGGCTGCCATGACTCCTCCAGCTTCAGGCCCTTGCCAGTACCCTCCTGAGGGCGGAAGGATGTGCCCAGCAATGAGGACATGGCAGAACGAGACGTGTCGAGTTGAGGGTCCTGCTCGTACTTGTCGGGAGCATCATAGAGCCCCATGCCCACCAAGATTTCACCCTCCTCCTCTGGCTCGTCGAGTGGTTGATAAGGGATCGTGTCCTCATTTGGTACAATAGGTTGGGGCTGCTGGGCCTGCGGCAGCGTTTCGGGGGTGGGCGGAGAAGTGCTAATGAAGTCGTGCATGTGATTTGGGTTCCATTGCGTCGCGGAGGAAGACGGCGTGAGTTCCGGGAGAGTGGTTGGCAGAGCTGGGAAAGGCTCGGCATAGCCAGTCGTGTCTGATGAAACATATGCTGGTGGTGCTTGATGAGGTACGTTCCAACCCTCAACAGGCAGAAAATTGGAGCCATCATATCCTCCAAAAGGAAGTGAGAGAGGGGAGAAGGAGGCGACAGGGGAGGTATTGCAGGAGTAGGCCGCCGGAGTTGGCGGGAACTGCTGATAGACGTGATAGCTGTCGATGTCATATGCCGACGTGACAGGAGGGAAAGGGTATTGTGCCATGCTTGGAGCAAAGGTCACCTTCTGTTGCTGAAAGGTTGAAGGGTGCCAGCTGAGCGGACGTGTTGGTCGAGACTGAGAACTGTAGTCGGGCATCGGAACTTGGTCCATGGGCTGATGTCTCCGCCTTGCCAGGTTTCCATCGTTCACCACAGTCCTCCTCCTTGCTTGTATAGCTGCTGATGACCTTGGGCTGTTGCTGGCACTGGTGGGCTTGGCTACACGCATACCTCCCGCGCTGCGTTGTCCGTTAGAGCCTCGAGATAGCCTCCGTGACGCCTGGGAGAGAGCCATTTGTCTTGACAAGTCGTCGAAAAAGGTGTCAGTGTGATATGGTGTGGGAACGGGCCCGGGGAGGACGCCTCCCATGAGCGTGGGCATCATCTTGTTGGTGTTGATATATGGGTGGTGCCGGAAAGATGGGTGTTATGATGGATAGCGATGAGAGATGGAAGTGAGAGAAGTTGCGGGCTGTTGGTTCCTAAACTAAAAGGCCATGGTGGAAGGAGCTGCGGCAGATGATGATATATGGGACTTGGAGAGGACGGGCTCAGCCCAGGCTATGTATGGACAAGAGGCCTTGCTCGCAAAAGCCCAAGGGATTACAATAGCGAGAAAAGACATGGGTGATACTAGATCGGTCTTGAAGGATAAAATCAAACCTTAGCTCCAGCAGAGGAGCAACTCGTCCAAGGGTGCGGAGTGGGCCAACAAGTAATTCAGACCACGAACGGTTTGGCATGTGTGTGTATCCGTACGAGGAGGCAGCGAGCGCGGCTTGTGTGCATGGGTGGATGGGATGTTGATGGGAGGAGGTACCCGCGCAGCACAGCGTAGGCGTCCCAGGCGTGGCTGGGCAGGGGGGGTACGTACTGTTTCCGTCTCTGTTTGTGTGAGTGTGTGGGTGTGTCTGGGTACGAAGTAGGTGTGTCTAGGTGTTGAAGGGGGGCGCCAGCGGGCTGCGTCATATGGGTTGAGCATGGATCTCACGACGGAGCGTCGTGCATTTCGGGTCGAAGCAGACGAGGCGGCTGATTTCCTTTGGGGCTCGAGGTACCTACTCCACGACCGCGGGGGGAAGGGGAGGGGGGATGGTAGGAGGCTAGGGGAGGAGGCACTGGGAGGAAAGCATGGACGGACTTGTCGATAGTGCTGGTGGGGGTGGTGGGCAAAGCGGCGGTGGGTGTGGATGTGGATGCGGATGTGGATGAGTGGTTGATTGCCTCGCTGGTGCTCTGGCTCAGATTGTGTGGCTCTGGCCCTAGGTACGGAGCGGACACTGGACTCTGGAGGAGGGAGGGATGGATGGGATTAGGGAGGGAGCGTCGGCGGTGGATGGACAAATGGATTGTGGAGCGAACCAGGTTGCGGTGCCAATTCGACGCCGCATGGTGGTGCTGATTATGGTGCTGGTGCTGGTGCTGGTGCTGTGTGAGGGAATGACTGACTGTCGCGTCTCCATTGTTTGGGTAACAGAGCAGATGGGACATGGACGGCCCTTGGGTACCTACGTGCCTTGCACCTCGTACCTCGCCATGCCAAAGCAGCCAAACCCGACTGCGACTACAGTGCCATGGCGGGATGCAAGGCTCGAAAAGTCGACCAAGACAAAGTGCCTGTGGGACAACGGCACGCAAGGTATCGCCCCTGGTCAACGGGTGAGCAGGGCAGGGGCCAGGGGGCACTTGGGAAGACCGCGAGAGTCTGCGGAATACCTAGCACTTTCATGTACCCACGTACCCACGTACCTAGAGATGGAAGGGGGGCTCGCGGGTGGCGGGCGGTCAAGGACGCAAGGACGCAAGGAAAGCAAAGAGAAGATGGATGGAATGTCTCTGGCCCCATAAAGAACGAAAGAACCGCTCGGCCCAGGCGCTCACGCCGCCATGTCGGAGTCTGGAGAGATATTACTACCCCTGCTTGCGTCTCGTGCAACACGAATACCCTGTTCCTAGGTACGGATGCCACCATCACCGCCAGCGCTAGCGCCACCAGAGCAGAGCGCGCCGTCAGTCCAAGGGACCCAGAAGTTAAGAAGGGGTCCAAGGGAAGCCACATTCCTTGTTGCCTCGACCCTGAGGGTGGCCTTATTGCATTGAGTCGTCCAAGTCCGGCCAGTTGTAAGCCGCCGTCGAGGATGAGACCTCCCCCGGCACCCCTAAGTTCGAATTGACGGGTCGGATGAGAAGGGGTGTTGCAGTACTAGCCCGTCGGGGATCTATGGAACCCAAGGGAAAAGGCAGCCGCTCCTGGGACCATGAATCCATGACCGTCATCCCTCCAAGGCTCAAGCCTCCCCTCCCCCTAGCGCTGGTACGTGAAGATGGGGATGTGCATCTTGCCTTGCATGTTTTGGTGGTTTCCGAGAAAGTGCCACCCACCTACACTAGGTGGCCGCTTGCTACTGATGACACTTCTGTGTGTGACCGACAGACGGTCCTGTCTGACAGATTGGAAAGAGGACCTTGCATTTCCATCACAGCATGTACCTCTGTAGCCGAGACTGGTGTTAAGCGGCAAGGTTGTGGAAACGAGATAACAGCCCATTTCGTCGTCCTTGGTACCGGCACTGCACTCGGAACCATCGCCGAGTAGTTTTGCTCAAAGCGGAGCGGAAAACCTTCTACTCACGGCGCTGTCAACGCAGAAAGACAGAGGGCGAAAGAGGAAAAAAGGAAAGATGCGGAAAGCACAGACTTTGAAAAGCCCACGATCTCCATCGGGGTCTTGGTCTCAGGGCGCAGAAGAACTTTGAGAGAAGCACGGAGATGGCTCCGCATGAGGGAAACCCTGGCCAAATAGTACGTACCCTTCGAGAAAGCAAGCTGCTTCCAGGTTGTCGGCAGAAACTTTGCGAAGGCTATGATGTGATGTATGCTTCTTTCGCTTCTCCAATGTCGCATGGTGACCAAGCAACACAAACCCGCTTTAAGCTCGACAGTGGTCTGGATGGCGAGACTCCAAATCCACTGAACGGTGCGATTTTGGCTGTTACACGTCAACCACACTTTTGGTGTCTACCATGGGAGATGAGGACTGTAGTATCTTGGGTTATCGATATTGATCGTAAGAGATCGTACTCCTTACGCGACCAAAAGTGCAGGACGATACTGAACCCTGTTGAGCGACACCCCGAGGTACGAAACGGAACGTTGATTGTTTGCAGTCGTCCTTGGGACAGGTCCAATGGGGTGTATGCAAGGAGGTGTGGGATTATCAACTGACAAGCCGCTTTCCAAAAGGATGGTAGGTGGGACGGATGAGAGCGGATCACAGATCTCGCTCACGACGGTGTTGGTTTGCAGTTCTGCCCACCCCCCCCCCCCTCGCCCCCCGCTGTGGGAATGGTTGGCGGGGGGGGGGGCGGGGGGGGGGGGGCGGGGGGGGGGGGGCGGTGTTGGCCCCCCCCCCCCCCCCTTTGGCCCTAGTGTAGAGAATAGTTTGCGGAGACGGCGGCGAGGGGCGGTACGCAAATTCGTGCACACGCGCAGCATGATTGAGAGTTACGGCTTTGGGCTTCGGGTGTGGGTGTTGTGGGTAGCGTATCGCTTTCTTGTTCCTCCGTCAAGGGTCAACAATAGCAGGAATGGTATCCATAGGTAGGTAGGTATGTATGTGACTACTGTGGGAGAACGAGCCAAGGTCCAAGGGCCGATTTGACAGAGTTGTCGCAGGCCATCTCATTCCAAGGGGGAGGCCGAATAGCAACACGCTGGGCGAGACAGCCCATGGGCCACTGTGGTAGTCTCACTAATTCGCTCAGACTTTCTTGTTGACGGGGATTCGTACCGCTTGATTCTTGTACGGTGCAAGCTGAATCTGACGAGGGCCATGAATCGACCGGAGGCGGTGGCCGCGCGTGTCCCGGAGGGGGATAGAGTGGTGGTAGCCTGACTGCCACGGGCCGCGTTGTTGCAGCGAGTGGGTAGTTGGTGATGGTTTTTTTTTAATGCTATCCGGATACGCAGTCGGCGTACGGATACTCTATTCACACTCATCAGTCATCCCATAGAGTCTGGCCGAGATTGTCTTGATGACCCGGTCATGCAAGCATAGGCTTGAGTCGTAAACGTGGGTGTCATCGGTCATGACAAGAATTTGCGTAGACGGGTCTTTCGAGATATCCGCATCGCAGGGACTGCGACCAGTGAGGTGTCGAGTGGGCAAGCCGTCATGGTTCCTCCACAGCAGGTGATCACATCTAGATGGGGGACACGAGCACGGGTGGTTTCTGGGTTTCGGCAAGCCAGTGAGGGTAACGATGTGTTGGCAACACCAGCCCGAGTGGGCAAATTGCATCAGATTGGAACGTGGGATTGCGAAACCTCCGATATGGATCATGGATGTGGAAGTAAAGGATGTGAGAGACGCTCACACAGTCAGCGGCCGAGTAATTAACAAAGGAAGTCGGTTGGTGTGTGGATGGTTGGGCGGCATCACTCGGCCTGCTTGGCGAACAAAGTACTGTATACCAGAGTTTTCTGTTGATGAATGCGGTGGAAAGAAAGTAAACCGGTACGCGGCCGTCCCCATTTTCTCTCTGTGCTGGGCCCCTCCTCATGCCCAGTCCTGAAGCAAGAGTCAGCTGTTACCCAGAGCGTGGCAGGAGCTGTAGGGTGCCGAAGGTCCAGCTCCCACAGATATGAGCCTGGTGTGTGGTGGACATAGCACAGTCTGGGCCAAGGGGGGGAAAGGGCAAAAAGGAAAAGGATGAAGGGAAAGAGGGTGGGATGGGGGGGAGGGTGAAGCTGCGGCAGGAAACCACAAGCCGACGAGGAGCGGTTAATGGCACTGGTGAAAGAGAAGGAGAAGAAAAGTTGTCGAGGAATAGAATAGCGGGGCAATCAATACCTTGTTAGAAAAAAGAAATGGAGATTTTGCGATACAGTCGATACTTATCATTAGGTGATGGTAACATGGTAGCATAGGTCACGGTGACCTTTGTTGTAGCGCCGACCCACCTAGGTGCCTTGCTTCGTTCATGAAGCTACGGCCCCCGGGAATATGCAATTGGGAAAGGGCCAAATCCGCCCCGCGACAATTACCATCGGGCTCAGTGCCTGCAGGCTGCTGCCGCCTGCGTACGGAGATATGGCAGCAAGGGCTAGCGGGGACTCGGGGGCGGCCACACTCAAAGGCAGCGCCTGGTCCTGACAACGCAATACGATGTAGAGACAGACAGGGCGAGAAACAGCATGGTACAAGGCCCAAGGCGCAAAGCAAGCAGAGAAGAAGGAAGAGGAGAAGGATCCAGGGACACAGGCCAGGGGTTAGGTAGTCGGAGTCAAATTGGAGACCGCAAGTTCTCTGCTGCGACCTGACTTGCCGTACTTGTCTAAGCGTCTCCAGACATGTCAGTCCCGCGAAGTCAAAGTGGGCAGCGGCTAACTGGCATTACCATTGAGGAAGGAAAAAAAAAAAAAAAAAAAAAAAGAGGCAGATCCAGAATCGGCCCTCCCCACCCTAACAGAAGTCAAAAGGCGGCTGCAACTTCAAGCAAGTAAGGTACTGCGTGTCGATGGCCCCCGCTCTGTACCAAAGCACGCAGCGTGAGGGAAAGATGAAAACAAGGTGGACTGCGGTAAACGAAAGTGATATTCAATACATCGGGCCTAACCGTACTTGGTAGTTATTGGTCGATTACTCCAGGCGACGGAGCGAGCAGGGAGGGAAGGAGGTGTGGGAGGGTAGAATGTTCAGAGAGATCTCATTAGTGCACATCGTCACACTCTACAACACCTAGACACACGCGCCTGCACGCTGCAGGCTCTGGTTGACTGGCACATTTAAAATGACCGAGATGCGCTAGTTCCCGGACAGCGAGGACGGAAGTTTGCTGGAGAAAGTAAGCAATACGTACTGCAGAGACTTGAGCACATACAATGTAGAGCCACAAGCAGCCACAAAGTACTTTCTCTGTCAAGGGGCCGCAGTGCAGGATGATGGTGCCAAAAAGGGCAGAGGAGAATCCTTGCCCAACCCCGGGCAGGGACATGTAGAAGCGAAGGTACGAATGCTGGTGGGCTGGTGGGTGGAGTAGATGCTCTGCTGTCTGCCGACCGGAGGCTAAGGTCAGGTAGGAAAGAGAAAAAAAAAAAAAAGAAAAAAAAGGAAAAAAAGGAAAAAAACGCGAAGGCAGGGTTGTGACGGCCTCAGGCATCAAGCCATTGAGCCTGGTGGGCTGATCTATCCCACAAGTCCACGACAGACTTCAGCTAACGTAACTCAGGTCCTCAGGACCGCCCTTTGCGAAGCACCGCGCCTTGGCCAAAGCGTACTCCGTACCGCTCACCAACAATCCGCATGCCCGTCACCTGTATATCCATGCCATAGATGGAGACGTCCGTCATTTGAGGCGAGCCCGCGATTGGAGAGTTTGGACCCGCCCACCACCACAGCTCAGCACCCCGTCCCTAGGCCCGGCAAATTTCTCTCTTCAGGCCAAGTTCCAACTTTCAGCGCTTCTTTCGCCCCTGTCTACGCCAGTCCCTGCTCTCACCGACGCGACGACACCCCAGGCCGGCCTTCCTTCTACATGGTATGCGGGTTCCCTTATGAGGGGGGCGATGCGCTCTTTGTGGTGTGGGTAGTCGATACTGGGTTAATATCGGTGGCACTTGAGCAAGCCGACGGCCTGTGACAGCGAGTTTTCGGTCCGCCTTGGCTCGCTGTAGTATCGACACGGGGCCATCACTACGCTGGAAACTGGGCCGCAGCCGATCTCCCCTTACGCCCCGCCTTGAGAGTTTAGCAAGCTTGCCCTTCGTCCGTTGCTGTGTCTCAGGCCGTCCCGTCCCATCTGAGGATATCTGGACGTTTGACATGGGCGCGCATCCAAGGTCTGATGAGCCAAGTCAGTGGTGTTTTGCTAGTCATTGCTAAAGCTTGAAGGCGGAAGACGCAAGACCTTTGACTAGAGGACATTTGTAAGTACAACACCAGGCCAGAAATATCACATGAGCACCACATCTCGAGCCAAGTGACAGAGTACTTTACGGATACAAGCAATCTTGAGGGAGATTGGGGAGGAGAACGCCGGACGTCACTTATGACTGGTCTCTGCGGGCTGTGCAAGAAATGCGGTCTTGTTGGCCCAGCGAGTCACAGCCTCCTTGTCGATGGATAGTGAGTACGGTACGGCTACTGCATCGCAGCCCATCCAGTCACTCGACAAGCCAAGCAACTTCCGGACATTGCAGGCAAGACGGGCGTCAGCGGCCAATCTGGCACTGGGATCCGCGTCGCACCGGGCCCTGTTCCCAAGCACCTTCGAGAAGCTTGAAGTGGGCAGGCCGCCAGTGATCCTGGGTCGAGGGTTGAATCCGCAGAGGAGATTATGCTCAGGGAATGAATCCTCGGTATCGATAGAGGAGGGTGGATACCGTCGGTGGGGAGGTCTGGCAAACACCAGGGCCAATTTCCACGTCACTCCTCACTCCAGTCTTTGGGTGACGAGCGGCTAGAGATCAGCTTCAGCAGATCATCGATGCCATTCCTCTGAAAGCCTACCCTGGCCTGCCTGGCCTGCCTGGCAAGCGCTGAATCGCATCAACCATCAAAGCACAAGTACTCCGGGCCAAGGTACCACGTTGACATGGATCAGCAAGACTCATCGGCTCGCGTCCGCTCATTCGCTGATTCGCCTCGTTCCAATCTCTCACGGCAGCGACATGGAGCTCCCTCGATCATTACGACTGGTAACGTTCACCTGTAGCGCCTTGTCTCTCCTTTCCTGTGCGCCTTCCTGTCGTAGACTCCATCGCCGCCGTCGGCCTCGTCATTTTGTTCCGCTGGGCCACTTTGGCCGACACTACGGATACAGGATAGGCATCCACTGCACGCACTCGCACTCGCACTTACCTCACCGGCAGGAAACCCACTTGGACGCAACGGCATCCCTCATCTGCGCTTTCCCACTTCGCTGGGCGGCCTGGACTGGTCTATTTGGTCACGCTGTTGTTCATTTCCAGGCATGCCACCCAAACCCACCCACCATTAACAGTGCCCGCCCTCAAGTCAGTCTCACTCTCACTCAGCCATCGGGCAATCACACTTTGAAGCGCTACATTGGTCGCTGGACTCACTGGTAGTTAACAGCGCAACTTTCTTCCATAGCTTGTCAAACAGCGAGTGACGTACGGACACCTCCCCATCCCTCTCATACTTTGGTGCAGCCATCCATGTTTCTCTGTTACCAACCATTGAGGATTGACACAGCAGGCGTGGCCATGACATTCGTTACAGTTCACCATTCACGACGTGCTGCCTATCATGGTCGCACCGCCCCTGACAAGCCCAAATCAGCCCGCTTCTCCCACTTGACTGCTTGCAGTCTGGTTAGGCTGGAGGTTTGCATTTCCTCCGACATGATTACCGAAGATGCATATTTGCATTTGTTGTGGACCTTACTGCTGTGTATCCGTACATGAGGTGCCACTCGAGTCTCCGTTATCTGTCAGGGTGCTGGCAGTCCCCAACACGTATCCCTGACGCGTTCTCCAGACTCCAGCAGGCGCATCGAGCGGCAGCAACGCAAGCAACGCTGAGGAGTGTGCAAGCCTGCGAGGCAATCAGCAGGACAGGACTGGACTGTCCCATCGGGATATCAGAAAGGGAGGGGGTCGTTGGCCCATGGTCTCCGCCTTCTTCGCGTCTTGCGGCTGCAACTGCTGCAGCGTGCACTCAGGCCGCACCTTGCAGCCTGCACACGCACTTGTTCCGTTCAGCCCGCAGACTTCTGCGGACCACGTAGTAGAGCGATAAACTGGGACTCGCCGGCCCAGGCTCATCCAAGCACGCGCTTTCAAGCGTTGGGCCGCCTGGGATTGATGGGATGTGCGGCCTCACCCAGCACAACACGCACCCAAGCACACGAGGCACTGTACACGTGACCTAGTTGTCGCCTCGCCCCCTTTCACCGATGGTTATTGTCCTTGCATCTTCGTTTCATCCAAACGCCATCCGCGGTATGCAACCGAAGGCTTGCCGGTGCCAAAGCCGTTGTTAGAACACGCCCTTCACCCCTTCTCCGCTGGGGGACGACGGATCCCTCCCATTTCTCGGCTCAAGTCTTTTTGCTTTCCCATCAGACGAATCCTCACATGCATGAGAGAGACGATGCTTGGAGATTGTCTTGCGGCAACATGACCAAGTGGCCCGCAAAGTTTTCCGTCCAGCTGCCTTTTCACCCTCACACACTCCCCCTCGCCTACCTCCACCTACGACCTGATGTCCGGTGCATGTACAGAGGTGCGCAGACGTATTCCTGGGAAACTTGCCCCCTGTTGCCAACACGTCACCCAATTCAAACGTTTCGGCTGACGCTGAGTCTCGGAGCGTTCCATCCGCTTGATTGGCTGCACCATTGGGCTAACTGACGGCAATGCTAAGTTTTGAAGCTCTGCGATATACCGTCATGCCGTAACCAAGGCCTCGTGCGTGCCTCTTTTATCTAGTTGAGGCTTCGTCGACACAGGCTCGACATCCCAGAAACTTCCCGGTAGCCGACCAGGTGCCGTCAGACATCTCTGGAGCCTTGGGCAACACGTTCTGCCTAGTACTCACCAACGCCCATAACCCTGTCCCGGCTTACTACCAAATCAGTGTAGACGTCACTTCGCAGCCACGTAATCGGCAACAAACATTGCAGATACAACATGTCAATAGTGTTCCTGACCGTGAGGTAGGCAACTGGACAGCCCTCAATATTTCCAGGGTTGACGCTATGCGAGCTGGGCAGTCTCCGAGATAGTCGACCACCAGCTGCCTTCAAAGGCTAAATCTCCTAATAAAAAAAATCTTCCCAAATATCGGCCGAAACGGATCCATAGACGACTAATTAGCGAAGGTGTGAAGCTTCGAGGCCCATTGTTCATATCGGTCGCTCCAAAAATTCAGCCCATGCGATGGTGTCCCGAGGCCGCAGCCTCGACACTCGATATTCATATAGCAGCACCGTGCCGCATTAACCTATAGTTTAGCAGGTACAATGCCAGGTCACAATCCGTAGTCTGTTTGCACCCATGCCTAAGCTCCTACCACACCCGGCGGTGATTCAGCTTAACGCTGTAAACAGATTAATGACCTGACGCTGTAGGTGCAACAAACCACTAATGGAATAACCTCGCCATCAGAGGTGCCTGGGTCACCTGGTTCGCTCTCCAAGCACGCTTGTACCATTCGTGTGCTAGTGCTCGTCAACTTTTCAGGGCGGCATGGCGAGCCATGCCGAGGCGGCAACCTTGCATTGCTGAGGTAGACATAGGTGCGGAGACGGCTGATCAGAATTAGCTTGAGTGCCACCAAGTACCACAGCTCTATCCGTACACTACTGCCAACATTCCGATGTTGACTTCCGGCCACTACTTCTCCTCGGATCATGGGGGTGCGCTGGGCTTCGGAGACCTTGAAACCTAATGCCACAATCTCTATGTACATCCGCCTGCCTAGGACAGCATGATCTTCGTTGGAATACGGACGTATACGGAGCATATCTCACATGCACCCTGGACCTTCCACCTCGTCCTTGGAAGCCAGCTCGTCTAAGACTTTCAACTCATCTCTGCACCTACTCATGTTACTGTGCTCATCAAGGGCGGTCACAGCCAGGCGAGACCTTTTGAAAGCTTGAGCCCTGTCATTCCCATCGGCCGGATCACACGGCTACTACCCGTGGGCCACTTGCAGTTGTCACAGATGCCGCCCTTCAGCATCGGCCTATTTTGTAACCGACTCACCTTCTTGCAATTGACTGCGTGCCACGGAGGCACTGAACCAGAAGTCTCGACTGAGTCACGGCTTCTGCCCTTGTACTTCTAATTCCTTCATCAATGGTTCGACATTGACCAAGTACTGCTACTCATTATCCACAATTCCCTTTGCACGTTCCTTTTCGCATCGCCCCCTCCGCGGCGGTCATTGAGTTGACCAACGAGGAATACTCTCGCCCCTCACAGCCTCGCTCACGCACCAATACAAAACTCACAGCAAAGGCATGTAAGCTTGCCATCACAGCCACATTCTGGGCGGCTCTTCAGAATTAAGGCAACCAGCTCTGCGCTGCACCCACCCGCGCCACAAGGATTCATGGCTGATCGAAGCTGTCTTGAAGAACGACGAAGATACGCATCCTTGAGGCCAGAGAGCTCCCTTTTTCTCGGGTGTTTCGGTGTCCGTGGGAGAGCATTCATCGTTTCTTCCCTGCGCATTATGTGTCGGGGCCATTTGCCTGAAGTCCAGCGATCCTGTTCCTTGTCAGCGGAAGTCTGTCCGACTCTGTTTGGTTTTGTGCGCTAGGTCACTTTGGAGTTTGAGGGCGTGGCTGGATGGACGAAAGCCAAAATTGCTTCCGCGGGATGATCAGCATGCAAGTTTCCCCATTCGCGCACGATTGACGAGTCTTGGTCTGTCCAACGCATTATCCATACGGATACCTAGGCCACCAATTCGATCTGGATGGGAATCAGACAACAAAACACGCACGCACGGCCAACCCAGCTGAAGTCTGGCCGATCTTGACTTTGACTGCTCATGTTCCAGCTCGACTGCCGACCTCAGTTATCTCACTTACTCGCCGCTTCGACGCTCAAAGTTGCAAGGACCAACATTGGGATACTGTAGTGGGCGCATCTGGGCGAGGGCGATAACACGCGGGGGTGTGCTTCACCTTTCACAACGCTTTCCAGTCACGTACGGATACAGCATCGACTCGGAAGCATCGGTGGAGATGGTGCGAAGCAACGCCGACCTCTTGCCTATCAATTGACAGCAATCAGCATGTTGCACAAAACGGGGCGTCAAGCTCTGGATCACTATCAAAATGGGGTCCTCAACTAACAGGTCGCCAAGGACTGCAAATCACTGACGCGTTTGATATCAGCATGGAGACCTTCCGGGCTCTCATAGTCTCATAGCGACAATATCACTCTCGAGCTAAATAAAGCCCGGGCTACGCTCGGCCGTTTGTGCTGAAGGGGGTGGTGTGCTAACTGTGTCTTGTTTGGCATTCTTTGAGGAACACCACCCGGCGGAGGGAAGAGCAGTCATCGCCTCGGTGAAACCGGGGCCTACCGACAAGAACACTTTAAGGCGCAAAGCTGTCATGCCGGCTAGCCAGGCTTGAGAAGTCAGGGATCTAAGAGACGGCTTTGGTGGGCCAGGCCTTATACATACTAGTGGACAAGCCGTCCTATGGTCTGCAAGAGATGAGAATGAAACAGGGCAGGGATTACAACCCTCCCAAGGTCGCTTTGAGGTTGTCGACTAGTATAGAACCCGCGCCGCCAACCCCCTCGAACCGGCCCTGGCAAGGTCAGTTCCACCAGATGATCTACTGTTCACGCGCGGGCCAACGAGAGAACCTCCTGAAGATTGATTGGGCGTCCTGCATGGATGGGGGAACTTGACAGAAAGCACTGACCATCGGGACGATACAACGGGGCGTCCACTTCTTTGACCATTCTTCGGATTCAGACTGCCCCCAAGCGGTTCGATTCGCCAGAGCGGCTAAAATCTCTTTCCTCGCCCTGGTCAATGTACTTCGTCCGGCCCATCGGCCAGTACGAAGGAAAGAGAATGAAGCCTTTAGCTTGGACGGTTCACCAAGGTCGGGTACGGAGGTCATTTACGACTCCATGCGGCGGCAATTGCAGCTACCTGCGACGATCTGAGTAGTCCGACCAAATGCGGGAACCAGCACACACAATTCTAGACATGGGCCATACACCGTCGTGTGGCCTTGGCTTGTCATCCAGCGAGCTAAGGCCCCGGCCCCAGTCCCGGCCCCAGAGATTCCAACGTGCTGAAAGATGCCAGGGATTGGCTCGGAGATGATGAGACCCCTGTCAGGCAGGAGAGGAGAGCGTCAGTCGCCTAGCGTGGGTGTGGCCCAGCGGGCCTTGCTTGGAGAGGGATAAAAGTATCCGGCCGGTGCCACTCTCTAACCAGTGCCATGGGCCCAACGCCCTTTGCGATTTTAGCGGCTGTCTGACCGGGTAATGGCAATCAAGGCGTTCTTCACGGTGGAGCGGCTGGGACCGGGGATGGTCTGGCTGCCGGACTCTCTCCGTTCTGTCCTCTTCTTCAAAAGTCTCATCGCTGAGTCCGATACGCAGCTGCAGCATTTTCATTTTTTCCTAGCCAGAGAGACCAGGCGTGGAGTTGGTACACTACACGCTGAGCGAACGAGCTACGGAAATGTCGAAAGTGCTGCAAGCTCATGAGACGCGCAGAAGCAAGGCCGCGGGCACTTGGCCGCTAATCCGGAGAGCCATTCTCAGCAACTGAGGGTCCATCCCAGGCCAGCCGGATCCTACGATCTGGATCAAAGCAACCAGACGGAAGATTTGTGTGCTCAACCAGTTTGCACTGCAGATCATGACTCGTCGCAGCACGAGGGGCGGCTCCCGTCAGCCGGACTCAGAAAGTCACGGTGAGATATGCTTGAAGACACTGGCTGGCATCTATTTGTAGAGGTGGCACCAGGTCGCTCAAAGTATTGAGAACCTCGATCCAGCCAACGAACGCAGATTCCGGGAGCCGACAACATGTAGCGGTGACTCGGTAGTTCGGCGAGCTAGCGTAGTATGCCCTTTGGTTTACCAACACTACTATGCAAAGACCTCGCCGATCTGAGTGAGGGTGAAATGCGGGCTGAGGAGTATGAATGGGAAAAGGAGGGGTGTGGGCACGTAACGTCGATGAGGATGAGGCAGTGAAAGACTTGGGTTTCCAACCCTCTTCATCACCCCTTCCATGCGCTAACGAAACCAGTCTCACCCTTACCGGTTGCCGCCGCCGCTAATTGAGCCAGCCATCACCGCCATGACTACCGCTGTCCAATGCTACCCTAACGATTCCTTCCCCTTGGACTGTCATGGTGCCACGCCCCCCCTTGGGAGCCTGGGTCCTCGACCTCTCACACCCCTTTACCCAATGCCAGGCACGCCAACAGAAATTGGAGACGCCATGGTCGGTCCCATTATTTACTAACCGTCCTTCGCCCCCACATCTTTGCTCATCCCCGCCAGGGTTTCTTTTCGTTCCACGAGACATGGCCGACATGAGGCTGTTACGGATACAACTCACTAGCTGTGACCAACGCTCATATTTGCTGTCACTAGCTTTGCGACACAATTCACGCTCTTCTCTTTATTGTCACCACCGAGCCCGAGCGGGCGTCCTTGGATCGACGAAGCTTTTGGGAAACGATGTACTCGCTACCCAATCATCGAGTCCTTGTCGCACAGCACTCGCAAGTAATCGCGACCAGGATGGCTACCTATCCACTGCCGTTGTCGCATCCCATCCGTTTGGCTTTGCTTTTTCTTCCTCCGCCAGGTATCCGCATGTTCCTGATGGTCTACATTGTAGGTATCCGTCCTTCGTACCATTCTGCAAGTAAGCCCGCACTTGACCACCAAATTCGACTTCGATTACAGATACCCCCCCTTCAGCCACTCGGCCAGACAATCTGCCATGCAGTGCTTGCTTTGCTCTAGCCTCTACCCTTGAAAATAAGAACGGTGGTGAGGTGTTTCCCCCCCTACAGCCGACCCCCCCTGAGTAAGGCGACCTGCAGACTGTCTGCCCGGTCTTACAGATGCGGTTGCAGGAGCTTCGACTGGGAGTGCCAAATGACCCAGCTCCATCGGGCTCAGCAGGCTTGTTTCTAAAGCTGCAGAAGCTTGACAAAGCCGGAACGCCTGCCCCCGCTGCTCTCTGGTTCAATGATGTGGTTGCAAAGTCGGCAAAAGTCCCTGCTGCTATTGGTCTGCGGGCGAAGTCGCTACATCATTATGGACAATCCAAGGTTTTGCCGCCCAGGCACCGCCCACCGCTTGCTCAACTTGGTCCCAAAGCCGTCAGACGAGCATGCGTCAAGAACACCCGCTTCGATCCGTCAGGGGCCGCTGGTCCATGGTTCCGTTCGCGGAGCATTCGCGCAGCGTTCGCGTAGCGATTTTGCTACGAGTTTTGAACGCATTTTCCCTCTTGAGGATATTTCCATGCGTCTCCCGGAGACTCGATGGTTTGCTGCGCCCCCCAGTCAGTATGCCAACATTTTCAACACGAAGCTCAACTCGAGGCAGTCTTGCACCCTTGGGTGCATGAGAACGATTTCAGCAGAGCCTAGGAGCCAGAACGAAGACAAGCGCAGGGCTAGCTCGATAATGGATGGACCTCGCCGGGCATACCTACTTGAAGTCTACGGGTCTGCGAGAGGGGGAACGTCATGATTTGTTGACAGTGACGACAGCAAAGATTTGCAACCCCGCTGGTGATTAACAGCCTCGTACGGCACCTTTCGGTACCGCAATGTCAGGTAAAAAACGACGGGGACTCGGGGCCGTTTGCGTCGTGTATCCGTACGAACCCGGCCTTTCTCTGGTCACGAATTTGCAACTCACTCTCAAGACGCGTGAATTGGAAACACGAGGAAGTAGAGGCGGCTCCACTGGCTACCTTGGAGGAAAAGCGCCCTGCGCAACGAACCAGGCTCCTGAATCGCCGCAGATCGACAAACAAGCCGTCGTCTCCACTCACTGTATCAACAATCGCCCAGCATCCCCTCTCGTGAGCTAACCAACGTCGTGAGAAGAGTTTTCCCTCTCTGCCTCATTTCCAGGCTCTGGCTCCGCAACCGAATTCAGGAAGATGTGACGGTGCCATCCCCGGCCTCCTTTCCCAATAAGATCACTATGTCCATCTGTACACTCAGTCACCGACACGGTCTCGCTGCGGCAGATCCATACGAGGGGGACGAAATTCTCGCGACAAACTTTGCTGGGTGGCATGTCAGGATGTACGTGCAGAGTGTACCGTAGCAACGGCGCAAATATTTCCCCTCTCCCCGTTTTCGCCTGCGCCGTAGTCTCCGCTTAGGTCTGGGGGCCATGCGGCATGCCACTATCAGCTGCAGCAGGCCACATGCAGCCTTGTTCGCCGTCGCAGGCCCCGCGTGAGGTGCGCCATCTTCAAAGCTGCATCGAAGCATCGGCGGCGCATGAATGCATGTTGGCCCGGCCTGCCACCCCTCCACTAACAACAACGAGCGTCGCCGACGCGTCCTGACCTTTGCGGCTGTCCAACTACTCCCACTTCGTAACGGGTTGCCTCCTCGCTTGCCCACCATGTACACCGCCTCTTGCTCCCCACAGAGCCACAGGGCCACAGGGCCACAGGGCCACAGAAGGCCCCCCCCAATCTCTCACTCTTCCACAGCTTCGGAACAGGCGCGACCGCCGACGGATGCTCCATCGGTCCGCTGGCGGGCAAAATACGGCCTCTTAGCCTGGCTTTCCAGGCGATTGGCGGGCAGTCGTTCCACCCGCCGAAGCATCCATATACGGCACCCGGCGGGGACACCACCCGGAGAGCCCGCGGCGACAGTTTCAACGCCTGACGGATGGCCCACCGTCAGCGCAACTTTGCACATCCATACGAATATCGTCTCCCAGTCCACCGAACCCCTCTCGCTGGACTTTGAGCGTGGCGAGTGCAACGGCGAAACCCAACTTGTGCGCCACGTCCCAAGTCTCGGCCTGGCAAATCAGTCCGTACAGCATGCCCGCGACAAATGTGTCTCCCGCACCAACCGAGCTATCCCCCTTTCTTGTCAGTCCTACTACGCCAAGGCGAGTGTGAGTGTATGGTGGTTGTGCACAGCTAAGCTTACTCGACGACTTGCTTCACCGGCGTCTTGACTGGGCTTTTGACAAGCTGCCGGTCCTTGAGTGACATGCACCATGCTCCCTCAGCACCCCACGTAACCATGGCCAACGACCTGTTCTGCAGTCAGCGAGAAATGCGTTGCGTGACCGGTAGATCTGTTGACTGGAACTCACGCCCGTGGCAGCGTCAGCGACTCTTTCCGCAGACAGTCTTCAGCGGATAAGTACCCGCAGTCCTGCGCCGCCCGTCAGTATGCGCCGCGCGGGGTGGAGCGTAACTGGCGTACGCCGATAGACGTGACTGACGCACCTCTGCCCAGCTCTTAGAGTAAAACACCACGTCCGCCTCCGCAGCGAGCTCTCTCAACCCCGCCCTGCCAGGCCTCTCAACCTCGACGCTGACGGTCGCCGCGTCGTCGCCGTCGCCGTCGCCCAGCACCCGCCGAAGAGCCCGAATGCAACCCAGCGTCGTCTCCGGGACCCGTCCCTCAAAGTGCCACCATGTCCGGCCCCCTTGGCCGCGGAACGCCTCGACGACGTCGAGGAACTCGTCTGTTGTCATGTCGAGCAGCTCATTGTGGTTTACAATGGTCCGGCTGCCGGTGGCCTCGCTGCGAAAAATGTAGCTGCTCGCCGGCGCCTGGTGGCCCTCGCGGAACAGGCAGTGCTCAAAGTTGATTGCGGCGGCGTCGGCGGCGGCGTCTGGCCCTGGCGGGAACGAGGAGATTATCTGCGCCGTCGCCTGGGAATGGCGTTCCGGCAGAGGCGAGACGAGATGCATTTTCAGGGGGCCGCCGCCGGTTGTCGGGGGAGGGAGGTCTCTTGCGCGGAGGAGCTGCTGGAGAACTTCCATCGTGTTGGGGCAGTTGCCGCCCCTGCGCACGCGGATGCTCGTGGCTCGGAGCTTCAAGTCTTCTTCTGGGAAGTGAGGTACGCTGGGGAGGGTTGTGAGTGGGTATCTTTTCTGAGCGTTACAGGTTGAGGGGAACTGTGCCTTGCCTTAGGACTGTGTCGACATAGCACGCCCCGACGAGGATGAGATGGTTCATTTTGTGATGGGACGTGAACTTGTTGATGCTTGCTATCGTGGGCGGTACCGGCCACCTCGCAATGTCTGACCGACCTTGACGACTGTTGAAGTGAATCGCAAGTGCGGTGAGGTCTAGTTTTTTCTGCTCTTGAATTGTTCTGAGCCGACTTATCACACCAAATGCCGCTGGCTGAGTGCTCTCGGCGTGATAATGTTGCGTTGTCGACGGACGCTTGGCCCAAGACTATACGGGAGGTCGGCTAATCATTAAACCGCCCTCTCAGCCTCGCGACATGTCACCATCGGGCGGGATGGGATCCTTTCGCGGTCCCTGAGAGCAATGAATGAACAACTTGATGTGACAGAAGACGGTCGTCGACACAGATGGAACAGGATGTCGAAATGTGTAGCAAGGCACAGACCACAACCTCACCGACGCCAGGGGGAATCCGTGGCACGATGATGAGGCCGCCCGTGACCTGTAGTGTTCGGCAGGGTGCTCGCGGAGAATTGCGGCTGTCTGCTGAGGCGTGAATCCATTGCGCCATTTTCTTGGCCTGGCTTTCCGTTGTGCATGTGCCGTTCGCTCGAGGGCGAGCGGTATGGACCTGCCCTTATGCTTTTGACTTGCTAAGCGGTGTGAGATGTGGGAGTCTCCATTCTCCTGACGGTGGAACGTTGAGGTGGAAGGCGATGTGGCGGTCGTTTCTTCTTAGTGCTACTCTCTCCCCTGATCTTCTCGTGTTGCGTGCTTGACGATATTGGTTTCGATGGTGCTTCCTCGTCTCGTCCTCCTTCGGGATTGAATGATATCCCGCGAGTTGCAGCATTGTCGATTTCAGACGACGGGACGGTGCCCTCTCCACCATTACATGTCGGTATATCATCGATAGAACCGATGCCGCGGCGGGTTCGTTCTTTTATCAGATACCGCACACCTCGTGCTTTTTTTACTTTCTTCCTCCGTCAGGGAATGGATAAAACTTTTCGGGGTGTGAGAAGTTTTCACTTCGCTTTGCAGTGGGTGTGAAGTCTTTTCCCTTTTGGTTTCAAATAGTCTCAATCGGTTACTTGGCTTTCCCAATATACTGATCTTTCTCTATTTACGAACGATATTAAGTCTGCAGCGTAGTGATTCTCAAACTCTTCCTCGTTCGTCATGGTTTTATTCATTCTTGTTGGCAACTATACATGTGAATAAGGACAGGTACGATTCGAGAGTTCAGAGTTTTTGTAAAATTTCCACGACAAACGATTTCTGCTCCAAGCTATCCAACGGGGCCGCTGGTTTCTTGGAAGTATGCAGGCATACGAGAGCACGCATCGAGGTGGGGAAGAAAACCAGGAAGCTGAATAAGTCACGAATTGGCCTGGTTGACGTAAAATCTTCAAAGTAAAGGAACCTGTCCCTTCTTCTGACTTTCATCAGCCTACGGAAAATTTGAACCAACTAGACGTATCCAAGATTTCCTAGTTTAATAATGTCACGGTAATTCACGCAAGCCAGTTACTGAATTAAGAGGCTCGTACAACTTCTCATCAAAGAAAGCTGAGGGGTCCCGTCGTCCAAGAGACATTGGAGCCACCGAAATTCCCGGGCAGTCTTCTACTTGCTACAGGGCTCTGGCCCTCAAACCACGACTTTCGGTCTCCGTTACGCCGAAACATCACCTCGGGTATACCAAAAATAGCCTGAATTGCCCTGTACATGGCAAGAGCGGCGTGTTGAAAAGCCAGACTTTTGGGAGGGGGGTTGATCATTGAAGACATCAGTGGACTCCTAATAGAGAAGGCATTGACTTGAGAACATAGCCAGATGACTTGCAGACTGTAACCTAGACTTGCTGCTGGGTACGTTTTTTGGCGAATGCTGCCCTCTTCCTCACTCGTCTATCCTCTATCCGGTTGCTTCGCACTGCTGTTCATTCATCACACTCTGTGGCAATCGCATGATAGCCTCCGTGCCAATACCCAAAAAAATCGGCCTGGAATTAGCACACTGGTGTCTCTATCATACTGAATACGTTTCCCCAACATATAACCTCGTCGACCTACGGGTTCAGTTTCATCAACGACACTTTATTTATTCGGCCCATTATCCATCATCAAGGTGAAAGCAACTTCGTGCCCCAGAATGGGAAGGAGAAGCTCTTTCCCTTTGCCGGTGTACCCCTCCAGGGCAGGGATAGACGACGAGTGCAAAGAAAGGAACAGTGAGGTCCTATGCACTCTGTAAGGAAGAGGGGCGTGGTCTCCATGCGGCCAGGGTCACCGTCTCGATGAGAGCGGGAGGGGAGGTAGAGGACCGCTTGTAGAGAATCGTCGGCCACTGCGTTTGAGAACTTTTCAGGGAACGACGCGGTCCAGGAGCCATTGGAATACTTTCTAGTTTGGCTGGATACGGCGGCAAAGAGGACCATGTGTGCGAAGAAGACGAAGGCGAGGATGCTGCATATGACACAAGCTGACCGTGACCATCATTCAACGAGAAGCATTTGAGAAGCCAATTGTTGATCTACTGACAAAGAAGTGGACTTGAACGTTATTTCAAGAGGGCAACCTCCGAACAAGACCACCGACGATGATTTGGGACGAGAGGGCATCCCCTTGGGGAGACTCCCCAGTTGGGAGGTGGGGTTGGATATGGTATTACATTGCCTAGTTGTACGTATGATGACTGACCGCCTTCTCTTTTCCCATTTTCAAAAGACATCAAGGAAGGTAGAATCCTGTGTGATGTAGTATCCGCCTCTCCATAATCAATCACTTTGGTCAAGAGGAATTCTTCAATCTCTCTAGACTTCAATACAACACATGAACACAACAATGTAGAGATCAATATACATTATAATTTATATAGGTGGCCGAAATCCATGACAAGAGGTATCATCCATCTCCAATCTCGTCGACGCCCAATGAATTATTATATGACCTGACTCTCATCGCCATATGCTCGCAGGTTCCAAAAAAACATCCAATCGCCGAAACCTGTCACTTCTTGTAGACGGACAAGCGGTTACCATTACCGCAGTACTCCGTGCTGGAACCCGTACACAGCATGCTGCAGTCACTCGACGGGGCGTCAAGCGACGTCGTCGGCAGAGCATTACCGCAGTAGCACTCACCGCCGTACTCCGTTCCAAAGTAGCTATACCCATCGCAGAAGGCCGCGCATACCTCGTTGGTCATCTTGTCACCAGCCGTGGCCTTGGCATCCAAGGCACGTCCGCCCTGAGCGGGTTCGGTACGGCAGCCGATAAAACTGTAGGCTCCGGCAGTGGCTGGCTGGCTGGGGTCCGTGACTTGTTTGTTCGATTGATAGAGTGTTAATCTGTTGCCTCCACCGCAGTATTCGTACTTGTTGCCGCTGCAGGTCATACTGCAGTCCGCCAGGGGGGCTGCAGCACTGGACGAGGCGAGGGAGTTGCCGCAGTAGCATTCGCCGCTATACTCCGTTCCGAAGTACTTGTAATCTGAGCAGTAGGAGGCGCAGTACTCGAGAGTCATGTTGTCACCAGACGTGTAGCTCGTTTGGCTCAAGGCGCGGACGCCGTTGCCCTCCGTCCAGCAGCCCACTAGGGTATAAGGCGAGACGGTGGGCTTCTGAGCCAACGTCGGTGAGGTGGTTGTTGAGGTCGAGATGGTGCCGGTGGTAGAGGAAGAGGCGGCGATTGATGAAGTGCTAGCGCTGCTGGAGGAGGATGCAATGCTCGAAGAAGTGCTCGACGGAGACGCAACACTACTCGAGGATGCAACACTGCTCGAACTCGAATGGTCTGATGAAGTCGATATCTGTGACGAAGTCGAAGAGCTGCTGGAAGAAATGGGCGCAGACGTCGGAGTAGGAGACGTCGATCCACTCGCCGCTAGGACACTGAAGGAGCTCGCCGATGAAGAGCTGCTTGGGGTTGTAGTAGCCACCGTTGAGGCCAAAGTAGACGGAGCACTACTGATTTTGTACAGCTCCAGGCGGTTGCCATCACCGCAGTACTGGTACGAGTTGCCAGCACACTTCATGTTGCACTCACTCAGGGGCGCAGTCTTGCTGGTAGCTGCCAGACTGTTGCCACAGTAGCCTGGTATCACGTCAGTCCTCGTCCATTTCAAAACGACACTTAATACTTACATTCACGACCATACTCGGTGCCAAAGAATGTGTAGTCGGAGCAGAAAGCAGCACACTTTTCAAGAGTCATGTCGTCTGCAGCAGTCTGGGCGGCTTGGAGGGCACGCACACCATCGGCCTCCGTCTGGCAACCGACGAGCGAGTACTTGCCGACGGTGTTGATGTGGGCGAGAGTAGCGGTGGGAGCGGTCGTCGAGCTGCTGGTACGGGTGGCAGTAGTCGAGTACAATTCGATCCGGTTGCCGGCACCACAGTATTGGGTCGAATCGCCAGAGCACTGCATGTTGCAGTCGGCCAAGGGCGCGGAACTGCTAGAGGCAGCCAACGAGTTGCCGCAGTAGCACTCGCGCCCATACTCAGTACCCCAGTAGTCGAACCCCGTGCAATTCGCCATACAGCTGTCGAGGGTCATGCCGTCGTAAGCAAACGCGGCACCGCCGAGAGCTCGACCACTAGAGGCCTCGGTCCAGCAGGAGACGAGCTTATAGCCGCCCATGGTGGGTCGGTGGGAAAGTGTGGCAGTCGGAGCCGCACTGGACGTAGAAGATGCTGTCGTGGAGATGGAAGACACCGTGACACTGCCGCACGTCGCAGACCCTCCCGTCCAGCTTGAACATGTCCCACCGATAGGGTCGGCCTTCTTGAACGAGTCAACCATGGCGGATGCGCCGTCTCCGCTGATGAAGTCGAAAGTCGACTCGAAACTGACGCCACCGGGAATGTTCGTGGTGACGGTGAAGAAGGTATAGCTGCCATGGCAGTCGCCCTTGGTCATGTCGACGTTCATCTTACCCAGCAGGGGCACGACGCTGGTTGTCCGCTGTGTCTTGTACGTGATTTCTGCCTTGACCGGGAGAGACGCGCGGTCGTTGCGGACTGCGGCGACAAGTGTAATGTCGCCAGAGGCCTGCAATAAGCAGCTCTGTGGCGCTTGGAGAAAGATGCCGTCCTGAACCGGGTACTCATTACCATTGTTGTTGAATAGCGTGCTCGAGCCGTCACCCTTGTTGATCGTCACAGTGAAGGACGAGATGCCCGTGCTGACAGGAATCTCCTGCCTAATGGGATACCAGGAAAAGCTGTCTTCCAAGCCCTTTGAGATACCCGAGATGGTGACTGTAAAGACGCAGGCGCCGGTCCCGCAGGTGGAGCCTCCACTCCGATTCTTGTAGTTGATCGTCAGACTCGAGATTCCCGAAATGGCGGTAGTTCGGACGCGAATGTAGCCTGTAAGAATCATGACAGTGGGCGAATTGAGGGTGAGCTGAAGCTGAACCGGCTTGACGGTGTAAGGTGCAATAGCATCTGTCAGGGTAACGCCGGATGGCACGGTGTTGATCATCTTCTCGAAGACAGTCTTGCAGGTAGACTTGAAGACTGTATTGTCAGTCATGGCCTTCACCGTGGCGTTCTTGTCGGAGCTGAAGACGACAAAATCGGAATTACTGGCTCGAGCCGTACCCATTTTGATGACGAGAGGGTTCCGTGTGGTGCCATCTAGATATTCGGTGACAACCTTGTTGTCAAAGACACCGTTGGAGGTGTCCATGGGCGCGGAACCGTTCGAAAAGGTGCCGTCAGGGACGATGGTGGGATTCTGCGCCGAGTGGACGCCGCCGATCGTGTGGCCGCAGGCTGTGACCTGAATCATCTCCTGTGAGGAGAATCCCATGCGAGTAAACTTTGATTGGAAAATTTGGATGACTTCGTTCGGCTGCGGTACGCCGGCGGCCCCTTTTACAGTTGCGTCGATGCGGCCGGAACGAATGGCAACCGAGGGACCGCCGCACGATAGTACAGAAGCGTACACTCCAAGAGCGATCAGATCCGACATGCTGCTTTTGCGGGTCATGTAATGTGACATGAAAGTCAACGTTGTCGCAAAGGCAGGGCCGGTATTCTCTCCGGTGCTCGACAGCTCATACTGGATAGACGCATCCAACCCTCCAACTCCAGACCCTGCGTTGGCCGGTGCCATGTCGTGAAAGGCGGTTCGCAACCATTCTGCAGCAGTTTGGCGACCGACACCCGATGTCTCCTTGCTGCAGGGAAATATGGAGTCGGCAAATTTGCGTGATCCGAAGTTGAATGTCTGATACATGATTTCCTCCAACTCATCGATATCCGCGGGCCACGTCGGATCAGCCCGGACCTGTGAGGCCAAGCCTAGCAGGCTGAGCAATAATGAGGCGTTCACCTTCATGATGGTATATTCCCTCGACTGCGCGGGAACCAAATCACAGGAAATAGTGCAAGCGAGCGACTTGGTCGTCCGTAGAAAGACGGTTCGACCTTTGGATCAGGGCACTAAAAAGGCAGATATGCCCGAAGAAGGCAGAAAAGAGTACAGTAGAAGAAGACGAAGCGAAGGAGGTGAAGGGAAAAAGAAATGGGACGGCCGATGGCCGTTAGATATGAGAGACATGGTGTGAACCGACGCCGAAACCACGGAGGAATAGACAAAGGGATGCGGCGACAACTTTTTGGTCAACAATGTACGAGCTGACGGGCGGAACCGTGGTGACCTGACCGCACGAGACGGATGATCTAGGCAATCTGGGCAGGCCTAGGCGGTATCGGTAAAGCTCTATCGCCAGCAAGGGCAGTAGCCTCCGTGAATGCGCTTAGTGTAGCGCCAAAGGGGATTGCGGCACAGCTTTGATCCTGCCCTGGTCCGTGGTCGTGAACGAGTGGGTGAGGAAGTTACATTGTAAGTGAGGGTGAGAAATTAAGAGTGAGTCGCCGTATTTTTTTTTGGCGAAAACTGCCAAGGGTGTCGGGGACCCCTCTTTCCCTTTCCGATTTAGTGCCACCCTCGCATTGGATGAGTGAAGATACGTACGGGAACACAACCATTGTGATTGGCCACAGGCATCTTGTGGCTGCTGCCGGTGCCAGCCGCAAATCCAGGGGTGCCGGGGTGACGATACCCTGCCCCTGAGCACGGCTTACTTTACTTAACCTTAATCGGTTGGTTCAAGCCTTGGAGATACCCTCCAAGTTCTGCTGGGGAGGATACGGCCCAATGGCGCGTCGAGCAGTAAATTGCATCCCGCCATCTTGGTGGCCCGGTGATGTTCGGGAGGTAGGATAGCCCCCTTCCCTCCCACGGCGCCTCTTCGACAGGCCGAGTCAGCAAGCACTTTGAGGACGGCGAGCCGCGACCGTGACTTCTGTTCTCGATTTGGCCTTTGAAGTGGTATCCTTGCCCCTGCCCTGCGTTGCCGATGCAAAACTATTGATGCCATGTCAACAATGGCGCCCCAGCTGATGCTACAGAATGCATGTATCTCTTGTCTATATTGCAGCTTGCGTAATGCCCTTTACCTCACAAGCTTGGCCCTCATCGACCCGGGGACCTGATAGAAGAGCGATGGGGTTCAAGCGGAGGGGAAGGCCAGGACACAGACGGTTTGGCTGGCGATATCACATGAATTCGGCTCCAACGGCAAATCCAGACTGTCCTTCACCGTGTGTTGTTTCCGATGTTGGCGACACACAGCCAGACTCCATGGAAACAGTGACCGATGAGTCCCCGTGCAAAAAAACAAAAAACAAGAGGAGGCTTCCACAGTCTTGTCTGTAAAGGCGTCGGGGATCGTCGAGTCGGTGATGTTGATATCTGCTTGCTTGTCCCGTCAACACTGGATCCCATTTCCCGCTGTCATCCCATCACGACAGTTGCCAAGCCGCCCTTGCGATGTTGTGTCCTGCCGAGTATGGCCTCTCTACTTTATCTCAACCGAGCTTTCCGTGGACAGCTACTCGGAGCATTGTTCAGATTTCGAGGGCTGCAGTTGTCATGGCGGCCGATTGTGGCTTCTGTGGGCGGAAACGCAATATCGTTTTTCGTCGCAATGTGGGAAGGTGTAAAATAAACTGCCAAGCTAGGTAGCTCTTCCCCACGGCCTCGACGCCATAGCGCGCGTTTGTTCATCCGCTCCTGGCCGTGATTCGGTCGTGCTTCTCCCCCGACAGGAAGGACGAGGAATCTTATCCCGATCGAAACTCACTAACCGACAGCTTGGGCACGTGCGGCAAGGCTGAACAAAGACAACCACGCCATGCCATGCGAGACAACAACATTTTATGGACTTCACAAAGAGGATTCAACGGCCAAGGATAGCCGCCAAGGCGCGCCGCGCTAGAAACAGCCCACGCGCTCGATTCGAAAAGTCATCGTTCCGATGTTTCACCTTGTGCGCCCGTCAACAGGGAATTGGCTCGGCATCGTGTTAAGAAGCATCCTCCTGTGGAGGCTGGTTCGTTGATGCATCCAAGAGGCTCTACCAAGGTCGTACATGGCCAATACATCATCCGGAGGCGCCTGGCAATAATCAACACTGAGGAAAAGCGCAGCGGCATTTTCCCGCGAAGTCGGCTCTGTATGGCGCAAAGAAACTGGTGGAAGCGGTCGGCCCCACACAATAATTCTGGTACCTTATGAGATACCGAGGGCCGGGGCTTCGGTGCCAACGTGGAATGCGGGGCTGGTGTCGTCCCCGGAGTCGCTCGCCATTTGGCCCGACACCGATGCCCTGTGGCCCATGTTTCCCGAAGCCGATGAACGGCGGGAATCCGCAGGGTGCAACAGAATCTTGCCAGCGAAAATTTCGCACAGCCACCCGCAACCTAGGGAGGCGCACGATCCAAAGCGCCTCTTGCTCCGAAAACATTCAATTCCGCAAAACATCACACAAACACAAACGGCGCCTCGTCTCGGGATTTTACGTTTTCCTTGCAACCTGACAAGACTGCCCGGTGTCACTCGAGATTGACGACCGCCGTCTCCTTCCGGTTGCGCCCAAGGATGTGGAATATCGCCTTCGGCTGACAGGTCCTGAGCCAGTCTTCGGGTGAACCCTTGTTGTCCACAAAGCCATTAAAGCCTTTTCCGTACCGGTAGTTTCCTCCGCGAGCCGACACACCTCGCTTGGGCTACTTTTTCGAAGACTTCCGTCGAAACCGTCCGATCATCGACCGCTGAGGAGCCGCCGCTATGATTGTCGTCGGCGTTACCCGTCAGGTAATGCGTTGAAAAGGCAGACAGTGACATAATGGGCCCGGGTTGGGAGCATCAGACTGCGACTTGACGTTTCTTTCCAACAGACTAACGGCCCGTCGGTAACTCAATTGATCGCGCTCGCTGCGCTCTCACCGACCCAATTCATACATATTTATTAGTCGCCAACTGTCTGCTCGGACACAGCAGTCGTCCCTGGCCGTAGAATAGAGTGACTCTGGCAATCTGACACGCCCGCTCTCCCATGATCCGGGGAAACCCTGAACGGACCAGGGGAAACGCCTGGGACCGTGCAAGTTCACAAAACCTGGCACGCGCCGCGAAGAACAACTCTAGGCGAAACCCGACGCAGAGAAGAGTGCCATGGCCGCACATCAATTATCTCATCATCTCATTACGTAGTAGGACCGCCCTTGCAATTGGATGCCGGACCGCCCAATGATCTTCCACAGCCCAGACCAAGCCTTTTAACCGAGACATGCTAGAGCGACGTGTGCACTACTTATGGACCGGCCAGACCGAGACAAGACCAAAACCGGAACCAGCGGGTTGAACTCAGTCTCAAGTTGAGAAGACGGATTCCAGGTGCGCAGGTCAATCAAAATGTTGGCGTCTTCAGTGCTTACAGTTGGGGCTTGCAATCTTCGTAGATGCTGTAGACTAGCCAGCCGTAAAGCTGAGCAGCGAAGCAACTCGTCTCGAGGATCGCCAAAGGAAGGCAGGCCATCCTAGAACGATCGAAAAACTCTGCCGTTCTTCAAATTTAGCCGACTTGAACATGAACCATCCTGGGCTCCACGACTATCGGCACATTTTTAGTCATGAACACCACCTTTATACTACAACGTCAACATGGGTTCTAGGCTATTCCGTGCGAGCCGGTGATGTGAAAGCCAATCCCTGACAGCTGAGGCAGTGGAAACTCTGTCACAGTCCAAAAAACGAAAGGTAAAATGGGAAGACCCCTGCCCGATCCCCACACTTCAAGTCATTCGCCCCCGCCAAAGCCACACCACCGTGGCCGTGCCGGCGAAAAGTAGTGGAGAACCCGTCCTTGCTCCGACCCAATCGCGCCAACGTCTGCCCCTCCAAGCCGCCTGACATCATGGGCCCACGACCCTGGTCGGGGGCCGAGGGAGGGCCCCCATTCAGCCACAACGCTCGTCATCAACCTGCAAACATCGCCCCGTACCAAGACCTGACACCTGTACTCCGTCATTCGGTTCGAACTTGGGTGTGTGTGTGTGTGTGTGTGGTGAATACCTAGCGTAGACGTGCCCAGATCGAAAGCAGTCGTCCAGGAATAAACGGATCCCAGGGATGGGACCAAAGACAAGCTTGAACAGCGCTGTACCTTGCCACGATCTGCGCAGTGCGGGATCGGCAGTCCATTTACCGGCAGACGGGGAGGCAGCCGTGTTTCCTATTCCCCCTTTGACCTTCCTTATTCTTAAATGTCTCGAACCTCCCTCATTCGTTCATTTGGGCTTTATGATTTAACTCATCCCACCTTTGTGCAAAACACCTCGTCCAGGGGTCCGACTTGACTGATAAACTGACAAACCTACAACCAACTGAACATCAAAAAAGACCCGAACCCACTGAACAAACTCGCCTTGATCGCAACCATGGGCTTCGCCTTGAAGTTCCTCCAGTGGTTCATCCGCGGCGTCCAGCTCGGCTGCTCCGTCCTCATCCTCGCCATCTTCTCCTACTTCCTCGCGACCCTCCACAACCACTCCCTCCCAATCTCCAACTCGATCCGCGCCGTCGAGGGCATCTCCGGCGCCGCCACGCTCTACACCCTCGTCGGCCTGCTCCTGCTCTGCTGCCTCGCCGGCCTCGCCTTCACCTCCTTCATCGCCATCGTCCTCGATGTCGCCTTCATAGGCGCCTTCATCTACGTCGCCATCGCCAACAAGGGCGGCGCGGGAACGTGTTCCGGCACTGTCCATACGCCCTTTGGCAACGGCCCCGCCGACGGAAAGCCCACAAACACCGGGAGCGACGGGTGGACTCATCTGCCCAGTCTGCACACCGCCTGTAAGCTGGAGACAGCCTGCTTCGCCGTCTCCATCGTCGCAATGTAAGGAGACCCTGATACTTTCAAAGCTCCAGAACGTAACTAACTAACCTTGGTCAGCTTCTTCTTCATCTTCTCCATCCTCGTCGAGGTCGCCCTCGCCCGCCACCACCGCAAGGAGAAGCGTTTCGGCCCCAGCCCCAAAAACAATTACACCTCAGGCTCGGGTGCCAAGCCTGGTTTCTTCAGCAGCTTCCGCCGCCGCGGCCGTGTCGACACCGCGACCAACGAGAATGCGCTGCCCATGCACACCAGCCCTGACCAAGTCCGCCCCAGTTACGCAACCGAGACTACCGCTGTTGCTCAGGATGCCGGCTACCCCAAGTATGAGGGTGGCTATGGCAACACCACGACGGCGACTGGCGGTGTCAACGGTTACGACTATGGTCACGAGACTGGCACCACGCAGCCCCCTCGTCACTACAGCGATGGTGTTTATGACAGAGTCTAGATCTGAGTGACACAAAAAACAGAAGCGTAAAAATGAGACCACATGATGATCCGTATGTACAGGAGTGAAGCTGGTCTAGGTTGGCAAATATACCCAGGGATGGAGGAGTCTTGCCGTCGCCTTTGAGACGATGGTCTTTTGCTGGATTTTTAGTCATGAATCAACGGATGAAATGAAACAAAACATTGAACGATTCATCACAGAGTAAGCTTGCTTCACCACAATGGCTGTCTTTTTTTGATCATGACTACATTCGTACATGTCATTAGTTGCGTTTCAGCATCTTTGAGGCCAAAGATGTAGATCATGTCAACTTTGTCTCCCGAATGAGTTTGCCCGGGTGTCCGACATGGGGTTTGAGCCTTCAATAACCTAATCCAGACACTCGCCAAGTGTCAGCAGACCTCATCACCTCGACGTTCAGGGTAAGTTTATGGCCATCCGGCCGCATCATGCTCCCACTCACTGTTTGCGCCGTCGTCGGCCCCAACATCCGCCCAGTTCATGTCCAGCTTCTCCAGCTCCCTCGTAAAAAAGTCCTGCTCCTCGCGGAGGGCGGCCCGCAGCTCGGCGGCGATCTTGTCCGGGTATCGCCGCACATTGAACCAGTGCGTCAGACTGCGCAGCGCCTGCTCCAATGGTAGCGCCGAGTCCACTTCAGCATCGACGTCGCTGCCGGCCAGCCACTCGTCACGCAGCTCGGGCCGGCAGTGCAGGTATACTGCCGTGATGACTCGCATATTGCTCTGCCGCCACTTCCGGCCGCAGTAGGGCACTTGGTTCTTGAATAGCTTCAAGGTGTACAGTCGGAGCTCTGGTTGGGGAATCTTGAGGGACTTGCGCAGAATGTTGGCAGACTTGTACTGCACCAGGAGAAGGTTCCTGTGGGCCTTGTGTTTGCAAATCTTTTGCATGATTCGGAGGTAGTTGATCAGTGAGAAGAAATTTCTTCTCGAAAAATCGGTGATGGGTTCCGCGGGCAGGTCGTTGACGGGATATCCGAGTTCATCAACTTCAGGCCGCACCGCAGCCTGTCCTTCAAGCTTGCCGGTATCATCATCATCGCGGGTGGCGACAGTCGCGACCCGAGGCGGTGACCGCCTTCTCTTGATAGGCGGTGGCGCAGCTTCGTCTTCGCTCTCTTCCTCGTCCGGCTCTGCTTGAACAGGCGGCTTTTCCTTGAATTTCGACCGTAGATTGCAGAAGTGGAAAAAGCTAGTCGGTCAGAATGTGTCGCGTGAGGGTTGAGGAAATCACACACCTGTTCTCCAGTCGGTCCGTCTTGCTGTCAACAACTTGCTGAACATCTTGATGGGCGAATAACTTGAGCACTAGCGGGAGGTAGTTAGAATCCAGCAAAAGTTGCGTCATGTATTCGGATTTCAGAACGTCTGCGGCCTAGTCAGTTCACGCCTCGGGCAAAACCACGAACACTCACGAGAGACTCTGAGCCACTTCAGCAGAAGCAAAAGGATACCCGTTATGGCCTTTGTAGTAATTTCCCGGGATCGCGCAGCATCGATCTCTTCAGGCGACATCTCAGGGAGCTCTGGTGGACCGCCTCCGGCTGAAGAAGGGTCCTGAGGCTGCTGTTGTCTATTAGGACCAGCGCCGCCGTTCATACCACCGTTCACCCCTCTGCCGGCCATACTCGGATGTTGTTGACCTTGCGGAGGCTGCGACAGCACAGCGGTGACATTCATAAGTATCGGCCTCAGCAGGACGATTACGAGCGACTGCAGATGAGGAAGAGATTCTTTCTGTCAAAGTGTCAGCCAAACCCAGCTTGAAATTCCAAAGCACCCACATAGAAGCTTTCGACAGCAAGCAGACGCCGCTTGATCTCGTCATTCACTTTGTCTACCGAAGGCCCGCAGTCGATTTCGGGCTCTCGCATCGAAAGCTGCGCCTCCCTGCGCTCCTCAGCCTTGGTCTCTGCCCTGAGCATAGCAATCTCCTGCTTCTCTTCCAGGCTTAGCCCTTCGAGATCGAGGCTGTCAACATCGCTGTCACTGGCATCTGCTTCCCACCCCCTCTCAAACCTTAGGAAGCTTTCGCGCTCTTCCCACAGCTGTCGCGTCGCGCGGGTCATGCGAACTCTCTTTGCAAATAATTCGCCCGCCTCCAGAATAGACGCAGGAATATCACTGCCCTCCCATCTACGACCGACAAGCTGTTCCTGCAAGCCAGCCCCACCTTTTCCACCAGCGCTATTGCTTGTAGCATCTAGAGGTGGGTACATGAATGGGAAGTTCTGGTTCGTCTGGTAATTTTGCTTTTTCCCGCCCTTGCCTCCAACACCAGGAGACGGCGGCGGTGATGGAGCGGGCGTCGCGATATGCACGGGTTGATGCAAGATAGAAGCGCCGCCGCTCTGTGAGGCGGGCGGCCCGGGGAAAATTCCATTGGCAGCGCTGGTCCTGGTAGGCTGATTTGGTATGGGCGGAAGAAGCGTTGTGTTCTCAGGTTCCAGGGGTATGAGTGTCCGCGGAGGGACATAGGCCGGATATTTGGATGTGAGCTCTTGTCGAAACACGTGATAATCTAGAGGCGATGCGGTGATGAAGTCTTTGGACTTGGCATTCGGCGATTCATTCGTTGACTTTTTCGTCTCGTCTATCTCTCGGGTGCCACCGAAAACGAGCAGAATGGTTTTCCAAAAGAGCAAAAAAATCTACGCTTGTTAGTCCAAGTCGCGCACGGTATCACTAATCGTACCTGACTAGACGGCATCAAATTTCCATCGTCCCACCGCAGCTTCGAGGTTGCCAGTGACATGAAATCAGCTAGTCCGGGCTTGAGAGAAACTAGCAACCATCAGTCGAGTCTTTTCCAGACATGTTGGGTACGTGTTGCTTACGAAGCTCGGATCTGGTAGCCTCTAGCTCCTTGGGGAAGCTGAAAGCCTCCTGAATGATGACATACATGATGGTCATGAGATTGATAAGTTCATCCTGGGCCTCTTGGGCGCCGCCGGGCTGGACGAGGCGAACATCATCCGACCTGGTCGAGTTAGCTCATAACATACTATGATGTCCGAGGAACCCACCAAAACACATCAAAGCAACTTTGCAGAGCCGACCAAACAGTATTAATGCCACCCAGAGACGTCAGGAAGCTGATGCTTGATCTGATGGCCTCCAACTGCGTCGCACTAGCAGCCGATCTTCTGTCACCCACAGTGGCAGGCGTCGACGTATCACCCCATCGCCCCAGCACCAGGTACAGAATTTTGCCAATATGCGCGGAGCGTTGTGCCGGGTCCTTAATTTGAAGACCGTCTAGGGCATCTAGAGTGAACTTGGCCTTTCTCTGGTGCTCCGTCTCTTCCCAAGTTGTCTGTATGTCGTAATCGTGCTGCCACTGCCATTCGAAGGCCCGCTGTGCCGCGTTCAGTCGTACCCATTGCCAAAATTGGTATACAAACCACTCGTCAATCTCCTCGTCGTGGACACCCCTGTCATCATAGACGAAATCGTAGGCGACAGGTTCGCCTCGACTAAATTCAGCAACGATTTTCCTGAGCTGTAGCAAAGAAAGCGAGTCGGTAGGCTGCTGAGGTTCGGGCGCAGGAGGCATCGGAGCCGGGGGAATTGGAACTGGCGCCGGAGCTGGTGAAGGTGCAGATGAGTTCCTCTGCAAGGACGGTCGTGGTGGAGGCGGAGGAGGTGGGTTGCTCGTGTCAGGGCCCACGTCTGCGATGACAGCATCCGCTATCACGGCATTTTCGACATCGACGGTCGGGGGTGGTTCCTTCTCGGCGGCGGTGCCGTCGTTGGCAGGCCGCGAGGACCACAGAGAGTTCATCCTGTGAGGAAGTGGAGGTGCGTCGACGGGTGTAGCATGCTCCAAAAGGCTGTTTGCAGACGGGCGGGAGTCGAGCGTGCTTTATTCGTGGAGATCGCTGCAGCGAAGGAGGAATACTTCGCGACGATAATGTGTCGGATCGCGTTGCAGACGAACTTTCAGTTGCTCAGCACGAAAACATGTTGACGTGGTCGCGGTGAGGATGCAGTGATCCAAAGATGCTGTTTGCGCTGCAGCTTGTGATTGGTCAAAGAGCTGGTCCTTGGTGGTTTGGCGGGGTTTGGCTAGGTAGATGGGCGACCCAGCTCCCAGGCTTATCTCTTATCGCATACCTTATCTGGATAGAATCTTAGGTCATCCCTCCTTATCGTAGGGGTCTTTCCAGTATTCGTCGATTGGACAGGTGGCTTAGGTGTAGGTAGGAATGACATGTGCTTGACGATGCTTGTCGCTTACATTGCATTGCATGGCATGGAGAAATAAACTCACTCAAGGCGCCCAAGGCGATGGAGTGATCGTCTCATGTCCGAAAATACACGAGCGGCATCGCCCAATGTTAATCAGCAGTCAGCAGCCCAATGGGTGTCTAGCTTGAAATCCTCACTGCGCAGACTTCCCCCCAAAAGCAGTAGTCATGCGGACGTCCGCAAGGTCTACTCCGTTGGACTTAGGTAGGTTCCCTTCCGTGGGTACCTTAAGGTGCCGACGTAACGTGCTGACCTACCTCCTAATTGTCCTGTACAATGCTCAAGAGCCGCAAACCTGGCAAGTGCAGAGGCATAAAATGCTGTATGTGTTTACCTACCCAGCCCGAGAATTAGGCTGGTTCTACGAGTCCCACCGCCTAAATCAGCAACGACGTCAGCGACTTGTCCCACTCCCGGTCCTTGGGCAGCACAAGCCACAGGCAGATGGGCCATCCACCTCACCTCCACTCACTAAGGTAATCCTGCAGTCTAATCCTGCAGTGAGGAAACTGAGTTGTTTGGTCAGCTCGGCCCACAGGCGAACCACCCAACCTATGCTGCAGTCATCACTAACACCTTGGCCCCGCTGACCAAAGAGGCTTCCATTGAAGCTGGGCAGCTCTCACTCTGCCACATCTCCCACCTTGCTTTGATAGATTTCGCCCGCCGTTTCCCCGAGTCACGCTCTCTCTTGACTCAAACCTTTTCCCATTCATCGTCCGGGCTTCGGTACCGGCAGCAACTGGATCCTAGCTCCTGTTCATACTTTCGGGGAACGTGCCTTGGGGCTGCGAGCGCGAACACCTCCGCGAACCCAATTACCTCATTGCCACTGCATATGAGCACTGTACAACGTGAAGAACAAAGAGACGGCCCTTGATAAGTTTCTCCCTGCGTACGCGGTCGATAAAAACCTCGAGCCGGCCAACGGTTCAATCTATTTCTCAACGCTCTCGAATACACTCCCCTTTCCCAAACCGCTACTGATGCTCTGAAACTGTATCGACGACGCATCCAAGGACCAGCCGCGACCAAGCTACCCCGCCATCGCCGCGGCTTTTGGAACTTGTTTCGCCTTCCTTGTCAACGCGACGCTCTTGTTGCCGGAAATGGGCGCCGAAAATACCAACGACGAGATGGAGAAGCGTGTTGGCTTTGAGAAAGAGGACGATGCTCATTCAAGCGGAAGCGATGATGAGTACCAAAAGGCTGTTGAGGTACGTTATTTTGAGTGCATGACATGAAAGAGCAAGCCTCATAGTAAGATATCAACAGGTCACTTTTGATCCCGGAAACCCTTACCGTCGCAAAAGCTCTCTGGTCACGTCTGAGTCGTCCAGGCCTTTGCCTCGCCATCCAAGCCAGAGAACCGAGTGCATCGTACACCAGTTCCTCGAAAGCCAGAGAAAGGCTCGAAACGCGGTAGCCTCTGCCAGCAGCCATGGTTCGCGGTCGAATTCGGTATCAAGCTCCTCGAAAGCCACCACGGACAACTACCACCACGGTCACCACACTTATGAGAATCCTCACCGGCAAGTGGGCGCTTGCGATGTAGCCGGGGAGCCAGGCATGTCGAAGACTGTCGAGCCCAAGGGACGCCTCGCCAAGCAAAGAGCGTCGATCTTGGCAGCCGACAGCCCTGAAGGCAGTGACGTTGGCCAGGCCGACGAAAAGTCCTGGCGTTCGGAGATCATCAAATCTGCTTCGCAAGTCGACCTCACGCAGTCCGACGACGATGATGAGCTACACAGTCGCCTCCTCACCAAAAAGCAGCTGAGTGAGATGGCCTGGGGAGTTCGAGAGCTCAGCAGACGGCTCAGCAGTATGCGCATCAGATTTCGCGTAAAGACGATTTTTCTTCTGACCAAGATTCACGACGCGGATTTGATCGCGCGCACGCGAGAACTGACCAAATGGCTTCTATCACATGAGCGTGACGTAGTATACACAGTCTACGTGGAAGAAAAGTTCAAGGAAAACAAAAAGTTCAACGCGACGGGCATAGTTCAGGAGCTCAAGAAGGATGCTGCCGAAGGAGGCTCACTGAGACCCGGGACAAGCGAAGATGCCATCTCCAAGCGTCTTCGGTACTGGAATGATGACATGTGCCGGAACCGGCCGCATATGTTCGACTTTGTCATCTCTTTGGGAGGCGACGGCACCGTTCTCTACGCCAGCTGGCTATTCCAGCGCATAGTCCCACCGGTACTGAGCTTCTCCCTCGGCAGTCTGGGATTCCTGACAAAATTCGATTTTGAGGACTACAAAAGCATCCTCGAGAACGCCTTCAATAAGGGTGTCACAGTCAGCTTGCGCTTGCGTTTCGAGGGAACCATTATGAGGAGCCAGTCGAGGAAACAGCTGGTGGATGGCGAGGAGAGCAGCTCGAGCCAAGACGACGATGGGCGAAAGCTTGATCTCGTCGAAGAACTGGTAGGCGAGGAGAGGGAAGACGAACATACCCACAAACCAGACGGAACTTTTGAGATACTGAACGAAATCGTCGTGGATCGTGGTCCAAATCCAAGTACGTCTCCGACCATGCTTCCCTGTCGACAAGCTCTAGATTACTAATCCAGCACCCCCAAATAGCAATGTCGTACACAGAAATCTTCGGTGACGACGAACACTTTACTTCCGTCTTGGCAGACGGCATTTGCGTTTCGACCCCAACGGGCTCCACCGCGTACAACCTGGCGGCGGGCGGCTCGCTCTGCCACCCGGAGAACCCCGTCATGCTCGTCACCGCCATCTGCGCACATACGCTTTCGTTCCGCCCCATCATTCTCCCAGATACCATTGTCCTTCGTGTGGGCGTGCCCTACGACGCGAGAACCAACTCGTGGGCTAGCTTTGACGGCCGCGAGCGCGTGGAGCTATTTCCCGGAGACTACGTAACGATCAGCGCCAGCCGTTATCCTTTTGCCAGTGTTCAGGCACAGGGCCGGCGTAGCGAAGACTGGGTCAACAGCATCAGCGGCAAGCTGGGCTGGAACACCCGCCAAAAGCAAAAGGAGTACAAGGAATGGGAGCGATAGTCTCGTTTGTCAAGGGAAAAAAAAAGGTTAACCAGAGTCCAGAAAGTTCCACGGCACACCGAGTCAAAAGATGGGCTTCGGACAGCAGTCTTGCGGGCGGCTGTCTATTGTTCTTGTCACCACCCAAGAGCTCACGTGGTTACACGTAACGCACGACCAGGATGGGCGCTTGACACATTCCAAATCTTATTTTGCCGCGTAGCCATCAGGAATAGCACACGGGTTCCTGCCTTTTCGGGACTATAAATCCAAACGCCAAGCCTCGGACGTGGTTCACGTCGTAAAGAACCTCTTTTGAACCTTCAGAGGCAGAACACCCGTTCTTGGGTGGGCATATGTCTCGGAGAACGAAGATCGGCTAGGTTCACGAACATATCTAAGCTTTGCCGTAGAGCTTGGCACCACGTCTTCCAGCCTAGTCTGAGTACGAGATGGCTTGCGAGGCAAAGTTTGGAGGAGAAGAAAAGACTCGAGCAAAGATAGCAAAAAAAAAAAAAAAAAAAAAAGGCCCTTGGCAGCATCCTTGCTGATCATATCGCTTAAAGACGGAGTTTGGCGTCGTTTTCGTATTCTCCATCTATAACGATATTTGATGCTGGCTGATGTTCTCGCGCCTCAGTCATCTGACGGAGATATTGGCCCAAAGTCCAGCAAGCAGACAGTGCAGCCCATGCCACCTGGACGATGGACAGACACTCAGCAAACCGGGTGTTTCTTCGCAAAACAAAAATGCGCCAGGGCAATCCACGCCAAAAACGACAAAACATACCGGCAGGCTAAAACACCGACCGGCGTCACCCATCCGTCTGCTGGCCCTACGACTCCCAGCGAGGACAGGGCCGCTCGCAGGCTCGCAGCGTATCTAACGCCCGCTCGGTCGTACCCGTGGATGCCCGTGGTCATGGATTATCCCTTTTCCTTTCCACCTCCAGCAAAACTGGGATGACCCCTGAGAAGCGGCTGACAAAGGAAACACTACAATTCTCCCATTTGTCTCTGGTCTGGGGCTGTTTCCTTTCAATGGCATGGATACCGCCGACGACTCGATTGTGTTTGCGGCTCTAGTCTAGGGAGAGACTTGTGATGATGCTGCGACGTCCGCCGGTCCGATGTTAGCTGGCACACAATGGAACGTCTCAAAACCACAACAACTCGGAACTGATCGCCCTACGTCCACTGCTTATGTTTAGGCGGCTTTTTTTACCCTCTGAGCTGCAGGTCTACATGATGCCTACATGTTTCTTTATGCGGGAACGGCCACGCAGACTACAGGTCTGGTGAAACTTTCGCTTGGGACGAAACAGGCATGGTGATTTTCCGTCGTTTCTACTTTGTATGCTACATACACCGAAAAGAACCAAGAGAGCATGCAAAATACGTGAGGAACTTGCAAGGATTGCTGGACAATGTTTGGGTATATGGCAAGAGGTGTTTTTTTTTTTTGAGATAGAATAAAAAAAAGTCAGATACACAACACTCATACGCCGCCGCCGCCGCCGCAAGAGAAATAACCAGACGGATCCACTATTGATAATGTTCACGCCGAATGCTATGAATTTGTCTAGAACGAACACCTACACCAACTTCCCGAAATGTTTGATATCATGCGTTTTAAAAAAATAAGACAAAGGAGGGGGAGGCCCGTGAAAGCGAAGGCAAGCCGAGACCGATTGTGTGCGTGAACAGTTTGGGCGTAGTGAGACGATTACTCATTGAGTTGAAAGTAGCGGGAGGATCTCGACGAGGGATTGGGGCTGCGGCCGGGAATCGTAAATTTTTGAATGGAGTAAATTAAGGAGAATAAGAAATAATTCGTGTCAATGTTCTCAATTTTGGGGGGTTTGGTTGAATAAAAACTCGTTTTGGGTTTCCACAAGCACAACACACAGAGAAGAGCAGTTTACTGCTCGTCCTCCACATCGTCGGCCTGAGTCTCGACAAAGGTCATAGTGACGCCCTCGCCGCTGACGTTCAGGTTGACGGTGTCAATGGCACCGCCGCTGACGCCTCTTGCGTTGAGCTCCTCTTGTGCGCGCTTAATGACGTCGTTGCTGGTGGCGGGGAGGACTTGGGCACCGGGGGTGGAGGGGTCGCGGGCGACGAGCTTCTCAGGGGTCATCTCGACACCTATTTCACAGTGATTAGGCGCGTGTACCGTAATATGTTCTTGCAGTGATTTTGTAACTTACCAGCAGGAACGCCAGAACGGACGTACATGGTGGTGACCTTGGCACGGCGGCGAGGGGGCTGCTGGGTCTCATCGGAGCGGGCCTTGACCTTCTGCTGAGCAACAATGGCGCCGGCAGGGCGCGGCGCAGCAGGTGTGGCGGGAGCGGCGGGAGCGGCGGGAGCGGTGCCTCCAGTTCCAGGGCGGGCGGCTTGTGGGTTGTTGACGATGGTTATGCCGACACCAGAGCCCTCCTTGCCAGTGCCAAGGCTCACCGTGGGTCCCTTTGTGAGGGCGACCTCAGCGAACTTCAGGGCGCGGTCGAAACCGGAGAGATCTCGCTTCTGGGCGGGACGAGCCTTGGTAAGTTGTACACGAGGAGCGATCTCCTTGCCCATCCCTTGGAGGGCTGCGATGGCCTGGGCCTGTTTGGAGAAGCAATATGTTAGCTGATATTGGTCCGATAGTGCTAGTGTCTGTGTGTATCCCGTACACACAGACATGAACCGCCCGAAAGCTAGAATGTTCCACTGACCTCGTTGATCTGGTTGTTCGAGGACGAAGCGGTCACCGGTGTAGCACCGCCGACTGAAGCAGCGGCCTGCTGAGGCGGCTTCTGAGGCTGTTGAGGCGTAGCCGGGGCAGCAGGGGCGGCAGGGGCGGCGGCCGGAGCATTCGCAGCACCTTGAGCAGCATTAACTGCGGCGCCCTCCAGTACGCTCATCAACTGGGAGACGTCGTTTTTACCGCCAAATGAAATTTCACCATCACCCACCACCAAGGCAGGTGAATAAGCGCCCAAGTTGATGTTCAAGGGCAGAGCGTTGAGCTGAGCGGCCAGGCCGGCAACGGCGAAGATGTAACGGTTGACCATCTTGTCGATCTGTTCGGGTAGTCGGTATCTCTTGGTGTGATTCGGGTAGAGCGGCTCTTGGGAGACGAGGCGAAGTGGTCTGCGAGATGGATGGTGACACTAAGTAATAGGCGTAGGGTTGTATAATAAGGACACGACCAGCGGAAGAATTGAAGAAAGCTTTTGGAGTCTCGAAGAGAGAGGAGAGGACCGAGAAGAGACAGGATACCAGTCGAGCACAGCTAAGGAAGAAGTAGAAAAAAGTTTAAGAGAAGTTGCACGAGAATTTTGCTTTCATATACTTTCCCATGAGCCAAGATGGACGAGCAGAAACTGGAGACTAGCCACATGCTTGAGACACAGCCGCCAAGATGCCAAGAGATAGAGTACCGTCGAAAGCCTCACGTTGGTCATGGGCCCTCAGACATTAGCAGAGGGGGCTACGGTCTGGGGTAGGCTGTTCATCGAGTCGGTACGGAGGCGCAAGCAGGGGGTCGTCGTCGTCGGCGAGGTGGGATTGCCTAGCTGGAAATCTCCGAATAGCGCCAAGGGATAGCCGTAGGACGTTGGACGACTAGGCAGGAGACGCACATTGTTGCCTTCCGCCAGCGGGACTGGATATTGTTCAGCGTGAGGTCCAAGCAGTAATCGAGGCAGTCGAGGCATGAAACGCAGGTGACACCAGAGGCAGGCGGCGAGCCAATTGGGCAGGTCGGGTTGGGATTTTCATCTGGAGGCCAGCCGCAGTCGAGTATGCAAGAGGAGGGCGATTCGAGACCAAGCTTGAAGGAGAGACCTGACTAGGAGGTCTTGGCATCGTCGCCGTGCCTCTATGCGATGGCCCCGAGATGTCAGGTAGGATGCCAATTTTGGCTCAGAGATCCACGCTCTGATGTTGCCAGGGCGTGGGGTCTCCCCCCGGAACGCGCAGTCAGATCCGACTCGACTCTCTGGCAGTTGGTCAAGGAACGCAGTATTTACAGAGTGGGTCAGTCGCTCTTGAGACTTTGCCAAGCACTCCTGCGATGGTAGCTGGGACGTGCACCGCGACGATGCTGCTCTTTCCTTGCGTCTCTTTCTTAATTTCTGCTTGGGTGGATGGGACGAAGGTGGCGGGCGAGCAGCCTGTACAATATTCCGTAGTCCGTACCCGGTGTTGGTGGGTTTGAAAAGGAATAATCGAGAGGCTCAGAAATCCGCGTGACATTGACTTTTGTGCCAAGGGGCGGATTGTCTTCTTGGCAATTGACGGGTCGCCGTGTGGCCGGTGTCGTCTTCCGTCTTGTAGCATCCTTCTCATGTGCTGCCCTCTCAATGGGGCAGACTATCGAACATCGATGCAACGGCCAAGAAGCACAAGAGATCTCCCCGGTATTGGCGTTGATGGATGCCGCGGCGGCTAAAGTCTCCAAGCCCGCCAAGTGGCCATGGGCAATCAGCCACGTTCCCGCCGTGTAACCTCTTGGTCCGCCGCCCGCCGCATGCCGCACAGGTGAGAGAGAGAGAGAGAGAGAGAGAGAGAGAGAGAGAGACGCAGAGCCGCTAAACAACGAGGCAAGTGAATCGGGTTGTTTTCTCTACCGAGTCGTGCGCAGCACCGTTCGGCCGGCCCGCCCTTCGAGCTCGATTGCCGGGATGGTGTCCCTGGCGGATGTTTCCTCAACTCCAGTTTGCGGGCGAAGGAAAGGCTTCTAGTGGCGGACGGAGGGGTAAATGCATGACAGTCGCGCCCCGGTGATTTGCCAATTGTCAAGTGTCAGGAGGAGCCCTAAGAACCCTGTGGGACGGTAGAAAGCGAAAAAGGGTCCAACTACGTGACAGAGTGCTGGGCCGGGTTGGTGGATGGAGAGTTGAGACTGGGATGCGATGCAAAGGGAACGGACGAGTTCGACCGAGCATCGACGTCTGAGATCGAGCGACTGTGGGTGCAGTGCTGGGTGCTGTGTGCTGTCGAGTGCTGGATTTCTGGTCTGGTGAGACACACTCCCATACTTCTGCCCGTGTCTGAGACTTCGGAGTTGCGTGATTGTCGCCGACATGAGGAGCCCGTTGATGGTAGTCGTCTATATATTGTTTGCTCGGGCTCCGTTTTGTAGCCAAAATTAGCATTCCGTGCCGGGGACATCAGACCAAGCCCCTGTTTTCCTTAGCCTCGAACGGTAAAGAGGTTGTTTTGCGGTTCTATGGCCCATGGGGGTTTGCCCCATGATACACCATGTTCGCGAGTCTTCTCAATGCACACCGGCAGGTGGAAGGCGAGGCCTGCAGGACATGCCCATTTCGAAGCGGATATGCACGTGTCTAACCCGCCTGTATGCCGGCGAGAATGGGCAAAATGTGCCGGGGCGAGAGCTTGAAGGCATTCTGCAAAGTCAATGGGCCGGTACTCGAATCGGCGCAGTTGCCCGAATCAGGATTGTCTGCTATCTCACTGTTGGTAGAAGGGACGAGAGGCCTTGTTGGTGTGGGGTGTGGAAGAAAAGAGTTCGCGCCCAAGGACAGGGCGAGGTTTCCAGCCTGCAAGCAGAGACTCTGACGGGCCCTCCTTCCTTTGCAAGCTTCCCAAAAATCCAATGACTGACCAGCTCCTGCCCGCTTACACGCTCACCTCAGTTCTCGGTACGGGCATTCCGTGCGCTTTTGCTCTGTACCTTGCATCTGACATTGATCTGCACCTCCCGTCCCTGCCTCACAATACCTTAGGTGCGTTCGGCGGGATTTCTCATCAACCGGAAACTATGGTAGCCGTCCATTCTTGATTTGATGCAGCCAGTAACCGACGCGGCATGGGGCTAACAAGCCGAAAGGCTATGCGGCTCAGGGCTGTCACCATCTTAGTAGTGCGCCGTCTGTGATCAACTGCCATCTCCTTCCGCCATGTGGTCCGACGAGTGTGGAGGGAAGGAAGAAAAAGCTTCGTCCGGAACAGACGGCGCGGAATGGCAAGTCTTGGGAGTCTAAAGTCGTAGGAAACAGCCTGTCAACCACTTGCAGCCCATTTTGGGCCTCCGCATGAGCCATCCTCCAGCGGCCCCGTTCCCAGCGTTGCAACTTCGTTTTCTGGGGCGCAAGTGTCTCTCCGTCATTGGGTCCGCAAGCCGATGGTCGAAAGACAAGAGTTTACTAAGACCATCCATCGGCGCTCTTGGCTGCGTCCAAGTGCTGTCATGTCGTCCACCCTCCAGAGTCCACGGGCAGGCTGACTCTCGGGGGCCAACACTCCAGCTTTGGTGGCCGTGGAATCTGCACCGGCCTGTCTGTTTCGAGACTCGAGACCTGGTCAACACAAGCTTACTTGGCTAGTTCCTCTTGGCTCAGCCAGAGTCGCACTCTCCCCCTTGAAGGCGCCCATGCACCCTACAATCCCATCCACATGCAACATTGGTTGTCGACAAATGTTGCCTCTTGCAAGTGCCGACAGAGGAGGAGGAGCCGTGGTACATGAACCCCGGGCCTCATGGTCAGGAACCACAACGGCGATCGTTCCCAAGGGTTGGTTACACTCCTCGATTTTGCCGATATTCGTCGCCTGTCCCGATTGCGCAAGGCCTTGGCTGTACCAAAACACACTTGCCTCTTCAGACGGATGCGCCGTCACTTGGCTACAAGCTTTCTGTCATCTAAGTGCCTTGGATGCAATCCTCGGTGGTCTTAATTGGCCAAGCCAGTCAAATGGCACTAGAATGCAACTCGAGGGATTGTGACAGCACCAGTAACGTGGCAATGAGCTGCGACTCTGCGGGAGACCAGCAATGACTCCAGGCCGCGCGCACTTTCACCTGTCTCCTCATTCGTTGCACGTCCTTCAGAGAGTCCCAAAATAGTCCTCGTGGGTGATCTGAGACGTTCGCGAACCTGAACGCTACCTGACTGCACTCGTAGACGAACAGGTTTCTATTGGTGCTCCATTTATGCGTTCGGGCTATTACCTAGTGGCGGCTTCGTGAAAAGGGACTCTCTCTGAGGGCTTTCTACGATGCATCAAGTGCCATTGTCTCAGGGACTCACCTGTACGGTATACTGCAAGGTTTTTCCAAGATAACCATATCCGCCGTTATCTGTTTTTGTTTGGTGGCTGGGCTGAGCGGATCATCGACTTCAAGCTGTGCTGTGGGCTCCGTCCCCAAACGTACCCAAAACAGCGAAACATCGCGGGATATCTCCGTGGCACTTGCTCGTCGCTTATCGCACACGCCAAGGCCAACCCTCAGACCAGAAGCGCCAGCTGGTCTGGCCCGTCTGGGAGACGCGGGAAGAAGAGGAGGGAGGCCACCTTGTGCGTGATTGTCCTGGAGCCCTGGACCAAATCACCAATGCAACATCCTGACTCGTCTCCGCGTTTCCACCGTCCAACCTGCCTCCGGTAACGCTACCGCAGCTATTCCTTACCTTATATCATATTATGCATGGAATAGTGCGGTAACCGGTTCAGGCGTTGCCTCGGGGCTCTTGGCACTGGAAATTCCGCCTCAAACGTCCCTCGACGTCCGGACCAGTGCCCGTCCGTTCTTCAACTAAATTTACACACTCACCACGCATACACCGAGACTGCACTCCCAAATAATCAGGGGAAACGTTTCTCGTGCATGCATTGCCCGATCTGTACCTCGATTACTCGATGGGTTGGTGAGAGGCTGAAATCATCGGATCAACTCGCCAAGAGGTCGATGGAAAAGGATGATTCGCTGATCCCAACTCGTGACTGGCCAGCGCCAAACTGTCGTGCGGCGTGCCGCGCTGATGCTACAGTAGCCGCGTCTTACAGTCTGTCGCCCAGGTAGGTAGGTGCAGAATCCTTCTGCGAGCAGGCATCAGTGCCAGCCGAACGTCAACTCATCATCGGCGAAGTCGTGAAAGCATTTGCCCGCTTTTCATCCTTTCCGCCCATAGCTATAGCACCATCGGTCCACTTATCGTCTGAATCTTGTTCGATACCTTTTTGCCACTTTCGTATCCTTTACCATGTCGGCGAAAAGCTTCGCTGAGTCAACCACTTTCTATCGGTCCGTTTGCTCACGGCAGAGAGAATGTTGGAGGAGGCCTCTCGCCTTCGCAGTCCTTCTGTTCGTGCTCTTGTCGTGGAAGCTCAGTGAATGGTTCTATGGCCGCAACGTAATCCTTAATCAGGAGCAAAGCCCCTTCCCGGTCTTCACCGATTGGGACGACATACCCTCGAGCGAGAAGCTACTCTGGGTCCGATGCGAGCTCCCCGGCATGTTCCCTCTGGGTCGTGGCTACATGTGCGCCCGATTGACCGTGCCGATGGATTACCAACGGCCCTTGACCCAATCATCCGACAACCCCAGGGTCCACGTCGCCCTGGTTCTCCTCCCCGCCCTCGGCCACGGTCTGGGGACGGGGCGTTTCTCCGAGTCCCCGCTTCTCCTCAACCCCGGCGGACCCGGCGGGCCCGGCACCACATTCACGTTCCCGCCTTTCGGCCCCGCTATCCAGGCCGCTGCCGGAGGCAACATCGACATCATCGGCTTTGACCCCCGCGGCATTGGCGCCACGACTCCACGGGCTGACTGCTTCGTCGACACCAAGCCGGGCGAGGATCCCTCGACCGCAGCCAAAAACCTCGCTACCATGCACAGACTGACCTGGCTGGCAATGGCCCACGACATTGGTCTGCCCAACTCCACTGCTGGCGCTTTGGACCAGCTTGCACAGCGTGCCAGGGCGTTGTCGAAGCTGTGCTCCCAGAAAGATGTCGAAGAGGGTGGTTTCAGATACATGGCCACGCCGAATGTCGCGGCAGATATGAAGAGTATCATCACCGCACACGACACCTGGCTTGAGGAAAACGGGTTCGATACCACGCCACTCGGTGCCGGTGTGTTGTCGCCTAGCGAAGCTTCTCCTCCGTCGACAAAGGGAAAACTCGTCTACTGGGGTTTCAGCTACGGCACATTTCTAGGACAAACCTTCGCGGCCATGTATCGTATGTGGCAACCCCAGTGTTCTTGTCGTGCAAAGATGCAAGGGCTAACGTCATTTCTACTGTGCAGCTGATGCAGTCGGGCGACTGATTCTGGATGGCGTCGTAGATTCCAGGGAGTACAATATGCCCGTGAGTCATCATCCGTCCTCTCTTGCCAATTTTCATCTTGTTCGAGTGCTAAGAACAATGTCAGACGTGGATCTCGGGCATGCAAGACGCAGATGCAGTCTTTGAGAGATTCTTCTACTACTGTCACCTTGCCAAAGATGCATGTGCCCTTTACCGCCAGGGCGACGATGGTTCAGAGCAAGTCAAGCAACGATACGAGCAGACAATGGCCAAGCTGCGGGCTGATCCGCTGATCGTCGTCTCCCGCATGGGACACATGCCCATCGTGCTGATGGAGGCCGACATTAGGAAACTGCTCTTCACTTCGCTCTACTCCCCCATCAAGGTTTTCCCCTTGTTGGCTTCTTTGCTCAATCGTCTATACGTAGGCGATGACCTCTCTGACGTGGTGGTTGCGCCTGATTTTGGCTTCACCTGTGACGCAGATTTTAAGCTGGTCATCTACCCGGAGGAGAGCTCCAAGGCCATCAGCTGCAGCGACCGGGGGTACAAGGTGAGGGACAACGATGAACGGGGCTTGAGAAGAACAGTGCTGACGGGACTATCAGCGTAACGAGACCTTGGGAGAAATCTATGGCAAATTGTCTGAGGTCAGCTCTTTCGCCGACGTTGTGAGTTTATCCCAGCCTAGGGAGTGACCATTGGCTGATTTCGTGTTTTCTTTCCTTTTTTTTTTTTTTCAGTTTTTCTCTCCCATGATACATTGTGAAGGCTGGGATATCGAGGCCAAGTTCCCCTCTCCCGACTGGAACGCGAATCTACAAAGCCCAGACCCCGTCAACACCTCATTCCCGATTCTCTTTGTAGGCAACACCTACGACCCCGTCACGCCGCTCTCCTCGGCCGTCGAAATGTCCCGAAAATTCACAAACGCCGGCGTCTTTGAGCTCGAGGCCGAAGGGCACTGCACCTTGGCCGCGACGTCCATCTGCGCCATTCAAAAGTTTCGGGAGTATCTGCACAAGGGCGTTGTGCCGCCGCCGGTTACGGTCGCAGCCGATGGGACAATTTCGGGTTGGGACAAGTGTAAGGCCGACGAGCGGCCGTGGAAGCCCTTTCCGGCGGAGGCGGCGGCGGCAGTGGATGGTGTGCGGGCGGAGGACCTGCGTGTCTTGCAGGGGTTGAGAGACGTGCATGACGAGATTGTCGGCCGATTGACACCGCCATTGAAGGTGCGTTTGCGGTAAATGGGTTCGGGATTATTGCTGGCGCCGAGTAGTGTACGTGTATTGGTCAGAGGATCACCATCTCGGATACACGTCGGCTTCATGTAGCACGTGCGTGTGAATTCTCAATGTACGACTGGAGAAACAAGGCATATCTGGATGCGGTTGCCCGACGTCGCGAGCTCGCCGGCACGCGGCGAGGTGGTCATGGTGTTCATTCGCGATGCCCGATTTCTGCCCGACATTTGTCTCACCTCCCAGATGGAAAGATACGGGACTCATCTGCATGGCAGAACGTCATAGACATCTCCATCATCTACTTATGGAGCCATACAAGGTAGAGTAACCAAAGTTCATAGAAGACTGTTAAGCTTAAACCCTGGTTGTTGGAAAAGTTGAGCGATGGACCATGATGTATGTGCAAGCATGTGAGGGGCGTTCCACATTACATCAAGCATGCTACGCGTGATGCGGCTCTTTGCATCGGCATGTGTCACGTGTTCCCAGAGGCGTACAGTGTAGACTGCGTGCCATAAAGCCTGACAATTTCTCAAAACCCTGAAGCAAGAGAAGATGAGAAGGCAGCAGGGCTTCAATTGCTTACCCAGCAACTTTGACTTGAAAGTTCGAAACTGCCGGGCCATTCGACGATGCCGTTGAACCATACAGTTCAACATCAACTATATCCGCGAGCTCTGTTGTTCGACCGCCCAATAAGAGGATTTCCTCTTCTCCTGCAATGTGAAAATGTTATTCTCTTCATGACTGGATGCTTCTGGTTCATTTAATTCCCACCTAGCTTCAGCACAGTAGACTATGCCACCACATTCACGTCCCAAAAAAAGTATGACTGCCGCAGTTGACCAAGTCTTGCCAGGTTCCCCCTTTACGGAGCCTATCATCCACTCGGACGTCGTTCTAGATCGCCGGTCTTGGACCGGAAGCCGTTCTTGGGCTGAGTTTCCAAATACTAGTTGTTGTTTCACTTATGGTCTCCTCAGTAGTGTGGGCGGTTCTGAGAGTGAAGATGTTTCCTGGCACCTTGGAGCTCTGGAGAAGCATGTTTCTCGGCATACCGCCGGTGGTCTAAATCAGCTTGGGTAATGGGAGATCCATGGGTTGAGAATGTTGAAACAGATGGGTTAGAAAGAGACGTAAAGAGTGAACAGGCCCGAAGACTGAGAGAGGAAAGAAGAACGTCATCGTCCCGGGCGAGCAAATATCACACCTGAGCACTGTCCTACCTTGCGTGCTTGCGTTCTTGGCCGGTCTTCGAAGCCACACGCGCCACAGCCAGTGCTGCAACCGCAGCTCACTCCAACCACTATCTCGTGCTAAATCAGCAAAGGCAAAATCACAACAAAGCTACCCCTCCCTCAGTCAAAGTGGGCCACGGCCACCGAGCGGTCTGCCCCTGGGATCCGAGACCAGAGGTCGAGATTCGAGATTGCCCCGCGCCCCCATCGCCGAACGGACTTACCCGCCGATGCGGTCGATGACCAACTGTAGCATCGATCATCAGGGGCTACGAGCATCACTGCACAGAGAAAGGCTGGGTAGGCGGGGTCCACGCCAGGCGCGCCTTAGCGTCCACGATCGTCGCATCGTTCCATAGCCAGGTGCCGCTTCTCCTCATGGTTTCTGCACAGGTAAGTCGATCGGGCGCATTCTCCAAGTGCAGGAGCCCGCGTGCCCATGGGAGGGGTCGAGGGGTAGAGCCCAGGGCGCCGACGGCTGCATTGACCAGAAAGACACGCGGCGAGGAGCTATCGAGAGACAGGCTCGTATGAGGGCCCTAGCTTGGGATAAGGAGCCGCAGCTTGGCTTCGTTTGATCCTCGGGTTCAAGCTAGAGTTGACAAGTACAAGCCGAGGGTTTGTCCAAGGGGCGGGTGAGCTAGGGCTGTCAACAAATACTGACAACCACAACAAGCAAGCTTAGAATTGGGAAGCACAAAGCCAGCGCGTCAAAAACTTGACGACCTAGCTCCAGAGCGGCGGCGGGGTCATAGGATGTTCCGAAGCTCTTGTCCTGACGACGCTAGGCCCCGCTGATTGACAAAACACGGCCCTAGCTTATTGAGTGGAATGCGGATATGTAGGAGAGGCTAGGAATGAGACGTGCTCAGCCGAGGGGCAGAAGAGGGGTAAAATCGGGTTTCTCGAGGGCCGCGGTGGTGGCTTGATTGCTTGCTTGCTTCAGATGTAAGATGGTTGACGAAAGGAACAACTGGCTTCTTGTGGCCATGTCGTTGCTGTGACGTATCTTTCGCGGTTTGTTTTCTGGTTCGGGGAGTCGGACAATAGAGACATGGTACAAGCAAACCGGTTTGGGGCAAATCTCGCATGGGGCACGAGATCAAAAGCTGGTGTACGTGAATATCTGAACGAGTGGACATGATGTGCGACTCGGGCCAGCTAAAATTCCGCATGTTGTGATGCACGTATTCTGTCAACGAAAACGAGGGCCAGGTGAGACATTACCGCAAGATTCGCCTGATGCCCTCTCGAAAGAAGGCACTTGCTCCGTTGGGAAATGCATCGGTATTTTTCTTGCATCGTATTCGTCCGTCCAAGGGTCATTGTGGCATCACATGAGACGCAGCCGGGGAATCCCTCTTCCTGCTGGACAATCAGCCGCCCTGGGCCGGAGGAGAACGTCCGAGCATGAAGCTGAGAGTACGCAATATTAAGGTACGAGAGACGACGGGAGACCTCATCCACATCATGTTGTGGTTATTCTCGGTGACCCGTTCGTCGTCAGCCAAGGGTAGGGATCTCGATGGCCTACAGGCGTGTTGCTGTGGAAGGGCGAATCGGGACACAGTCAATTGTTTCGTTGCGGGAATTCGCCGGGGCAGCGCAAGTGCAAATTGAAACCCGCATCTTGCCGCATCCAGAGGGAGGGACGTGGACGAAGCGGGCTGGTAGCTGTGATGTCTGGATTCTCGAACGCTTTGGGCGGTCCAGAACGGTCCTTGGTCGCCTTGCTAGACCCAAAGCGCGAAGCTACCTGACAGTGTCGTCATTACGCATGGAGCTCTATGGCGACATGGGCGAATCAGCATCATTAGGGTCGCCGCGGTCCAGTAGGCTTCTTGATCTGTGCTCACCCGGTGAAGCTGAGTTCGTGTGGTTGATGCTTGTTGAAGCTCTCCCGCTTGAATGTGCCTTTACTGTGTTGCTTGGCCCCTTGCTTTCATTGTGTGATCCACTGTGGCTGCGAGCCTGCCTGGCTCCTTGACGTGTGAGTGTGGAGGTGCTTTCCAATAATGGGAAATGATGTCCTTAGGAGGGTGGGGTAAGTAGACGGCATGATCGAGATTTGCAAAAATGCCATCCTCCTGACAAACAGGACGTGTTGGCTGGTTGGTTGGCCACAGCGTGCAATCGACAAACTGACGTATTTTGCCATCCAGCAATACGCGACTGACGCGAGAATGGAGAGGTCTTCTTTGCATGTGGCAATGCATGTCTTTACTGCAAACGCGAATGGACCAATGACATTGCAAATGGAGCTTTCTTCCGCATCGGACCGCAAAAAGAGTACGTACCGTCAAATGCTGCGCTGCGAGCCCAGCCTCAGTCCATGCGGGGATACCTGGGTACTGCGAATACCTCAATACCCACCTGGGTAGGTAGGTATGACGTTAGCGCGTCTACGTTTTCCTGACGTCACTTTGGGAAAGCTCGGTGGGCAGCTTGACCAAAGCTCCCGCAGGAGCTGGAGCTCCCCCATTTGTGGCTGGTGAGACTGTCGCCAAATCGAAAGAAGCTCTGCAGAGCGCCACCTGGGCCACTTTCTGGTCATTTTCGATAGAGATCTTCCGTTGTCTCCTAGGCATTGGCCATGCAATCCATCTCCAGCTCCCGCTAACTAGCGCAACTACGAAGGAGCTCGCAGTTCTATGACGACATTTCTTCAGTTCACATGATAGACCCTGAGCGTCTTTGCCAGATGGGGTGAAACTGCGCTCTAGCCACGAGTGGGCAAGCCCGGAGGAGGGGCAAGACATACGCAGGGAGAGACACGTCCGATAGGCACGGCCCAATGTACCTATTGCATTCGGGAAGGGATCAAACGAGGGGGAGGGGCAGACGGGCAGGCCGCGATGTACCTTCCCATGTTGTCCTAGAGCAGGAGGTACTTCCTTCGTCTCGTTTACCATGCCTCATCGAAAGATCACCCATTGTCAGCGGGGCAACTTCCGCAAGGCAGGAAGGCACCACGCCGCAAAGAGGTAGTAGCTGCCTTCCGTCTTGACAGGAGGGCGCCTCGAAGGTGCTTCCAACTTGTTATATAAACCTCATCTTCCCATCTCCTTTACACGGCTTTCTTTTCTCCTCATCACACTCACACACAAACAAATCTTCAATACAATCAATCAACACCACCAAACAAACAACAACCACCAACCATCACAATGGAGACCATCAAGAACGCCGCCAACTACGTTTCCGAGTCTGTCCAGCAGGCCGGTGCCACCGCCTCCAAGGAGACCAACAAGCAGGTCGCCAAGGATGACAATGTCTCCATCGGCAACCGGTATGTCATGGCTACAATGTCTACGAGGATTTGACTAACACATTGTCAGTGCCTCCGCTGCCAAGGATGCTGTCGGCGACAAGATTGATGAGACCAAGCACGACTTCAAGTCCGAGGGCTACAAGGAGCAGGCCAAGCACTAAATCACTCCCACGATACCCAAACAACCGGGAGGTTTTCAATGGGCAGGCGTTTGGAATGGGATACGCAATGAGGCAGGGACACCTGGGAGTCGATCATGGATCTTTCACCTAGAATAGCTTTTAATGCCACTACATTGCTACGTCAACACTTTTCCAGTGCGAACATAAATATCTGACCTTCGATGATCATAACGATCAACTCTGCGTATAAGAATGTATTGATTCGTCAGTTTCTGTAAGTGCACAAACAGTATCCGTCTGATATCATAATGTTGTTGTCTCATTGCCACGACCATCCTTGTCGGATGTATGAGGTTCCTCCAATGTCCCCACTCCACGCGAAGTTCTCTCCACACCGGGGCCGTCACTCCGGTGCACGGATCCTTGATCTAAGGTTCGCAGGCTCCAGGCGTGACAACTTCCGACGTCGAACAACGACATCTATCACCACCAACCGCAACATTTGAAATCAACTGCTTAGTGCGTATTTGCCCGCCATGTCGAACACATCTTCAAGCTTGCCGCCCGATCTGTTCGACCAGACCACCCTCATCTCCCTGGCCGCAACTGTCGTACTCCTCTCTGTCGCCATCGCTGTATCCCGCCGCGTCCTCCACCCCGCGACTTCGACGAGCTATCGCGTGCTTTTCATCTGGCACGCCTTCGATGCCCTGATCCACTTCTTCCTGGAGGGCAGCTTCCTCTATCACTGCTTCTTCTCCTACATCCCGCTCGCTGACGTGCCCGACGCCGACCTCAGCAGCTTTCACCCCACCCCGGCCAACTTCCTCGGCCACTCGGACCGCATCTATGGCCCCCAAGCGGGTGGAAGCAATCCCTTCGCGCAACTTTGGATGGTGTATGCACGGGCAGATAAGAGATGGGCTGGAGTGGACTTGGTATGCTGCCGAGGAGGCTGTTTCGTGAAGCGACGGTTGGCTGACTTAATGGACAGGGCGTGATTTCGCTGGAGCTATTGACCGTCTTTGGCACCGGACCTCTGGCCGTATGGATCTGCTATAGCATTGCTAAGCGCGATCCTAAGGTCAACATCTGGATGATTATCATCGCGACGGCAGAGCTCTATGGTGGTGAGTTGGCATTTGATATATGACGGCCGAGAACGAGCAGCACAACTAACGAGATCCAGGATTCATGACCTTCTGCCCCGAGTGGTTGACTGGAAACATTTACTTGGACACGAGCAATTTCATGTACCTGTGGGTGTACCTTGTCTTCTTCAACATGCTGTGGGTCTTCATCCCCATCTATGCCATCTTCGTGGCATACGGGGAGATTTCTGCTGCCTTCAAGGCCCAAGGCGTGAGAAAGAAGCTCTGAGAGTATGCTCTGCGGCCCAAGATGCCAATCTTGTACTGTATTTAAACTCTTCGTTTCCCCCTTATTATTTGAGACATGTGGACGTGCGTGTTAGCTACCCGGTTGATAGTCGATATTCAGTCAAGCTCCTTGACACGATGCAGACTTTGAATCATTTCTGTCTTTCCTTTTCTTAGCTTCATCTGCGGGCGAGACTGGACCCATTCTTTACCCTTGTGAGGCGATTGAGAGACAACGCCATCATTGTGGTCCATGAGTGAGAGGGGTTGTCTGGAGACCAAAATTCCATTTTGATCAAGTCAAAGGTTTAGAACGAGAGAGGTCCATCGAATGTTTAGCAGAGGACTCTCTCATACTCTGATCAGGCTTGGAAACCTTCCAAGGGCTACACAGGAATACTTCCAGACTCGATGATGGAGTTAGCAATCACCGACAACTGACATGATACAGTGTCAGGCGGATGCGATATGATATGCAGAGAAGTCCAGACTGAATTCGGAGCAAATTCGCGACAACCTTGGATCTGTTGGCGCAGCTATCATCCCGAGGTATTCAATAGTTATTCTAGTCCAAAGTCAGACAAATACCCATTAAAGGGCTCATAGGGCATTTTTGAAATGAATGCGCAAAACTGAATATCGATGAGCCACGAAATGTTTAAGATATTTTCTGGGGCTTCTAGCAACGTGGTCACCGATTACTTGCACCATCATAGGTCTGCAGTGACACTGTATCCGGTTCTCTCACGTTCTCTCAGGCTGCAAATGATTTGACTTCAATCGCGCAACTAGCCAGGGCCGCCGACATGATGCCAGACTCGTCGTGAGCATTCAATCTGAGCAAACTCTTAGATTTTCCTGCGACATTGAAGGGTTACAGCATCAAATTTCAGCATTGATACATGGTTTGCTGTAAAAGTAGTTGGGCTTGGCGGGAGTCCTAAAGCGTGCGGCATGCTGCTCGACAGCTAGTTCGAGTTCACCGGAGCGGTAGGTCGACAGAGTAGTTAGGCTTACACCAACGAGATTGTATTCCGCATTGTTTATGGCCAAGAATTCTATGCCTTGCCTGCCGCAAGAGCGTTTGGCCGGGAAAATCTTGCGTGCCGGCTCTACCTGGGTGTTGAGGATTTAGTCATACTGTTGAAAAGTCAGCGATCCCGTAGACGAGACGAGCATGTCCGGGATTGGGAAGAAACATCAGGGTATAAGTATTAAGTTTTGTCAGAAAAGTCACGCATGAATAAAGTCGGTGATACCATAAAACCGGCTCACCGAAGTTAAGTATCGCACCGCCGAAATATCCACCCGAGATTGAGGCTTAAATTATCTGACTCGCGAGGCTATGCTTTCCAATGTTGGACCAGTCATCTCTTGGTTGATCGCTGATCGGTCCAAATATCGCCTAAAAGCGAAGGTCCGGAAGTCAACTTAATGGAAGGCAGCGAAATCATTGAGACATTTTCATGCTCTCGGATTACTCTTACCAGAGCCTTGAGAAGCTAGGTGAGACCTAGCTATTTTCCTATTATCTCGGAAGAATTGAACGATCCATAATGAGCCAAGTCTTGCATTCTCGCAATTACTTGAGAAATAGAATAGGGAAGGAGACGGCCAGTATCACCATCTCTCATAGTTTTGGCTGGTTGTGGTATACATGGACATTGTGGTTGAAGGAAGGGTGTGATGGTCACGGAAAATGACTAAAGCACGAGAATACATATACAGATGACCTTTGCTATCAGATTTCATGGCACACTTTTAGGTGAAGGTTCAATCGAGAATGAGTGCAAACCCGACAAAAGGCGATCCCTATCAAGATGAGCGCGCAAAGTGCCTGAGAGTTTTGCAGTCGTCGCTAAGATCGTGATAAATAGCGCGCTTCTCTGAGTATCAGCGTTTCCAAGGATCATTAACGCAAGCGATGTCCATGATTCTCGTAACTTCGTGGTACGGAAAGCTTTCTTGATTGACTCTACTCTAGCCGGCCGACGCCATTGTTGCACCCACTGAGCCGCCCGATCGATCGAGGCAAAAACTGAATTGTCATGGAAATATGACGAGACTCGCAACGGCGGATATGACCCCCAGGTTATCATCGCGGGATCGAAAGCTACGGGAGTTCTCGTCGGCTTGTTTGGCGAGCTCCATGGGTGTATGGCCGATGGTCTAGATACCTACATGGCCAGATTCCCCATCATTCTGTAGATCCACGACAAGCATCTGTAAACTAGGGCAACGGGACTTCTACTGTGAGCTTGACTCAACCGAAGAAGACTGAAAGATAATGTCTGCTGAGCAGTTAGACACCTTTGTCGAAAGCTCTTCTACGTTCTCTCATATAGGCTGTCACATTCTTGGTATAGAACATGCAGGAGTAGCGGGTAATATTTATTACATGTCTAACTTCCCGACAACAAGACTTTGACATTGATATTATGAACATGATTGTTCCAGTTCTAGACTGTCTCAAATTTGCCAAGAAAGCAAAAAAGAAGCCCCTCGTTAAGACACAGTTGACCTGGTGTTCTTAGTGAATTCAAACAACTACCGATATCTAGGTCCTGAGAATGCTTCCAGTCCCTGACTCTCTTTACACGGTGTCGTTGTCTGTCCTTTACTTTGGTATAAAACGAAGAAGAAACCATAATCAGACGCAGCACATTCTCACAGCCCACCTCAATTTGTCTCAACGACTGGTAGATTGCTCTGGGGTAAAAGCTCAGATGTGATGACGGGTGCGAGAGGGGGGGGGGGGGTGATCTACCGGACGGGATGTGGGAGCGTGTGTCATCCGGCGTTATGGGGACGTCGAAACCTCGTCAAATCGAATCAGCGTACAACAACTCCCCAACATCCTAGTGCTATTGTATTTCCTTAAAGGATCTCTTGTTTTATCGAACGAAGCGTTAAGGCGATTACGCCGTGTAGTCCAGACTCGGGTCTTCCAGTCCGACGTCGTTTTTTATCTCATACCAGGCCTGGCCGCCAAGGTTTTGTTTCGAGCAGTTTCCTGGGGCGAATTCAATCGGCTTTATATTCGTATGAACTGAATTGTGCTTGAACGGCGTGCATGTTCGAGCATGAGAAGACAGACTTTGTCGGTAGGTCCTCTGTAACCTCGATGACGAGTTCCCTCTGCTCAGAGCATCTGCCACCCAAGATACAGAATGGCTCCATGATTAATAGTTACAACAAAGCAGAGAGCTTTGAGACTCCAAGCAAACAGGACTATCCTATTATCCCTGCGGTGGGTTTGAGAATCCAGAAACGCGTGGTGGGTGTCTGGACAGTTCCCTCCATTCATCACCGACTCCGCAACTTGTAAACGTCACATACGACCATACCCATTGGAAAACTCGGGATCCCGTCCGCTCTCCCATAGATAAGCTAATGAGGGCCGGATTAGTAGTTGGGTCGGTGACGACCAGCGAATACCTGGTGTTGTATGTTTTTTGTTTCGATTTCCACTTTTACAAAATCTCACGATGGTGGCAGTGGGCCTCTGGTGGTGGAGCAGCCGTGCCGCTCACCAATATCAGGAAACCCACCCCAAAAGCCATTAGACTTGGCTGGGTGTGTTCAGCAACTTGTTCTCACTGCAGAACTTTACTTGATGTACCAAAATCCATATATTTGCTACGAAACCTGCTGTGGTTATCAACTGATGCATCGTAGAGCTTCGGCAAACTGCCAAGTCGGCTGCTGAGACCGCGACGGATCTTTCAACACCACCCGTCATCGTTATGATCCTAGCTTCATTTGCCCTTCTTCTTAACTTGGCAATGTCCGCAATACATACATAGTATGCGACCGGAGGTCGCATAAACATTTTGCGTAAACCGGCAAACACCCAATATTGGATCCGCGGTATCTCTGGGCGATAGGCTCACGAAGGTTTCGTCTTCGGACCGGTCTACATCTTTGGCAATCAATTTGCGACGAGCCTATCTACTGTCATCGTCATGGATATTACGTCGGACTCTGCACTTCTTCTGTAAGAGGTCTAGGCAAGGCGGACGGGCCCAGTGGCCTGTTGGGGGCAGAAACATTAAGTCAACTGTCAACCAGCACTTGCTCAAGCATTGACCAAGATATTATGCGGGGGTTTGTGGGCCATTTAGACGTGGACAGTTGAATGGCTTTTCCTTGTTGAACAAAACGTTGACTGCTTGATTCATCAAAAGCTCGCATAGTGTACACCAACATACATATGGTAACGCCGACCGGCTGGGATAACAGACAAGATACCGGAAGCAGAGCGGCTTGATGGACTGACCTACGTAGTCAATGTAATGAATATAGCGTTCGTGTGTGATCGGCTTTGTTCATGAATCAGGTCTCCCGAATATGCTCAACGCTGCCCAAGGGACACAATTTTAGTTCAAACAGCGCCGACCGAGGAATCGCTCCGTCACATGAAGGAAGCTCGCGGTAAAAAATATTGCCGCCGTATTGGAAATTGAGAGCGGCATTACCGATGGAATTCCCAGGGCCGCGCCGTTATCGTCGGTACGTCTGCCTTCCGCAAACGGCATTTGCTCCTGCCCGGGCAGCCTGAGTAAGCAATCCCGCGCCGCACAACATCGTGAGTCAGTTGTCCACCCTCTTCGTCTTTGACAGCAATCTATATGCTCCATCATCTGAACCAGGAATTATTCGGATAGTCAAGCAGCGGGCGGAGAGCCCTGCCGAAAAAAGGGCCCATCGTCCGGTGAAGGGAAAAAAACTCACCCACTGGATGGAGCACAGTGTAGTAGCATTGGCGGCCATGCGGACCGAATCCTCTGGAGCGGGTAGCTTTTGCCAGAGGGGTGGCAACATGTCGTCTAAACTTTTCGGTTGCATGCCTAGCATTTTCCAGGCGACGTATGTCGAGATCACTGAGTCGGACGCGCTATATTGCATGACGAGGCGGCTCGATTCGTGCAGCACTTAGTTGTTGAGTACCCGTACCAAACACCGAACGAACGCGGGCAGACAGAGAAGAAGAAAAAGTCGCCGACTCGTTCATCGTCTAGTTTTTTCCTTGGTGGTTCGTCACCTCACAGCTCCAATGAAAAGTCAAATCGTGTCAGTGACGACGCGTATTCCGAACCTTGGTCGTTTTGGTTGGATAGACTGTAGCCGCGAAGCCGGGAACTGCTCTCTCTCTCTCTCTCTCTCTCTCTCTAAAAAAAAAAAAAAAAAGTACCTCTCCAACTTTCCGGATGTCAACCAGCCAGTCGTAGGCGAGTGGTGGTGGCAGGGATGAAACACCTGCGCCAGAATAGCTCACTACAACAGCTCTCGCACTTACTTCAGACGAGTCAATAGGGAAATGCTGTTAGATGATATTAGACGGCCCCAACCGGTGGGGTTTAGGAGAATTTTCAGAGGGTGTGGGAGTGAGAGGCAATAGAGATAGTTTTGGATGGCAATTTGCCCTACCGTTTTCCCATTTTCCCATTTTCCCAGAATTTCGTCTTAAGAACAGTAGGTGCAGGTGGCAACTTTGCCAAGAAGATTGCGTTGGTGATCCTCAGTAGTGAATTCTTGAAGACGGCTTCTCATGACGTCGGTCAAGACCCGTGAAGTCGGTCGGCAGATAACCTGCCGGGCGAGATTGGTGGCCAAGTCATATTCAAAGTCAGCCTGAGGAGAAGCGGGAAGCGGCAAGCACCCGTGGCACCATTGAGAACCATGAAAACCATCAAACGGAAGTGTGCGGATTCTTCTGCGTGTGGCAAGCAAGTTCGGGCGAGATTTGGCCCTGTCCGCTATAATTGGACATCGTAAGATGACGACCGCAGAGGGATGGCCGCGATTTCCGTCCCAGGTCCCTTGACTATACGTCGGTCTGAATATCCCGTTTGATCGACGGCGAGAACCGGATCATCAGCGAACGTGGGTCTCCCCGGACTGACGGGACGCGGTGACGGCCACAAGCCGCGCAGTCCCTCATCTCGGAGCATCCATATTCCATCGGTTAGTCGGTCACCGCGGGCGTGCTGCCCTGTGGGGGTGACGCAGCCAAGCGTTGAAGATTCGGTTCAAAGTTGTGACTAGTGCCCCAAGCTAGCAGCGGCTTCAATATCCGTAGGGTTGACATGTTGGAGATTGATTAAAGTGTTTGACGGCCAGTGGCACCTGATGCGGGTTGGCGCTGTTCCTGTCTTCGGAAGAATAGTGTCGCACTACTGACTAGTCTCTGAGCTTGTCTCCGTGTATCCGTTGTGTTGGAGTCGCCGGAGTCCATCGCCAATGGCCCTCTTTTTCCGCAGATCGTATCAGCTGTTGAAGAGGGAATCTCGACTCAGCAGTCCAAGGCCAATTCAACGATGTTCAAAATTACGACGTGCATGCTATCGTCTGGAAGGCGTCTCGTGGCAAAGATAGAGGGATCGCCCTTCCCCGCCCCCAAGCGACGGATGGACATTCGCGTGTTCCTCCTCAGTAGTTCGCGCAAGGTGCTTGTCTCGTCACTTTTGACATGACGCCAGTCGCAACGCCGTCAGATTTCGTATGGGGCTAGCAGGACTGACGTGCCAGACAGATCTGGGCCCGGTGCCGTCAAAGCAGCATTACCCTAGCCGTGGAAGGAATAGCCTGATGTAAGTGTGCATCCTAGAAGTTAGCAGGGCTGTTGATGGCGTCGATCCTTGTCGTTGGCCCTCGTCCGAGCCCCTGTGCAGGCCATCTCAGCTCAGGTGACACGGCATCTGCCTCGAATCTGTGGAAACAGACGAACTTGATCAACCATCAACGGGATTCGATTCGTCCATCACTGGCTGATCGATTACCGGACGATATTGGAACCACGGATGGCGCCCTGTTCGGAGCTCTCTCTCTGGCTCGAGGTATTTGAGATTGAGAAAGCTTTTGCAACGTTTGCCCTATCAACACCGAGCTCCGTGGCAAGGGTAGGTAGATACGTGCAGGACCAAGATAGCTGCTGCAGCCCAGGCCCTCCGATTGGCAGAAACATCCCGCGGAAGGGGCTGGTGGGTCAAGTCGAGTCGACGAGGAAGCGAGAAGCCGCCCCGCCGTGGTTGTGTGTGTGTGCCCGGCTGGCTGGAGCCCGTTGGCCAGGCGCTGGGCAGACGTCGACGTCGCCATCACCCTGCGCCTTCCTACACGGCCGCAGCGACTCACGAGCGGTATAAGTCGCTTATTGTAGCGCTGACTCGATAGACACCAACGAGCTAGCCTGCGCCTCTTCCGCGGCTAGGCGTAATGTGTGCGTCAACCTGCTCGGTTGTGTCGGCGCTGCGGCGTGCACACATCGATTGCCAACCAAGGCTCTTTGCGCCGAAGTGACGAGGCCATTCCCAAACCAACCTACCAGTTTGGCAACAACATCACACCCACCCAATCTCCAGCGTATTCCGGCCTCACCAGACTAGATCAAACAGAAATCAGAAGATATGGAGCCGCAGAGATTGACACGATTGGGTAACCAGGCTGGAGGGGGAGGAGGGGTTGGAGGAGAGGCAACGAAAAAAGTTTCGGCATCGCCATCAGCCGCCCCTTCCACAATCCCTGCGGCGGTTTGATCCACTCGGTCGGCAATTCTGCACTAGTCCCAGAAAGGCATAGCAGCCAAAGGTTGTCTCCTAGTGCCCCCCAGATTTGGGGCTCAAGTCCAACGTCAAACCTGGTCGTTTTCAACCTCACAGCCAGGGGCTCAGGCATTTTGGGCGACCCTACGAAACCCAGACGTGTTACAAGACTGCTTCACCTCATCGCCACTCAATGCCATCGATTTCGAGCACTCTCTCACCCTCTGGCTGTCCCTCGAGTCTCTGTGTCACTCTAGCACACGCTGCTGCACCCTCAATGTTTTGCCGGCTCGTTGCAAAGTGAGACTACGTGAGAGCCCAGTTTTTCTTCTCAGCCCCTCCCATGGTTTTCGTCTCGTCGAGCATCTTGCCCTGCTGGAAGGCATGGGGCCTGAGAGGCAAGCACCGCAGAGTCTTCCATATCAGCCCAGCCAGAGTCGGCGGGGTCGTAACGAACATGGTTGTCACCCCGCGCCCAGCCCTGTCTTCCATGTCTTGAGCCCTCTCGAGGAGGACCAAGACCAGATACCACACTGTATGGTGGCTCCTCTAGTCCATCTCCAAACCAGCAACATGCACGTAAGAGACGTTCGCCCCATCTGAGCCCCTCACTGCCCATCATCCAGTCGCGCGTCGACTCGAGGTACAGGCTGCGTCTCATTCGCTCGTTCCTGTCCCCATCCTCTGAATGGCCCGTCTTTGCATCCTTGCTCTGGCCTCTTTGGTAGGCCATCCATCAGCCGTGTTACCCTGGCCCAAAAATTGGACTTGGGCCTCAGTTAGCGGTTTGGCTAACTCTCCGGACCTCATCTGGCCCGCGCGGGGGCCCTTCCCGAGCCTGTCACTTGCTACTTTGTTAGCCCCCTGCTGAGGTGGGCCTCTCTGCCTCTGCCACGCTTCTGTGATCGCCTTTTGACCTCTTCATGCGGCCTTCCCTCCTCTGCCCGTCTGACTTTGGACAGTGGTCTTTTTCCCTCCTCCAGGCCGGTCCCTTTCCTTCTCTTGAGCGGCTGGTCCTATTACTCCTTGTTTCCATTCGTAGGTCCTGACTTTGCCTGGTGTCTGTTTCGTCTGGTCCGCTTTCTTCGTCCAAGAGCGGTAGTCCATTACAGTCCATCCTGTCTTTTCACTTACTCTTTTCACTTCTCCATCCCATCCGTACGATCGCCGTCCTTCTCCTCTTCTCCTCACTCTCCTCACCCTCCTCACCTTTACTCTCCATACCTAACACGACGGGGACCAACACCGACTCTTCTATGGATTAGATGGTTCGGAAAGCGAATTAATATCTGGCACCGCTGCGGCTCGACGCCTGCGCTCACCTCTTCGACCAGTGCCAGTCCAATAATCGACGAGATGGACAGCTGGGGATACGGAGGCAATTTGTGGACGAGGGCCGACGATGGTAGCATTACGGACGGTAATGGCGTGGCGGATTCACTGCGAGGGCCTTTCAAGGCTACCAACAGCTCGACCTCGGCCATCATCAACCAGTTCCGCTTCCAAGCCGCCAAGTCGATTCGAACCTCGACCATCATTCTTGCCGTCTTCAACGTTATTGCGGCGTTTGCAACAGCAGTCGGTATTTTTTGGGACGGTTATGCGACGGCCAAGAGGAATAACCAAAAGTTCGGCTTCAGGTATGCCACTCATCACCGGCACGGATGAGTCAATGGACTAACAGTCTTTCCCAGAACGCATGGATTCACCTTTGTAGGACCTGCCGAGTCGTTTCCTCTGGTTCTGTCTGTAGGTATCGTCGTCCAAGGCATCGTCTTTGCCGTTGCACAGTCGACTGGACTCGACCACCTCCTGACCTTGGGTTGCACCATCACCTCCCAACTGATGTTACCTGGTTCGTGTTCCTCGCCTTCTCGCCCCCGAAATCTAGCTAACTAACGTCCGCAGCGGTCTTCATAGTGCCGTACATTCAACTCGTATTCGCCCTGGAGGTGGCCATCCGGTCTCTGCGAAAGAACCCCCTGCCACCCCGTGGCAAGTGGAATATTACCATTTGCCTCGCCATCGTTGGCACGTTTCTTCTTATTACCTACCTAGTTACTCTCTTCGTCCGCCCTCCAAACTTCTGCTTTGCCTCGCTCTTCTGGTTCGTCCAGCGCTGGAAGGAAGGTTGCTTCGTACTCCTCACCTTTATCTCGGCGGCGTTGCTGGGCTCAGCTCTGGTGATTTTCTTCCGACTTCACAATAACATCAGAATCGAGAACAGCGAGCGCATCGCCGCGTCTCGGATGGTATATTTCCTGGCAGTAGCCTTCATTTCGACTGTGAGTAACTAGCACACACCTTGGTCCAAGCCACATGCTGACGAACGTAGACTCTACTCATCCCCTTCTTCTTTAACCTCTCTTTTACGGAACAGCAAGGTGCCACTGGCCAGGCCCTCACTCTTTCAATGATCGCCTCCGTCGTTGCCAACGTATCCGGCCTATTGACTGGCGGTCTGCACCTATTCTTGCGATCAAACACATTGTCCACTATCGGCCCCCGTCAATGCGACAAGTGGGAGTCCGACCGTACTAAACTCAAGGCTGGCATTCGTGTCTACAGTGGAGATGATGATTACGAAAACCACATGATGAATCCCGTCGGTCGAACCCGTTCCCTGCGACGGATTGACAGTACCGACAGCTTCGTGCCCGAAAAGGAGGAAGAGGCACGCATTGAGAGTCCCTCTGGGTCTCCCACCTACGCCAACCCTCTGCGATCCAACGCTGTATGGCAGCCTGCCCGTTCTCCTCTGAGAACACCGGAGCCTGCGCAGGTATCAACCTACCAGATGCCCAAGGCGCATGCTCGGAAGAGTTCTTACTCCTTGTTCCCGTCCGAACAAAACAACAACACCAAGTCAATCACTCTGCTTCCGGCAAAGACATATACCCCTGGAGCGAGGATCCCCGACGAGGATGATATGATGCTGCTCAGACCCCCGCCATCAATCCATCCTCAAGGAATCCGCCATCGCCGCGACTCTTCGCTCGCTTCGTCGGCGACTGTGCAGATTGGCTTGCGGCTGTCAAACGTCGACGACATACCCCCGCTCAACTCACAGTATCTCCAGAATAATGCCAGCGTGAACAGCTTGAGCTATCCTGACGAGAGGGACGACGAGCCTGCTAAGCGGCCCAGTCCTCTAGCACAGGTCGACGTTGTGAGCGACAGCGGTTCATCCGATTCTGAGGAGGATGAGACCTTGGTCTCGTCTCCCCTCAGACCTGCCAAGGACCTGCGAATGAAGACTCTCCCGTCTGTCCCCAAGGTCACTGTTACCAGGCAGTCCCAGCTCAAGGAGAAAGAACCGGAGCAGCTCACTCTAAGCCCGGCGGTTTACAGGCCTGAGAGCCCGCAAAAGACTAGGGTCACCAGTCCTCAGGGCGTTGGCTTCAACACCCCTGCGCAGCGCAAGAAGTCGCCGGTCAAATGCACCAAGCAGAATTGCCAATGTTCCGCTGAACACGACAAGCGCAACTGGATCTGAGCTAGATCCACGACCTGTACCAACACCGGCATTTCTCGTCCGCTACAAAACATTATAAAACACTCGACTAACCCGGGCGGTAAAAGCGTTTCACCAAACTTTTCTGTCACTGAACGGAGTTGATGGCGAACTATTCTCTTCTTATATTTACTACTTCATTGGACGGCGTTTTTTTGCGTAGATACCTGTATGACTAATAACGTCTACATATTGTTTGTTTCTTTATGTATTTGGCAATGTGCCCACGCGGCACGTTGTGTACGATCTGCGGTGGGGCAAGGCCTTCATTGGATTGCAGGGGAACTCAGTAAAGAGGAATCAAGAGTCTCGGATTACGAAATGGAAGGATGGAAATGATGACGGCATGACTAGCTACGAGACGGACTTGGTGATGAGCGGATAAAAAGCCACCGGAGGCCTCTACACTACTACGGAAGAAAGATAGCTCAATTAATGAAAGAGCTCAAACAATCATGAACTAGTCAAAACACAGATATGAAGTTGCAAAACGTTCCCTTCTATTTTGAGGCATATTGTGAGGCATGGCACTGTAACTTTTGTAGCGCATGAACCGAACGTGCATCTCTGCTCTTCTCATTTGGTCTTATGCTGGTCTGCCTCCACTCGCCTCTCCTCCCACTTATCCCAGCCAGCTTGGCATGGGTCTTCTTCCACCACGAGATCCCGAAACCTGAACAGCCGCGCAACGGGTGTCTGCAAACTCCAGGTCAAGAGCCCAAAGTCTCTCGCAATAGCAGTGACCAAGAACCAGCCAATAGCACAGACCGTCCCGGCCAAAAACCCCACTAACACCTGCTTCTCGGTATGGTAGTTGAGGTATATCCGGCTCCACGCCACGGCAGCGGCGATTCCCAGCGCAGCAATGCTCACGACGATGCGCTCAACGAGCGAGTACGGTCGGTGGTGCCGTCGCGCGGACGAAGGACGGTGCCTGACCAGCAAGAACAGGGCGAGGAAGATGGACCAGTAGGCGACGAACTGTGCGTGGGAGCTAGGCATGCCGTAACCCTTTCCGTGGATGCGGCGGGGACGCTCCTCCTTGATCAGACGCTTGAGGGCGAAATTGATTGCCTCGCAGCCCAGCTGGCCGGCGAACATGAGGGCGATCTCAACCTCGCGGGTGGACCAGATCAGAGTCGCATAGACGATGCAGAGGGCTTGCGGGAGCAGCGCCAGCCATGCGCAGAGTAAGGAAAGGGAATCGTCAGGGTCCTGGCGTGAGGTTTGGTTTGTTAGTTTCTCATGGGAGAGGCATTGAAGCCGGGTTGGTGGTCTCACATAGTAGACGTGCGTCAGGGAGAGAGAGGCTAGTGGTCTCGTGTCTTGGTCCATGGTTTTCGACTCGACTGCATTCCCGACCGTGGAGCTTCGAAGACGGTCTTTCCGGGGAAATTTCCGGGGAAGAGACAGACCGGGAGAGAGGGGGAATCTGGAGAGTTCTTAAAGGCGAGATGCCATGTGCCTCGGCTGGAGAGGTTGGACGATCGAGGTAGCAGCCGATATACTGACCAACTGACTCCTCCCAGGGGTTGGTAAAGTTAGAGCAGACGTCGCGGATCGCGGTGCACAGCACTCTGGGAATGTCAAAGTGCAGCTGTGCAGAGTGCACCGGGCCTTTGACAGCCAGCTTTCTTTTCTTCATTTCCGTACTTGCATAAATACGTCAGGTTGCATAGCTCCGAGCTCGGGCCAATCGGGAGCATTCATCTCCCCGCCAGCGCCGCCAGCGCCACCAGCACCAGCGGCTCAGAGTGGGTTAGTACCTACGAGGAGCATTCTGTGGCCTTGTGGCTTGGCCTAAGGTAGACCCTTTTCCCGTCGTCTTTTGTCACTCCTATCGGCCGAGGTCCTGACTGATAACGAATGACCCCACCGTCACTCTTTTTTTGCTGCTCCTTTGCCCCGCGATTCCCAACGGCTAAAGAGTCATCACTTTCATTGTCTGTCCGACGCCGGTCAGCCATTTCTGATCCAGGCGCTCTTGCAGCCGTGACTCTCTCCTGCCCTCCCACGCTACATTCCTATTACTCGGCTTGAGAAGAAAAAGAAGAATGGTCCCGTCATAGCCAGTCGCACTTCTCGCGGGTTCCGCGACCGTCTCCAGTATTTCCAATCAATACCACCAGTTCCAGTTTGCGACTTTCGCCACCAGTCCTCTCGCTGGGCTCAAATATCGCATCTCCATGTTTGTGGCTAATTCACATGAGCGCAAGACCCCACTCGCTTCTTGACGAATTTGAGCAGCTTTGATTTACGCCCCCAAAGCATGAAGTACACGCTCTCCGACCAGTAGCCATGGATGACGACAGCGACGACCCGCGCGAGGACGAGCTCAGCTCTCTGCAGGCCATCTTTCCCGAAATCGAGCTCGACGACAACCGGCCTTTTTGCTTCACCATCGAGCTACCCGTTCATCCCGCGAAACCTGTGACAGTCACATTCCCGGCCGTCTCCAACGCCGACGACACAGCCGCCGCCCAGGTTCCTGGCATCGAACCCAGAGTAGACTCCCATGAGCTCTCGCACCTTCCGGCCGTCGTGGTCCGCATGGGCCTACCCAAGGGCTATCCCTCCGAAAACCCCCCGAGCGTCAGCATCAGCACATCGCCGCCGTGGCTGTCCGAAGACGTGATCAAGAAATTGGAGGACGACGGGCCGAGATTGTGGGAGGAGATGGGTCGCGACATGATTGCCTTCACCTACATAGACCAGATCCAGCAAGCGGCCGACGATGTGTTCGGCATGGTTGACGGAGCTGGCGCATTGGAGATTGACCCCTTACACAAGATTGCCATATTGGACTACGACATTGAGGCTTCTCGGGCGGCATTCGAAAAGGAGACTTTTGATTGTGGTGTTTGTCTGGGTACGACCCCTTCCAGAGTCCCAAAAAGCTTGTGGCCCGCTAACGCTTGCCATCGGCAGATCCCAAAAAGGGCTCAATGTGCCACAAGATGCTCGATTGCGGGCATATTTTCTGTACTCAGTGCTTGCAGGAATTCTACAGTAATGCTATCACGGAGGGAGACCTGGCGACCGTCCGCTGTCTCGCTCCGAACTGTTCCAAAGAGCGCGCCGAAGCGACACAAGGCTCGGGTAAGGGTCGGAAGAGAAAGGTCAAAACCTCAATCAGTCCCAGTGAACTGCTCCAGATGGGGCTGTCCCAAGACACGGTGACTCGCTACGTGACCCTCAAGTACAAGAACGAGCTCGAATCAGACAAGGACACAATCTACTGCCCCCGGTCTTGGTGCCAGGGCGCTGCCAGGTCCAAGAAACACAGGAAACCCGAAGGGCTTGAAGTGGTCAACGAGAGCTCGGACGAGGACACGGACGAGGAGGCTGATGCCGGCGGGCAAGACGGCGCGAACGGGAAGAAGGCAAAGAAGAGCTTCGAGACTGGGGATCTCCTAGCCATCTGCGAAGACTGTGGCTTCGCCTTCTGCAGCCGCTGCTACCAGTCTTGGCATGGCGAGTTCTTCAGATGCCTGCCCAAGCGAGACAAGGGCGAACTCTCCGAGGAGGAGCAGGCCTCGATCGACTACATCAACCTGCACACGACACCTTGCCCTACGTGTGGTGTGCCGGCGCAGAAGACTCACGGCTGCAACCACATGATTTGTTTCCGCTGCGCCTCCCACTTTTGCTATCTGTGTTCGGCCTGGCTCGACCCGAGGAACCCGTACGGCCATTTCAATGAACAGCCCAACGGCAAGTTCACGTCCTGCTATATGCGGTTGTGGGAGCTCGAAGGCGGCGATGGCGATAACGTCGACATTGGCTTCGCCGGCGGGCTTCAGCGAGCGCAAGACGCGCAAGACGCGGCTGCCGAGCCGGCTGAGCTTATCGATCTCGTCCCCGAAATCGAAGAGCCGGACGACAGCGACTCGGATACAGAGGTGGACGACGCGGCGCGGCCAGCGCGCCCTCTGGCAGGCGAGGTCGCGCGAGAGGGACCGCTCGTTTTACGTATAGGGGCTGACCCGGCGCCGAGGGGAGGTCGAGGCGGAGCAGGAGTAGGAGCGCTCCACGGTCCCGTTCCACCGGCCGCGCCGCAGGCACCACCAGCACCCGCACGGAGAGGAGGGTTTCCAGCAGCGAGAGGTGGACGTGGTGGGCGTGGCGGGCGTGGCAACAATGGAGGCGGGGACGCTCGAGGAAGAGGAGGAGGAGGTCGGCAGAACCAGCAACATAGACTTCAGGCACAACGGGTACCCGTCGGTAGGCATGATGAGTTTGACGCCGATGTCCTTGAGGGTCTGGGTGATGGAGAGCTCGACGAGGCGCAACAGGCCTGGATCAGAAACTTTGTTCAAATGGCGTTGGCGGACCAAGAAGAGGACAGCGATGATGAATGAATGGAACGCAGGGTAGCTGGACAATCAGCTGGGTACAATTGGGGGGGTTCTCACCTTGGTAGGAAGGGGGGGCGTCACACCGCCCCAAATGCATGGCAACTTGGAGACGACTATGGGATGATGATGGTCTGAGAAAGACAATGATGTTAATGAACTACCAACGCTCGACTACCTTGGGAATTGAGGTGATGAAGCTATGCTGTGACAAGAGGCATATCGTACAGCAGCATGCCGGCCAAAAGGCAACAACCCTTGCTGCTGTTGTCGTTTTCTTTCCCCCCTACCGCTCTATCATGATCGGCTTCCGACCCAGACAAAGATAAGGTAGACTGGCACCGGTCTGTTATATATAATGGAAATGTCCATAACCATGTCCGCCTTGGCTTCCATCTCTCCCTTTCTTTTCGGGGGGGCGGGCGGGCAGCGGCCTTTGTGATGCCCTCAAAAGGTCCTGGATCAAGGCATACTGTGTGCGAGGTTGTTTTACTTTTGCGGTCCAAAGCATCGCCAACATGACAGGCTGATTACCAAGAAAAGTACAACTCTAATCACCTCTGCCAGCTCTTCTTTCTGCCTGGCTTCTACTGCTGCCGCCAGTCCAGTCCAGAGGAGACGAAGGGTAAGGGGCAGTTTTGGCAATCATGAGAGGTTTTGTGGTTGGCTGAATTACGGTATTCGCATGATTCCATCTAGCTGTAGGGGGCAACCTAAGATACCTCAGACCCTCCTCCCGCCTTCGTCTTTGTTCATTCTCTCTCCATCTTGGATCTTGCCCCCACTCCCTTCTTGATGCTTTACTCTAGCTAATCCATTCAATTTTAGTTATATCCATGCTTTGCAGGCAACACTGCAGACGTGACAGGAAACCTGGTATGCTTGGGTATCAGAGCAGTATCGATACCCAAACTGCCGATACCCCCCGTTTTTTCACCCGCCCCCCCCTTTCTCGGGTATCCCGTCCTCAATCTCCCAGATTCTGTTCGGATAGAATCTTCCCCTTCTCACCCCCATCATCATCTGCCGAGCTCGATTGATTGATGGGTATCTGTATCATAGAGACATAAAAGATCGGTGTAAGGATTAGGGAGTAAATGTGATATTCGAGCCGGGCCAGGGGGGGGGGGTCCCTACGCATAGTACGAACAGAAACACCACAAAATAGTGTCTAACCTGCTCACCTTGAAGCTCAGTTCGGTGTGCTATATTGCACACGTAGACTTTTTTCATCGGTCTCGGGGGCTCATTTGAAACCCCCCAGGAGCCGGGAAGTAACGACAAGATGTGATGCCACCTCGCCAATACCGATGCCGACAAAGGCATCTGTTCCCGTCCCAGCATCTCTAATCATCCATCCAACCCACATATGCGAACCTCGAACGATATTATAGAACCCAAGCGAGATATCACGAAGGGAAAAAAAGCTAGATTGACAGAAATGAAAGGAGAAGAGAAATGAGGAGAGGGAAAAGCTGGACAGCTCCTTTCGTGTGCGTCGGGAATGAAATGGAGATGAGATGGCCTCCGTGGAGATTGAGTATCACAGGGACCAAAAAGGCCGTGTTCGACTAGACACCGCTGCCGCTTGGGAAATGGGAACAGAGTCTTCCTCCCATCCCTATTTCCTCTCCTCCTTTCTCATTCTTCCCAAGTTCGACGACGACCCATCCTGAGACATCCATCCTCCGTATCGCGCGGGATATCACATGCCCCAACCAGCCTGCACACTTATCTCTCCAAATTCGCCTACTCTCCCCGGCGGGCGCGAAGCAATGAGGGTTGTAGCATTTTACTGATCTCCCGTAGCATTTTCATAAGGCTACACTCGCTCGCTCTTGTCTCTTTCTCCTCATGTAACCCCCTCGTTGGAGCTTGGGTAACCACTTTTCTGCTACGCCAGCCTCTCGGCATCTCGCCTTATAATCAGGGGCAACGGTCCTTAAGAATGGTCCTCAAGCAAGGAACAGAGCAGAATAGCTATCTAGCCTAGCTCTACGTAGTAGTAAGGGGGAGTGGTAAAGGCAGGGTAAGGGCAGCAAAAATGACGCTTCGCTGTGCAATTTGAATAAAGGGTAGCAAGTGAGCAAGCAAGCAGAAAGGGGAAAGGGACCCCCGCAGAGCTACTAAGAAACGGGTGCTACTCTATCCAGAGGAGCTCTACTCTACTCTACTACTCTACTCTCGCTTTACTGCTACGTTATCAGGGGTGCAGGTTACTTGTTCAACGGCTTCTCCCTCCCTCCTCTTCCCACCCCCCGAGAGAAACCAGCGGACGCATGACGGGTGACATGGTTGAACGCGGGTCGCAGGCGAGTGACGGTGGGCAGCAGGATAGCTGTGGTGACCATGAGTATCATGATGGTGGTGGACGGAGGATGGAGGAGAGAGAGAACCGCGCGCGAGCTGGTTCATTATGGAGCTAGCTTTGCGACCTCACGTACAAGTTACACCTACCTAGCTCGATGAGTGTCCCCCCGGGCTGTCGTCTGCCAGACAGAACAAGACAAAATCAAGAACCTGAACACCCCCTTCCCAAGCCCAGCCCAGATCTCGTAGCAGCGTATCTTGCCACCTTGCTCATTTGCGAGGAGAAGCAGGTAAGTAGACCCCGAAAATAGGCGGGCCCGGAAAGAGCAGCCTTTGAGAGAGAGAACGAGAGGAAGGGGTGGGGAGGGTTCCCGGGTTCACCGAGGACGTGACAACCCAGCAAGCAGGTTCACAGGAGAAAAAGAAAGGAAAAAAAACATCCGAAGAGTACGACGGCACTAATACAGTTCGCTACAGTGCACTGTGAGCATCGTTGCAGATTTGCAGAGTAAAAGAGGGGGAAGGGGCGTGAATTCGAGTGTGCTGTGGGGGATGTGGATGAGGATGGGGCCATTCAAATCATCATCCAAGTGGAAACGGCTTAAGACCCAAAGTCTTAAGATCAAGGTTGAGTGTCCACGGTGCAAGGCCCTTGATGCTCCCGTACGCCGTACGTCCCAAGGCAGGGAAGCATGAGGTAGAAAGAGAGCTTCTATGACAGGGTAACAGCAGGAGACACAGAGCGAGAGAGCGTGTAGAGGGGTGCCACCTATCAAGCTCTGATCGCCGTCGCGTCTGCAAGCCGTATACACCCCTCCCCTCTGTCAAAATCAAGCTGTCGTGGCGTGTAGCAGTGAAAGAACACGAAAGCTCGTCGCCGCCGCCGCCACCGCTGTCCATGCCGTCGTGTTGGATATGTTGCCACCGGGACAACTACGACATGCGTAAGGTTAAATCCACCACCGTCGACTCGAGAAAACAAGCCATCTACGGCCATGACCTTGTGTGGCCCGAGATCTCCGGAGCTATCGGCCCTGCACGGGTGGTGATTATTCAGTCTCGAGCGTTGGTCCTACGGCAGCGTGGCAGGCCTCTGCTCATCTTCCTTTCTCGTGATGTCGCTCATGGATCATGGACCCGGGGAAGTTTGTACCGGATGGGGATCAAGCACGTCGACGACGCCAACGAGGGAGTGGAGAAGGGGTCCAAGTGCCGTAGGTTGTATGCAGTCAAGGAAAGAACCCACGTCGTAATCTTGTTGTGATGGATTTTCGCCAGATTCACACTTTTCTGCTGAAGACAAGTGGAGAATGGCCAAGAGTGGGCGAGGCCAATGCTGGCGGTGATGGAGGGAGTAGGTGGAAGATACGTATGCCCGCGTGTCGACTGACGAGGCCGGCGTCGCAGCGTGCTGTACTGCGGGCAAACACCAAACACGCTGAATACATGAATAGAAGCTCAGCCAAGCCGCCCTGCCTACCAGCTCCCACAGGAAAGGCCAAGAGAGGAAGAGGGAAAAAGGTTTCTTGTCTCTACGACCCTAGCTCCACTTTTGCTTCGGAAAGAATCTTGCGATTCAATACGACTCTATAGTGAGCAGAGGAGGGGGACAGAGTTTCAAGAGCACCTTGCTCTGACAGTCGCGCGAGTCGTCCTGGCAGGAAAAGTCCAGACCTGATCATCATAATCGTACGAAAACTGGTCTTGCGCCCCTTGTCCTGTGATACGTTCGTCATCGCAACGGTTGCTGCCCACGATAGTCGTTGACATTGCCCATGGACAATGTGATTGAGACGGGGATGAGCACGCCGTCTGGACTAAGAGACTGATAGACACAAGGGGCCCTGAAAATGGCGGTCCTCGGATGGATGACAGCGACGCCGTCGGACGCGACATCGTTGACTAGTTCGTTCTCGGTGCCTTAATCAGGGGAACCAAGGAGGCGAATCCAGTCCCCCTGTTAGCACGCGGTCGGCCACCTGCCGTTGCATTCTGAATTGCTTTGCCGCACCGCCGATGACATCTGCGCAAGCTCACGTTTGCCCATCGATGGGATCTGTGTGTCTGTGATCTCGAGAGTTGGCCTGCCAAAGTATCATCAAAGCCGTGTCACAAAGGACTCAAGGAGACAAGAACATGGATCTGCGGCCGCAGACATTCCCACCAAGGAGGATTTCGTAAGTACTCGCCAACGCTTCTGCAGGGAGCCTTGAACTACCTTGGATGAAGGGGTCCGCTGTAGTTGCAAAATAGGACCTCATCGAGGCCAGATACGGGACAACAACTCCCGGGCGAGTGTATCTTCTTCCGCGCGAATTTTCGAGGCCAGCAGCGCGGCAGGTGCGCGCCACCGTCGTGAGGAGAGCCGGGATAGCCACGACTCACTGGCTACTAATCGGAACGCTGTTATTGCTCCGGGAGAGGAGCAATCTCGCGAGTTATGAAAGCTGTTATTCCTTACGCAGCCGGGGGAGCTTCACGTGGACCCAGCTACAACATGTGAGGGCTTAACAGCGTTGCTATTGCAGCATCGCCAATGGAGCCAAACATCTCCTCTTGGGTACAAGCCTCTGCCGGACATGCCCAGAGCCGTCACACAATCCCCGGCCCTGAGTCGGTTGCGAGGACTGGTGCGCTGCAGGAGCATATGCACGGGGATGAAGGGCCAGCAGATGTCGTTTGCGATAGGCCTGAGACCCTCCACTCCAAGTATCCTTTGGAATGCGACGCTACTAACGATCGTTCACTCCCACTGTCCCACAAGATGTAAGGCGGACGTGGGCGGACATCGAGACAGGCGGTAGGGCAATGGAGAAACCGCCCGAGTGGGGATAGGCTTGCACTAAGAAACGCCACGATCAGAAGTAGCCGCACTTTGTTTCTGCCGCCGATGTCTTTCCCCAGAAGCCGTGCTGGGCGACAACAACCCAAGATGCTCAATTGGTCGGCAAAATTCAAGGCTTTGTATTCGGGCCTTCCAGGCTACATCGCGGTCGTTGAACGGGAGGGGGGATCGCGGTGCCGGTCAAGCCCCCCCGTTCCTTGCTCCGACTTGTCGACCAGGGTTGGAAGGGGTATACTTTGTATGAGTGCAGAAACAAGCAACGACCAGGGTTTGGGAAACAAAAGCTCCTTGGAGCTCTCGCAAAAAACAATCTCATCTCGGGATTGTGCAAAAGAAGATAACGCGGGCGGGATAAAGGGGGCCGGCTGATGGGTCGAGATGTACACGCTGCGGGGTACATATCCTGACAAGGACCTAAGAAACAATTCGTTTGTTTGTTTTCACGAGCTTGTTGCATTTGCCGATGGAGTTCGGATGATACCGATTTCTTTTTGCACAACCGCTCGTCTTCCATCTATGGTTTCCCCCTCCAATATTCCCCATCGGCCAATATCCGCCCCCTTCGCCATCGTTCGTTCGTGCATGGATGGATGGCAGGTCGGAGTATTAGTGTGGCCGTTCAGTGAATCAGAGCCACTTTCATCGGCCCAAGTCGCGGATCACTCTTTCTTCTGCAGTGGCACGGAGATTGGGTAATGCCGGGGGGCCAGTACAACATTCTCAACGGCAAAGCCTCTTGAAACAAAACGGTCATTCCTTACTGGAAGAGTCCGAATAGTGATAGGGCTGCACCGCCGCATATTGACAGCGATGCGAATTGTTTCCGTTCCAAGTTGGGAAACATGAATATTGCGGCCATCTTCGGCCGAGATCTCCTTGTTGTGTCATTCCCCTCGGCGCGGTCATATAGGCAATCTCGGGGGATACAGCAGTATTGATGGACATCGTCTTCGCCGCCCACCCTTATTCCCGGCTTGGGGATGGTCGTAAGTTGAAATAGCATGACGGACTTGCTTGATGAAAGCATCGCCAAGGCAGGCGCTCTGCCAGACGCCGTGATAAATATAGTGCAGTCGCTCCGTGAGCCCTCAAAGCCTCGATCAGTATCCCCATCCGTAAATGAGGTCATGGTCGGGCGATCCGGTCTGGACTCAGTGGCAGGGTTCTATGCTCCCCGGTGAAATCAAAACATGATGGGAGCTGCTAGCGCGCCAGTCCACAGCCCCTGCGAGTGATGAAGGGTGTTCATCGGTCGTCCAGCCAAACATCGACGCCTGCAGCAAAGATACTAGACCTGGGCCTTATGTAGGTTGCTCGGGCTAGGTGCTCCTCTAGGCCCTGGAAGCCATTCTGATCGCTCTCATCATTCGTCAATGATTGTCGAGACCCCAGCCTACTTTCGGATCGTGAGGCCGATTTGGAAGGCTAATCGGCGCGGCAACTATAAAAGCGCAACGTTCAATCTGTCGTTGACAATGGTCCTACGCTCAGGCCCTGCCTCAAGCTCGCAAAGCATCGGCGTCAAAGCCTGCGAAGCTAGCTGGATTATGCGCCACAAGATCGCTTCCATCTTCTAGTCCAAATGCTCACTTGTGTCGCCTCCGGTTGATCGCGTCAGGTAGCTTGACAGCCGACGCTTTTCTAGCTGGCACAATGCGGACCGTGTCGGCGGCCCCTTTTGCACCATCGTTCCAGGATTTGCAGCGAGACGCGAACAGTGTCCTGGGCAGCAATAAGAAGCAAGGACCACCATGTCGTGCTCTTCACAGGATGCCCCAATCGTGCTTGTCGAGTTCATCTTATGATATGTGCTGCCTCCGACTGTTCGGGTATTGCATGCAAATTCTCGGCAAGCCCTTCCTTGGGAGAGACACAACCCAAGGGACGATTGACGATGAAGTAAACTTTGGCGACGAGCCCACACGTGCGGCGGCTTGCGCCCGTCAGTGCGCCTGCAATGACCGACTTGTCGCCTGCGAGTCAACGGCGCTGTCAGTTGGAGGTAAGGGCCCATTAGCATTTGCCGGGGAGATCAGCGCCAGGGCCGTGGCGGCCGTGCTGACTCAACACTGACACTTCATCCATCGGCCCATCTCTTGAAGATTGGGCAGTTAGGGCCCAGGGTGCACCGGGCATCGCCAGGGGGGGGATTCAGTTCACCTGGAATCCGTCGACCAATCGAGCGAGGTGATGAACGGTGGGCGGCAACCTCTTCGCGGGTCTCGCAAGGGCTTGAATTTCGGGAGATGGGAAATAAACGATGCGGTTCTCAATCGAGCAGCAGATTCCTTACGAGGACGGGGATGATTGTCTCAAAGGAGACTGCTGGGCCGGAATCGTGCCTCGAAAGAGCTTAGGCGTGAGTGGAGGCTAGATTAATTCGTCTGTGGCCAGAGAAATGTGGATGACGATTGCAGGGGGGCGGCCCTCTTCGGTAAAAACGGTTTGCAACTGTGACAAGGTCCAGAGGAGACGCTTGGCAGAGAGAATCAGGGAGTCTTGCGCCATTCTCGTGTCCCCCGTCCCCATTCCTCCACTGAGTGAGAATGGCCCCCTTGCCCCCTCCCCGCCGGGCTTGTTTCTGGCTTGCCTTGTCTCTACCGTGGAATGTGGGAACTTGGGGGGGATGGCGTGTATGTCGTCTAGCGGTGCCACAAAGAGCCGACTGCCGCGCGAGAGTGAGCCACGGCCCTTGGAAGCCCTCATTTCATCCCCGCCGCTGTGGCATTCTCAGGTCGCTCTCTGTCGATCCATTGTAATCCCATGGCTCGTTGGTATGTAGTACTTATCTCCAGGCTCCATGCTGTTGGAGCGACCCGATTCGGAGAATTCATGACCTTGAATACTTGACGCATTGGGTTGTAACACGAAATCCGTAAAATCAACAGAGCCGACTGTCTGGAGCCGATTTTTTGCGCCTCGTGGCTGCCGAAAATGTTTCAATCCCCGGTACGGACGGGTCTAAGCACCTGCATCGCCAGCTAGTCATGACCCAGAACATGCTCGAGTTGTACCTGGCGCGACGCCAAGTGCAGAGGCCAGAAATAATGAAAATACGTCTTGGTCAACTGGCAAATAGTGCATCAGCACATCGTATGTGTTGTGCGAATGTGTGCTCTGAATAGGGGCCATTCCCAATTGGAGGGATATATCAGATTGCAGATATAGGCCTTAGCCCGTCGGTTATGGCCATGGGTGGAAAAGGGGATAATCTCGGTCGCGCAATCCACAAACATGACCTGCAAGTTCTTGTTTCCTAGAAACTTCCGAGCCGTCGAGTACGAGTGACAAAGGCATGCGTTTGGATCAGAAAGTTCAGTGCCGTGCCAGATGGTGAGCCCCTGGCTGCAGGGGATGTTTGGAGGGCGGCCATGGCCGAGTCGTGACTGTGGCTGTTAATGGTTTTGCTGTTTATCTGATGTAAATTCGTGTTTCCCATGTCTACACAGCCCGGTCGAGCCCTGTCAAGTGTTTCGATCTCGAAACACAGACCACCGCCAGACCAAATCAGTCACTAATCAAGAGGGTCGAAACAATCCGCCATCGAGTGCCGTACATAGTACTCTTGTGTTCAAATACACTTCTCCACCACGAGCAGGATGACGAGAAATCTGGGCGACGGTCGGCAGAGGTCGTTGGGTCCCCTAGAGGACCAATGAGAGGTGCATCGAGCAGCAAAGAGGGCCTGAGAGTGACAGGGCCTGAGAAAGCCGTTAGGGGCTCCTTGGTGGACCGACAAGGACGAGGGGTAGTCGGACAAGCAAGCGGCAAGCCATCTGCACAAGGTATCCGCTTCAACGAGAGGCGTGACGGGCCCCGTGCCCGCACGATCTCACTGGAAATTCGCCGTGAGCCCCCTTGAACACCCCCCGGAACGTTACATCCAGTAAGGGATGCTTCCGCCGCGAACGTTGGTCTGTGACGAGGTCTGCGACTTGGACGGGGACGCTCTCCAGGTGAGGCGCGTCAAGAATAGCGCAAGAATCGTACCAGCTCCAGGCAATGCCTGTGGACCGCGGACTGAAGTTTTAAAGTCCGCAAAGTGTGGAAAGAGGTCGGTTGTTGGCAGGGAAGTACGTACACTTGAAGCTCGGCCTAGATAGTCACAAGTACGTAGTCGGAAGCGCTCACGTTGTGGACGACTCAGGGTAGCGTCCGCTCTGTGGCTTTGGTGGCGTGCTTCTGAACGCTCCCGTTGTGGCGGTACAGCAGCAGATGTGATCGACATTGTAGCCGCGCCGCCGGGGACTGCCAGTCAAGGCCGCTTCCAGGAGAGGGTACTCGTACGACAATCATTTTGCGGGATCCCAATGGAGCGTCCCATAGAGGTACATGGGGCCTTGAGGTGGACGTCGTAATTGCTAAGTTGCCATATGACAGTTCGGAGCAGCATGGGTTGCTCAAGCAGCCGGTTAAAGGCGCATAGAGCTGTCTCTTCAATCTGTTCCGAAACCACGCCGATTCTGGTTACGGAAGAGAGTAGGCGACAGCCTACAATAGGAATTGATGTAATCATGTACTTCCTTTGTGGAAAAAAAAAAAATACTTTACAGATAATGCTGCTTGGTAATACGTTCTTGTTATGCCTTTTCCCTTCTTGCTTCATCAAACTCGGTGTGAAAGGGGATGTGGTTATGCCTGGTCGGCACTACTCCAGGTCTCTAATTGTGAAAAAGACTAGGCTCGAATGAAGTTGACGTGGTTCCCGCGTCGTGCTAGTTGACTGTGCGTCTATTAGCGCTGTCACTTGCATGCGGAGCTTAACGGCTTGGATTGTCGGTGCAGAGAGCGCAGACCAGCGGTGTCCATGGTGACTGACACCTGCTGTCAGGTACTATCACTTGCCGAAGCGCGCGTGAGAGGCGTCGTCTAGGCCGTGCGCCGGGGGCCCAGGTCGAGCAATCGAGGAGTCAGTCTGCAAAGTGCGAATGGGAGCTTGGATAAAGGCCGACAGCTCGACGAGTAGTCGTACCTAGATGGAGGACTAGGATGACAGGTTCAAAATAAGAGCGGACGGCGGCGACGGCGGCGGAGGGGGAAGGCGCGTTACCGCGGCAAGGCCGAGTAGAGTTTGTGCTGGATATGGGACCTAACAAGACGAGGCCGCGGGATGGCAAGGTATCGCAGTCCGGAAGTGTAAAGTGAGATGAGGTTCAAGCTTGGCTGGCGTGCCTCACCCTCACTTTGGAAGGTGACAGGGTGGACGAGGCTTCAGATATCGGCCACCTTTGAGTATTTGGAGTCGACTCCAAGAAGCAGCAGAGGCGGCAGAGCAGGGGGCGTTGTGACAAGAGGCAAGGTGTACGGAGGTACTCCATACAGACTGTACAATATAGTAGGTAGGGAAACAGGAGCTAGGAAGAAGGAACCGAATGCAACGGCGCTGGCGAGAGTCGCGATAAACTTTGTTTTGGGGCGAGCCAAACAGAGAGAAGCAGGCGTCCGGCGTACCTGAGAAGGAAACATAAGCGTTTGTCCCCTCGATCCATGGTGAGTGTGGTGCTCGGTGGGTAGCCAAAAGAGTTGTGGGGGACGTGGAGAAGGTGACGGTGATGTGCCCTCGATGAGGTGACTTGCTTGAGCGGGCTCCAGCAGGCCAGGTTGTCGACGAGTGTGACGGACGACGGGGGTCCGCGTGCCGGTCCAGGGTCCTGATCATGATGTCGAAGGTCCCGGCCTCCAAGGGGGTTAATTGGAGGGGAGGCGGCGGGAGGACAAAGGGAGGAGGCGTTGTGCGTGGGAGGAGGAGCCGTGATCCACAGAGCTTGCAGTCGAAAGTCGATAGTGTGCTGCGACGCCAGGGAAGCACGTAGTTGCGCATACGTCCAAGGGCAACGCTGCAAAGAGGCAGGCCGGAATGATCATGTAAAGTAAACTCGAACTTGGATATCGGGTAATAGCAAGGGAAGAAGAATAGCCCGGCCACGAGAGATACGGGATAGGTGGCACACGACGAGATAGCTCAAGGCTGGCTTCGAGGCGAGGGAATTTTAGAGCCGGAAGATATGTTTAGACATTCCACAATTTGTTGAAGAGGAAAGACGAGAAGGAATGGAGAGGATAACGGTGGCAGCCGTTTCAAGGCCACTCCCTGCTCGACCAGATTGTGTGTTGCATACCTCAGGCGGATAAGGTAAAGGTAAAGGTAAAGGTATACCCAGGCCAACCCGACAGATGTCATCTCGTAGGTACAGGCTTCTACTACGTAAGAGCATGGGGATAAATGTGATGGAATGGCAGGTGCAAGTATCCGTACAAATTGAAAAACGCAAGGAGTGGGAGCCACCTAGCCAGCCCGAGCTCGAGGAGTGGACTCGAGCAAAGGGTGGGGTTCCAGGTTGGGAGCAGGATCCGCGCAAGTGGAGGTTGGACATTGGATCTTGAGTTCTTGACCACATATCCGTACAGAGTACTACCTTAGGTACCTACCTTATATAGGACCAGGTACGTACTGGACTACGGGTACGTACTGAGGTGGACTGGGCAGAAATAGGTATGGATGTGGAATGGGAGGCAAGCACGGCAGGGCAGCAGAACAAGGAGAGAAAGTGGGAGGTGGAGCTGGAACCATGAGGGCAAGCACGACAATGATTGACCGAGGCGTCAACGCAACGAGATTGAATCAGTGCCCCGGCTCTTCAAGCACTTTCAGCCTGGTCAACCCTGCCTGGTCTCATTTTGAGTTTTCTAGGTAGTCGGTGCGGGTTTATATCGGCCCCGTACACTGTGACGAGGCACTGTATTTCTCCAGCGCGACTGCACGAACAAGTCGAACAATTCACTGAACGCCGGGGACGTGGCCCCGAATTGGGGGGTTCGATGCGCTGCTTGTAGTTGCTGAGTTGCTGGATTAGGCGCTGGAGACCTGTCACGCTTGGCGGCCTGCGGTCCTGGAACCTGCTTGGGTAAGGGATTGGTGAAGAAGTTGAAGAGCACCTCGGCGTGTCATGATGGTGCTAGCTAGGGCTGGGGTCATCATGGTCGCGATGATGGATGGAGAACGGGGAGGGGAGTTGCAGTGGTAGTCCGGAGGGGTAGGGGAAGGGGGAGAAGAGAGGTCGGGGCGCTGTAAGAGAGGGCACGAGGTCGGTATGAGGCATCAACGATGGAGAATGCCATGCCCGTTATTAACAAGGCCTTTGAAATGGGAAAGATTGGATGGGAACCTCTCGGTCCTCCGGCCGCCGGGGCGGTGCCTCCCTCCTTTTCCCGTCGCTTCCTCCGACCACCCGACCCGACCTGCCCTTGAAGCAAAAATAGAGCAATTACAACGGCGGGCCGTGAGAGTGAGGGCAGCGTCGAGACGTGGGTGACCTCCTCGCCAAGGGCAGGACACTACATCCGGGAAGGCGAGGCGGAGGGGCCGAAAGAGAGTTGGCAGGTGCAGATGCCAGTGTCATTCGACGGGGTCCTTCCTTCCCATCGCTTCCAAGGGCACAAGGTCAGCTGGGCGAAAGCGAAGGCAAGAGCGAAGGCAAATTCAAGCGCACCTTACCTTACTTGGCACTCCGTAGATAGATACCTACCTTGCCTTACCGTACCGACGACTGATGGCACTTGCTTACCTTAAGGTACCTACCTCCCTTATTCACTCTCTCCGTCAGTTCATCTCACCATTGAGGCTGTTCCGCCAGCTCTTGCACCGGCCAGGTCGTCCCCTTCCCTCAGGTGCGACTGACTGACTGTGCTCTGAAGTCTGATTTCTGGTCCTGGCCGTGCTTGTCTCCTGCTCTTTCCATTTTCGGCTTGGGCTTGTTCCGGATTCCGGACCCGTTCCATGTCTCTCTCCCTTGACCATGACCTGGCAAGATGGGCCTGGTCGAGCATTGAGCATACTATAGTACCTTAGGTACCTGACGGATAACCAAGGCTACGATCGCGTCCTGGACTCCTGGCCTTTGCCCGGAAATACTCCCCCCGACTTTTTCTGGAGTTGCGCCTTTTCTTTATTCACATTGCTCCAGGATACAAGCTGCGTGGCCGCAGATTAATTATCCTATGCTTGACACTGGTAAGTCGACTCGGCCACCAGGTCTCTTCCTTGTCGACCGACCGACTGCGGCAATTAGGCCGTCTTGCGCAAAGGCCCGACTCTGCACTGTGGTTTTTCCTTGGAACAGGGAAATTGTTATCGATAGTTGCCATCGCTTCAATATCCTTTTGGCTGCGGCAATCAATACTTGGCCATACATAGTAACCTCCTTTTGTAGACCGTATCGACATCGGATATTGCTTTACCTAACCCTGGACTAGAATATAGCTCCTCATATGTGAGTTGCATTTACCTTACTACGAGAACGGGACAATACAACATAGGTAAGCCACTCCCGCAACATAGGTACATTGGATCTTCAAGTACGTAAGCACTTCACTTGATCCCAGGCCTTCATCCGCTTTACGTCGGAGGGTGTGTATGTGTGTGTGTGGGTGTGTTCTATGGACCTGGGGGGCTTCTGAACGTTACCTCCCGCCTCGTGTCCTCTTCTGTCGTCCACTCTCCGACTTCACGCCGTCACCACCCCCCATGCCACCCCTCGACAGGACCGGACTACGCTCCGATCGCATCTCGCTCGGGAGACGGCGCGAGCGCGACTCTTCCCTTTCCGCGTCGACATGCAGGAAATCGCATCGGACGGCCTGCCTATCCCTCGGCATCCGTGTGCATCTGATGATTGACCGCTTTCGTGCTTGGGCATCGCACTGCACCGCACCCGCACCGTACAGCACCGCTTCTCACCTCACCTTGCCCAGAGGCAGTCAGTCAGTTGGCTGGCCCATGTGGCCACCGCTCTGCCAGACCCCAGCCTACTGATGCTTCTCAACAGCCACATTGGGCCGCTGCTGCAGCCGTGGGTCGAAGCTTCTGGGGGCTACTGCAGCTGTTGCATACTCTCTGCATGCACCCGACCGTGATCCTTTCCTTTTCACCCTTTGCGCCCCCCCCTTCCAAATGTCTGTACTAACTACCAAGACCTCGACCGAGGCCATCCAGTATTTGAGGGCAGACGCTACAAGCTGGCTGCACAACCACGAGCCAGACCGGGCCAAGGTCGTTGTCGAGGCCCACATCCATGCCGCACCGTTGCTTGCGACTGCATGGTACCCGTACCTTGAATCCTCTGTACCTTGAATCCTCGACGAGGTGCCGTGAGGTCAGGTAGGCAGGCGGTCAGCCGCCCGTCACCCGTCCTCCACCGCACATCTTTTGCCCGTATCCATGTCGGTGCATGGAAGCAGCACTTCAGGTACCTTACACAGCCGGTCTAACGTCGACAAATGGGAAGCTAGCATGCCCTACCTGGCCTTGACTGCTGATACTTCTGCGTCGGCTGCCGCTGCTTCTTGCTCCTCTGCTACTACGCTACGGCTACGCTACACTGCGCTACCCTCGAAGCTCCTCGGGAGCCAGTGCCACTGTCCCGCGGGACTAAAGGGTAGATAGTGTACGAAGTATTAATGCGTGCGCGGAAGAGAGTGAGAAAGAGGGGGAGGGGGACAGATAGTCCCATCTTGTCAATACATCCAGGACAATGCTGACTATCGCAATTCAGGCTGACCTTTTGATTGTCTCGCCTCACCTCGTCTCGTGTCGAAGACCCTTTGCCGTTGATTGCCTTGGAGCACGGAAGCCAAGATTACGCGTTTCTCCCGTCTTTTCTTGATGAGACGGGCTGCCTCTTTTTCTCATGTTTCCTGGGGACCCCTTTCTTCCTCTTTGCTTAGGAGAGGGGGGACGGGGTATCCGAGCGCCCCCATTGTCGAGACAGATATCCGTACCTATTTGCGAGAGAAAGGCCGCGAGGAGTTTTGCGAGAAGTGCAAGAAGAATGCAGCAGGTAGAAAACAGTGGCCATCTGGGAAACGGAGATTCTACGCACAGCTGTCCAGGTACTTTGGCAGCACTGCGGCAGCACGATGCCAAGGATGCGATGCGACTGGTTCGTGGGATTCCTGGCGCGGCACCTCGAGTGCTGTGTGGGTTGCGCACCTGCGCGGGCGGCGGGACTACGGGGATAATTGGTACGTACTCCCCCGTCGACAAGCCCGGCTTCTATCAACTGCCATGATGAGGACCGACCCTCAACCCCTGCGCGTTTTGCAGACCCCTGCCCCGGGTGCGGGCACAGACTGTTAGCTTCCCCTTTCAGGAACTTCTCCCACGAACATGCCTGGGCGCCTCCGCATTTGTGCCTCGCTCTATTTTTTTGGTGTCTTTTTTTTTCTTTTCTTTGCCTCTCCTTCGTTTCTTTTCCTCTGTCTCGCTCTCTCTTCACACTGCGGATACTCCTCCATATTGTGTTATGTTTTGGGCCCCTCCTCTGCTTCCTTGACACACCCACAACTTGCCGACCCCGTGTCCTGTGTCCCCGAGTGTTTCTCTTGTTCGGATTTATTGACACGTCTTCAACCTTGAACCCTTCACCCTCGCTTGGGCATAGTACCTACTTTTCGCAAGAGCCGTACGGACTACACAGGAGAAGAAAGGAGGAGCCAGGAGATTACGTCTGGGCCGTAGGGTCACTAGCGCCCACGTATGTAAGTCATAACGGATCTCCATATGAGTCTAAGCATGCGCAGTGAGGCTTTGAGAGACGCAACCGCAAGCATCGCGAGTCGTGGGCACGCATTCGATATACCATGGAACCAGGCATCTTCACCGACCTGTTCACTTACCTTCCTCTTCCTCACATTTGATCCAGGAAAGGACCCCTTTGGTTTCTTGCTTTCTCGGTCTCCGTCTTCCACCCACACCCCTCTTCTCTCTCTCTCTCAGTCTCCCGACCGACTCGAGCCCGGCATGTGCCTGCTGTGGCGCGTCTTGGTTCCCAGGAGAGTCATGACACTTGACGGCAGAGCCCGAACAAGAGAAAAGCAGACTTGCAACGCTTGAATGCTTGAATGCTTGAACGAACCGCGCCGTTGACAGCCTTGCTTTTGAGAACCACCCCCCTCCCCTCTTTCGCCGGACAACGGCGAAAAATAAGGACAGGCTCAGAGACATTGCCTCTTGTCTGACCAGCCTGCCAGCAAAAGCCTCAGTCAGGCGCCTGTGTCTATTATATTAACCCTCTCCTAATATTGCCTGCCCACTCCACCATACCCGGACAGGGATGTTGGAATTGGATGTGTGCCCCAAGCGAGTTCAACTCGGCCCCTGGCCTCTAGCAATCTCGTGAACCGATCCCCCCTTCCTCTCTCTCTTTCGCTCTCTCTCCCTCTCTCTCCGTCTCTTTCACAAATCACACCCCCTGCGCCCACACACCTTTCCGCTTCCTGCCTTTAGTGGGCGTCTCTGCCCAACGGTCTTCTAGAAAAGTTGCGGGCCAGTGGCCTATAACAACCGTCGGAGGATTCTCTGTCTAGTCTTCTTATCGAGCGACCCCCCCTCTTCGACCCCTGGGCATTTCGCCATGATGCTTTCATTGGTCAAGAGGAGGGGATTGGGGCCTTTCCAGCCTGCGATTTCTCCTCGAGAAATGGCCCCCCCGTGTCTCCGTACGATCCATGCCAGGTTCTTCTCCGTCCCTCCATCTCGACGGAGCGACACTACGTATCGCACATGCCACCCTGCTCACCAGGGTCTGTAGTGCCAACCCTGAAGGCTTGCCGTCAACTCTCTTCCATGTCTTTTGCTCCTAGCGATGCCAGTTTGTGCAAGGGACTTGTTCACGCCTCCGGCAGAAGCGGGGGTGCGCTGGAGAGGAGAAGAGAAGATGTGCGTGTCTGCGAGGGCGACCGAGTGAGAGGGGAGAATGAGAAACAGAGAGAGATAGAGAGTGTGTGAGTGTGTGTGTATGTACGCCAGTGTCCAACTGGGGCTACTCGACCCGTGTGTGTCCATGATTTCCTACGTACATAGTAGACTATGCGTCTTTCCTAGGTATCATATGTATATTGATGTGCGGATGCGGGTATGAAGACTGGAGTATCCGTATGGCGCCGGCTGGTTCTTCGTAAGAGTGTTTGAGCGAATAGGCGTTGGCGATGCGCTGGTTTCTCCAGCCCATCCCGGAGCTCGTCCGTCCTGTTCGCTTGCTGGTCTTGCTCACACTAAGTTACTACTAAGCCAAGGTAAATGCTGCTGCGTGCGTGCCTTGAACCGGGCAAGTATGCAAGTTCATAAAGCAGAGCTACTGCTGCAACAACAGTAAAAGGCCCTGGACCTGGTATCCTGAACTGTGCTCGTTTGCTCTTATCAAACCGTTTCAGTGCCGCCCCCCGTCCTGGGCCCTCGTCGACTTGTCTCCTCACTCTCACTCACCCTCTCTCTCTCTCTGCGTCTGCGTCTCCGTCTACGTCTGCGGACTGCGGACTGCGGACTGCGTGCTGCGTGCCCCCTTCCCCATAGCGCCGCCTTCTAAGAAGGGCATTTCCCTAAACCTGGTCGTCGCTCTGCAGGGCGCATCCATACTCCATCGTTGTAGCTCCATAGCGTGCCTTGTTCTTCCGCTCACCAGATCGCCCGCTCCTCACCTTCTCCTTCCCAGTATGGTTGCATGCACTGACCGTCCTGCCCAAGAACCCGCCGTCACGTTGTACCGGTGACCTTGCCTTTGCCGCTGCCGCTGAAGAAGGCACAGGTCAACGGCCCAGCCAGAGGAACATCCCGTTGAGACATCAACTCGACTCGACTCGGACTCGACTCGACGCAACCTTGACCTTGAACCCTCGACCTTGCCTTGGCTGGCCTCCCCCAGCCCTGCCCCATCATAGGATCCACCCCAGAACAGTGCCGAAGATTTTCATCAGACACCCCCTCCAACATCTACCGTCCTCTAGCTACCCATCCACCCCATCAGATACAAGTATACATCTCTCCCTGCAACCTTAAACATGACCGTCGTCCGTTGATCCTCAACTTCATCTCTGCATCTTCCGCATCTCTCGAGTCTTCGCCATCACTCCTCGAGATCAAATAACATTCGCTCATCTTCCCCTCGCTTTCCAACCCTTCTTTGGTCAAGTCGACTTACAACAACGTACATGCCTTGTTGATTCTCCAGCAAGGAACTCGACGTATCATTGTGTGAAATTACACACACATAGAGAGACGGACAGAGAACGAAGAAGAGTGACAGAGGCGCGCTTTGGTCTGGGACAGGACTACAGCGCACCAGAGAGGCATGCTCTAATGTCAACCACGGTCACTTACCCCGTCATGGCAGAGCTGAAAGAGCCGGCGCATTCCAATCTTTGGTCGAACTATGGGAGTCCCGTCCAAATGTCGTCTCGATTCAACAACAGCCTGGATCCCGGCCTCGGAGGCCACGCCGCCAACTCGCCACACGCGGGACGCCCTAGAAGCACCCATCCGAGTGTAGACCACGGATCTTATCCCTATGGTCGCTATCCTCAAGACGAGTCTGATGCATACGACAGACATTCGCATCCCAGCTTGACTTCCCACCACAGCTTCCCCAATCTCAAGAGACCCTACTCTCAAACCGAACAGCCCCCTTACCAGGAGATTGTCCAGGACCTGAGGGACGATGGCTCCAAACTGACCGTCAACCACGACCACAAGCTGCTCTCGTTCAAGAGGGTACAGGATAAGCACACCATTGTCGACCAGCATGGGCGGATGCAACAGCTGGAGCTGTCCGCTCAACTGCACGGAATGTTCTTTCTGTCCGAGATGCCAGCCAACAGCACCGACGGTTCCATCCTCCAACCCGAGCTGACCTGCTACCGACGAAACCTCTTCCAGATTAGCGGCTCTCTCATCACCCCGCGAGGCCAGCTCTCTGTCATATCCGAAACCGGCGAGACGGTCCCAGTTAGCAACACCGAAGTAACCATCTCTGCAATCGAGTCTGTCGATGGACATCCCGTCCGACTCATCGTCATCCCCTGGAAGACGCCGCCACCCAACTCCCCGGAGATCACCCAGAGCCCAGACCAGGAGCCAGCATCACTTCCGCTGATCCCGTTCCAAGAAGACGGTTCGGAATCCGACGGCGAGTATGCTGTTTACCCAATTGGCTGGCGCCGACTGCAGTTCAGAATGTGAGTACACCGCCACGACGCACTTGCGCGAACGTAACGACGAATCTTGACTGACTTGACAAAGCGCAACTGCAAACAACGGGCGGCGAAAGGAACTCCAGCAACACTTTGTGCTTCACCTCAAGGTTGTTGGGACATTGGCCAACGGAAGCAAGATTGTGCTCACTGAAGCGACTACTGCACCAATTGTTGTACGAGGCCGCAGTCCTCGCAACTTCCAGGCGAGGAAGGAGATTCCCCTACTAGGGTCGAGCGCTGGCTCCAGAGGCCAGGCTTTGGTTGAGACTGGGCTGGGTATTGTGGCAGGACCGTTGGCTATCAAGCCGCAGGATGCCAAGGCGAGGGCATTAGACATGCAGATGCCCCGTTCTGCCTTCACCTTTAACGCGGGAGGGCCTAAGATGCCGGGAGCACCCATGGGAGCCATGAGATCAAAGTGAGACAAACCCCCCTCCCCATAATTTTACCCTTCCACCACACATGCCCATCACTCGATGCGACATATTGGTACAACACGAAGCCCACTTACTGATCCACCATAGTTCATACCCCAACTGGTCCTCCTCAAACTCGGTGCCCGGGATGTCACAGCTACCAGCAGCTGGCTCAGGAAGCTACCCGGCGACGAGTATGGGAGAGTCTTACCACAAGGTTTCTCTGCCGGGAAGCGCAAGCTTCAGCGGAGAGGGCCATGATATGCCTTTACAAACGTCGATGCCTTCAGTTCAGCTTTCTCTGGTTGCCAACGACCAACAGCAGCCTCCCATCAGGACACAGTACGCCTACGTGCAAAGCACAACTGCTCCGCCACCACTATCCGTATCAGCCACGGCAATGGCATCGAGCGCAGACAACGCACTCAACGTGCCCAGATATGTCGATAACCCTCGACCTACCAAAAGCCCACGGCACGCAAGTCAGCCTTCCATCGGGTCCATGTCTCATCATGAGGCATCCCCAGAGTACCGATACGGCTCTTCATACGGAGCAGTGGGCAGTAACCCTAGCGACATTGCACCGCCGTCCTACAAGCCCGAACCCCCCGCGTCACACCCCAACCCTTCTCGAGACTACTACCCGCCCTCGAGCTCTTGGACAACAACAGCCGGAGAGCCTGCCTCGACGGTGGCATACAGCAGCAGTGAAGCAAGGCCTTACGGTTTTCCTGACCAGTACGCGAGCGGAGGCTCTGCGCCGACGCCCAAGCAGGAGCATGGGCCCGCTCCGCCAGCCCCTGGTTCATACAGCAGCGCTCACCGGGGCTCGTTTGACGGCATGAACCATTATTCCTGGAACACTAATTAACTGCGTGAATGCATCATTGGCGGCTGGGTCACGCCACATGTCTCCAAACCTGAGGAGCAATAATAGGTCGGGCCGAACGACGCTTGGGCTGAGAGGAGCAAGCTTTTGAGGCCGAACTTGTTTCCGGGCCTGGCACGACAGCCCCGACTGTGTACCACTATACCTTCGATTCGTGGCCAGAAGAGTGATTGCGGTTCGGATTCGATTGGACATCTTCAAGTAGGCGCGATATTTTCGATTCAGGAGCGCCGGCAAGGCGAGAAATTATACCGATTGGAACACGCCATATCCCACGGTAAAGGAGGTTTCCCTCCGTCGTTGGTTGCCAATTTCGGCTCTGCTCAGCATGGGTGTGGTTGACTTTTTTTTTTTGTAAGGTCTCATGACAGACCAAACCCGAGCATAATTTGGGTAGGCGCAGCAACGACATGGTCGAGATTGGCGTCAAGAGACGGGCATTGTCTGGGTGGCTGGGCATTTCGATACCACACGGAGGATAGCATTGACGTCGAACGCCCCGGCCGGACGCTTCTATCACCGGCTCCGGGCCGTGCTGCGACATTTTGTGGGCGGGTTACTTAACGATATGTATGGTATTTCTTGGTTACGTTGAGCGCCGGGTATCGGACGTGGAGAACAATGAAAGGCATTGTGGTCTTCACTCGGCATCCTTGGTCCCGAATGCGCCAACGTTGGCAAATGTGGTGCCTGTAAGAAGGAAGGATTTTGGGTAGGGGAAGGACAAAGCCACCATCGGCTCAGCCTCGAGGATGGGATGACGTCTAAATTGAGATGATCCTTGGCTGAGAGCCTTGTCCTGCCCGCGTGGTTGGGTTCCGCCACCCACACCTCGGACGGCAGAGAGTTCGTCTGATTTACCCGAGACGGATCCAAAGGGTTGGGAACTGGCATTTGGGGGGGGTTTGTCCGCGCAGCCCCGGTGTGGAAACGGATGGCGGTTGAGTGCTGGTTGGTTGGATGTCCACCCAATGTGGTGGCGTTCCATCTGTGCGTGAATTCTATGTCACTTGACAAAGGTGTTTTTGTGTCTCGGTTTGCTAGAGAATGTGGATAAGAGAGGAGTCTTGGGGAGAGTGAAGATGGCAAGAGAGAGAGGGGGGGTGGAGGGGGAGAGGGGGGGAGGGAGAGCTTAAGAGAAAGAGGGTGAAAGAGGCGAGAAAATAGGCCAGAAAATGCGCAAGCAAGCAAATAGGCAATGAATAAGCATCCATTCGAGCCACAAAACCCACATTGGCTCACTCACGTTGGCATCCAGATGGGGACACAGAGCTCGTATTTGAATCAGTTTGGTTCAACATGAACAGACGGATACGGGCACCGGGCACACGGGTCATTTATGTGTCTGTCGGTCTACCTTGATCATTGTGCGTAAACGCTCACACACACACAAACACAGGTAGAACAAGGCGCCATCCTGCCTCGTGGGCTTAGGTTGGTTGGATTGGGCCTTGGGTTGGACCTCCACTCCCCCTCCCCCAAAACCGTTGTGTCTGACCATATTCTCTCACATTTTGTAAGGAGATTACCAACATTGCGTACCACCGCCCGGGCGGCGTCTCTACGATCCCACGTCCCACCCACACGCACAGAGTCACGATCACACTGTGGCTACATCGCGCGAGTCCAAGGTGGCGAGCGGCCCGCTCAGCTGGGAGTTCGATTCCAATAGTGTGATGGTGGGAACCTAGTGCTGCGTTGGCGCCGGCGGTAGGGGGTAAAAGTTGACGGGTACGCGGAACGACTGCGCTCTGGGGGGGTGGAGGGATCTTCTTGTCTCTCGTTTTTGTCTCTCGTCTTGGGTCCATCTGCGTGTTGCACGGCACAAGGCCGGCGGGTGGGAGTGGGCTCAAGGGAAGGGGAGGACGGTTGTTTGTTCATCGAGAATGGCAAGATCCTGGCGAGCGGGAGTGACAGAGACAGGGACAGAGACAGGCACCTACACACACGAAGAAAGAGAGACATGGAGACACATGGAGCCTAGAAACGGGAGGGAGGGAGAGCTCTAGAGGAAGGAGATATAGGAATGGTAATTTCTGTCATTGGTGGTGGCCTTGGCCCCCGAATCCTTCGTGATAAGAATCCACAGAGACTATCCGTTTTGAGAGATTTCAAGAGAAAAAGGGTACTTTGGTGGGATGTTGTTGGATTAGTTTGTCAAGTTGGTGTTGCATTTTTGATGGAACGGTGGTTAGCCCACCACCACCACCACCACCACCACCACCAACAGATACGCCGCATACATGCTCACTCACGCAACCCACGCCGCCCACGCAGGGCGACGCGGGATGCCCGGTTCGGGCCTCTTGCTGGAGGCGTGAATGCCACTGCTACGGCTGGGGCGTGGGATCTCATCACCTTGTGCGCGCGTGTGTGTTTCATGCATGTGCGAACGCGGCGCTAGGGAACGGTATATTGTACCCTCGGCTGACCGTATCAATCAGGCTGGCAGGATCGGGATGCGTCGTGGAGGGCTTGAATGGAACTGCTGGGCAGAATGTTTCGACGCTGTACGGAAACTACCCTAGGGGAAAGGGGAGGAGAGAAGAGGGGGGGACCCGAGCAGCTGGATAGGAATGACGATGATCCTCCTCAAAGAGGACAAACCTGGACACACCACCACCCCTCCTCCCCTTGGAGGAGATGAGGTTTGGGTTACGAGAAGAGAGGGGGGGGGAAGGGCTCCGCTGGCGACGTTTGCTTTCCCACGTTGTTTGAACCCCAGCGGCCCGCCTTTTGCACCACCACCCGTGTCCCCCCTCCACCCCTTGCTTCCCACGCGCTCGCGGCGCTCCAGTTGTTTGTAGATTTGTTTGGAATGTCACTTTCCCACGGTGTACCAAACTCCACACCTCCTTGTTCGGTGGCTTGCTAGGGGGGGGGGTTGATGAGAAGACGGCGTTGGGAGTTTGGTGGACTGGGTGGGAGCGGGCTGTCATGTTTTGCGTTGAGGAGGTACTCCTAGAACCCAGACAGACGGTTGGGAAGGGTGAAAGGAGAGAGGGAAATGTTGACGAATCGGGTAGAGGATGGATGGAATCTACACGATGCAGTTGCGGTTGGCTGAAGGCGGAGTGAAAGAAAAGATTAACCTAGTCTGACATATAAGTAGCCTTAGGTAAGGAATATATTGTTAGGAGACAGTTTATGTGGGGCACAGACCCCTTAAAGAGTAAAAGGGAGTGTCTAAAATTTATTTGTTATAAAATTTATAACGTTGTTTGTGGTTTTATGTAGTTTTACTATATTTAATCTTATGAAATTCGCTTTATCTACCCTTGTTGTAGATACGGACGGATCTAAGGTACGATTTTCACTATAGTGAAAGTAGCGGTATACAAAAAAATATTATGAAGGGGCGGCGACGACTTCGTCGTCTCGCTATTCTAATGTTTTTGGAGTTATTAAGGTGACTGGGTCGGCAAAATCTCCCCCCCCGCTATTAATAATAATGATAAATACCTGAAAAGCTCAACGGCTAATTCGTGCCATACTGTTTGATTAACAACAAATCTTACAGTTGCGTAAGCAGGGCATAGGATCACAAGATGCAAAAAGGAAAGATCTTGGATTATTGGAAAAGCTACGCTAGGGATGTTTGTCCTTCAATATTTTTAACCCCTCGGCTTAGCCCCAGGCCGGTAAGGCCGAAGGCGAAAGGGAGAAAAGTTAAAATTATTGAGAATATATTGGGTTAATTTCAAGAATTACTTATATAAGTAGATTTGAAGCGAAATTTATCTTGGCATAATTATATAAGATAAAATCGTTCAACGACTATAAGGTGAGTTATGCTAACAATAATCCTTTTTAACACCCAACATTTTTATTACCATACACTTATAAAAAAAAGATAAAAAGAAAGAAAATTTCATTTTATGAAAACGAAAGCTCTAAATACAAATGCTAAAATTTTTCGTTCTAATTTAAACAATAAGTTTAAATTAACACCGTTTAATACTCAATTAAATGATTTAGGTAGAGTTAAATACTTACCTCCTGTATCTAAAGAATGAAAAAATACAATCTATTCATATTATAAAAAAAATATGAAAAACTTACCTATAGATAATATAAATGCTAATAAAGTAATACAAAGTTATTTTAATTTATATTTTGCAAATAATAAATTTATAGGATCAAGATTGATATCTCCTAGAAAAAGAAGTTTATTATTAAAAAAAATCTATGTAAGTAAAATGGAAACAAAACATACAAATTCTAAAGCTATAGTAACTTTATACACTATTAATACAGGAAAAAATATTGTATATGAACAATATATAAATTTATCTAACTATTGAGAAAATAAAGTCTTAAATTCATTTAAAGATGGATTAAAAAAAAAAATTCAGGGTGTTTCAGGAGCCCATGAGTTACTAGCTAATACAAATAATATTACTTTAGCTTTAAGTTCTAAAAACGAAGATCAAAAACAAATTCTTTTTTCTAAATATAAATTTTTAACAGAGTCTTTACAATGTTTTAATTTATATTTAAGATTATATTTAAGCAGACAATTTAAAAAATCATACTTGGATAAATTGGATTTATTAAGAAAATATCAATTAAATTATTATTTAAATAAATTTAAATTTGAAAGAAATATTTACTTACATAAATTAAGTAGTATTTTATCTCGAATTTTCAATAAAAATATAGAATTTAATATAATAAATTTAAAATCTTTGGCTTTTAACCCTGAAATTTTTACTCAAGTTTTAACTTTAAAATTAAGAAAACCTAAATCTCAGGTTATAAGAGTAATGGATAGTTTATTAAAAGTAGCCAAATTACCTGAAGTTAATAGAATTCAGGAAAAAGCTATTATGGTTAAATCTAAAGATTTCTCTTTATTAGAAAATGCTTATCCTAATTTAAGTTTAGTTTCTATACTAAAGGACTCTAAATTAATAAACTCAGGTTCTTATAATTCATTATTAGAAGCCAAATCTTATGATACTAGAGCACAAACTTCGTTT